GTAGCGATTCACGAGATGACTAGGATTTTACACGAGGAAGGAATCGATCACAGCGACTGCAACACTCACCCGATTTCGATGTAGAGCGGTCGATCGAAGGGTAACATCCTAACCTACAGTGTAGATACAGCAAAGCAAATTCATATCGGTGTTGAAGAGTATTATCGATCAAAGTGTCCAATGCTGGCTCGTTACATAGGGTGGCTCGCGACGCCGGGAGGGACGTTAGTCGCGACCGACGTCCGCAGCGAGATCTCGGGCTGCTAGAGAACGCGCATCTGTGACACGCGATGTGACGCAAATGGCCACCACGCATGTGCCCGCCAAAATAACGTAAAGAGACTCTTGCCACGTGCTACTTGCGAATTTCCGTCGAAACGCTACATATGCGTGATTCCATGTGCATTTTCATTTTCATCGGATGCGAGCGCGCATGTTTGACTCGATGGCTACCTAGTCACGGAGCGTGCTTGGTTGGTTGGCAGTGTACAAGGTATCGTAGTTCTCAAAGCAATTCAATCACTCAAAGCCACTGCCCGATGGCTGTCGATTCTGCTGAGCGCATCGGCGTAGATACTGGATCACCAGTCCGAAAGAACATTTGCGACCCTGGTCAGATTCTAGGTAGGTGAGCAGCACTTCATGATTATGTACGGTTGATGCGCATTATTCGTGTCACTTCTCCGTCACGAATGTGCGTGAAGTATGCTGACTCTGCCAGCATGAGCGTCAGCGCCGAGCATGCACCTACGACCCGTGGCTTTCGCGCTGAGCGTGTCGACGGAGAGGATCTCGGTCAGAAGGGCGATCCCTTCGACGAGGCGGGGATCTGCTGTCACTCGAAACGCTCCGACTCAAGCGAGGATCTTTTCTGGCTGCATGTCTCCTCGCCATGAGATCGTCATCAGTGGGCGGGGAGAGTGAGTACTTCTCCACAGCTTTGGGCACTCGTTCTGACTTAGCTGAGTACGGAGGGGAGGAAGATCGCCTTCGGTCGTCTCGTCGCCTCGGTGGACTGCTGCGACGGTCTGAGGATCTCGAACGACGGCGCACAGGTGAACGGGATGGCGAATTTGAAGGCGATCGTCGTCGGCGAGTGCGGCGGCGTGGTGGAGTTCGGGATGTTGATAGAGAACGGCGAGTGCGCCGGGGTGAACGTGTACGGGATCGTGAAAGGGACCGCGTCGACGACCGCGAACGAGGTCTTTTGTGTCCGCGGCCGCGACTTGATGGGATGTAGCTGTCGGTCGTGCGTCGTGGGGCTCTGTAGAAGTCGTCATCGTCACGCCGTGGTTGAGATCGTTGATGTGGAGGGGGTGAGCGATGCTCAGTACCACGACGGTTAATTTGTGTTCCATCTCTTGCTCGACCATCTCGGACAATGCGGTCACTCTGCTCTCGTCGCTCAGCACGCTCCCGTGTCCTGATATGCTCCAATTCGCGTTCACGATTACGTTCGGCTTCTTGCCGGACTCGAGCAGCTTCGCGCTGCTTTTCTTCTTCGAGCTATTCGGAGGTATCAGCCTAGATAATCAATCTGAGAATCTCACCCCTCTGAAACCTCAGCGTACCTTTTGCTGCTTGACTTCGAGCTTCTTTGCTTCCAGCAGCTCTTTCGGGACTCCGTTGGGATCTTGTTGTGCGCTGAGGCATAGCTTCCATAGCTCCAAACAGAAAGCGGCGGTCGGAGGCCCCAGCGAATCTCGAATACTGGTCTGTATCTCTCTAATATCCTGCAGCGCATAAATCAGCCACGAGGCTCTAATTCCCGAGTGGAGAGTGCACTTACCCTGTGCTCTATCAGCATCTCTTCAATCATGATCGGGAGAAAGTCATCATCAAAACCTTGGAGTTTCGTGATCTTGTCCGCCATCCACTTCTTTATCACAGGCAATTGTACTTTCGTGATGTCGACCTTCTGCTTGAAGATCTCCGGGAACTTGGTGTCTCTCAATGCTCGCGCATCTGCGCCTGTTTGCAACGCTCTTGACATGTTTACCGGCAATCCTGTTTGCAGATTACGGCGTTTTCTGTAACTCGCGCCTACGTCCGAATTGGCTGCGGTCAGACAGGCGGGAGATTGGTGCCCTCGTTCATGATGCTCCGGCAAAGCTTGTGGCTTGTACACACTGTCGATCAGAAGCGTCCGTTACAAAGTACATTTGGAAGCGCGTCACTTCTCGACTTTCGATAGTAAAGCCCACAAAAGCGGCACGGCCCGTTGCCACGAGCAGTAACCCTAGCAGGCTGCGGATGCTTGCTGTAATGACGGCCTCTGGGTCGATGCTCAAACGCTATGTAATGTGCAAAGTGCGTCCTTCTACAACTATCCGAAGCAACACTTCTCAAATCTACTATCATCTTCACGGGATTTTTCTTTTCTATAGAGCTCATCTATAGTCTGAACAAAGGGTCTTTTCAGACGTGCACGCCCGGTCACGACTCAGGATGCAGGTCGCTGAATTCCTTTCTGACTTGAAGTCACTGCAAGTCTGCGTCAGTAGGCCCGGACTTTCGTCAAATGCCACTTCAAGTACAGGAGGTTAACAGTGAAACAGCAAGATCAAAATGCCGCGATGAATCTGGTGTCTGACCAAAGGGATGTGTCCGCTATCGCGACCAAGGAGAAGAAAGATGACGTAGATGTCGACCTTAAAAGGGCCAAAGATGTGATCGAGCTTTACACGAGGCTGCGATCCATATCTCAAGGAGGCAACGATATCGACAGTGAACTTCGGGGCGACCGAGATGATGTTGACAAGGCAATTGCATCTCTGTAAAGTCTAAAGTGCTGTTCTCCAAAACGTTTGACACCCCACTCCGGGCGTCTTCAATTGGGCTTTGTTCATATTCCGTGCTTCACGATACTGCTAAGCACTGATCCACGACATCTAGGTATGCTCTATTGTCTATTGTTCTCGCTTGTCATTTCACCGGTGTCGACATGGGCCTATTGTCCCCGCAGTTCGGCAATTTCAAAGTCGACGCACTTCCCAGATATTGCAGTATGTCCAGGTGATGGTCTTTCTCCACAGTGACGCGTGCACAGTCGCGACAATGTTGAAGTCCCTTTCCCGCGAAAGAATATTCATAACAATGGCCTGATGTCAGCAAGTTTCTAACCGCGATTGGAGTGCTTTCGAGTCGATGCTTTACCAGTTGTCGGTCTGTTATCCTTTGTATGGGTGTGGAGAATGTCCTTATGCGCTCGATAAAGTTGTTTTGCGAGAAAAACTACTGCATCAACGCACGCCCGAAATATTGCTAAATGTGGCCTGCGGCTGGTGAGCCCAGCACCCGCAAGCTCTAGCAATAATCTGTAGTCTCTAGACAGGTGACATTAACAGCATGCAACAGCATACACGCAGGTGAGTCCTATTTCAGCAGGCAGCAACGCATCTCGTGTAGTGGATAGCTACTGTATCTACCTAGGTAATTTATTCAAAAGGACCCGTGAACAGAGTGAACCTTGGAAGTGAAATGACGTTTCAAGCTGTCGGAGTGTCTATTCCGATTTGAGCGATGCCTGTAGTAAACAGGATCAAACAGCAGAAGTAACGTCCATCGGACGGACACCCGGGCGTCCACACGCCAACGTCGTCACCGCTAGATCCGCATATCATCCCGCTCGTGTTCGCAAATCTAATAAAGTTTCATATACAGATATCTCCGAATCGCTCACAGATGAAGCAAATGAAGGAGTAGATATTCGGAAGATATAGGACTGTCCACCAATGGCATTGTCGAATGCAGAACCAGATGTGGTTCGTTAGACTGATTGTAGCGCCTCGAAAAGTGCTTCCGGCCGTACCCTGACGGTCGACAAGTACATCGATGTATCTCCCATGATGATTGAAACCACAGCTTCTCAGTACGCATTGCATCATGCCGAGGCACAACTTTCGGATCAGCGACCTACAGACCAGGGTCAAGGCGAAAGAGCACAGTACCTGGAAAATGTTCTCGAAGGATGATGACACGCTTCTACCAATGATGCGGTTCGCAAGCACTTATCGACTGGACTCCCGATTTTATCAAAATGGACTTATCACATCGATGCCCCATTTCCAATAGTGCACTAGAAGTCGGTCATCGAAAACCACTGAGGCGGACTTCAGACTCATCGCTATTACATGATATTGGTACATCGTATCACATAAAGAGTGGATGAACTACAATGCGCGTGAGAGTTCTTGACGTGACGAGTGTGTACCAAGGTATTTGCTGAACCGGGTGAGCCACCAGATTCCTGTCAGACATTGACGTAAGAGCAAACATGCACAATACTGTACAGTCGCGACGTAGCGGAATATATCGCGCATGCCAGCGAATCGTCCGACACCAATGCGCTGGCGTGTGTTAAGCGTTGCAAAGCTGTAGTCAACGAGGATGCAAACAAGTAACGCAGGGAGCCTTCATCAGTAGCAACACCGGAAACCTTCGATGTGTGCGACCAGAATCCTGTCAAAATGAAGGCCATTGTCTGGAAGCGTGCCCGCTCATGGCGCAGGGTAATAAGAGGCTGCTGTCTCTCAAACTCCACCACGAACGACTGGGGAAGGGTGCGGGCGCTAAGGCTCTTGCATCAATTGCCATTTCCACCCCAGCCTAATAGCCCTGGAGACAGCTCCCTACTGCCATGACATTGGATTCAACCTCGGATAAATTAGCGGGACTGGCTGGAGGAAATGACGAGCCGCGTGTGGTGCAGCCGCATTCGTCCGACGAACGTAGCATCATGCAAGACCACGAAATCAATACGGACCGGAGGAGTACAATGCGCGAGGACAATGGTACGCAGGTTTAATCTGAATTCGTGACTGCCAAATGGGTATTGACCTCAGCAAGTTGTGACGTGGGAACATGCTTAATGGCCAGAAACATGAGCTCAGAACATGTTGTGCTTTTGCTGCGAACAGCTTCGTTCTGCATATCCTGACCAAGGCTGAAGAGTCTTGGGATGCACCGGATGCGCCAGACGTTAAGCAAACGCGCGTGTGTCTGTCATTGTATGATGAGAACCGTTTCGAAGCGTGATTGTCGTAATCTGGGGAACAGACGGACCGTGAGACATGGGCCACTAAACCTCGCTTGTGAAGATTGCTGCTAAGGTCGGAAAAGCTGGAGATCGCACACGATCGCTCATATCCCGTACGCACCTTTGGCAGGGGTTGACATCGGGGGATGCAGGATGCCAACTGTGATTGCACGTCCGAAGTCGATTGCGAAGTGATGGGTCGTCTGACCTGGCCACACACATTCGTCCAACACCGCGGATGTTGGCAAGGGTCTCGGACATCCCACTCTCAATCAATTTTGATGACATCAAATATCATCGTTACGATCTCAAAGTGCTCAAGAGACAACGAGCCAGTCTGATGAGTAGTCAGCCGATCACTGAGGACGCGAGATCTTAGTTGCTCGCTATGAACCGTCGATCTCGGCAATCACACGGATGTTTGCTACTTCGCCTCTGCGTCTGGTGGTGTCGTCCGAGAAAAAGGATGCGGGCGCGTCACGGGACTGCTCGAGGTGTGGATAAGCCCGCCGAGATGATGCATGTGCACATAATTTCGACACTGCAGGTGCCTTTATGGCATATGCAGATGAGGCTAGACGAGACCACCTGAAATCATGCAGACAAAAAACTGCTTGCGCGAAATGTGAAGGCGCCCGCCGGCACCTTTATGATCATAATCTGCAGGTGTTGTGCATCCCAGGAGATGTCTGCCTAGAGTGAGCAACGTCTCAATTCTTCCGACTCGAGAATGGATGACAAACACCATCCATAACTTGATGGACAGACTCGCGCCCAGAAGCTGCGTCAAATCACGGAGAAGTTAAAGCGTTCGCACGCTCAAGCCTATAAACCACATGCACTTGGGCACATGTTAAGCTCAACCACGATAGGAGCCAACAACAATCAATATTGTAGCCAGAGTCTCGCAGATACATGGGGTTATCGGGCGAATCGTACGGTGCACTCTCACGGCTGAATTAAAACGACGGTTTCTACAATCTTGCCTGTGAATTCGAAGTCTGGCGGGTGACTTATCAGTCGTCCGTGATGTGAGTATCTAGTGAGTCATGTGAGCCTCCCGTCCGATTATATTCTGAAGCATCATCAACTTGTGAACTGGACGCAATATCGACATCTTTGGGGCATACCATCGTTTGTGAAAAAATTTCGCAGGGCAATGGAGGTGCGATTGAGAAAGCAGCAGCGTCAAAACAATCTCAAAAGTGCAGAAAACTGGAGAATGAAGGAAATCTCGTATGTTTGAAGACTGCTTGCAAATGTCGAAACACCGAATCAATCATTGCTGTTATTCCTATTGACAAAATGTGACACCAGGGCGACGAGACCCTGGATGGACGGCTAATAAATTGTGTGAAGCCTGCCCAATGTACAGCTCGATTTGTACCTGCACGGGAAACGCTTCGTACCTGCCTCCGTTCATTGTCGGCGGACTTCTGAAAGCTTGCGCGACGTCAAGCCAAAGTATCGCGACAGTACGTACATCTTGGGGCAGACTCCAACGCTGTTTCAACTGAAGGTGAAGCAAGAGACGATGACATCTGATCGCACGCGGCAGATGACATCGATGGCATGAGCCATGGGTAATTAATGTAAGGCAAGTGCGCCTGGGCGCACGCTTGCGAAAACACAACAACCATTCCATTCATTCAAGGAGATTTACACATCGGGAGATTGTGCGCACAGTTGCGTGTTGATGGCCTTCGTCATCAATCATTAAGGAAGCGAGACGGCAGCGTAATTTCACACCAAACATTTATTCCGCATCAGTGATGTGTAAGACCGGCTTCGTGCGCTTGACTCATTGCCCAGGTGGCCGTCGAAAGCCAATGTTCCAGAATCGAGGCTAGACTGGGCTATCGCGTCGTCGCGAGCCATGGGCCACTGTCCAGATGGCTGTGTGTCGACGTTGGCAGCTAGGACGGCAGGGCCAGGCAATACGGCCGCAACCAGCACAGGGCTGGTGTGTGTATGGGTCCCTCGATCACGTTGTGTGCGCCAGCGAGCGTGGGCGCTGTGAGAGAAATCGCGAACGAGCTGCACCACATACAGGCAGTCGCACGCGTTGTCCTGTGGTCATCGAGCTTTCTCCAGAATGGAGGAACTCGACACATTGTTGCATCACTGGAAAGACTCCTCACCGACACCGTCTCATCGTCGCTCGTGGTTTTGCTACGATGGAGAGACATCCGTCTCGTCTGCGAAGACCATGCCAGGCGGCAATGTTCCGACGACCATCACATCTGATGTGTGAGAAACCCCGCATGTAAAAGACTGTATGTCACGACATTACCTGGTACTTTCCTTTCCCCCCGTCACAAGCAAGCAATACCTGCTGTAGATCGACCTGGGGGGAAAGTCCCAAGAAATCTAGGTACCGACGGGGACGCCATACAGGCCCATACTGTAGTGCAGGAGGAGGGTTGAATAATGTATTCACTAAACTAGTGCTTGTTCATGCACACCTGCACCCAACTTATTATGCACCAGCCCTGGAGGGCAGCAGAGATCAAAGTTCAAAGCCTCCAGCTCTCTCCACTAATCTTTTAGCGCGGGCCACCACCATACTGACTGTCAGGCCCATTCCGGGATCTCTTGACCACTCCAGTTCTTATTATTACCGTGTTGTACCACTACACTAGCCGACTCACTTCCACCATCGCTTCTTCTCTTTCCGCTCCGCCCTCTGCTGTCCGATCGCCCTCTCCCACCACGCCAACAGCTTTCAAAGTCGTCGGAGCTTCCTCTCCTACTTTTGCTCTTGAGGTCATGCTGCTTCAGAAAGACGCCTGCAGCTTGTGTTCTTGAAATTTCCGACCGGGGCAAGCACACCGACGCCCGAAAACGTTTGCGACCACAACCAGAACCCGAGACCCTCTGCCGAATACCAACAGCCCAACATGGCGGGTGAACGACCGCTCGCCATGAGCACCGACTCAAAACCGTCGCCGCCGACCAATGCAATGGCACCGCCGGGGAGTACCAACGCTCCCAAAGACCAGATGCCGGGCCATCCCAGCTTTCGCAGGTTTGTCTGAGCCGGTTCAAATCATGCGCGCGCGGTTCTCACTGACATAAGTCTGGTCAACAGACAACGCGCATCACGAGCTTGTGAGGTATGTGCTTCATTCGTAATATTGAGATACAAATCGCAATCCACATCGCTGACAATTCATCTGTTCAGACATGCCATGCTCGAAAGGTCCGTTGCGATGCGGCCAGTCTCGGGGTGCCATGCACAAACTGTGTCGCCTTCTCCATCGAGTGCAAGATTCCTGCGCCGAAGCGCAAAAAAACCGCTGGAAAGAAAGAGACCGACAGGTACATCTCAATTCCTGTTCCACCGACTGCAGCAGTCGTTGACAGTTTTCACAGTGATAAAGCCGAATCGATCAATGGCGACGTTGAGAAAACACCACCTGCGCCACTCTCGGTATCAAGTAGCGATGCAGTACCTGCTCGGACTGAGCCCGCGGCTCCTCGCGATGTCTCAGCTGAGAAGATTGGAGTCAATACCACTGCTGGAATGCCACAAACCGAAGGCTCGGAGCAGTATTATTCCCGCCAACAGACCAACAACAGCACATACGTGCAATACATGAAACCGAAATTTGCCAGAGCACCAATCAAAGAGGCCGGACGGGTGGCATACCTTGGAGAATCTTCCAACCTTTCTTTACTCGTGCAAGACCGTCATGGGACGACCGATGTAGTGCACTACCCACTGCCAGAAAACGTGCGCGGTGCTCGCGCGCGCATTAACGAGCTGGACAATGTCGAGATCGACATCCTGCATCAACGAGGTGCCTTCTTGCTCCCTCCCCGCGCGCTCTGCGACGAGCTAGTAGATGCGTATTTTCAATGGATCGCACCAGTAGTACCAGTCATCAATCGCAGCAGATTCATGCGCCGCTACCGGGACCCAAAGAACCCGCCTTCACTTCTGTTGCTCCAGGCAATTCTCCTCGCGGGATCTCGTGTGTGTAACAACCCGCAGCTCATGGACGCAAACGGCTCGACGACACCGGCAGCCATGACGTTCTACAAGAGGGCAAAGGCGTTATACGATGCCAACTATGAAGATGATAGAGTGACTATTGTTCAAGCACTGATACTGATGGGGTGGTACTGGGAAGGCCCTGAAGGTGAGCACTAAAAGCTACAATCGCCAACAGGGGTTGTCAGACTAACTTCTCTCATTCTCAGACGTTACAAAGAATGTTTTCTACTGGAGCAGAGTGGCTGTCATCGTTGCGCAGGGATCAGGAATGCATCGAAGGTATGATGAATGCCCATTCGTAAGACTTCTTCATGGACTCGTCTGACATTATGCAGCGTCGAAGGTTCGCAGCTCAGCAAAGCCGACAAACGACTTTGGAAGCGAATTTGGTGGACCCTCTTCACGCGCGATCGATCTGTTGCTGTAGCGCTGGGTCGTCCCGTCTCGATCAACATAGAGGACTCCGACGTCGAAATGGTTTGTGCAGACGACTTCATTGACGACGAGATCGACAGACCCTCAGACTATCCTCCGGACGAAATCCACGTCCAGTTCTTCCTCAACTACGTCAAGCTTTGCGAAATCATGGGGCTGGTACTTTCCCAACAATACTCGGTCGCCTCAAAGATGCGGCGCAATAATGTGCTAGACCTTACTCACAGCGACATGGCGCTTGCCGATTGGCTTCAAAACTGCCCCCCAGAGGTACGGTGGGAGCCGCAGAGACACCACTTCTGGTCTGCGCTGCTTCACTCCAACTACTAGTAAGTGATTCGGCACAACACGCTGGCCTATGATATACTAATCGCGAATCGCAGCACAACACTCTGCCTATTGCACCGGGCACACATGCCTCCGGCAGGATCCCCTGATTCCAAGCCACTTAACGGCTACCCTGAGGAGACAGCCTACCCGTCACGAACAATTGCCTACCAAGCTGCAGGGATGATAACCTCAATTATGGAAGCTTTACAAACTCATGATCAGCTTCGGTACACCCCCGCATTTATGTAAGTTTACCCTATGCGGGATGATCGGCATGTCAAAAAGCGGAGACTAACAAGCCCTGCAGTGTCTACAGCCTCTTCTCCGCACTGATCATGCACGTCTACCAAATGCGGTCTTCCAACCAGTCCATTGTATTGGCGACCCAGAAGCGGCTGACGGCGTGCATGAATGCATTGAAGGATGTATCGAAGGTTTGGCTCGTCGCAAAGATGGTGCATACTCTGTTTGAATCCATCCTTGGCAACAAAGTCCTCGAAGAGCGACTCCAGAAAGCAGCAGGCCGTCGTCACCAAAAGGGCAAGCACAGCTTCGTTAATGGCAAGAACAAGGACGCAGCCACCACCTCTGGCAACGCGGAACCCAGCGATGCGCACAAGCGGAAATTTGACGACATGGAAATGGGCTATTCTAACGGGCCACCGGCGCCGCAGATGTCTTATGAACGGTCCCGTCCACAGTCCCCTGCCATGACCCCTTCCCGTGATTTGCCTGGCCAGAATGGACAATCTCAGCAGCTTCCACAGATTTCTGCCACCAGCCCGCCTGTGAGGCAGACAACCGATGCTTTCATGGGCGTATCGCGTGCAGATACACGACCGACCACGCCGTTTAACCACTTGGCCTATCCTGGCACACCACCCGATTTCTTCTTGCACACACGAGGCTCGCCCAAGATCTCAGAAGACCTATGGCAGAATTATCAGCCAGAGCAGCTCTTCCCACCTGAACACAATGCCCTCTTCCCAGTCCAGACCAACAGCCCTCTCGATCCTGTTCTACGCGGACCTTCATCACATCCTCAGCAAGCATTCCAGCCACCCTCAGTTCATACGCCTGGTAGTAACATATCACACAACCAGCAGCAAATCCAGCCCATGAACTATCAGCAGGATCCGGCAGCTTGGGCACAGTTGAATACGATGCAGCCACAGCAAAAACCAGAAGATTCATGGAGCAATCCGAGTAGCGCTGGAGGACCCATGGTACCGACTACGCTCAATGTTGGAGACTGGTTTGAATTCTTCGGGATTCCGAATGGCGGAGACATGAATGGGCTCAACGGGGCTGCGAACTTCACCAACAGCAATTGAGAGGTGTCACACGCTACATACCCTTGCACATCTCCTCCGGGGAGCTCCCGGTCCAGCGACGACTTTTACGATATTTTATTCAGCAACATCTGCTAAGCCGGAGGTTCGAGCCTCTGCGTAGTGACCTGTTCGTTTGACGACATCACGAATTCGCTAAAATGTACCTGGACAGCAGTGATTCATTCAAGCTGTCATGGCCAAAAAGTTGTTGGCGTATACTCATCACCTTTGATACCTTGAAATTACGAACGAGAAAAGGATTTTAACCTTTGTTTCCGCCAATGCGCCCCATTGCCATGTAACTTGCTCCACTCTTGTCAATTACGGGCCTTTAATGATTCCGTGCTTCCGAGAGGTGATAGAGTGATGGACAATAGGAATGATAATAATACATTATGCATGTCCATGTGCCGCCAATATCCAGTCCGTCTCTTCTGAGCAAGTGCACGGTCGAAGTCCAGGCACCAGTGGCGTCATTTAGTGGCGCAAAGTCTGTCTGGTGGGTCTTGCGCCTCTGTCAAGCGTACGCGGTCGAAATGGCTGTTAAAGACTTGCCCCAGGTGCACTGTCCAATGATTCCAGTCTGCACTAGAGGGGGCGCGTGGTGGACGTGCTTTGCGACTGCGCGTACAGTCGACAGCGCTGGTCATGCTTGTGGGGTGGGCGACGGACAATCGGGAAGGAGCATGCTACTCATCCAAGACTCGGGTGGACTGCAGGATCCCGGACCGAGAGCACCCAGCACACACCTAGCACTTATTATATCCGTGCTGGAGTCTGGCGGCAAGGTCGTGTTGGCAGATGCAGGTGCATGGCAGTCATGATTCATGCTCCGGACAGTCGCCTCCAGCTATTTTGGTTCTCCTAGCTGCCTGCCTAGGTAGGTGTATACATACAACAGACGAATGCGAGGTAACATCAGATTATCATTCTCGAGCGGGCGACACCCAACTACCCCACACCCGGTGCCCTGTCGATCTGCACCTACCTGCAAGGAATCATTAATCGCTGGAGTCGTCGTGCCTGGGTGATCTGGACACTCGCCCCTGCAACTAACAAATGCAAAGCACCGACAGTGCAAACCAAAGTCCTCGTTTCGAGCACGCTCCGGTCGTCAAAGCAGTACCATTGTGCAAGCTAGCAAGGACTCCATAGTGTTCTATTGTTGATAGACTCACAAGCTGGAGGTTGCTACAGTATTACCTTTCCTGCCTTTCCCCGTGACCTTTCCAATGTGGAGACACACACACACACACACAAGAGAGCCAAAAGAGAGACGTGATCATGCCATCCTTGACAGCACACCTTCTCCAGGAGGTGGAGGAGCCTCTCCTCACGGCCGCCACCACCAATCCTTTCCTCGCCGCAGCCGCAACGGCCACTTTGCCACTCACCCAGCTACGCGACTGGTTAGCCCAAGATCGGCTCTACGCCCTGTCATACGTAAACTTCATAGGCGACCTGCTCGCACGGCTGCGTCTGCCCAGCTCTGTCGACCGCGTGGCCTCGCTGCAATGGCGTATCGCCGATCAGCTCATCGATTGCCTCACGAATATCCGGAGGGAGCTCGCCCTGTTCGAGGACACCGCCGCTGCAGAAGGTTGGCTCGAGGACATCTGTGACCCGCGCCCTGCACAAGCAACGCGTTGCTATCAAGATCTGTTCGCCGGTGCGACGAGCATGGGTCGCCCCGTGCTCGTAGGGCTGGTTATCCTGTGGGCCTCAGAGGAGTGTTATCTACGCGCCTGGCGATTCGCCTCCAGTCACATCGATTCTAGCATCGCTGAAGCTGATCGCGATGTGATGCAGAGAGTATTCATTCCGAACTGGAGCTCCGAGGAGTTTGCGAAATTCGTAGGGAACATTCGTGCTCTTGTCGATGAACTGAGTAAGATTTAGCTGCGCCGAGGTCATCTTCGCGCGTTCTTCCTCCATCGCTATGCCGTTCGACCTTTTAGCAGTCGTAGTGTGTCTACTAATGTGATTCTTTTTTCTCCAGGTGATGATGCTCAAATCGGGCACGACGACTGGCTCTTCAAGGAGTGTGAGATAGCATATCGGCAAGTTCTCTTTGTAGAAGACGAGTTCTGGCCGGCCCTCGCGTAATACGGGACACGCACATCGAGCCCAGCAGCTTCCTCACGGCGCGCGCGGCAGTGACAACATGTCGTCAACATTGATGCTCTATACGTTAATGATACAGTGGTCACGTTGGCTTAACACTTAAAAATTGGTAGCACGCAGTCAACCAATGATCGCCTGGTTTTCTTGAATGGTCAGGGCAAGGAAAAATGGTGATGATGTAGAGAGGTTTATTTCTGATGTGCTCCCTCCGCTCTTGCAACTCCAGGCTCATGCGAGTCGCCGTTTCTAGACGCCCAACCTTTTTGTACAAATGATACAGCCGAGGACCTCAAGTCCACACATGTCTTGTGCCAGTCTTTCGCCGCCCAAGAAGACGCCGGCACAACTTCCTCGAACGTGCGCATCAAACGCTCTTCACTTTGCCGCCTCAAGCGCGAAATACACCTCGGTCGAATAGTGTCCGCGTGGTCGAGCTGACCAAAATCGTATTCTTCTCCCGCAAACACTGGTACAATGTGTAGAGTCATTGGCCTTGCAAGCTCTACCACCTCTTTCTCGGTGGAGTTCATGATGGGAACGAAGTATTTCCCGCATGACTTCTTCCATCACCAACCACTCTTAGTCATGCTCTGAACCATCTGCACAACTTTGGTAAACCTGGCTTTGAAGCCACGGATCTTGCCTTCATATCGTATCCGTTTTCGCTTCAGACCTGGCCGCTCGTGAAATCGTTGTTTGAGAAAATCCGTTCTGACTTTGTTCCTCTTACAAGCGGTGTCGAGATTGCGGAAAGCTCTGGCCACGTCAAGCCCCCGACCGGCATCCACATGGAATGAGCGGCCGACATTCGGGCCCAGCTTGAGCAGGGGCTTCACGACTGGTTCTGAAGGCTGCTGCAAGTAATCCGAAGCCTTGGTATTTTCCAAACCCAATGCATCGAACCTGCTAGAAGGTCGACCAGGGTCCGTAGGTATGCTTCGCCGAGGGGCAAAGCTGCCATAAGTGCTCGTGTGGTCTGGGCGTGTTGGCTCAATTGAATCGAGTAACGAGGCGAGTCTGAAACCTGGCGCAACCCGACCTTGTGATGATGGACTCGCATTGTCGACACTTTGTGACGCGGTCTCCTGATGTCGCAGGCTGGTGGAGCGGAAATTTCGCACATGCGTATTGGGACATCGCAAAGCTGAGCGCGATGCCCGCAATGACGACCTGGCCGCCTTGCAAATATCCATGATTAGTGCTGGAGTCGAAGCAGGCTGCTAAGACGACAAATGAAGTCGTTCGTGTTCGTGACAATCGGAGAAGTGTGCGGACCTGCCGAAAGCGGACTCCCGCGATTTCGAGCGGGTGGTGCCGAGCACAAAGCCTTCCTACGTGCACGTGCCTGAAGCTAGGGTGCGAGTCTGGAGAGAGAGCCCGACATGTCGTTGACTTTTCTTCCACAACAACAAATCAACCCGCTCGACCTACTTATGAAACCCTGAACATCCAATAAAGCAAGCGATAACATACCCCTCTTCCCTCCAGTCGCATGACAATTTTGTGACGAGACACCATCTGGATCGCCGCTGGAGCAAGCATGGCTTATAATTATGGCGCACCTCCCGGCATGCCTGGCGGCGCGCAACAGACACCTTATGGCGGTGCTCCGCCTTCAATGAATCCAGCAATGGCTTTCCCACCGACATTCGGTGCTCCTCCCGGGATGGAAGCCGCACCAGGCCTGTCACAAATACCACAATCGGCTGCGCCGATGCGCGCCCAGTTCCAACCACCGAATATCCCGAACATAAATTTCAATGCACCCGTGATACGCTTGGGCTTAGATGCGCAGCCGGATCGATCGGCTGGAGGAGATCGTGGCGGTAGAGATGGGAGAGGTCCTCACAACCAAGAATCAGGCAATCGTGGTCGACTCGGACTGGGCGCAGATTCGGGCTCAAACAGGAACATGGACCGGGAACGACAGCAGCTGCGTGAGAACATGATGGCGCTACAGCCGTTGATGCGGGAGGAAGTCGCGCGCACCATCTTCATCGGCGGCCTGGTACCCGGGGTTCCTGATGATGATCGACTGGAGACGGTCTTACGTTGTGCGGGCAAATTACGACGATGGACGCGAGGGTACGACGCAGAAGACAAGAAGTGCAAATTCGGATTCGCAGAGTATGAGGATGTGGAGAGCTTGGAGGCGGCGAGTGAGATCCTCCCGGGCGTCAAAGTCCCGCTTTACAACGCGAGCGGAAAAGTGCAGAAGGAGGACGGTGAGACTGATACGGTCAAATCTGTACAGCTCCTGGTGGTGGTCGACGACCAAAGCAAGAAGTACATTGAAGATTGGACAAGTCGCAGGAAGGAGGAGGACAGTGCCCGACAATTCCGGATTGACGGGTGCAAAGAAGATCTTCGGCAAACACTTGCCGCGCTGGCTAGCAACGATTCTGCCGACGCAAGCACAGCCAATGGTTTTCGGAACGGCACAGATGGCACTGGTGACACAACAATGGGCAATGCAAACGGTGAAGCCAATGGGACAGGCTCCGAAATTGTGACGATCCCTGTCGAACTCGAAGACGAACTCGCGGATATCCCTGCAGAAATGCGGGCAACAGTTGCAGAGGAAATCAAGGCCTTCCGCGATCGATCCAATCGCCGCGATTTGGAGCGGCTGCGCAAGGAAGAGGAGCTAGAACAGGAAGAGCGACGGAGGTCTGGGATGCAATCTCGTGCTGCGGCTCCTCTCGGGCCGCGGGGAAGTGCAGCACAGGGCGTACAAGGTGCTCCATCCGGGCCAAAGGGTTTCCGAGGTGCACAGATTCCGAGCGATTACACCAACGGGGTCACGTTTGTGTCAGGGGCGGGCCCCAACGGTACCGCGGTCGCCATCACCGTAGATCGTGAAGACGAGACGGCAGACGAGTCGGATGAGGAACTGGAGAGGCGCCGGCAAGAAAAGAGAGAGGCAGAGCTCGAAGAGCAGTACGCCGATGCCGTGCGCAGGTGGCAGAATCGCGAGCGTACGCGTGCTGCAGCTCAAGAACGCGAAAGAACTCGCGAAGAGATTGAGCTGAAGAAGCAGGCAGCAGAACGCGACCGCATACTCTCTCATCTAGAACGATGGGACGACGACAAGGAAGCCCGCGACATGAGAGAAGAATACTACGCAAATCGGTCGGGATGGGTCCGTCGACGTGCGGCGGCCCGTGAAGCCGAAGCTCGGAGTGATGACCGAGACCGTCAAGCCGAGCAACGCGAGAAAGCCGAGGAGCGAAAGCAAGAGGCAGAGGCGCGTGGCTTGGCGGATAATTTCCTCGATCAGATGGGTATCAGTATGCCAACCTCCAAGACCGACGGGCAGGCCAACGCGACGGCAGGCACAGGCTTCGGAGGCTTCAAGATCAATCTCGGGACATCATCTAAGAATCAAGCCACCAAGGCCACATCCGCACAACCCGCGACGGAGATCGAAGGTCTGCTTGAAGACGAAGAGGATGCAGTCGAAGCCGGCATTCGTCGACCCGAGCTCAAACCTTTGACCGACACGTCGACCGTGCCACTGAACGGCGAAGGGCTCACCGATCAGGAGAAGCGCGAGGCTCAACGGGACCTTGCTGCGGAGATGCCGACCAACGCAGACGCCATCTTTGCGTATCCGATCCGATGGGCATCCGTCACACCGACAATCATCAATGACCATTTGCGGCCTTTCATCGAGAGAAAGGTGGTCTATTACCTGGGCGTGCAGGAGGAGCTCTTGGTCGATACGCTTCTCGGGGGTATCAAGGAGAGACGGAACCCGAGAGAATTGGTCAAGGAGTTGGAGCCTGCGCTCGAGGATGATGCCGAGAGTCTAGTGACCATCGTGTGGAAGCTGGTGGCTCTGTCCGCGGAGGTGGAAGGCCGTGGGCTAGCAGTCCCGCGAAGCTAGGTGTCGTACCTTGTGATTGACGGATCACGAGGTTGTATAATGTCCAAATGCCATGATGATCTTCAACTGAGATCTGCCAACAAGCGTGACCAGCAATACGTCTCACGAAGCGATGACCTGTCACATAGTTCTCCCGCCCGTTCGCCACGAATTGCCATATAAGAGCCACCTCGAACATTGGGTCTTGCGTGGATGAAAGTGCCTCATGTTGGACGGGCACACATAAAGTGAGTGTGAAATGATGATTAATATCAACCCCAACCTCTCAAGGGTAACCCTAACGCTCGATCGCGTTCAGACTGAATTCGGTCGAATTGGAATTTGACTACATGACGTCTGAGAGAAGGATGATTCTCCTTTAGAGCGGACTTCTGTCCGTGTCTGAGGCGATGGAAAGCTGCCGATTCGTACGTATCTCATCATCGGTCGGGAACTCCATTCTCCATTTTCGCGTTGTGGGGGAGATGCAGGAACAGGACAAGCGCATGGAGGAGGAACTGACCGTGACGTCACCCGCCGGGAGAAGTCGAACCTTCTCAATCAACACCTGCACTAGAACTCTGTGCAGCTCTGTGATTTTTTTCTTGACCGACAGAATGCCACGGGTTCCATGAGTGTTGGTGGTACTCAATTGCGATCTCGCGGTTGTTGTTGTTGGAGATTATCCTTTCCCATCACGAATCCGACTCTCTGTCCGAAATGCGTTCACGTGGAGGGTATTATGTACCGAGTATAAAATAGATGCACAGTTCAGATCCGGCAGTGATGCGCATTGGAGGAGACGATAGCAACTAGACTTCGGACAAGCGGTGCGCCTGCGACACCCGAGATGACGAGACCGTGTCGCACAGACCTCATCGTCGCAATGACGTTCTGGGCTTTGCGGAATGAATTTACTGCATGTCCCAAACTTGGCATTTGGTGACAAGGCTGTTGGCATTCCCGGTAGTTCCGTTTCCATCGCGAAACTCAATCGCAGCTCCGTGTGGAGAGAACCCTCCGAAGCGAGGGGAAGACTGGCATGTCCGCGAGAATACGTCAGCCGCGCCGGGGGTTGTCCCTTCTTTCCTGCCATGCCGACGTGACCAGCTTCGTTCGCGGTTGATGCGTCGGAAATCGCTTATCATGATCGTGAAGAATACGATGACATTTGGGAAAGTTGGACATGGCAAGAACATCGTCGCATTACGCACGCGAAAATCGACATCGTCCTCCTTGCATCGCCTGGCGCATGGTCGTAGGTCACTGCAAATTTACAACATGAATGACCCTGAGATTTTCGAAGTGGGAGATTTCGAGTGTGAAGATATTGATTCAGTAGGTAAAACGTTTCCGTTCATCAGGGACAGCAAACACTTTGCCATTCACCTCGGATGGTGCTCCAAAGTAATCGAAGTGTCTCAAAACAATAAAGGGTAAAATATACCAGCATTCAACCAGATCCGCTCTCAAACGAGCTGCCCATTCATTTTCCCATTGCTCCTGCAAACGCCATTCTTTCATCAAATTCATGACAACATTATCCTCTCATGCGTACAATAATATAAGGACACATAACTCCGTAGTGTAAGCAAAAGGAAATCAAGAAGATCTAGAACCTTCGGAGAGTCTCTATAGGCCCATGTCGGCCTTGACCTTCTTGACGATGGTCTCGACCTTGGGGAAGAGCTTATGTGAGTTCTCCAGGCCGCAGACCTCCTTGACAATCTCTTCTGATGACTTGGAGCGCATGATCTTGCCGAGCTCGAACGATTCCTCGTCACCCTCGACGTCCTGGAAGCGGAAGGCCTGCTCGATGCTACCTAGAAGGCAGTCGGCCTTGTCGCCTTCCTCGGCGAGGTAAGCGGCGGGACCGATGAAGCGCTCGTTGCGGCTCAGCTTGCGAAGCGGGCAACGGCCGACACGCTCGACGTTGTCCTTGAGAACAGGGTTGCTGATACGTTTGATGATGGTCTCGACATATTCGTCCTGCTCTTGTTTTGAGATGTGGCTGAACTTCTTGACGATGAGGTGGGCCGTCTCGGCGAGGACACCCTTGACGATGGCGTGGAGTTTCGGGTCTTCGAGAACGTCGTGGATGTAGGTCTTGCCAGCTTGGTGGCCGTAGTAAGCGGCAGTGGCGTGACCGGTGTTGACAGTGAAGAGCTTGCGCTCGATGTACGGTTGAAGCTCCTCGACGAAGTGGATGCCTTCGATCGGGGGTGGGGAACCCTTGAATGGAAGGACCTCGACACACCACTCGAAGAATTTCTCAATCTTGACGTCGAGACCCTTGTTGTCACCCTGGTTTGGCACAATGCGGTCAATAGCCGAGTTGGCGAACTGGGCGAGGTTGTCGATCTTGCTCTTCTTGTCGTCAGCGAGGTGGGTGAAAATGAAGTCGCGGAGAGTGTCGGTAGCGCCAATGGCGTTCTCGCAAGCGATGACAGCGAGTGGCTTGAGGTTGGCGTGGCGGGCAGCGATACCCTTGGCGATGGGCTCGGCGATGAACTTCATGACGCGAGGACCGACGGAGCAGGTGACGATGTCGGCAGTGGCGATCTCATCGACGACCGCCTGGGGGTCTTGCTTCGAGTTGATGCACCGGTAGTTGTCGATGATGTGCTTCACTTCGCCATCGGGGCCAATCTCAGTGACAGTGTAGTCGGTGGTGTGTTGAAGGGCATAGGTAAGGTCCTCGACGACGTCAATGAAAACGACCTCGTAACCAGAGTCGTGAAGGAATTCGGCGACGAAGCCACGGCCGATGTTGCCGCCTCCAAAGTGAACGCCCTTCATGGTTGATTTGGATTTGCGTCGAAGAGGGGTAGTGGGTTGAGGTGAGGAGTGACGAAAGAGGGAGGAGAAGAAAGCCCGAATGTCTAGTTGGGAAACAGAAATGTCCATTCGAGAGGGGTGTCAGTCATTTATGTATTCAGCGCCGACGATGATGCTAGGCGAGAAACGTAGCAGATACGTCGGCGAAACGCGACTGCCATGCCATGCCATGGGCAAGGGCTAGCGCGGGCATGAATCGGGTTCTTACCTGACTTAGTGAGTGAATGATGATGCTGCAGGATGTCGTCGTTGCCTTCGCAGTGTGGCCGGGCAGGAGCGAGCTTAGCCTAAGCTAGCGCGTCAGGTGTGACCTATTGGATTGGTTTGGGGAAGCGCGCTGATCGGGACCACTTAGTACATGCCCGCATACGTACTGCACCTTTTGACAATGGGAATACGTACGTGGATGATGCCACACGATGTAGCAATGATCTGAATAATGATGGACAGATGATGGGATACTGCCTCGCACTTCGTATATTTGGATCGGGTCAAATATGTCGCCGATGGGGAGAATTTTGGCTGCGCAAGTTCTGAGAGAGCAGCTCTGCAACAAGGTAGTGGTACCTGGTGGAGATCTGTCTGCCTCTCTGCCCGTTGGTGAGTTGTGCCTGGGTGGAACCTGCTCGAAAAGGGTGTATTTCGCTAGATTCACGTGCAGGCGGATAAGCGATGTCTGTGACAGTCATGCGGAGGTCAGTCAACCATCATTCTCATCCATGGGACAGTACAGAAGGTACCACAACGCAAGCATTGGTCATGGTTGGAATGGTGGGAATGGTGGTGGAGGCAGTGAGTGATGATGAGCGCATCGCAGTCGTTTGGCCCAGCATCGGGTGGAGAGGAGTGGCTTTTTCGCTGTTGTACGCACATGCCCGACTGGCAAAGCCCGTCCGCCCGTGTACTGTATGTAACCTTTCCTCGAGGCTGCTAGCATATTCTGAGAAGTGGGCAGGGCAGGGCAGGGCAGAGAACAGGGCAGAGGGGCAGAGGGGTGAACGGGCGGACAATGATGATGCGGTCATTACACTAAGCCGCTCCCGTCCGAGAGCGATCTCACTTTATCTTCGATGCTTGCCTGGGCCAGACAGGACAAGGTACAAGGCGCGTATCTTTCCCACTGGAACTGGACTCCGTGACTAGTTATCGCAGATGGTCACTTACCGAATCGGAGATGCGCTGCAATGATGTCTGTCGTCTGGAGAGCTTGTGACTCGGTGATGTCTCAACGAAGAGGCGCTGGGAAGTATCTTTTGGCGGCTGATTGGTCTTCTTAAGTCGTCCGAAGCGATACAATGAGGCAGTGCGGGAAAGGGCAGTGCAGGCAATTGCGCAACGCGTCGGCCAGAGTAGTCTTTGTTTCAGGCTTTCAAGATTCCCATTGCACAACGGAAACTTGTTCATTTATATACGTTTCACGGACTTGAATTGTCCACTCCCATCAGAGCCGTCGACATCGGCAGTATTTGCGACGAACCTAGGCCCGACGAGTACGCAGCGCGCATTGGTCCATTCGACGACGACGATGCATGTGAACCTTGGGAAATGGAAGAAGTCGGAATGGCTCTCGAAAGCCAATTGTCGATATGAGGGCCGTGGACCTTCACCCTGCGCGAGCGGGCGCGCCGCTACTTTGACGCCGAGTCCTCCTGCGACTATAAAGGTGTGCTCGGCCGTTTTCCCGGAGCAGGGCGTATGGAGAACAAAGAGGAGCAGTAATGAGAAGGATGCACCTGCAATTGCACCTGCATGCGCCTCGACAAGGCCCAGCGGCCGTAATCCTCGGCCCTAGTACTGACTGAATATGCCATAGTTGAATGTTTCGATCTACAGTTTCCATCTGTCTGTGAACACGTGCTTTCTATCTGGCCTTTTCCTCTGTCGGAGAAGTACTCTCAAAACATCTCTGCCCTGGGCGATGGCTTGCAATTGCACCGCACAATTACATATCGAAGTGCTTCATTCATACATAGACTCATTGGTGCATGACCCAATACTGGTCTCTAGACAGGCCACAATCTGATGAATATGGCCGAGAAATGGTACCGAAGGCAATCACGCGCGCGTGAGTGTGTGTGTAATACCCAGCAGCAATGCCAGAAATCAACTGTCACAAGCCAGATGATCCATGTGTCGCGCAATCGTTACTGACCAGCTAGGTTTCTATCATTTCATTGTTACCATTGATTATGGTGGAGCGCCGCTGATGTCCGCCCCGCGAGAGATTCCCCCACTTGCCGAGGAAACGTCACGATGCACAATTTCGCGCTCTCGCACAGAAATGGTACCTCTTCGAATCTCATTCGCACATGACGCAGATGTCTTCCAGCGACGATGTTGCGAACAGTATCAATTTCAAGTGCATTGTGTTCCATATGTGAAGCACAGTCAGCACATGATAATACCGCGAAGTTGGTCGCCATTCATCCAGAAGATGTTCCCGTCGCTCTTCACAACTCCACTGAGCGCGTAGTATTTTGTCCAATCGTCTCCCGTAACAGCGCCTGCGAAACGCTTCACTAGCTTTCAACGCTGTGGCCTTTGCTTGGTCGCACTTCTGCTCTTAAACCCCATTGGACTTCCCCATGTCACGATGCCTCATTTCAAATGTTCAAGGTTCTGCGCGCCTGCATGCCTCGTTCGGTGCTCAAGCCCTGAATGACCCGAACAAAGTGTGAACATGTACTCTGCACACCTCGGCTTCATGGTATCGTGAGATTGTCTCGTCCACAATCCGTGTCGATCATAGCTGGCCAATGTCGGTCGGGTCTCCAATCTAGGTGCTGTCGAGGCCGGCGGTTAAACCATGTGCGGCAGAAACCGGAGACGAGAGAGCCACTCGGCATGGTCAAATTACCACCACCCGAGACCAAAGCGGATCCCGACCACGAGACCCATGACGACTATAGGCTGACGTGCAAGTTTCTGGGCAGGTACTCTCAATGTATTTCACGCACTCCCAGCGCTGCCCAGGTGGTCACGGCTCCACATGGGGCTTCCTCTACCCGAATGTGTAGATTCTGTTTCCGGTCGTCTCGATTGTCCACAGAGACTCGCCGATGATGTGCACTAAATTATTCGTTGCAGCATCTTTGCACTGCCCAGATGCCCCGAAAGCGAAACCTTTCGATCAATCACATGCCTTTCCTGTTGCACGCCCATTCACAAAGCGCATTCTACCAAACAAAACCTCGCAGAGCCAGTCCTTCTGGTGTCGCTTGAGGCTTCACCGTCTCGGTTCGGTCTGCGATGAAGCCCGAAGAGCAAATGCTCGGCAACTAGTCGGATTCACGACGGCTCGCCCTGAAACCTCGTGTCTATGAAGGTCACCGACGACGGAGATGGCCCACAAGTACTCTCCACCAAGTGGAGACAGCTCAACGTCTTAGCTTATTGTAGGCGTTGACGTCCATGTATGGTGACCCTGTCTCTCACCCGAGGAATGGAAAATGCAGCCTCGTCAGATGGAAGCCTGTCAACAGACAACGTGCGTTTCTGGCTGACGAGCCAAAAATTCTTCACACCTGCACACATGGAATGTATCACAGGAATGAACACGATCACGAGAGATCCTGCCCATCCACGAAAAGGGTCGACTTTGAACCTGTTTATTCCATGAGATGATCGTTTTCTCCAGTCTGGAACACATCATAACACGCTACGAATGGGTCTCATTCTCCGCACTTCATATATACTTGTGTGTAGCGCAACTGACCCAGACCGCGATCTACGAACCACTGGAGGGGAGCATCTAGTTGGCTGTCGAATAGTGCTCAAACATGGGCAGGCAGTGCATAGGAATCTACTGAGGGCAAACAATATGCCCAGCGGTGTCACGTGCGTCAGGCGGCCCTGCAGTGTTGCGAGTGTTGCGTCTCGAGTGCTCGACTTTCGGACCGATTCAAGTTTATCCCAGAGGACGACCATGGCATGTTGTGGCATGATGTGCTGGGCATGTGGAGATCTGAGATCGACCCACAAACACGTGCAGTGCCACCAGATCTCATTAACTCACTACCCGACGATCGCAGTTTGCCGATCATGGCGCCGTTCGTCATGAACCACATTTCGATCAATGATGATTGGATTGCACTATGAATTACTATTAAGACTCGAGCTCAAAACACTTTCAGAGCAGCTCGTTACTTTTCGATATGGGGTTTTCTTTGACAGACATCCCGATTACGTCCATCGATAACGACTGCAGGGCGATGTTCTTTCCGAGGATGCGGATGCATTTCAAACGACGGGTCAGAATGACTGCACGTCACAAAAGGCGACAGAAATGCTCTTTCAAGCGTGGATAGCTTGTTGGACCTGTTTTACTCGTTAGTGAATATCCTGTGTATGGACTATCTGAGGAATCCCATCAAAATGGCTGGGAATTGACTTACGTGCGGGTATACTTGCACCATGCGTCCGTACAGATCTCCGTGCTTCCTCATCAACGTCTCCGGATCCCACGAAGCAGCCACAAAGAAGGTGTCGATTCCGCTAGTTAGTGGCACGATGACACAAGCGCATACTTGCGTGCCGATGAGGAAAGCGTAGAGAAGAATGACGGCTGTGAACCCGCCGTTGGTGTTGTACGCCGGATTGGTATAGGCCAAGTAAAGGTAAGCGAAGAAAGCCGAGCAGACACCAACGAAAGTAGAGCCCAGAGACAAGACAGGGTTGATGAGGCACTCGTTGATCAAAGCATCGATACCACGGTCTTTGATGAGCTTCCAAGTCTGCTTAGCCGAGGCGATGTAGGCATCTCCGTACAACGCCATGTAGCTGAAGGCATAGCGGTTGATGAACTCCGCAGCCCACTGAATCAAGCTGAGGATACAGCCAAGAATGCACAGCGCACAGTCGGCAGCAAAGTTACCACTGCCACCTTCATTCTGGCGGGCGATGGAGCAGAGCAGACGGAGGAAATCAAGAATGGCAATGACAAGACTACCCATGGCGATGGAACCGAAGCTGTAGGTGAGAGCACGCCGAGCAGCGCCACGAGCGGCTCCCTTAGGAGGGTTCTCAGGATTGAAGTACCTGTGTGAAGCATGTCAGCAAGTGATATATCGGGCATTGTACTGTACGGTCAACTTACCAGCTGCCGTAAACGCCAGAGATGGTGACGTGGATGGTGTTCTTCAACCACTCCGAGATCCAGTAGCCGGCGAAAGTTACAAAGACAAAGAGACCAGCAATGGCGCCATAGCCACGGTTCTCGTTCGGTCCGCTCCTCCCACCGGGGTTGCTCGGCTCGAAGCGGGCGTAGACGGCCATGAGCGTTGCCGCAAACCAGGCGCCGTACAGAGCCATGACAATGCCTCCGAGCGCAGACACAATGTACACAGAGCGGTAGCGCTTCGACACATCGACCACGGTCTGGAACATGAGCACACTGAAGGGAATCCTGGGAATCCAGCTGATGAAGCAGATGATGGTGAAAATGGCGATGAGGAGCGCGATCACCGCAGCTGCCCAGGCTCTGGCATAGAAGAGATAGCCAGCCGACGCCAACGCGGCGAGGATGTTGAGAATTCCGGAGATCCAGATCACTTGCTTGGTGAACATGCGCGCGACGGCGAAGTAGATGGCACTGAGGACCACGGCGACCACCAAGGTGTAGCCAAACAGACCGATCGTGTTTCGGGTCAAACCAAAGCGACTGTTGTTGCCGAAGGTGTCGCGCGAGGTCGACGCCTGTCCGCGGCCATAGCCCGTGATGCAGTAGATGCTAACGGCCGTGAAGCCCAGGAATGTGAGTATGAGAAGGATACCGGCCCAGAGGTCATTGAATCGCGGCTTCGCGATCTGGAAGGCCTGTGAGAAGTCCTGCTTCCCGTCGGCGTTCGGCTGAGGAGGCGCTCCATAATTCTGAGGAGGTGCTCCATAGTTCTGAGGCGGCGCGGCATTATTGTTAGGATTGTTGTTGAACTCTGTGTTGTTGCCATTGTAATAGTCGGCATTGTTGCCATAATTCTGGCCGTAGTTTGGCGGCGGCGCAGAGGCATTGTATGGCTGCTGCCCGCCTCCGTAGGCAGGCTGTGGGTATTGATTTGCCTGCATTGTCGCTATTCTAGAGTATGCGACCTCGAGATGTTTTCTGGAATCGCCTGATAGCCAATGCAACCCGGAATGATGGGAGGAGGTGAGGGCGAGCTACAGCGAGCAAAAAGGAATAATCTCGCAAATCGTCGCGCAGGGGCGCGTTTCCGCGTTGAAGGAAACGGTTGGCTCTAGGCCATCGCGAAGCACCTCTTTCGGACTAGTGGTTGCATAGTGACGCTTCATGTCGATCGCACGTGCATGGATTGCCTATGCGCTCCAGGGCTGTTTGACGCGTGTTCAATGTCACTTCTGACATGCGATCCCGCAGGACCTGGGTTTTACACGGCGCCATCCTGGGCATGTCGTCGCTCGCAGCGACGACGAAACCGCGCATCGATGTGTAACATGGACATACGTCAGGCTGTCTTGCATGATGAGTCTGGCCAGGTGGGTATCCAATTTCCGCGGGCGCTACCTCTTTCGTTAGTCAACAATTAAGGTCAGTGTCAAATTATTTATTGGATGCTGTTGCCCAGTCTCTCTGCTCCACTCTGCGTCGTCATCGCCAACTGGTCCAATGTGTTCAAGTCAGGAGCGATGGAGTGCCTCCAAGGTGTGATACGTATCGCAGATCTAGTGTCTTGTCCGCAAAACATAGGCAAGCTTCGCAAATCACAGAACACACAAAGAAGGCGAACCGAGAAGCACATCCCACCAGGGGGCTGGACACATACATTTCTTATTTTCAAAGCGTGCCTAGCTTCAAATATTGGTATCGTCCCTCGCGCTCGGAATACGGTTCAGCAAGCAGCAAAGTGCAGGTGTCTTGTGAGTGCACCTTAGGACATATTTGCCATGTCGTCCAAATTTTGGAGTGATTGCTGTATTTTCTCAAGGCGGAAACCTTACCGTAGCAGGACTTCTGCGATCTACAGAACAGTGCTCCGCCCGGTTCGTCCATACCTGGGAATTCGTATACAACCAAGGACCCGAGGCTTTGATCCAGGGACTCGTGGGATTGTACATACCGATCACCATGTGCCGGCCGGAAGAGTGGACGAGCGGCCCGAACGCGGACAGCCCTGTGATGGTTCTGTGTTTACCGCTCGCGTGCTTCCCGAAAACACGATTACAAACAAATGGTCTTTGGGTTTGGAACGCAAAAATATAACACACCATCTGCAGTTTCCCTAGCCGGACCCCTTCACTTAATATCATCTCGTTTTCTACTGCGACGCAGTATACTACTGTAAGCCTGCCTTTGATATAGGACACTACGGCCACTACAGCCGCCATTCCGAACTGTTCGTCACTGCCCCGCCTCCAATCCCTGCTGCCAGCCTCAGGCACCTCAATCAATTTGGCCCCGCGGCGGTGTCAATAAAGCCGACAAATCGCACCGGTTCATTCGAACGGTTCACGGGATATTGACGAGCCAACTTGCCTACTTCTCGGCAGATACATCTCGTCGTCCACAAAGCCAGCTGTTCGATCGACTGTCACATTGGTGCACGGTCGGCTTTCACAATTGGTGCGGTCAACGCAGTCGATTCGACACATCCAGAATCATTTTTGGTCTCCAGTGCGGTTGGTCACGAAGCACACACACGCACACACACACACAGAAAGAGCCTAGTGTCCATATACCTTCCTTTTCAACCACAGCCATGGATATCGATCCTACCCGTCGAAACAAGAAGCCTCGTCTACTGAGCGAAGCAGAACGGGAGAAGCTGGCGGACTTCGTTGAAGCGATTCACTACTCATCACGGTAAACACCAGACCCATGGCACAGCGCGCGGAATAGATCAAACGTGATCACGTAGACAAATGCTGATCTGGGGCTCTCTAGGTATAATGACGATTTGTTCGAGTACCGACACGTCCAATTGCCCAAACAGATGCTCAAGGCGATTCCCAAGGATTATTTTGACGGAAGCCGGGGCACGTTAAAGCTCTTGTGGGAAGACGAGTGGCGTGGGCTGGGGATTACACAGGTGGGTGTTGATCGGCGCCCTATATTTGAAGAGGAGCATGTTATGGTATCTGCGAAGAGCTGAGGTTGACATTTTGACACGCAGAGTCTCGGATGGGAGCATTACGAAGTCCATGAGCCCGAACCGCACATTCTTCTTTTCAAGCGACCCATGGCCGGCGAGTCGGCTCAGTGATGGCGATATCGACACGAGGACGAACGACCAGTGCCTCGATGTAGCACGCCTCTCATCCTGGCTCACGATCGCAGCTTTTGCACCAGATAAAGCCGACTTTGGTTCTCCTCAACAACCAAGATGTGAACAACCCTCGATATATTCAGTGGTGGTCGCTTCCGGGAAAGAGTCGCAAAGTTGTTTCACACAAGGATGCAGCCAGCAATGGTTGAGTGAGAGAGGGTGAGAGAGAGGGAGAGAGGCGTATAGTTTGAGGGACACATTTGTCATCGACAGGACTTCTAACTTCAAAGTTGTGATACTCGGGAGAAATACTCGGTGGGAAGTTCCGTGCCTTTGGCGTCAACAGCGAGCAAGCCAACACGCTCAACATGCGTCGTGGCCAATCAACGGCGGGTTCACATTTTTTATCGGAGCAGGGCGCAAATGTATTTGGGAACAAAAGCGGCGGGTCTTGATGGATTACCGATGCTATGAGAGAATGACTTGAAGATGTGCATACGACTTGCAGGTAAATGCAGAATGAAGGCTTGCCTTGAAACGAAGCTGTGGCGCCAAAACCAAACTTTCACTTTCAGCTTGCGGCCTGTCCGTGCTGAAGCCTCTGTCAAGTGTGAAGGCTGATGCGTAGATACATCTACCTCAGGATGCAATTAGATTGACGCAGCAGAACACTATTTGCGTCAATTCATGGCTCACAGGCGTACACTCGATAGGGGCCACAGTTCTTCAGCCGCGGCCACATGTCCATATGCGAGACTCACAACATCCATACATCATTCTGGCAAAAGGTAAATATACAGCCATACACGCAATTCCGTGCTTTCTCGTCACGTCGTCAACCAATGATCCATCCGAACCACATCAGGCCAGCAGTAATTTGAAGGTCGCGATCTCAAACGCGCGCAGTTCGATGTCCAACCCGTCCTTGCCAAGCTTCAACTCTTCCAAATCGTCTTCCAGGACGTTGCATTTCCAAGCCTTCGCGACCTTGACGGGTCCGAACCCGATCGTGCCACGACTCGTGCCACCTAAACTATCGTACGTCCGCAAGATGACGTGGCGATCGGCGGATTTCGCATTCGCCCTGGCAGGAAGCCATCCATTGCTGGCGTCGGCATCGTCCTCGGCACGCTTGATGCAATCCACTACTAGACTAGGATTGCTCGTCTCCAGTAGCTTGAAGGCGGCCATGAGGTTTGTTAAGACTCCTGGTGTTGGGTGATGGTGAACGGTCATCGGGTGATTGAAATTGTAGCCCGCGCGCACCGTCGTCGAGGACAGAGCTCCTTCATGCGGCAGAATGGCCCAGCGTATGTTGTGTCGACCCATGTCGGCGTGCGCATCCGGGGCCTTGGGCGCACGAAGTAGAGACAGACGCATCAGGCTACCGCACGTGGCGAACCCATATTTGCTTTCGTTAAGCACACTGACGCCGTATCCATTTTCCGATAGGTCGGCCCACTTGTGGCAGCACACTTCAAATTTGGCCATATCCCAGGAAGTATTGTAGTGGGTGGGTCGACGTACAATGCCATACTGGGTCTCGTACGAGGCCTCGGTGTTCACGATGTTGGTCGGGAACTCAACCTTGAGGAATTTCATCGTCTCGTGCCATTCTACCTCGGCTTGAACTTCGACATACGAGCTATCCTTGCTGAGCGAAATGCTCGATTTGATCCAGGATTTGTCCGAGATTTTGGTAGTTGTTGTCACTGCGGCATGGAACGACGAATCGGATGTGATGGTCGTCTTTGATGAGGCCTGTAGCTCTTTGCGAGACTCAAGATGAAACACCTCAACGTCCCAGGCCTGCCAGTACAGTGGCTTATCGTCAAATATGACGAACTGATTTGACTTCTTTCCCTTTGGCACACTTTCGCGTCCAGCCTTCTTGTCGAATAGCGAAACAATCGCTCCGTCAACCACTTTGACTGTAAGCTTTGCGTTGTCAAGCACAAACACGCCATTTTCTTGCTCTGCAACGCGGACTTGATCACGAGTGACACTGATCTGGCGTGCATCCGCTGGCTGTCCGACGGTGTGATTCGCGAAGCTCACCGATCCTGTGCTATCGATGTAAGTGGGTAGCTCATCCCGTTGCCAGCCCAAGGTATTCAAGGCAATTGGGGTGGTAGTATCATCATCTGTGAATCCGAGCGCGTGCAAGGCATCTTTCAGTACCTTGCCGCCTGTCTCGAAGACCTTGGCGTAGAGCTCGTCCGAATCATCATAGCACATCTCAATGCTGGAACCGGGCAGGCAGTCATGAAATTGGCAAAGCAGCACGCTCTCCCACATGAAATCAATCTCCTTCTTGGGGTACGTGTAACTCGATTTGCCCTCGATGGAGGCCAAAGTCGCGAGATACTCGATGTCGTAAAGGAGCACTTCAGATTTGCGATTGTTCCGCTTGTTGTTGGCCTGCGTGGTATAAGTACCTCGGTGGAGCTCGAAATAAAGCTCACCGTACCAGGTCACAAACTCCGTCTTGCCGGTGGCAGCGCGCTCCTCCAGACGATCGAAGAAGTCCTCGACACTACCACCCATGCTGACGCGCGGCAGTAGCCCAATCTTGTCGCTGATACCGCGGCATCTTCGGAGCTTCTCAATATGACCCCACGTCGGCCCTCCTCCACCATCACCCTTGCCAAACACAAGGAGTGATGTCGCGTCCTGATCCATACTCTTATGCTGTGTCACAGATCTCTTCACATCTCCAAAATGAGCCTCAGCCGTGTATGTTTCGGAAGGAGCCATATGACAAATGACCTGACTGCCATCGAGCGACACCCAATTGAATGTGGTATGGGGGAAATTGTTGATGTTGTTCCAGCTCAACTTTTGGGTGAAGAAGCGGTTCATGCCTGCCAACCTGCAGATTTGTGGAAGCTGTGAAGAATAGCCAAAGGTGTCTGGCAGCCAGAATGTCCGACATCTCTCGCCGAAGCGAGATTCGAAGTAGCGCTGACCATAGAGAAATTGCCTGACAAGAGATTCGCCAGATGGCATATTGGTGTCATGTTCTACCCAACTTCCTCCAATAGGCTGGAATCTGCCATCCTTGACATGTGACTTGACGCGATCAAAGGCATAGGGATAAAGCTCTTCGAGCCATTTGTACTGTTGAGCCTGTGAAGCGCAGAATCGATGCTCTGGATATCTGTCCAGCAGATTGCACTGGGTGGACCAGCTCCGAGCGACCTTGCGTCTAGTCTCCGCCCACGGCCATAACCAGCAGGTATCGATGTGACAATGACCAATACCGTTGACCAGTGCCGGCTTGTCGTTATCGTATACCTTCGCACTATCGACGTCACTTCCCAGGTAGCCTTTGGCAATTTTTCTGCACTCTTTGATGCTTGCGTTTGAGCCATCCCCAGCAATGAAGCAATCCATGATTTCGTTACAGATTTGTAATGCCCTGTGTTGCTCCCAGCCATCGGTTGGGAATTCCCGTGCAGCATCGCCTATAATCCAGAAGTCGTAGCGAAGTGCTCGGGCGTCCTCGTTCACGCTGACGAGATCGGCCTCCGACAACTGAAAGTATTTGTCCGGCGATGGTGGCTGGATTGAGTCGCCACCTGGAGCATTTCCGAACATGCCATTGCATGCCATCTCGATATATATGGTCTGCGTCTCACCATATTTTCGGAATTCCTTTGGGATGATCCACTCTACCCGTTCCCCACCACCAGTTAAACCTTGCAATGGCTTGCCATCAGAGGTCCACACCATTCCTTCGTTGTTGGCATCCCAGTGCAGCTCTATCAGTGGCTTCGACGACCAGCTTGAGGGAATTGTGAACAAGACTTTGAACCAGTGCGTACTCCAACTTGGTCCGAACGAAGCGCCTTTGGAAGTTGCTCGATACTTATTTCCTTGCTTGGTGGCTTCTTGAAAGGTTGGTCGAGTTAGCTCTGGTGCACTCCAGACGGAAATCTTCACATGCGGCTCGCCAGAGACCCGCTCGTCGTCGAGTTTGGCCAAAAGGCCTTGTTCTTTATATTGACCATTGTCAACGAACTGTCCGAGGCGGTTGCGATAGATATCGGAAATCTGTTTCCCTTTCGGTCGAGTTGCCAACTGTGGATAGTCAGTCCCAGCTCTTTGCGAGTTTGGCTTGTTATCTCCGCCCATCGTCGTAGGTCAGATGTGGAACGTCGGAAGAGATAAAGATGACCACTGCCTCTCGAGCAATACAAGCTAATGCGAGGAAGAAAACAGTGATGAAAAGGATATGATCAAGAAGATCACGAGGCAGCTCAGTACGATCGATGAATGTCTTTTGAGAGATTGAATACAGATTTATGTGATGACAAGGAATGGTGATGCTCAAGGGCCTGCAGAATGGTCGAGCCAGCAATCGTCAGCTGATCCATGATCCACGGACACCAGGACCGAAGCTGTATACAGCACGACATTGGCGTCGTTTGGGAACGGACCCAGGCGAAGCTTTCCCCACATTGTACCTGCAATACACACGCGGGCGTGGTGTCTCTATCAGCCGCGTTGGCCGAGGACTGTATGTAAAGCTCAGAGCTGCACTTATGTGGTTACGGACATGAACACCTTCCGTTCTGATAGCTAGCTTTACCGAACGGAGGTGATCTGCTAGGAATCTGTGGGTGCCCAGGTGAACACACCTCACTGTACGATTTCGCCGCAGCCAGAATGAACCTGTGAGCCCATCAATCACGCTGTGCACTTCGTGTGTGTCAGTGAGGGTTTCTGCGGGTGGGGGCGTTGCTGCCTCGTTCTGTCTGGATGCCATGTACAAACGGGTTTGGTCACGGGATGCCGTGTCTCCTTCGTGTCTTCCAAAGCAACTGTGCGTACGTCATGGCGTCCGAATACTATACCCTAAGCCAGACCGGCGATCGTATGATGGAGGAATGACTTGTTCCTCGATATCGATGAATCCATCATGGCTTGCTTGTCGTCTTGACGATGTTGCAGCCTAGTAGCACGTCTAAGCATAATTCTATGTGCGGTACAAAAATCCCGCATCCAAAGACTACGAACTTCTCCTACGAAGAGCAAGGTGAATTCAGCACGCCACCTGCCAAGCGTGTGAAACGTGATGCCGCCGGCGATGGCTCGACCAAATCGTCTCCCAGCAAGACTAGAACTCCACGGAAGGTGGTTGCCGACTCTGACGACGAGGGCTCCGTTGATGTCGTCAAGACGGAATCTGTGCCTACACGGACAAACCTCGAGACGGCCCTTCCACCAATCCAGACTGATGCTGAAGCGATAGAAGCATACGAGCTATCACGAGCCGCGGAGGTAGCAGAGACAGACCCTCAGACCCGACTGGATGAGCGTAGGTGGGTTCGAGGCAAAAGCTCGATATATGTGGACGCCTTCAATCTGGCTCTCGATACTGTCTTGGAGGAAGAGAGCCATCTCTTCGATACTGCAGAGCACAGAGTGTTCACAGAATGGCGCGAGCTGTCGTACGAAGCCCAATATCTATACGTTCGACTTTTCCTGCGGAAAACTGCGAGTTGGCATCGTATCAGTCGCCTTGGTTATCACAGCGACGTTGCCGACCTCAGCAAGGCAATAGATGATTTGCAGAGGGAGGTCTCATTGCCAAATTGTTCATCTACGACACAGTCGAATCCGGGTGAGCTGGAGCCTCCCGAAGACACATCTTTGGGCGAGAGTTTCGCATTCGCAGACAGATCCCAGGATAGGATTCAGACTTTAGAGGAAGCGTCGTCCCTGCTGCTCCTGGACGAGCTCAAGAATTTGGCCAAAGATGTCAAGGTGCAAGGGAAAAACAAGAGAGAACTTCTCTCTGCATTCAGAAGAACGAGCGTGAAACAAGCTGGTCTCGGCTTTTCGTCCTTGAAGCGCTCAGAGACCGAAGAGTCAAATTTGTCAATTGACACGGATCAAGAGAGTGAATACAGTCGCGAAGCCACTCCAAGTAGGCTGGAGAATCGTGATTCTCACTTCATCGGCAAAATATTGGCAGAGACAGGCCCATGTATACGTCTCGCGATGCCAGCCTTGAAACTCTTTGAACGGGTTCACCTCGTGTTTTATCGATCTACGGAATGGACCGAAAAGTCTCTCACGACGATCATCCTGGCGCGTATCGCGCGGTGGAACTTTCCTGAGTACATAGTCTCACGATCTGCGAACATTTTCGCCTCTCGCTCGTACTTACTAGAGTTCGAAGCAGCGATTCGGACCCAGTATAGGGTAGACAATGTTCTTGAATTTAATGGAACCCCAACGAAAGACACACTCAGTACTGTCTTGGAGATTTACGACGATGTCTATCCCCGCTGGAAATTACTTTTGGCAGAGGAGCAGACCAAGGAGGACAGCCTCTACAGCACCGGGGAGGGCGCCTACTTGCGCCGCCTTTCCCCAGCTTGGGTTTACACAAGGATCGTTCACAAAGCAGCTTTTGTGATGGGCAAATTCAAAGATCATAAGCGCGAACATGCCCTGCTCTGTGAGCTTCTTGAGCAGCGCCTCTTCCATACTTCACGACGCGGAGACTGGTATCAGCGAAAGGCTCTGCTTGAGGAGCACTACATGTACCTTCATTCAGCATCTCCAGCAAGTTGTTCGAACGAAGATGCTCAAAAGAAGCATTGGAAGAGAGTAGCGCTCCAAACGTGCGAGGACGGCCTGCAGGATCAGCTCACGCATCTCATTTTCCACCGTGACCTTCAGAAGCGGACAATCAAACTCGAGAAATCTCTCAAAGTAGCAAAGAGGCAGCAGCATGATTTCTCCCACGTCAGCCTCGCGAAGCCAGCAGAACGAACATTCGAAGGAATCCGTATCGAGCGGCCACCATCGTTGATAAGGCGCCGCAGTAGTGATCAAAACATCAAATCTGACAGGCGCGGTGCAAAAACTATTTGGCTTGATCCGGCGCTAGTAAAGCCTGAAGAAGAATCCGGCGAAGAATCCAAGACCGAAGTCGAGGGCGAATGTAGCGTCGAAGAGATGTGTCTTTCGTCATATCGTGCACTTGGCTGGAAAGGCTACCACAGCGAAGGACGAATCCTGCGTACGCTGTTCGCCTACCTCTTCTACGACGTCCTCTTTCTCTATATTCCAAACATTTTTCAAACGCCCTTCCAAACTTGTCCACTCGACTTGCACACCGACGCCTTCTATCCCTCGCGCATTTCAGAAGTCAACTTGCGTCTGAACGAAATCAGCAATGGGTCCGCTGGCTCGCTTATTCGCGGGGTCTGGGACGAACATCACGAAAGGCAGACGTGCGTCGTAGGTCTGGACTGGTCGTACGCGCTCGACGATCTCCTCGAGATAGCTGCCTGCTTCCCACCTGCTGCTTTGAGCACGGTCATGAAAGTCATGTCTCAAGAATATGCGCAGCGCGGTGGAGGTGTACCTGATCTTTTTCTTTGGCGGAACAATACCGATGGTATTCCGGGCGAAGTCATGTTCTCTGAAGTCAAAAGCGAGAACGATCGTTTGAGCGATACTCAAAGGATGTGGATTGACGTGCTGTCAGGAGCGGGTGTCAACGTTGAGTTGTGTCATGCTGTAGCAAGCGAAGTAGGAGTACGAGCGGCTTAGATTTTGGCGTCACAACTACAACACCTCGCATCGACGGCCTTGTCCACGGAGATGATCAAATGACCTTTCCTGCAGGTGGATGCCGTCCGTTCGGTGTCGATCGTTCATTCGATTTTTGGGTCACCCGCCCTCTTTTCACCTTAATGGCACATTACGTCGCTCGCTTGACGAGCGCTTCGATAGACTTCTCAAATATGCTGGGCGCCGTAACCTTGATGGCGCAGAGCTCCAGTACATAGAGCACGCATCTGCAGATTTGAACATAAAAGCATTTGATTTGTACGACTTTCTAATTCGAGTGCATCTTGTTTACGCGCTGTACACCCTCGTACAATGCGCGATCTACAGCTGCCGCAACCGTCAGAGTACCACCGACAACAGCACAAACACCCACCAAGAATCCAGTGAAAGTTTTGGCTCGCGATTCGCGATTGATCACTTTCATGGGCGAAATGTCCTACGAACGAGTCAGTGCTTTGTTTCGACGAAGACGACAGGAAGTGCACCAGAAGCAAACTTACGTAAGAGAAGAACACGCCTGGAATGCCGCCGTAGGCGTGGAGACGCTCTTTGTGACCTTCTCGGCCGGCGTCACCTCCCATGAGAGATCGCTTGTGCGATGTAACGGAGTACTGGTGTGTCTCGAGGCTCCCAGACTCGCTCTTGCCGTATCCACCGAGCTCGATCAGCTCATGAGGAATATCGAGAACGGTGTTTGTCCGCTCCCAGCCCAATGGTAGGTACGCAGTGGAGACGACCTTTACGAAGTACATGTAGTTGTACAGATTTTCGTTGGTCTCTTGTTTTGTGTCGTCGAGGGGGTTGAGATGATGGTTCGACCATGCCATTCCCTTCTTGCCCACTCGCTTGACTACTTCATCTGGCAACTCCGGGCCAAAACGCAAATGGTGGATCTTGTGGGTGAAAGTGTGGACGGTATCACCAGAGATTTCCTGGTAATTTTGTAGATCATGCGTGTGCATCATACCATTACTGAAGCTCTTTCCCGGCGCGAAGTGGAAATTTCCTACGACCTTGTTCACGCGAATGCCACCTTCGATTCTGCATCCCTCTTTTCTTTGTATGTCCAGTTGTTCTGCATAATGCTCCCGCTCACACTGCTCCACATTTTCTCCTCTTCCGAACGACCACGAGACGCTTGCATAGGCTTCCCGCACTTCGGCACACGTATTGCAGCATCCCGGCTTCGCGGTATTGGGAGGTGCAGGAGCACCATAACATCCTCCACAGTAGTCCGGGGCGAGGTGTGGAACTGGGTCGTTTGGATGCAGGTTGAGAGGCTTGCTGTCGATCTCACCTCCGCCCTCTGCTTCTGACCTTAGTCGGACTTTGTTAATGCCACTCATAACACCAGCCTGGATCTCTCCACTGACATCCATCACATCCAGCGTCAGCAATTCGCAGGGTATCCTTGGGAAGGTTATGTTCATGTGAATCTCCATCTTCTCGCCACGACCCTTGTCGACGATCAACTCTGGATGTACCACGATCTTGCGATAGTCCACCCATTCGCCCCATACAAGGAATAGTATGACCACGAAAGAAACGAGCGTGACAACTCCGCCGCTGGTGGTGCGGATCCTGGCGTCCTCGACGGTCTTTGTGAAGGCATCAAGCCTGGTAAATCTGGATTTGGGCGCCATCGTGCAATATATGATCCGACGTAATTGGAGATGACGGTGTGAGAAGAGCTCGAGGGTCAAAGACGCGAGATGGAGAGCTGTAATGAATGGCGCACGGCGACAAGCCGAATTGCTCACAGTTGCGTTGGCCGGAGCATGCAATGGTGAGAGTGTCCAGTGATGCTCAGCGTTGGCGAATTCGTTCGATGATGCGGCCTAAGCAAGACAGCATGGAATCAATCAGAGCATAGGATCTGATGCGCGCGTCCCTGCAATACAGTTCTGTTCTGTAGAAGTGGCACGCAATAGGCTTGTTAAAGGTTATTAGAATAGGCCAGCTGTTGGACTTCAGCCCTGACAAAAACCAATGCCCCAGGGCCCTTATTACTGCATGCGCCCAGTATTCCGATCAGATCATAGGCATTATTTTATTATTAGAAGCAGCAGCAGTTCCCTTGAGCCCCCTTGGATCCCGCTGAGGACACGTGATCTTCATCGGCGTGGACACACCTGCCTCAGGCCCTCGCTGGCATTCCAATTGCACCTGGGCAGATTCGCTGCAAGAATCTGGGAAAGAAACAGCTTGCGACGTCATTGCTTCGTGGAAAGTTTTGGAGAAGTCGCCGGGTCGCAGGTATAAGCAATGCATTTCTAAATACCTCGGGCGGCCGATACCCTTCAAAATGAATCATCCTTCGCCTGGACTTCCCCGACAAGTGGCTGGTCTTTCGGAACAGCTCAAGACTACTAACACTCTCATCGCACAGCTTGGCAAACTCACGTTCCAGCCTGGCTCCGAACCTTTGGGGGGCGAAGGTGGTGTCCGCGTCGAACTTACGCAAGACATTCACGAAAGCCTGAAGCAGCTGACCGAGGATTTCGAGATCATCAAACAAGAAGCAGCCGATCTCCACCCTGACGGCCGTTTTCATACTCGGGCAAATCGTAAAGACAACGAGGAGGCGCGCCTGAGTGCCAAAGTCATCCGCATAGGCGAAGACCTCAAGGAAGCACGCCAGAGATTTAGAACTGCTCAGGTCTCTGCAAAGTACGCAAGTGAGCAAGCAAAGCGCAAGGAGCGACAGGCTCTGCTTGAAAGCTATCGCCGGGAGGCTGCTCAGCTCGATCAAGCCACCGAACCTGTTCAGAGTTCCCGCGACCAACTTTTCGCGCAGCGAAGACAGAACCAGACCCAGAAGAACCTTACTCGAGACGAAGTGCTAGTAAACGCTTCTAGCGACGTAACAGCAGCACTTCGGCGCACCCACGATCTTCTGTCATCTGAACTTACGAGATCAAGATTCGCCCAAGAGACATTCGACGAATCGACTGCGGCTCTCGCGCAGCTCGGCGACGATTACAGCAGCCTTGATGATATTCTGAGCACATCACGGAATCTCATCGGAACCCTGCTCAAAAGCCAGAAAAGCGACAGCTGGTATCTTGAGACCGCCTTCTACATTCTCATAGCCACTCTCTGCTGGCTAGTCTTCCGCCGCTTACTCTACGGGCCGTTCATCAAACTACCTCTTTTCTTTTGGAGAGTGTTTACTTTCTTCATAAGCTGGGGCATTTTCAAGCCTCTCTACCTGTTTCTGTCCATCACGGGAGTTGTCACTACTGAGCGCAGATCTGGAGCTTCAGCTGACCTCACATCTTCATCTCGTCCTCCGCTCATCGTACAGCCAAGTGCTCAAGGCGGCATAGGAGCCATCCCATCCGTAGCTTTGCCGAAGGGCGGAATACCAGCAGGCGCAGGCGGTGTAGGCGCCAAGAGAAATCGGGAGCCAATACTCGAAGGAACGATGTCGGAGCAGATTGGCAAGATGACGGAGGATCAGGCTGAGCCTGAAAAAGCACCCAAGGCCCAAGAAGATGGCAAGGAACTCCCCCGTCGAGGCGATGGCACGGTCTTGCAGGAGCGTGGTGACGTCCCGCCGAATCCGAAGAAGAAGGCGTTTGAGGCAGACGCAGAGGACGAAAAGCATGAATCCCGCAAGAGAGATGAATTATGATTTCTATGACCATATCATGTCTGCAAACGTTCGCGAGGCGTAAGGATTGGCTTGAGAAGTTTTCCAATGACATGATATTCATATCATCCTTCCCGCGGAACAACACATATCAATTCTAACATTCTGTCACAAACTTCCCAACTAGCCACACAAATGACTGTCGTGCTGTTGATCACAAACGCTGGCGCAATCCTAGCGGAATATAGCCATTCAGCAGCATGTGATCTCAGGAATGTATGGGAAAATGTGCCTTGGAGCGTACCGACGCTTACAAGATATCAAGACATTCAAATCGTTCCTCACTGAACAGGCTATTTCTCAATGATTCGATTCATGATTGATCTTAATCGGCCTGTGAATATGCAGTTGCAGAGGTAGCTTGAATCTTCCACGATCGGCGCTCACGTGCAAGGCGTCATTTGCTTGCCGGGCGACTTGAATGGAATGTGTCAAAGTGAATCCGTGAAATGCAACAGATTTTCACATGTCACTTGCATGGAATGTTTTGGCATAAATACCTGATTGGCGTCCCCAATCGTTCTCGCCGCATATCGGTCTCCTCCAATCGATCCAGTTAACACGAATTCATTCCTGACTTCCATCCGTAATCACAAACGAAATCATGGCTGGTGACCCGCTCAAGCTCTGTAGCGAGTCTGATCTGCGTCGATTTGCGCTGTGCTTCATTAATTGTGATAGCCCGACGGTCGGTCATAGTCTCACTTCAAGTACTGTCAAATCACTAACGATGTATTGATCAGCAGGTCGACTGGGAGACGGCCTCTAAGCAATTCAATCCTGAAACACAAATAGCCTCCTTCAAAACAGTAACCTCGAAAGCGCTCAACAGGGTCATAGCGGGTCTCACAGGGTCTCCCGAGGCGAATGGCGTCTCATCAGCCGGGGGCAAGAAAATGATACAAGGGAGTAAGCGAAAGGCCGGGTCGCAGGCCGCCGGGTCCACTGTCAAGCGCAAAACTACGACCATGTCCAAGAACACATCAAAAGCAAAAGGCGATGTTGGCGAACGGCTCTCAGATGATGAGGCTCTGGATGGTGCGTGTCGCACTCATCATGATCGTTGGCCAACCACGATTTCACGACGGAAGCTAACTGGCAATAGCAACTGCCAATGATCAAAGTGTCAAGACGGAGGTTCACGACGAGTGAAGGTCTCCGAATCGTTAAAGTTCAGAGATCATGGGTCGCGGGCGAGGGCCAGACTTTGCAAACCAACACTTGATCAAACGGGGTGATATTCGCCGTCTAGCAAGGATTCGTGAGATTACTCGTTACGCCTTGCGTCCCCCAAAAACTTGCGCGTATTATGTCCGAGTAAGTAACTGCACGCTGGGATTTTGAGAGATGGTAATCGGAACTGATCGTCGTTCGTGAGTACGCTTACGAACGCTCAAAGACGGACATGTATTTTGCATCAATAGGGAACAGATGGGAATATTTCAACATGTGATAAACTGGTCATACTCGTATTTGTGCCGTGATTCAATGCGATCATCTTGGGTCATCTTGCTCTTGGGTGCTTTTGTGCTGTAAGCAAGGCAACGTTGCCGAAACTCATTTTCTATGGCGGATAAGGACCAATGTTCAGCTGAATGAGGTTTAATGAGATTGATTTCCAATGAAAATCAAGATCGCTTTCATCAATCGTTCTTGACAGAAGAAAAGGATATATGCGGAAGGATTGTATCTTGTTGTACGACTCCGCCGATCTCGGGATGAACATCTGCGCATGCGCGCTTCCCCGCCTTGATGCTGCAGTCGACAACAGAATCGTGCAGACGAATCGTGGCCGGAATAGCGGAAACTATACCACAGTAGTCGGCACTTGCACAAACATTACCGGCCGCCAAATATGGACGGCCAAGTTCTGCTTCACCTCACAACATTGTGTGGCGGTAAGGCGAACACATCTGAAGCGAACGAGCGGAGTTGTCGCAACACATTCACACATATTGCCTGCGAGCAGCCATGGTTCTATGGAGATCTGAACAACCCGATATACAAAGTACGTTATTCAGTAGAGCAATTGAACGGACGGGGAGAAGCGTGAGCCTGTCGATGGGTCACCTGGGCATATGAGCATTGCGAGCGAATTGGCAGCTAACAGCTTGACCGCCTCATCTTCAGTTCCAACAAACCTCACCACTTGGCAGTGGGCCTTTGAGAGCAATGTGTTTTCACCGCTGAAGTACTCACGTCGGAACAAGCTGGGCTATTACGAGGATGCTGAGACCAAAGAACGTCTTGACTTTGTCGATGTCAAGGAAAAGGCAGCTAGCCTCAGCACTGCGCTCGTGCGGCGGTATGGCCTCCGCCCACGCGATACCATATCATTGTTCTCCTCGAATAACATCTGGTACCCGGTGGCGTTGTGGGCTACAGTCAGAGTAGGTTCGTCAAATCAGCCCTGATCACCTCAACGGAAAGCGCGGTACTCACCATTTTCAGGCGGACGGATCAATGGAGCCTCCCCTGCGTACAATGCCGAAGAGATGGCTTATGCTCTGAAGACCGCCAAATCCAAGTTCTTGTTCACGCTTCCCAAAGCGTTGCCAGTTGCGATGGCAGCGGCCAACATTGCTGGTTTGTCAAAGGATCGTATATTCCTCCTCGAAGGTCAAGTCAAGGGTTTTACTACAATCCAAGAGCTCATCGAGGCGGGTAAGCAATACAGCCCGGTTCCAGCATATGTTATTCCGAGGGGTATGAGTAATGCACAAATTTGTGGATATCTCAACTTCAGCAGCGGGACGACAGGTCATCCCAAGGCGATTCAACTCTCACACCACAATATCATTGCGCAATGCCATCAGCTGCGACAAATACAAGCCGTCGAACCTGGGCAACAGTATCGGATATTGGCTGTGACACCTCTCTTCCATATCACAGGCTTGGTTCGATATGTTCACTACGCGCTTTTCATGAATGGATGCTCCATTATGATGTCAGCTTTCGACTTGGAGAAGATGCTTCGTGCGACAATCTCATATCAGATACCAGAGTTGATTCTTGTGCCGCCCATCATCATTCGTGTAGTACGAGATCCCGTTGTGGCAAAATACAAGGATGGCCTGCGACGCACCATCAAGCGATGGTCATCCGGGTCTGCTCCAATCTCAGCAGAGATCCTCGAGCAGCTTCGAGCATTATTCCCGGAATCAGGCTTCCGCCAGGGATACGGATCCACTGAAAGTACTGCATGTATAACAGCCCATCCACCAACCGCATACGATTTCAAATACGCAACATCTGCAGGAAAGCTATGCGCCAATACGGTAGCAAAGATCGTCGACCTGGAAGACCCAACGAAGGAGCTGGGCCCAAATCAGCTGGGCGAGCTCTGGGCCAAAGGACCGCAGGTCAGTTCAATGGGTTATTTGGACAATCCTCAAGCAACAGCGGAGACGTTCGATGTCGATGGGTTTTTCCATACCGGCGATGTTGGACGTTTTGACAGCGAAGGGTTTCTATACATTGAGGATCGCATCAAGGAGATGATCAAGGTCCGAGGTCAGCAGGTCCCGCCAGCAGAACTGGAAGACGTGCTGCTTGGCCACGATGCGGTGGAAGATTGCGCGGTATTGGGCATACCGGATGACTATTCAGGCGAGAAACCTAAAGCATACGTTGTGTTGAAGCCGGGGCAGGTCGCTAGCGAGGAACTTGGCAGGCAGCTTCTGGGTTGGGTCCAGGCTCGTAAGTCAAGATACAAGTGGCTGCGCGAGGTCGAATTCACGGACAGTGTTCCAAAATCGCCTACTGGAAAATTGCTTCGAAGGATTTTGAAAGCCAACGAAAGGGCGCCTCGAGCACGCGGAATCTGTGTTAGAGATGACGCGAATGTACGCGCAAAATTATGAGAGATGACCGGAGGATGCCGATAGGATAGTTATAGAGTCAATGGGATCTCGTGCAACAATCAAGTTGAAGACATGTGATTTGTGGAACAGCGTGAATGTGCAAACCCATGTACGGGATACTTTCGAAACTCATGGCAGACACAAGACAATTTTCCTGCCAAGGCCTTCTTCAGCTTTCTTGTGCAATACCGTGGCATCTTGCAAGCATCGATTATGATGTTCGCTTCAATTCTTTGAACGGGCGGGAGCATCAATCTCGTGGAGTGAGGAATGTGTTCAGTCGCTCCTCAGTCGATTCGCGATGTCGAATGATAGCCAAGCCGCGGGGGAGGATGACTACCTCTCCATGTCATTCAATGAAGAAACTGCGCACGTCCCAGAGAGCAGTCTGCAGAGAACTGCCCGATTGAAGCGTGAGGCTGCGAGTCGAGCCCATCAGCCACGAAAGCGTGAGCTTGAAGAACGAGCAGCCAAAGCCCAACAAGCCATCCTGGATACTGCTTTAGATAGCTCAAGCATAGGTGCGAAAATGTTGTCGAAGATGGGTTTCAAGGAAGGCGGAACTCTTGGGAAGTCGGCCGATGCACTACGAGAGCCCATCAGGGTCAACTTTCGCCATGGCAAAGGTGGTCTCGGTGTGGAAAGGGAGAAACGATCAGACGACGCCAGAACGCTTAAACGAAACCGAGACGGTCTAATCGATGCCACTGCTGCTACTGCCAATAGAGATCACGTCGAGAAACGCGCAAAGGTCAGCGAAAATGAATATCGGGAGCGAGCGCAATTGTCTGCGGAGGAGCGTCGCGCACACGGCAAATTGACAGGTGCGATGAAGGTTTTGGAGACATTGGAGGACGGGGCGTCAAAGGATGAGGGGCGCGAGATGGCCACATTGCAACATGTGCCTCTGCATTCGGTCAATGTTCTCAGGCGGCCCCTGGCACGGGAAAGACTCCGAGAAGATCGCGAGCGGATGATGCAGCTCATCAAGGCTGAAGCAATCGCAGTCCGCGATCGCCCGGATGACATTTCCGATCCGAAGCGGAAATTCATCGCCGCGGCAGATGTAGACCTTGAGGAATCTGATTCAGAGTTGGAGGAGTTTGAGGCGCAGCCTATAGCAGAACAGCTGGAGAAAGTTGTAGAACATCTGCGGGAACAGCACAACTACTGTTACTGGTGCATGGGACAATACCCGGATGAAGGCATGGAAGGCTGCCCGGGATTGACCGAAGACGAACATGGATGAGCACACGGACGCCAGACAAGGACACAAGCGGCGATGTTGTTTGTGCATGAGCTCTCGTGAAAGGACGTTCGTCCATTTTCCTTCATGATACCTTTGTAGATTACATCCCTAGGTAGGTAGGTATGTGCAGATGAGGTGATATGCCAATCAACTCCAACGAGGAGCCGAAAGGGCGCGGGCGGGGCCGAAAGTGCGGCCGAAGCGCGTCGGACTTGCTGCTCGACGCGACCTCAAGGTCAAGAGACTTCTCTCCACGGCTGCAGCATGCCTTTTCGGACGGCTTCGTATCGACGGTCCATCTTGTCCTGAAGCATCATCAATGACCATATAGTGCTCACGCATGGCTCCAGCCACGAGGAAGAGCGGTCTTGGCTCGTTTATCAAACAGCGAGAGGCGCTTGAAGCTGAACAAAACCGCAATACACTTGACGACCTGCGCGTAAATGTAGTAGAACCCGACACTCCTTCGCGCACCAAGACGGTGAAACAAGGTAGCAAAGGCTCCAGGAAGCGGGCCTCATCCGCCGAAAATCGTAATTCCCAGCAGACCAAGGAGAATCGTGTCAATGATCAACATCCTTTTTATGACACGGACGTGAGTCAGGCGGGAATTGCTTCAACTACTCCTAGTCTGCAGCAGGACAGTGTACAAGATCGTGACATGCAGCAAGTAGACTCCGAGCATCGTCAATTGATAGCTGCTCCAAGCACAGGGTCCGAGCATCGTCGACTTGACGATGACGACTCTCTTGATGACAGTTTGCGTGAAGAATTGGGTGAAAGAGGACAGGTGACAATCTCAGATCGCAGCAACAATGCTCCTTTCAGCGAGCAAACTCAAGTGCCAGGAACAAAGAACAGGAACGCTCTCCCTTACGTAGATGATGGCTCTTACCCTGCTACCACATCCGGCCAATCATCCACAAACGACACAAATGACGCCTTCGCTGGTGATACGACACATTTTCATCCGGGCACAGACACCCGTCATAGTTGGAACACCTCTTTCGCTACTGCACCACACGCGCATCATGCCGCAAACAGTCTGAAACCCATCACTGGCACTTCTCAAGCTCAGATCGTGCGCCCTGTACACACGACAAACCTCGCTGATATTGGTGCTGATTTTCAATTCGTTCCTGCGCAAAAGTACGGGGCTGCCCAGAACCAATTGCGACCAGATCAATTGAAGCCTATGCTTAATGCTCCAAAGGCAATGCACAATGCACCTCCGCAACATCTGCGGCAGCAGCTGCAAACTTCAGCGTCACCTCCCATTGTGATAGGCCGTGATCGTGGTCAACACAACACACTTCCAAGTCATCGACAACGATATCCAGTCCAGCAGGAGCCCGAGAGGACCTCATGGAACCAGCCACATTCTCATCTTCGCCAAGTGTCTACACCCAGCGTCCATACGAAGACTTCCATCAGCGCTACCGAACGTGACACATACGACGAGCCGCCAGGACAGGGCCAACATTCTCAACATTTCAACGCGGATCCCACATCATCTGACGAGCACTTGCTTCAGCTTGACTTTCCAGCGAAGGAACTGCTCGAAATGGACTTTTCCACATTGGCGGGACAGACATTCGACATCGATCCAAACGTCGATGTCAATCGGTCCTTGGGGGATCTTGCTGAGAAATCTCTCAATGAGCAATTGACCGCTATGGCAATGCAGCCCTCAGACATCCAAGCCGATTTCTTTGTTGGACTCGACATTGATCGCTGGGAGGAATCCGGAGAATGGTTCCTCGATCGTTTCCGCGATATATCAAGGAACTTGATGCAGGCACGCCGTGAGAAGAGGAAAGCCGCGCAAGAATTTGAACGATCCATTAGCGCCCGTCATGAGGAGGTCAGCAAGAAGCGGAAGTTTACGGAAGATTCCCTAAAGGAAATGAGGAAGTCCGGTGGTGAATTGCTTCGAGGGAGTCCCCAGAAGCTCAGGAAAAGCAAGTGAATCCGGCCCGTGCTCCCCTCTTCCAATCGTGAGAAGGGTGTATATGCAGATTTGTGCGCACATCACACGGCATCGAACATTCCGCAAACCGATTGCGAGTTATGAATCACGAATGCAACGATGAACGAGCCCCATGCCTAAAAGCGGTGTGACTACGAAAAATATCGTAATCCAAATCTGTTTCCTCGGGACGATTACTCAAGTCACGGGTGGAACGGGATGGCTCGAGGGTCCGTCGTTGCTGCAATCGCTCTTCTTTACCAGTAACGGCATGAGACGAAGCGCTACAGGTATAACAATGTATCCATTATTCATGTCCTAACGCATACTACCTGACTGAATTGGCTCATCCCACGCTCGTCTCAATAATGGCGGTCCACGGTGCTAGCATGGCCGCATGAACGTATTCAGGCATCAGTCGAGTGATCTGGTAATAGACTTGCGCCAAGGACATGCAGAAGCCCTGATGTTCCACGCACGCCGATTTTCCCAATGAATTCGAGCATTCAAAATGCCGCAGCCGAGACGATCATGTCTGCGGCCAGCAGATCCATGCCCACCTGCGAAAAAATGCTCGTCGTGTCCGTCTTTCCGGCGGAGATGATCCGTCAGGCCTTGAGACCCTGATGACCTGATCACATCTCCTCAACCCCGCGCAGCTGTCGGGCAGTAGTGCGAATGACGCGATGGACGAGATCCCAATCGACTGAGAGATCTTCTCGCGTAATGTTTCGAGACGTTGCTCCTCGCCTTGTGAGAGGTTGCAGCAGCAACAACCAGCGGACGCTACGCATGCTTGCCCCAGACGGGGTATTTCCGGGGTACGTGCCGCTAAGAGGGCCGTTGTCGGCAAGGGGAACCTTGGAGGTGACTTCCCCACGCTCGCGACCATGTGCGAACTTCGCGCCGCCCGTCTTTCCCCCCATGTCATGTCAGCCCCGCCAACCCGGCGCGAACACTTCGAGGGACGCGCGAGCGAGGCGAAGGAAGCGAATCCAACATCAATGACCACGTAATGTCATCTTGGCGGACACGCCGATCAAGTCAAGCGGGAGGAGAGAAGAAAAGAAAACTAAGACTGTAGGCGCGAGTTCCGCAACGAATCACCCCGTCGAGCCTGGCATCGGGGCTGCCTGGTTCCGGGGGCTTTTTCTTCTCCAAGACGATAAGACGGAGTGGGACAGGATGAGGCCAAGAGGCGATCACCGGGCCCGCAATCGCGCGTGGTGATGGATGATTTTGGCGATTTCGCGCAACGGACGGACGGCGGGGGGGCATAAACTCAGCTGATCCTGTTCAGGGCTGTGGAACGCGGGCTCCAGATTTAGATTTCAGGAATCCTATGCTTCCCACGTCGCCTCCTGCCTGGTGGGACGAACTGCGTTTCGCTATTCGAGGACTTCATTCGTTCTCTCCTCGTCGATTGCTGACAGTCCTTTTTATTGCCCTATCAAATGTGGAGGAGGAAATGCTCGCTTCGGGGCCACCGTCGCATTTGCGCCTTCCTTGCCGCACGTCCTTCGCAGGCTGTTCCCTCGGACGTCTCGTCCAGTGGGAGAGTAGTAGGTTCATGTTGGGACAAGTCGATGGTGGTCGTCGCCGTAGGTGGCCGCCAGCGATGACGCCGCCAATGTACGATGGCGACTCGCAGTTGGCCTGCAGGAAAAGTCGGCGCGCCTGCATTGATAGATTGCTGATCACGGTGGGCCCGACCGTTACCTGGCCATGTGTGGAACCAACAATGCGGCGCTCATCCCCAATCATCGTGAATTCATTGGCGCAGCGATAACAAACAAGAGCGTTGCGAGCGACGAGACCTCGACAACGCCAAAGACGTACCCCGCGCACTATCATCAATCTGCTCCAATCCACAAGGTCCCATCCATCACTTATTGCATGTAGGACTTTCCGTGCAGCTGCCCTCTCCCCACTTCTTACATGATAGACAGGCTGCCCTCTAAAATGCTTGTTTCGCGTGGGAGACGAAGCGGGGCTCGCCCGGACGTTTCCCGATGCCTAGCAAAATCCACATCTCGTCTGCGGTGTTGCCGCGCGAAGCCATCGCCAAAACCTCGACGCCTCAACATTGGCAGTCGAGTTCACCAAGAAGCCACGGGCGGATTTCTGCAGGATCTAGCTTCGAACGTGCTGTGGCTCCAGCGTAACAAGTGAACACGGTCAGGACTTATCGACCGGTCACACACACACACACACAGAGAGAGAGAGACTTTCTCGTTTGGGTGTAATTGGTTCGCATAACGCTACCTTCCCCGTGCGGCTGAAGTCCGGATATGCACCTGCTCCTACCCACATCATGATCCGGGGGAGGGATATGATAAGCTCGCGAACGCATAGCAGGGCTTTGATGATTGGCGTCTGCAGTCTGCCAGCAACGCGAGGGCTGACCCTCCGTCGAAGCGATTGGACGGTCCCGCCAGATGTTTGGCAGATGTTTGGGTCAGCCCGCATGTCGCGGCGACGCGGCCATCGCGATTCGTGATCGCACATGCACCTTTTGCCCTGGTGCACGACGATGGGATGCATGTGTGGTCGTGGTGTACACGGGGGAAAAATCGTTGAGGCGATAGGCGCTCACATGCCAGGGATTCCGTTGAGAACTGGCTCGATCAGTCGACGCCTCCGCCGCCATGGTTCCCTGTCAGATATGACGATGCATATCGGTGCACTGGGAAGCAGCAGCTGGGCGGTCGCTGTCCTGCCCTCTCCCTCCTGGCGAACGATCACGCTGGCACATGACGTCTTTCGCAACAAGGAGCTTGCAGAACCCCGGCAGGCTCTCCCATCGGCGCACAGTAGGGCCCCAAGGATGCAGCGGTGAATGTCCCACAAATGCTTTCAATAGTGATGAAGAATATCAAGGGACGTCATGGAATGTTACCAGATAAAGAGATATTATTATTACATTGCGGAGAAGCCCACATCATCGACGAGCCGACGATCCCCTCCCCGCGTTCCAGCCCGCCAGCCAACATGCACGACAGCGAGCAGTTTGCGGAGAAAAGCATGGCCAACCAGCCGGGAGGAGGCTCTCGTGGCTTTCCAAGGTTGGTGCTGTGCAGGACTGGGCTTGTCCTGTAGGTACCGTGCACTGCCTGGTGGAGTATACTTTGTTGTCCCGCGCATCACCAAGATTTACGGATCGATCACTGAAGACGTATCCGCTTGATGTACTGTGGGATGAAGTAATTGAGTACCACCTGCCTGGAATGAGTGTGGACGGTACGGTATCTTTCCTGAGGAGATGAGGGCCGCCGGGCCGTGATGACGGGGAATGGTGGGCGACTTTCTGCCTCCCTCCCCACAGTGCGCACAGACCATCGGAGACGTCGTCCAGGTCGCGATCTTCGCGTGGTCGACTGCTGGTGTTCTGGGTTGATGGGTGCAGGTGTGTTACATGATGATGATGGTGGTGAACTCGGACTCGCAGGCGCATGTGCAAGAATCGAACAGCGCTCCCGTAGAGGGTTGTTCTTTACGCGACATGCAGGATCCCCAAGCCCCATCTGTCAAAGAAGAATTACGGTTCGGAATCAGCGCCCTGTAGCCTCCGATATGCGGCGAGTCACGACAAAAATAAGGCGGCGGGAGCTCCGCGCTGTCAGCGACCGCACTGTGAAGAAGAGTCATGTCATGCGCAGCACGTGGGCCGCGAGGCGGTGAATCGATCGCAGCGGTGGTTCAGGTCTGCGTGGCTTCGAAAAGTCTCGCATTCGTATGGAGAGAGACGGACTGTACCGGAGCAATATATCCGGGTGCGAGTGACGCAACGATCGTGTCTCTCACCCTCCCCGCGCGCGGAAGGGAGGGAGGGGGTTTGTCCGTCACTTTTGTCTACAGCAGAGCATGGCATGGCACATCGTCACAACCGGCGAGTGCTGCGTGCATCGCCGGAGATGGCTCGCATCGGATTGAATTTCTATTACAGCAAACGTAGGTAGGAGGTAGTTGGGCGGAGTGGGCGATCTAGTCCTAGTCCCCGTCCGCGAAATCTTGGAATCTGATTGACGATGACGGTGCGATGATGGGGCGACACCACCACCCTCCGGCTGAATCGTGGCTGTATCGGACCCAGATGCCCGAGCGGCGCTCATACGGCGACAACCCGAAAACCCCACAATGTCGAAGGTACACAGCAGGTATCATTTCTAGTAGCGGCTACCTTGGTAGGTGGGCCATGTACAAAGCTGGAGTAGGTACTTCAACAACCTTGGAATGTTCACTATGCCCCCCCCCCGCGACGAACGCATAGACTTGCCCTTCTGGATCGAGCGTCCATTCACCATGGTCGTCTAACACAGTAGAGGGACGTGTCGGCGCAGGTCGCGGCTGATGTCTCCCTGGTGAGATGAACGGGAGGTCCTGTACCATTGCGCCAGTCTCTCTCTCCTCACCGCAAAATTAATCTGTCCTGCGGGACGGCCGATACGTACTGTGGTGCAGCTGCGGCGTCGAAGGGGCTGTGTGTGAGGAACCAAACCGGTTCGGCGAGGCATTTGGAAACGCTGCCTTGCTGCGTCTGACGCTTTTTTCCGTCGACGTGTCACGCTTGTCAAACGTGCGGGTGTGGGATAGAATTCTTCGCTCAAACAACACCGTCGTCGTACCGACACACCATATCGTACCGAGCGAGCGAGCGAGCATGGCGTTGCGTCCATTGCGTCCAGGACGTCACGTCCGCACTAGCCAGAGAGAGTGACGATGCTTCGATTTGGAAAAGCTTGTGACACATGCCAAAAAATAAAATAGGAAAAGTTCACTCTAAGGACAGTACGGTACGGTACCTACAGAAACACACGCACAATTGCATCATGGACGTCTGCAGCCAGTCTCCCCCGGTTAGAGGCGGGTGCGCTCCTGTGGACACGAACACACACACGCGCGCGCACACGCACATATACACATGTACACATGCACACATAGTGTCGCCGTGGCCTGTCTCTTCCTGGGAAGCGGTCAGTCAGTCAGTCAGTCAGTCAGTCAGCATCGATAGGGTGTGGGGGGGGGGGGGGGGGGGGGGGGGGGGTATTTTCTACTCAAATCTCATACCACAGCACGACGGCGCAGTACCTAGGTATTGTAGCACCGGCAAAAAGCGCGTGGTGACGACGACGACGACGACGTGTCTGTTTGGGAGCTGGTCATTGGGCTCTCTCCCGTGGTGCGGCGCTTGAATCGGCATCACTCCGGCGCGTGTCGTGCGTCTCGCAGCTGCGACGCGGTGGTTTTCCAGAGCGTCCTTCGAAAAGAGAAAACGAGCCAGCGGCGGCGTTTGATGGCCGGGCGGGAGTGGTTCGGAGGCTCCATTCGCCCAACCAAGGGTCCCGGTTCAGGTTTCGGTAGATAATAGGGAAAGGCCCGAATGGAGGGTCCGACATTGGAAATGGATCGTCGACGAGAGAGAGACAAGAAAGAGTAAAAAAAGTCATGGAGTGTAGAATTGCGCATAGGATATCTCGCGCAGTCGTCGTCGACTGCTGGCCCACCCCCTCCCATCTATAGTTTGAAATAAAACGCCGAACATTCCCAAATGGGCCACTCGCCTGGCCGCGCAGCAGCGGCGGTCGGTTTGACCATCAAATACGCTGACAAAAACATTTCACCGCCACTCGCTCAATGGCAGGATTGGCTCTCCAAACAAAAAGCCGTCTACTCACGCCGGTACCGGCGTCCCAAATTCTATAGTCGACCATAGGTCAAAAAATGCGGAGAAGCCCTGCGAGCATGACTGCTGGGGTCCGCGTGCACGAAGTGAATCATTAAATGACCTGGCAGGTCTCGAAACCGATTGAACGAGGTGTTTCGCTGTGCTCGTGCTCCCGTCGAGCAGAGCATGGTTCTTCAAAGGCGTCTCTCAGTAGCGCTCGTGGAGATCATTTCCGGCCTCGCTGGCCCGCGCGCTGTTGTGGCCGCTCGCACGCCCGCCGTCGGGATGGATGAGGTCTCGGACCGCGAAGCTGCTGTCCTTGCCCTGCACGATCGGGATTGGGAGTTTCCGCTGCGCGCCGTCACCAGCTTGCATGATCTCGCTGATTCGTAGACCGCTGTGCTGCACCGGCACGTAAGGATGATGGCCGTCGGCCGCAGGTTCCACAGGTGCAAGAGCTGGAGGTGGGTGGTGGTGGTGTAAGGAGAGATGGTGCAGCGTCGGGAGCTGAACGCCGTGGTGGTAATATTGGGGCCTGAGACGAGGGGAGTGCGAGGGAGTCGCGAGCGGCGTGTGGTCAGGTGTTGGGGAGATCGATTCTTGCGAGAACGACGGAGAAGGCGGGGCGGTCGACAGCGGCGAGCCTGGACGAGACTTTTTCGCCGCCCGGTGGTGATAGTGATCCTCTTCATCGTGGGAGTGAGATCGGGACATTGGCTGAGATGTTGGGTTGGAGGAGTAGTGGTAGGATGAGAGAGAAGGCATTCGGGTGGAGCCATACGGATGCGAGTGATACGGTGACGAGTAGCTGCCATGTCGTGGCAAAGAGAGGTGCGGATTCGGGAGTTGGTTGTTCTCGCGCTCAACCTGAGACGCCGCCGTCGCCAAAAGATTGATGTCCATGTGTCGCGAGTGTCCGCCCTGAGCAGGACTGATGTCACCGCTGACGTTGCGAGTCAAGTATGCGCCAGGATTTGTCGTGTAGCTGGAATACGAGTGCGGCGGCGAAACGTTGGGAGACGTGATCTGGGAGACGGGCGCGGATTGGATATTCTTCGGCGGCGGTGGCATCATGTGGTTGGCCGGAGGGTGCACGTGGCTGATCGGACTGAGCTGGGATACATGGCTCGGCTGATGGCTGATCGGGGGCATCTGGCCGATGGAACTCAGCGGTGGTATCGAGTTCATCTGTTGCATCGCTCCGTTGTCGTACATCAGGCCCGTCTGCATGACGGCGGCGGCGGCTTGGGCTGCGACATGGTGCTGCTTGTTCCCACGTCGGGAGTTGGGATTGCTGTGAATGCGGGAGTGACGGGTGAGTTCGTCAGATCGGCTGAAACGCTTCGTGCAGCCGGGGAACTGACAGGCGTGAGGCTTCTCGCCGGTATGTGTTCGGATGTGTCGGGTCTGATGCTCTAAACGATGGAAAGCCTTGTCACACAGCGGACACTTGTACGGGCGTGGCAGATCAGGTCGTTGATCGTCAGAGTTCTGTGCTCCCACGGCGGGCATGCTCATGGCTGCGGCAGCCATGGATGGTGGTGGTGACGAGTCACGAGACGGTGCAGACGATTGTGGAGGCGAGAACGAGACCAGTCGTGAAGGCACTGTCGTGTTGTGAGGGTCTCCGTGGGCGATGCTGTTATATGAGCGATCGCGCGATGATGTCGAGGAGTGTTGAGGGTTGTGCTCCGGCGGGTTCAGCAAGCGAGAAAGCATGTGAAAGCGACGATTCTGGCTTGGGCTGGCTTTTTGGTACTTGGTACGGACGGCGGGAAATTTGAGAAGCGGAGGCACCGATCTCTGTGGAGGTGAGGTGAGATCCTGAGTTTTGTGTTCCGAACGTTCCCTCACGACAAATGGTTCGCGTTCGAGGAGAAGGGTGTGTCCTGGAGGGCGAGGGTGATCTTATGTCAGGTCGTGTGAGGATGTTGGGTTCGATGCGGCGGAAGAGGGAGGAACGACAATTTAGAGGATGCAAAGACAGGACCGAAGTAGGCGAGCCAGTGCAATAAGTATAAAAAAAGTGTGGGGAGGGTGTACGAGCGCGTGTTTGTGTGTGTGTGTGTGAGAGAGAGAGAGAAAGTTCGGGTGTGTGTGTTTGTGCGTGTGTGCAGTGGAAAGTTGATGCATGTGCGTATGGGTTTGGGTGTGTGTGTGTGTGTGTGTGTGCGTGAGAGAGATTGATGCGGGACAGTACGTACAGATTTTTTTAAAATCAGAGAGAGAGAGTGTGTGTGTGGCACGACCCCAGGAATGGAAGAGCGTGGGATGATGATGGGGATGTTCGGTGGAGTTGGAGTTGGGGTAACAGGAGCAGGAGCAGGAGGAGCAGGCGGAGAAGTAGAAACCTTGGGAGGAGGATGAGGATGAGAGGAGTCGTGGTGTGTCCGTGTCGTGTGTGTAGTAGTGTATAGTGAGTAGTAGTGTATAGTGAGTGGTGAGTGGTTAGTAGTGGGTAGAGCAATGGGGGAAAAAGCCAGTCATCCATCAGTGCTGGTGGTGGTGGTGGAAGGTGTTAGGTGTTAGGTGTTAGGTACCGCAAATCACACACAGCAGCACCCCGGGCAGGCAGCAAACAGCAACAGCACAAACAGCAACAACACACCAGCACCAGCATCATACGCAGCAGGATGGGAAGCGGAGAAAATCGGTTGAGGGAAAACGGTGGTGGTATTGGTGGTATTGGTGATGGTGATGGTGGTGGTGCAACAACTCTCTCCCTCCCTCTCTCTCTCCCTCTCTGCCATGCCACTGGAAGGAACCTGGAAGGAAGGTTGGCCAGGGTCGTCGTCCAGTCACCAGTCGCGCCCGTCTCACACATACTCTCTATCTCTCTCCAGGGCTGCCCGCCCGGGCAAGGGAGAAGGGAGAATGGAGAGAGCATCGGGGAAAGAAGGGAAAGGACCGACCAACCGAGCGACAGGGCAGCATCCGCAACAAACACCGCCCCAGGATCGATGATTTGCTCCTCAGCCTCTGGGAACACTCCGCCCACGCCCGCGCCCATCGAGAGTCGAATGTACGGTAGGTCGATTCCTCTCTCTCTCTACATACCTAGATAGTGATTGCCAAGCGTTGCCCTTGTCGCCATGAAATCGCATACTCGTTATCATTGCCCAACAAACAATAATATACAGGGGAACGTTCTCCAGGTTTTCACATGACAAAACCCCAGCTATTTCTTCTCCTCGAGGCTTCCCCTCGGGCATGCCCCGGCTCAATTTCGAATCCGGGGGAAAGTTAAAATTCAACACGAGGAGAAGTTCAGGCCAGCATCATTTCGGCAGGAATCTCATGGTAATAGTGACACTACCTAGGTAAGGTAGATATTCGGGTGTCCTACGAAGGCTTGGACTCGCCCTTCGAAATAGGGAGATGCGCCCATAGCAGTACGGCCACTGGGTCAGGACTTTCACCGTCGTCGTCGACTACATCATCATCATCATTGGTGTCAGAGGGCCAATCGTTCTTGTCAGAGGCCCAGTTGGGGCTCTTTGCATGTGGCCAGGCGTCCGGCAATCATAAGTCCGTCACGGGCATCCGCAAATCGGCGGCTCGGCTCAAGGTAGCTTATCACAGTATTATCCTTTATCGATCTTCTCAATATCACGATACATCGATACAAAGCAGCGTGCATGTTGTCTCATCATCTCCGTCATATAAGCCAATAATTCGGTGGGTGAGCACGCTTATCATCAAGCACGTGAAAGTGACCTTGACCAAACCCCAAGAGCGGTCGCAAACGTGCATGGACCACTGCTGTGCATGTCACAAGCATGAATGCTCGTATGAGCTTTTGTCCCCCGCATGCGCAGTCTTTCGTGTTCGCGGTCAACCAGTGGCCGTCGACCAGCGCTGCAGTAGCAGATCGCCTGATGGCAAGCTGGGATGGTGACATGATCCATTCCTACATCGGAGGTCAGAGCCCAGGGCAGGCCCGCCCGCATTGCTATCTGCACTGCGGCCAACATCTGCCAGCGTCGATGATGATGATAATGATGACGGGTGGACTGCAATCGGCCTGGAAACTATTCTAGCGAACGCCGGTCAGCCGCCATTTCGGTGACGAACGCAAATCGGGCGCGGCAGGAACAGAACGACAGGATGGACCTAATGCATGACTGGGGCGAACTCTCTGCCTAGGCCTCTCCCCTCCTCCCAATTCCCCCCCCCCCTCGCTCTGAGGCGCACCAGGCAGGCAGTCGAGCTGCCGGACGTGAGCACTGCTGTCCCACAAACCACGCCCCAAGGACGGCCATAATCGGCAGCCTCCCTGCTCGATCTGGGTTCCAACCATCGAAAAGGGTCGTGATCGTGGCCCCAGAAATGCGGTCCGCCCAGGGCGTGGAGAAGCGGGCGCAGAGAGCAGGCGCGAGGTGCCCATCGCAAACGCGCTGCCGATCCAACGGAGGCATCCGGCTGCGTATGCCTCACACGGCGTCCCCATTCCCTCTTCGCCAGATTCGCCCCCTTCCTGATGGGTTGCTCACGGCCTTGGGATCCTCCTCCACGCGCCGATGGATTCGAAGCCGAGACGGCCAAGAGCGAAACCGGCATCAACATGCGTGGCATGCCGCCCACGTTCACAGTCCCATAGCCCATACAGGACGTGTTCCGATCAACCATCATAGCAAATCTTCATGTGCGGTCGGTGCGACGTGGACTCTCACAATCAGCCGATACGGCCATCGGCTTGATGGCGCATGCGGCCAGTCAAAGTAACGGGATGGGTGCGTCCGCAATGGCCTTCAAGCTAGATGGTGACAAAGACAGCCCTGATTGACCATCTCATCGCGTGCTCGTTTGAGAATCGGCGCAAAGTTTGATGATGCCCTGAAATTTCGCTCGTGTTGACCAACGGCGGGGAGGCTCAAAACCGCTGGCGTCAGCTCTTTGGCCGTTTGAGCGGCGTCTCCATCCCGCAATTGATGATAATCTGTCGGCATTTTCGGCCTGTCGGTCGTCCAGCGTGTGTAGCAACTTGGTGATCCTAGCGGCTCTTACGTGTCCGGCTGAATCGTCGTCAATCTATCTGCGACACACCATCGGACGAACCATCCTCCCAATTTCAGTCGTCGGCCGGATGCTGCAAAGGGTACAAGCCCGTGACTTCCCAACATCACATCAACGTTGAAGAAATTCATGAGAGAGGTGCTCCGGGCAACGGTTGTGACGCACGGAGATATGTCACCCCGCTCGTGATTCATGGGCGGGCAGCCTCAATCCTTCCAGATGCGCCAATGCTCCATCAGTACAGTGCATCTTTGCAGAACATGCCGGATGTGATGATCGTAAACGAACCGGCAATAAGCCGCTTGTATACGGTAAATAGCATTACTGGACCGCCTCTTCTCCACATCGTGAAATCTGAATAATGGCTCGCTTACTGGAACCTACGTGTCAAGGTCGGAAACATAAAATACAGCAACAATATCTCTCTATACCTAGGTATTGAGGTACGTTGGGATTACGTGCTGCTGTGCCGTTCTAAGCAAACTGCGAAATGGCGATCCCGGCTGGTCTAGGGACAAACGCGGACGATCATAGCGTAAGACGGACGAATTCCTTTCGGGACATGTCATCCCGCGATCTCACTTACGTGTATGACGACCTCCTCGGCATGTTGTCTTACGCGACGACAGTGACATTTGCCGCAAATGTGAAGCCTCGCGGTTCCCTGGTGCCTAGGTATGTATATATGCGGTCTGGCAATGACATCCGCAAAGGACGTTCGGAAATCTCGGTATGCCCGCCTCGACAGTACACGCGCTTAACAGTTTCCACGGGTACCCTCTACTTGAGTACTTACCACCGCGTTCCTGCGTCGGCAGAAAAAGCTTCGGCCACGTTGCCGCTACGAGGGACTTCGGAGTAAGCCAGCGTCGCTCGCGCGCTCGCGGCCCGAGGCAAAAGTGCTCGCTGCTTGTTGTATGGTGGCGCACAATTGCTCATTGACTCAAATTACGCGGAGCTCTCCGACATGCAAGTGTGTTGAATAATGACTATGGTAACGAGACGCATCGTGGGGTCGCGTTGTTTCATACTTGCATGCCGTCAAGGAGGAGTTGGTGTGCACTGTGCATGCCGTGCAGCAGATCCCTCGGGATCAGGGTCTTCGGGCACGATGCCGTGCAGCAGAACTGGTGCTCATCCTGAGAGATCGACATCGACCGACGATCGACCCTTGAACTCATCGTCCGCCGAGGTTGTCTCCATCACAGAGAGACGTTGGGACTTGCCCGTTTCCCTAATAGGAATTGACCAATTTGCAGGACGCAGCGTGATTTTGGCCTTCGTTGCCGCATGTAGCCACGTCGATCATCCCCGTGACGAACTCTTCGAGGGTACATCACGGCAGAAAGTTTGTCGGCATCGTCGTCGCACTCTGCTGATTTGAGACAAACGGCGCCTGCTCCTATCTGTCCCAGACCAGATCGCCATCTTGACTAGCAATGATAACACGCGCCACGGCTGTTTGATCATCAGCTTGCATCTTAGCCCAGAGACAGATCTCTCCCTGCTCGGGTGCTGAGACATACCAATTGTGGTGGATAGAATGGTCGTTTTTTATTCACTCTGCAACTACCGTCGCACGACAGTAATTAGCCGGCAGCACACATTCGAGTGCGGCGTTGTCGACACAATGTGACTGCGATCCCCTTGATCCTGCGGCGCGCCATGCCGAGGATGCATTCCTCTGTGAAATTGGCAGCTCCCCAGAAACTATGACTCCCAAAGAGTCCAGACTAAGCGCCATCCTGCATCGATCGTGCAAACAATAAAAGTGGACCAAAAAATCAGGCGATTCCACAACAGGCAAATACACCTCGCAGCATTCACGTCGCACAATGGCTTTTCTCATCACGATACGCAAGGGAGAACACAGGACGGATATGCCCTTTGGTACCACAACAGGTACCACAACAGGTGATGCTGTATTTCCCGATAACGTAACCAACTCTGTATTCAGACCGTCAACGTCATATCGCAGGAATCAAGCCCCGATGTTTCGCATCGGTTGTGACATTGTCGATACCACGGTAGATGAGATCCGTGAGGGCCTGCTAATCAACGTAGCTCACACCATGCAATAACAACGATCGCTTCGGGCATATTCGAGTAGTGCGCCTCTGACGCAGCTTCCTCAGGCATGTATCACCACCCCAGGAAGATACAGCAATCACGCCAAGCATGAGTGTCACTTCTCAAACGTGGTCTTATCAAAGCCTGTAGCGAATATCCCAAGGACAGATCAAACTCAAAAGAGCCTCGGCGTTTGCGAAAACCCCAGGAAAGACTTGCCTACTGCAGACTGGAGGCGGATGATCATTGCGGAGAAACAGCACCTATAGATAAGGTTGTGGAGGTGGCTTTTCACCCGCCCCTGGTAAGATTTGCCCAACAATTTCTCACCAAGAGAACATTTCGATCACAGAAACAGCCTACCTTTGGTCGATATCTTACCCAGGCAAGGATGCGAGCAATTAATCTTATAAAGAGAGCTGAGAATGCCGTTCTATTGCACCAGAATAATCTCGCCGTATTCATGCCGAGCTCGGGAGCGGGAACACTGATTTAGTCTGCCTCATCATGGACTAACTACGGTGTAATTGTCCCGAGAGAGCTCGCTCTACACGGAAAGAAAAATTCTGCGACCCGTTTGCTCCCGAGTCCCGATTGACGAAATTGAGCATGTTGAACTCTCGAGGTCCCCCCACACCTTCTCCTCCCCTCCAAAAAGGACGGGGAAACCGGGCCCGTTGGAATTGTGGGGACAACAGCCAGTCGTGCTCGCTCGGCTTCGGCCGAGAATTCCTTACGGCGCCAGCAGCCTCAAGCTCGTCGTGCTTGTATAGAGAACGGTCTGATATTGAACCATCCATTAATATCTTTATCCTCGCGCTCGTTCCTGACGATCATTCGACTATGTGGGCGGCTCTGGTACACTTGTGCCGTCGCAGTATGCTCCGGCTCCTGAGTTCCATCGGCAGTTCTAGTTCAAAGTCCGGAGAGAGAGAGACAGAGAGGGAGACTGCATCGTGTTACATCTTTCGGACACAGTACGTTCTCCCAAGGTCCGCATCATGATGTCGTTCCCTCCCTTGTCGCTCGCGCTTGCATTCGACATGGAGAGCGGGCTGTGGCCGACGCAGCCTTTTCACATGTCAAGCGCTATGACTATCTCTTATCAAACGAAGGCGTTGCCCGGATCAAATTCGAGCTTGTGAGGACCATCAGGCTTATTCACGGCCTGCCTAGGCTTCCCTCTATGCCGCCACACATCCCACCTTGGCACCACGTGGCTGAAGCTTTTCTCTCCTCTCGCGTCTGACAACGGTCATGACAATCCTTGGAAGGTATGAGGATCGTAAAGGGCTTCGGTGAGGAAATAAATGACATGGGAGATATGGTGTGATCGAGGCGTTGAGGGAGTGACACATCCGTGATTGAGCTGCAAGCCTCATCATACACGACTGACGACGGGCAGTCTTGGAGGTCATTACCACCGACTGCTGGCTCATTTGGCCACCGTTCAACATCGATGCCCTGTGGTTGCGTCCTTACCACAACACAGATGCATCACAGCACAACGACCACGAACAAGGGTACACTTGAACGATCCAGAACTCCAGAATGGGCCACCTTTCAACTTTCAATTTTGCAATCGCGCGCCCAGGCTCTGTCATCCTCTCATTCCTTCCATTATACTCTACCTGCGTTCGACACCCCCGGATCGTGATGCTTCAGCTGAGCTCGAGCGTGACATCTGTAGCAGGGATCTGGCTATGGCTAACATGTGTCAGCTTCAAGGTGAGACAATCGTCACACTTTTCCGAGTTGCTACACAGAAGAAAATGTTGCGAGTACGGCCGTAAAAGGTGGATATCCAGTAAGGCAGTCAAGGCGAGTGATTTCATCTCCTAGACCGCATGAAGACAAGCGTTTTTCTGCGTTCCTGCAGAGGCGCAGCGTTAAATCCGAGCTAGCCAACGGCGACTGTGGGTGATAAATTTTGCATGTGCAAATTTTGATCTGTACCATCGCACTCTGCGGACGACAGACGTGTTCACCGTCGTGTTCGGGGTCGAGACATCCTTCCGAGGCATGTCGGCACACTCGGGCGCCACCATTGTCGGTGATCATCCCCAACTCAAGAACCGTCCTGGTCCCTGCAGACTTTGACAGCTCCGAGGCTCATTGTTAGATCGAAAGTCACCGAACCACCCCAGGTCACTCTTACAAAGCCTATGTGTAATCTCATAACGGTGGAGCAGAGCCGCTTCTCAAGATCCTCGGCATGCACAGTAAAGATAATATCACATTACGCCTTTAGCAACATAGGCTGTATACAGGCCGGGGTCCGGACGGGCAGCAACAAGCAAACTGCGCAGTCGAAATGGAGCTTTCGGTATTATCTAGGCTGCGCAATTGCGCAATGCGCATTGCAGAATCATGCTGATGCTTTCTGCACCTACCTTGGGTCCCTGTCGGTGATGTCGACAGGGATATCCTGCAATTATGGATCCACATCCGCATGAGGTGGAATCCCGGATGGCGGACTTTTCCGTGAGCTGCTCGTCGCTCTCGATGACGACCAAGAGACTTTGGCCACCAAGTGCATCATCTCAGGTCCACTCTCTCAATGAGGAAGAGGGATATCGCAATCACCATATTCGCCGCGAAGGCCACGGATGCTGCTGCATGCCGGGCAAATCTGTGCGCAGCGTCAGCCGTGCCTTGAGTCCTTGGCCAGAACAGATCGCCCACGAGTATATCGTTTTGACGAGTCGGTGGTGCCGACCCGATGAGGTGCGAATCCTTGCTAGCCAGTATGTGTCTGTCATAACCTCACGCGGACGTCGATAGCAGAACGTACTCGTGTCCTGAACGCTGCTGCTTTTGCATCATGGGAATGGTACATGGCTTCCCAACGGTTCGACAGGAAATTCACAGGCTTTGGTTTCGTCAAAAGCTCGTGCTGCATGCTGTCTGATTGACCACAGGGCCGAGTATGGGCCTCCAGAAGGCTTTCATTGCTGCAAACATCGTCGGTGAACCCTCTTCACACCAAACAGCAGCGGCCTTCGAATTGCTATACCGTTTGTATCGTCAAGTCTGCTCAGACGCAAGTTCGTCCAACGTCCTGCTCGATAACATGTTGAGGATACGTGCACAGCCGCGTGACAATTGTTCAACTTCGCCTGCTTCCGAACGTAGTATTTGACTCCCACCGCTGTACTCATGTGTTCCAGGAGGCAATGGCTTGACAGCCCAGCTCGCTTTCTGTTGGCAGTCCCTAGGATATCATGGCAATCGGCGCCACAACCAGACCTGCCATGCGCACACGAGAAGCATAGGGTTGCTTCAGCTATCGTCGCTGGTCTCATTGAAGCGTCTCGATTCTTCTGGAGTTTTGCTCTAGTTCAGTGACGAGTGGAGTTCTGTCCACACGCTCTTGTTGGGCTTGACATCAACCCTAGTGACGATAACCCTACCAAAGCGCTTGAACCCTGCGCCTGCTCTCCAAAGTTCACGCGTCCACAAAATTAAAGACGCGAACGCCGCAGCACCGCACAAACGAACGAGGGTTGGGATCAAGGAGGAGAAACGCACATCATCCTGAACACCAACAAGCTTTGTCTCCCGATTTTCGACGACTGAGTTCCTCAGAATTGCATCCAGCCCGCCATGTCAGCTGCAGTTCCCCCATCATCGTCTCCGCGACTGCCTTCTCCGCCGCCGATAGCAGAGGATCAAACTGGCCCAACTTCGCCCGCCGTTGGACCTTTCGATGAGAACAACAAATTGCCTGGAAGTACACCAGATGGTAGCGCTTCAAGGCGCATTCGACCTGGGACGATGGCGGAGGACATGGCCGAGGGACCTCCATTGGTTGAGCTCAGTGAAGTAAGCGATATGAAGAGACTTGAGCTGCTATGTATTCTGACAGCCTGGCGTGTGAACAGCTCGATTCGGCTTTCCAGCTGACAGAACACCTCAAAGCACTGCACTACTCGTACACGCATCCAGCCGGTTCCACATCAGATGTGCCAGTAAATGCAGATTTCGCGCGCCAATTAGCTCGGCCGCCAGCCAACACATCGAAGGAGATTTGGTTATACGAGTTGGGCCGGTTCCTGATACAAAAGACGAACGCCATCATTGTTGCGCTCTTCGCCGATAGTCCGGCATGTAGTTCTCTGACGTGTCCCGAGATGCGCGCCAGTGAATGGCAATACTTGTGCGCCGTACACGATCCTCCGAAGAGTTGTTCTGCTATTGACTACTGCTGCCATACGCTGGATTGGGCTGCAACAACGTTGACGAGCAGCAAAATGTTCCCGTCGCGATTGGGACTCGGGTCGGGTAACACAGGTGGCGGAGGAAATGACAAGGTGCTGCAGCAGCAGATGAAGGAGATCACAAACATCTTTCGACGCGTGTATCGGATCTATGCGCATGCTTGGTTCCAGCATCGGGATATGTTCTGGCGCGTCGAGGCCAAGAGTGGTCTGTACGTGCTGTTCAAGACGGTCTGTGACGAATATGGCATGATTCAGCCCGAGAATTACACGATCCCGGCGGAAGCAGAGGGAGTTGAGTTGGAGCTGGCATCGCGAAGCGCTGAACCTGTACAAGCCCCCAAAGTTTTAAAACGACCGGATGACTCGGATGAAGAAAAAGTCACCTTGCCCGAGCCCGCTGGAAACCATGTGGTCGCCCTCGGTGACACATCCAAGCGCCATAGGCATACCAAGAGCGGCCTGCCGATACCCGTAGCTGCTCCAATCCAAGAGGAGGCCGAGGAGCACGAAGACAATTCCAGTGCAGCAGCGAAGGAACTCGTCGACGAGGCCAGCGCTACGAAAGCGACACCAGGCCACAAAGCGAGCTCCAAGCCGACCGAAGACGAAGAGGATGAGCTCGCGCCTCCGTCCGGAATTTTACGGAGTGATACAGTGAAGCCAATAAAATCCACTAGCGACGATGATGTTGATCAGGAAGAACACGCCGATGTCACGGTTGTTGAAATAGAACCGGACTTGAAGAACGAGGAATCCGAGACTAACACGACTGCGGATGACAAACCGGAAGTGCCCAATGAAACAGAGCCAACGGCAGTGCAAATCGCAACTGGCTCAGCTGCCTCGGATCTTGAAGACCACGCGGCAGCGGCCAAGGCAACAGCGGCGACGAGCGCCGAGATCGAAGACACAGATACCGAGAAGCCAGAGAAAGAGGCGCCGACGAAGAGCGAATCTGCGGATTGACTCAAATAACGTACCAGTATGATTTCGACTTCAACTAGCTGATTCAACGACTTGTCTCGTAGACCATTACGAGACAGTAACAATGCAGCCGCCAATGATTTGCCGCCCGTGACCTCACTATCTGTTGAGTCAATGCTGGCGCCACCGCGAGTCGCTCCATTTGCATGGCCAGAGATTCCCATGAGATGCCAACGCGATGGTTTCGAATTGTCGCCGACGGCCTCGCTAGATGCTGATGGCGGACCAATGTCTATGGCTCGCGCCGGCAGGACTTTGCGCAAGCATTCGACTCTTCCTTCGTAGGCGACTACCCTCTCGATCTAGAAACAAGAGAGACTTCGAGAGCTGGACGAACTCAAAACGAGTTGCTGCAGGAGTTCCTCTCACCCTGTGCGTCGAGTCCACGAATGCATATCGTTCGCGAGACGTATCTTTGAAGACCTTGAATATTACGCGTCAAAGCAAGTGCGTCAACAGGTCGGTCGATGGGCGAATTTTGTACCGCGGCGAAAGCAGACTCTATGCTCCTGCAAGCGGGGGAGGGGGGGGGGTTTAAGTCGAGACGGCTGCGGCTCTGAAATGTACAAGTAGACTAGAAACAACCAAGGATTGGCATGCGTTATTTCTTCGAGTTCGCGCGCTTCGAGCCAGGTTCCGTCGCCGTGTGCTCTTCTACCCTTGCACGGCTGCGCACTCATTTCCCCACCGTGGCCTGGCTTCGGTGGAACATAGTCATCATCCCGTAATCGCCGACGCCCACCATCCAAGTCCCGTCGGGGCTCCACGCGATCTGCGAGGTGCCGAAGTGCATGCGAGCGCTCAGCTTCGTGTCCGCGGTGACGGTGTGGTCGGGCTTCCGCATTTGAAAGGGATCTCCGAGCTCGAGGATCCGCTCTGGGACGGTAGGGGTTGTGTTGGTTTCGGCTGTGCGTGCCGGTCAGCTATGGGAGTCCCATGGAGACAATCGCAAATGTGAGAGGCAGATCCAGGGGCGCATAGACCTCTCGTGTGCTAGCATTCTGCTTTGACTTACGTGTTCCTGTCATGTTCACGTCCTCGCTTGACCGTGAGGCGGCTGTCGTGGAGGTGGCGATGCCGGCAGCGGTCGGTCGGGTCTGTTTCCTACCGCCACGATAACCGCCGCGCTTCGACTTGCTTGCGTACTCGCGGATGTCGGTCCCCTCTTCGAGCTTCTGCAGGTCGAAAAAGTAGAACCGCGAGACGTGGTTGCCCATGGCGAGCAAGGGCCGTTTCCCGGGTTTATGAAATAGCCCGAACCGTTGGTAGAATCGCTCAGTGCTCGGCATCGACAGGGTCGCGATGCGGCGGAATCCATGGAAGCCCTGCTCGTGGGGGAAGGAGGAAAGGGTGCTTTTGCCAACGATTGGGATGGCGGGTTCCGTGGGTGTCGGGTCGTCGGAATCGAAACCATCGATCTTCCAGATGAGGATCTCGTTGATTGTCTTGCGGATCTTGGGGTCGCTCGCGGCTCGGGAGATGATCAGATCGCCGTAGAAGGCCAGACTGTCGACGTAATTTGAGTGGACCTCCTCGGAGAAGAAATGTGGATAGTAGACGATCAAGGGGTCTTTGGTCGTCTTGCGCCGGTTTGCGAGCTCCTCTTGTGAGGGCACAGCCCATAGCGCAACTGCAGTGTCGATACCACCTGAGAGAAGCCAACGGCCGTTTGGGTGGAAGTGAATCGCTAGGATCGGTTGTTTGTGACCTCCTCCACCGAGAAGGGCAACACACGGTTGCTCTGCATATTCAGGTGACAGGTTCCATAAGCGAATGGTGCCATCTTCAGCACACGAGGCCAGGTAGTCTGTGGACAATGGCGACACAGCGAGGTCGTTGATTCCTCGACCGTGACCCGACAGTTCTCGAACAATATGCCCGGACTCGACGTCACAAATTTTGATCTGCTTGGGACGACTTCCGGCCATACAGAGCAGTGGATTGCCGGTGGTGGAATCTCTCGTCCACACCAAGGAATTGTACGATGCCGGTGAGCCATCATACATCTGTGAATAGTCAGCATGTGCATATCGAGGCTCCCGACCGAGCCATACTTTCCTGCGAGTCTCGAAAGAAGCTTAGAATGTCGTAGGGTGGATTGGCGCCTAGTCGAGGTCGACAGATGTACGCCTATGGCTACATTGTCAGCGATTGCACCTAGTCCGCAAAGAAGGCCTTGCCACATACATCAGTCTCCGCCACAGCTGCGAAAATGTGATCATTGTCGGGAAGGGCAAATGGATAGAATTTGGCGTCGTAAATTCGGTGATCTATGATTGGTATCAATTGGTTGCGACGCGGATTGCATTCATGACCCACCTACTGGATCCCAGTCGTGTGCATGATTGGATCCTTGGGAAATACTCTGATTCTGGCATCCTTTCAGATGGTTGGGAGGGTGTGCAGGTTGTGGGATCAAGGACGCCACGCCTATTGAGAAGATGAAGATGAAGCGTGGCGCGCGTGTAGCTCGAGCATTCCAATGTTACCCAAGTGGTATAGTACTGTGTGACAAAGCGCGTCGGTGAGGACAATGACAACCTTGAAAGCGAGCAATGTGTGAATGAAATCCTGCTAGCACTATAGCTTCTGGCTGATAAATGTACGCGTTGCGACGGAATCTTCCAAGGTTTCTACCTATGTACCTAGGTATGCTTGCGAAAGTAGCTGGAAGACGCGGCTGCGTGTATGTAATATGTTCACAGCGTGGATAGTCGGGCCGCAGGACGGTAACAGTCGACTTTCAGGTTGTAGCCAGACCTCAACAACACGACCCTCGATGGATGGATTCCCGCAGACAAACTTTGCATTGACCGAAACCGTCGCGGTCCAGCAAAAACATATTCCTCTCGTGATTACAGTCCCTGTTAAGATGACGTTGATTTTCAGTTCTCGTCGTACTAGATTCGTAAGCGATAGTGCCAACCCTAGTCATCCAAACACACCTAACCCAAACCCTAATACAGCTCCGCATTCTTCAGCCTTTACAATGAAAGATAGTGCTGTACAGACATAGCTACCTGCCTCCAGTTCCTGGATAGCACTCATGGCTGTATCCATGTGTCTCATCCCGTGAAAGGCCAGGTCAATCTGTCGTTCACCTGCATGATAGGACGGTTGCGCGTGACAAAGTTGATATTTATGCATGCATGAATACTTGGGCATCAACAGAGTTCTACTGGTCATGACATTAGTTCTTTGTGGTGCTGGAACCCGTGGTTCCCACGCTCTGGCATACTGTATGCATATGGAGCAGCTCGGATGTCATCGCCGATTCCCTCGATGATGCCTTTGCTTCTTTTTCTATAGAAAAGCCTACGCTGTATGTCAACAGCTTTGTGCGAATGCTGTATAACCTTCACCTGGCCTCTTCGTCAGCCTGGTGCCGTGTGTAGCAACAGCGGCTGATCCACCGACGAAGGACGACATGTACCACTGGGCTTTGAAGATCAAATGTCGCTCGAGGTAGGCATGTCACAATGCCTGGAGGATGCTGCTGCGCTGGGAATCATGCCCTGCATGATGGTCGCGCATCATATGAATCAACCCTGCCTGAACACAGAAGCTGTGTGGGCGCGCGGGCGAGCTTGCCAAATCATGCACGACATGAAGTACGACCTGTTTCCCTCCACGGAGGGTGGTGTGATGAACCTCAAATCCACCAATCGGGTATTTCGGTGGGTGGGTCTCCTCCTCAAGACTCCGTCGACTCAACATCAGTTCCTACAGACCTTCACCACCAATGCAACAACTGGGCTGCATCGAGGCGATTGACAATCGGTTCCAGAACCTGAACGCTTGGCCAGCATGCAGAAAGCACGATCATTTCCGGTGAATTTTCCGGTGAAGGCATCGGCATTGACGAACATCGAGCAGCAGCCACCGAAGCCAGCCTTGCGGATGGAGGGCGGATCTTGGGCCGATTCGAAACCGGACGTCCATGTCGACTGTCCCGGCTGTTCCGCTGGCGATGTTAAGGGAATGATTGCGACGATGAATGATCTGCAGGTGGTGAGTCCCCGACGAACCCATTATGGACCTAGGACACTGATTTTGAACACTGGCAATGTGTTCCCATGTTGTGCCAGGTGCAGACATACTGGATTTAGGTATTTGTGGTCTGCTCGTGATGACTCTCCGGCGAGATGGGCATGACGTCAGCCGAGTGATCGCCCATCCTAATTGCTTTTTGCAGGTGCCCAGGTCAGCGAGCACACAAAGAAGAGACGCCTTCATTCCATGTTTAGTAGCAGATGGCTGAATGGCTCGGGATGGTGTGCATTAATTACCCGCCATGTGTGTGTGTGTGTCCACGGGTGCATGTAGGTGCCCCGAGGACTCTCATCAGTCCTTGCCCAGGCCATTGAGGGGACCATGATGTGTCCAACGCAATTGTCATGGGTATCGACCCGTATTTATCGTACATACCTGGGTATTCCTATCACCGTTAGCTGCATGAACGACCGTTGAAGAACGAAGCCATCCCGTCTCGTTTGAAACCACGGAGGTCGATACGGCGGTGCTGCCGAAGATACATCATATGTATATGTACTCGCCGGGCACCTTTCCGATGGTTCCAATTCATAGAGAAAGTAGCGCTGCAGGTGCCCATTGAGAGCCCCAACACGACGCCCCCCACCTCTTCCACCTCTTTCACGGCACGACACCCGCACCACACAGAGTTAATTGATCATAAGAACGCGGTGCATTTTTTCCATGGCACGCATCACAGAACAGAACTAATCCAAACCGCCTGCATGATTAGGTACCTAGGTAGGAACTCAGGTGCCCAGCATATACCGAACTGGGTGAATTTTGCCGACGCCCACGGGAAATCCCATGTCTCTGCTCGATTGGTATATACAACAACAACTCACCTGGGCCAGATGTCGACAGTAGCTACAGTACCTACCTACCTACCTACCTACCTACATAGGTAGTATAGCTAGTATGTATGCTATGTATCCATGGGTCGCATCTTGTCACTCGTCGTGCCGCATTCATCCCAACTTTCAGCGTGATCGCCCACCCAAACCGGCGACTTGCCTGCCGCCGCCCGGGATTTGATTTGACAGGGAACCTTGTAACGAAGTGATCCACACGCGGCTTATGTTGATTGTTGCAGGACTATCGCGCTGATCATCATTCTCGTTCGCTGCAGCGTGCGGCTGCTTTGTTCATCGCGCGCATCCGACGCTTCCACCAGCCAGCCGGCGACGCGCTCTCTCCCCTCAATTCCACATTTCTTCCATCCTCGTACCCTTCTCCATCGAGTTGCATGCATGAGGTCATTTCGACTCCCCTGCGCAGAACACTTCCGCCCATCAACCCAACCAATTCAACCAACCCAGCAAACATACAAAGTACATCCCAACCTCGACGAATCATCCGGTGGCCGTGACATTGCTCGTGTGGAGAGTTCAACATTGGAATTTCGGCCTTGCTTTCTCGAAAGGCGGTTACTTGTTTCTGTGCAATACTTTCATCACCCATCACACCCACCCTCAGACGCCACTCTACATACGTACGACAACGACGAGGCCGACGTTCAACAAGGACAGTACTACCGAGACCCTTTCCCGCCCTGTTGGAGTACCGCACGCGCCAACACCGTGAACGTCGCCATTTGGGTCATATCTGCCCCACCACCCGTCAGATTTCTATCAGGTCAGCCTTTGTCAGGCAAATACACTGCAACACCAGCGAGCATCGAGACGTCCGCTCATCAGCATAGCCTGGCCACCTAAGAGTATAAGGACCCGCCGGTCGGACGCATTCCTCTGTGCCGAATTTCTGAGAAAGGGAACCCTTGAGCTTGCGCGCGCCACTGCCGGGCATGAGTGTTGCGCTGTAGGAAGACACATCAGGGCTTCAGCAATAGGATGAGATTACAGTCTCGCAGGACAACCGTTGGGACTCCATCATGGAGACGACCTTTATATCGATCCATGGTTTGCATGACCCGTAGCATGATCGCGTCGAGTTTACGCGACTGACATTCTGGCTTAGACCTTTCGGATCAGGCCATCACCCTCTACACATCAGACTCGGTCGTCGACGTCCTCGGCTACACCCCCGAAGAACTCGTCAGCACATCCGCATGGGATCACTTCCATCCCGATGAACTGCCCCTAGCCCAGCACATCCATGGCAAGAAGATCAAGGCCGACAAGGCGGCTGTTCTGGCATATTGTCGGATCCGAAATAAGTCAGGCGAATGGGTGGGCTGCGAATGCTGCTTCTCCATCGTCTACGATGTCATGATAGCATGTACGAGCGTTTACCAGCGCGGACTCAGCAGTGAGAGTACGTGAACACTGCCACGTGCCGTTTCAGCCGAGCGAATTGACTGACACATGGCAGAGCGAGCATTGGAAGCCCCTCTCGTCCGGCGTTGTTTCTCCTCGTCGCCGGAGGATCCTCGTTACCACATGTTGTCGTACATCTCCACGAAACTAACCCAGCAGGTGACGCCGACACAGCATGAGCCACGAGCTGCGTTGTTCCTCAACCGATTTACGCGAACGCTGACCATCATGTATGCCACTAGCGGGCTCAAGGATATTGTCGGCATCCCTGCAGAGGAGATGCGAGGTCGCAGTTTCTACTATTGCATTGCAGACAACTGCGTCCAAGATGCGGTCAAATGCTTGGAGAATGCCAAAGCCAATAATTCAATGGCCTATCTACGATTTTGGTTCCGGGACCCACGGTTGAGCGATGAACCTCAATCGTATGAGGAGAGCGACAGCGACGAGGAGATGACGACTGACGCGAGTGACACTTCCACGGAAGGGGTCGCCGATGAAGACCTTGACGATCAGGAGGACTTGTATACCAATTCCGCTGACCATGGCAAGCAAGCCGAATCGTCGCGGCGTATGGACCTAGACGAGGACGGCAGCAAGTCACGTTCACGAAATTCGTCCGGCGAGAGCACAAGGGAAGGCGACACACACGAATCGATTTTCGGGCAGGCATTGTACGAAGAATCCTCGGCGTCATCAATGGGTGGCTCATCTGACGCCGACCGACGCTCTCCGACCTTTCTCCGCCACGATCCCGTTGAACTTGAAGCCGTTATTTCGTGCGCCTCGGATGGGCTCGTTGTTTGTCTCCGGCGTGCGCGACCCTTGATGCCTCTTCCAACACAGCGGCCTTCAAGACCGCGATATTCTAACGGTCTCTTCGCTGCACCTTGGGCCACGGAGCCCGTGGTTCTACCACAGCAATCGGATCGGCGTCAGAATACTGGCAGCGGCCATGCGTTTTCATCCACCTCGCCTGCAAACCCAGCGCTGGCATCTCAGCGCGGAGCTGCTTCTCCACCGGGAGGTCCCCGACGAGATGACTTCATGTATGCGATCCGGGAGCAGGCCATCTTCGCGTGGGCTCTCACGGGGATCAACGGCTCTCTTTATAAGCACAAACTAGGGGTGCCGACTGGCGAGTCGCTACCTGAGGCTGGCATTCCCATCTGGAACGATGACCCTGATCGGAAAGACGACTCCGACAGCGATCATAACCAAAACTATGGATCATACCAAAACTCAACACAGACGATGATGGCGACCGCAGCCATCACCGCCACGCAGCTTTCGACGCGCGCTCGGGGTGGTCGTGGCTACGGCCCGCAGATCTTTGGCGATCCTGGCCTCGACGGCAAGAACTCAGGGAGGAATGCCCACGGTTCATGACCTTGGAAGGATGGCTGTGGTCCGCGTGTAGCGTCACTAGATCGTCTTCGATGACAGAGCTGTCGAGTTTGAGCGGTTGCTACCTTTCTGAGGTGTATCTTGTTGATCCAGCCCCCTGGTCCTCGCAGTCCGCAATGCTCGCGAGAGACGCCTGTCGAAAGCTCGACAATATCGATTCGCAAAAGAACCGAACCAAAAGCTCAAGGAATATCCGATGATCCAAAAGAGCAGAAACGCGCATGACTGTTGTTGGTCAATGCATTTCTTGGAAATGGCAATGACTTGCCTAACGACTGAAATGATCATGAATTACCTCTGCGGGGACGAATGGATGTTTAGCGCGATTTTGCATACACTGGTGCACTTTTTTTTCTCTGTGGGTCGCATGTCTAACGGCAGCTTGTTTTATCTTTTCGAGGGCTGCACATATCAGAAATATGACCTTTGCGGCGCAAGCGATCGTTCCTGAAAGGCATGTCTCTGTGACTTGCGGAGAAGCCTGCGTGGTTTGATTGTTTACGATGGATTTGACAGAACATCGCTATTGGAAATTCCATCGCAATTGCCAGAAGCGCCATTACCTAGTTACATTTAACTGTGAAGTTCCCTCGTGCTGATCTTTGATCTTTGATTATTTCAATATTAAGCGATGAAAATTACGACCTGGAAACGTTCCCAACGTCGAGATCGTCCTTGCTAGCAACAGGCGAGTCACTGACCGACTCTTGTGCTTGCCGTGGATGACGACGCTGCCACGCGCTCAGCCGTTCTGCAGCTTTGATCTGTGCCGCTTCCTTGCGGACACGACGTTCTTCTCTCCACCGCGGCCCGTATCTCTGCAATACCCACAGAATCGGACTCAACACCAGCAACACCAGCGCCACGAAAGTGAAGCACCACCCCCGGCCCATCGCATCGATCATGTACAGGACGATTGCCGTCGCGCCCGCGCCCATGAGGCACCGGACCAGATTGTTCGCGGCGGCCGCCGTGGCCGGGTTCTGCGGGTAGAGATCGACGACCAACACGCTCAACGTGTTGAACGCCGACGTCAGCGCCAGGCCCGCGAAGAACATCATGACGAGCGGCACGGCCAGGTGCGCGTTCGCCTCCATGGCCCAGCCGTAGCCGAGCGTGGCCAGGATGCCGACCGCCGTGGACGGCAGCGCGATCTGCACGCGCGCCAGCTCGATCGGGAAGGACCGGAGGTCGTTGGCCTGGCCCGGGACGACCTCGTACCCGACCCTCCGCGCCGTGCGTCGGAAGTTCCAATCTACGAGCCGGCCGGTCACGATCGAAGCGAGGAAGGATCCGATGCCGATGGGCAGAAAGCACAGGCCGACGTGCAGGGCGTCCAGACCGTAGATCTCGGGCAGGAGAAGGGCCGCAGAGGTCATGATGTCGTAGGTCGCGCAGTACACCATCGAGTTGTAGAAGAGGAGGAGACCGACATCCTTCTCCAGCACGACGCCGAGGGAGCCCAAGGGGTTCGGGATGTGCAGAGGTCGGCGCGGCGGGGGTGCTGTCGTCTCGGCTCCTCCGGTCTTACGTTGTCGCTTGTTTCTGAAGTAGTCTAGCAAATTCATGTTCCAGCCACGGGGTGGGATTGAACCATTGCCGACGACGTTACGTCCCGTCTCTGGAACGAACAGCGCGAAGGGCACGACGAACGCGCCTGCGAGGATGAGCAGGAACCTGCCACCAGACGTCAGCGTTGATCAACAGCAGGCGTGCACATCACGTTCAAGCCGTACCAAAAGATCCATCTCCATCCAAGTAGCTCGGTGAAGACGCCCCCCAGCACGGGGGCAATCGCCGGGGCAAACATCGCACTGGATGTGGCCCATCCCATGAATGTCCCTCTTTCGGCGCTCGTGCACATATCCGCCACAACCGCCGACCCCAATGCGATCGTACTCGACGACCCCGTTGATTGCAGGCAGCGTAGGATCAGCAGAGCGACAAAAGTGTTGCTATTGGCGAGTCCGGCGTTGGCTGCGAGATAGAGGACAAAGCCGATGATATAAGCGGGCCGCCGTCCAGCCATGTCGGCGAAGTCGCCGAAGATTGTCGGTGCGAGTCCTTGGAAAATCATGTAGGAAGTGAGGGTTAGGTTCATGACGCTCTCAGATGTGTTGAAGTCTTTGGACAGGGTCTCCAACGCGGGAAAGTAGATGTTGGCGCTCAATGGGGAGAAAAAGCTGGCGACGGAGACCATGACGACGATCCAACACTTCTGTCGATAGGTGAAAACCGACCATGGCGTTGGCAGATTTTGTTGATCCTTCGAGGCTTTCTCGACGTCGTGGTCTCCCGGCGATTGCTCCCGCAGTGGGTTGTCATCTCGACAGATCGAGGTCGTGCTGGCGCGGCTTGAATACTGCGGTACCTCAGCCGTAGCTTTAGCCGCTTCAGGCGCCGCCTCCATTATATCGATTTCAAGATCGTTGCTCAGTATCGGAAGATGTTCCGAACCTTTCTTCAATTGGTAGTAACAAGTACAAATGACCAGGTACCGATGAGCGAATGAAATCAAATGTGATTAGTAAAGTATCATTGTCTTCATATTTACAGATTTATCACGATGTTAATGTATCAAAAGCAAACAGCCGCATTCGGGACGTGTTTCCGGCGTTTAGAACATTACTCCGTGATGGGAAAGTTTCGGTCCCATTGCAGGTGGCAATGTATATGGACCTCCGACGTCAATAGGCGCATATTCGCGGTGTAGCCGCCGCTATCGGCATCATGGCCCTGCATTTCTGCCGCATCAGCCGACGGGCGGTATATGCCCGCATGCTCCGACAGTACGTGATATGTACTCGGATTTCATCGCACCTGGGCACATTTGATTGCGGCTCTTCAGTCAGCAAGTGCAGACGGTCGATCCTAATCAGAGGCCAACTTCCTTGGTGGAAGTATGAACGTAGGACCAGGAAGTCGATCTCTAGCCTGTGCGGTGTGCAGCATCGGATCGGAAGAGGGAGAGCATGCTCACTGCATCGACCGCCTGCGACCGACAGCGACCGGTCGAATACTCGGATCCCAGCTCTGTCACAAATGTGCTGAGAGCTCTTCGGTCCGAAAAACGGCTTAAAGCATTGCAAGGATCCATGCATGCTTCTTAAGATGGCAGGATCACCCGCGCTTAATGGCTTTCAGCGATGACGGGGTGCTTGTCAAGTACGGGGTACGATAAGACTTCCAAGATTTTCGGGAGCGACTTTACTGCTATTCTCAAGTTGGCTCTCCAGGGCTGTCAAGGTATGACATAATACCTCGCCAGCCAATTTCGCACATTGAGCCAGTGCCAGGAATGCCATGCGGCCTCTCAAGTGATTATCTCCAGGTGAACTCAGACCGGTACAATGGATATCACCGCCGACTTCAATGTCTGTCTCAAGCAGAAGGGAGCGCAGCCAATCACAAAGAAGAGCTACGACTTGAAGACCATCAACTCGTTCCTACAAGAAGCCTACGAGATTGTATGCGCTCTGACAGAAAGTGCGAAGGGGCATCGTGATACTGATTCTTAGTAGAATATCCGAATCGCTGAACTCACGCGGGAATTGCGCTCCATCCGGCCACGATATCTTTCAACAGCGCTGCCCCAACGACGAAAACATATCGCAACAGCGAGCGACGGCCATGACCGGACACGTCCACTAACCAACGCTGAACGAGACGAATTTGACGCACAATCTAAGCTCCTCCTCCGACAGCTGAATGGCGCAATATCTGGTCTCAAACAGGCAGAGGATGTAAGGAAACAGGCCGTGGACTCTATCGCTCTTTCAAAGCGTGCGCGTGGTGGTCTTGGCGGGCTGGGAAGATGGGCCGCCGGTGGAGCCATCACGGCCAAGTCGCCGGAAGAAGAGTTGGAACAGGCGCAAGCCACGACCCTGGCTGAGGTGCGCGAAAGCATCACGTACTACCTGCAGAAGAGCTTGGAACGCGCGAGCAGGGCGCAGACAGACATGATGGATGTGCGGTTGAGCAGAGAGCTGGAGAAGTCCAAATCAATACTCGCCAAGTCTGCCATGAATAGCCGCGTGTCCACATATCACGGCGACTACAACTCCAATGCCAAGGCAACAGATATCGAGTTGCAGTCTGAGGCCTCCGGTTCCAACGAGCATGCTCCTGGCGGACCTCTCACCCAAGAGCAGCGCCAGCAATTTGCAGAAGAGAACCACGCGCTTCTCAAGCATTACGAAGATCAGCTTGATCAAGTCCGGACGGCGGAACGAAGCATTCTGGAGATCAGCGAGATGCACAGTACACTGCACGCCAGCCTCCAACAACAGAGTGAACACATCGACCAACTCGTCCAGGATTCCTTCCTGACCACTGAAAACATAGGGAGAGGAAACAAAGAGTTGAAAAAGGCCAGCGAGCGGAGGAGCGCGGCTCAGGCTTTGTTCTACTCGACTGTAGCGTTCTGTTCTTTCCTCGTCGTCTGGGATCTTATATTTTGATCGCGGCCAGCCTTGTTGAAGGCCTAACGTGCCACGGATACATGATGAATGAGATGATGAAACAATGCGAGGATGATCGATCGTCAAGGTGTAGTCTAGCGTGAAACGAGATATCAATGACGAATGCCTCCAGGGCATGGACTCAAATGAGGTTGAATTATTACCCTAAGGACGAGGAAATGCCCAGGTGGATCGCTGACGGGCGCAGCCATCGGCGCTAACGAATACCGCACAGGTATTCAGCAAACGGGACAACTCGTGGACCGTCACAAATGTGCTCGCGTGAGCACAACACACTTCAATATGACAGACTTCCTGATCGTGTTGGTGAAGCGAACGATAGCAATTTCTTTCTGCGGAGAAATGTCGTCGTCAGGAAAATTGGAGGGCGACGAACGTGAGCAAACAGACTTCCAAGCCGCATGCGCGAATTTGGGCCCCCCAGACGGCACAGTTGGTCGGCCCGGCCGCAGGACGCTCTGCGATTGCCACACATGACGACTTGGGCCGAGGCGTTCAGCGTAGGCTCTCTCTCTCTCGCAACGAACCTCGCTCCCGCATGGGAAATTATCCCTTACGGCCGCGTTGGTTCATGATGCCGAAGGTGATCGCATGTTTCCCCGTCCGTTTTGCATCGAGGGAATGAACACGATCGGAGGGGCCCCGCAGAAAATGCCCACAGTAGAACATTTTAGGACGACGGACGTTGCTCTAAGAAAAGCATGTCTCGCGACTTTAGGCCGATCGCCCACCCATCGTGGAATCACATACCTGGTGGTACATTTCGTGTCGACGGCCGATAGACCGATGTACCAATCAGGAAACAGCTCTTTGGCGGTTGGTTGGCATCCCTTATGTTGCGTGACCGACGCAAGCACCTTTACGAGGGCTGCTATGTGACTCATGAGTCATTACTTCGTATGGGCCTTTGCAGTAGTATCGAGAGATCTATTCTCAGCACCAACTTCTCCCGGCTCGCGAGGTTCACCAGAAGTTGATCTATGCCTTCGAGGAGAATATGGAAAGTTATAGATTTGCAAAATAAGGTGCTAGGCTGAATCCTGCCAAGAGGGAGAGGGACGGTATGGTCCCGTACAGTCGACAGTCTTGCCGGCATTCCAATAGAGTTCAGCTCTGTGCAGTCGCCGGTCGCGCCGTGCACATCACCAATGCAGCACATGTGCCTTGCTTCTTTCTGATGCGTATACATCACGGGCACAACGGAGAACATGCCGTACTTTTCGCTCACATGCTCGTGTGGTGTATGTAAGTCATACTTGGGTACTGTGTCTGTCAACGACTTTCACCAGCAGCAGAAGCAGCCAAGTCTCCGCGATGTTGCAATTGCATGCCTTGGCGATCGGATAGCGAACGTCGTGACGATCACGCATCATGATGCAACATGTTGAAGTCCGTCCTTGGCCCGTCCAGATGCTCCGCGACACCAGCCAAGTGCTCCCTGGATCATATCGGGAAAACGGGCGCGCAGTGTTCAGCGGAGGCAGCCAGGTGGGTGGCGTCAGGTCTACATCACCGAATTTGACGTGTACGCTCGGCGAATGTCTGATGACCCGTTCGGCATACGTACCCGCTACGGGCATGCAGTAACAAATGTTGCGAGATGTGAGGAAGAGGAGTCTTCACCGCATTATGATCATGTCTGCAATTGGACATGGGTGTATATCTTACAGATAGGGTAGGGGATGGGAGGACGGACGACAATTGCTGCAAAAGGTGGAATGTGTGTGAATCACGATAAGATTTCCACACACGATACCGATTGAAAGTGCCTCGGCATCGAGAGGGGCCAGGCAGTGTGCGCGCCTGGTGGATGGGGCGTAAAATGGCAGCGCAGCGCAGCGCAACGCAACGCGAGGCAAGGCAACGCAGCAGGCGTGACTCGGGCGAGAGTCCCTGGCCGGCTGGCGTCTGTGTATTTTTACTGGCTTGTTGATTAGTTCTGTAGGGGGCAGGTTGTCAGGCTGACCATCGTCACATGCGCAGGTTCCGAGGATAGAAACTGAGAAATCGACAGGACGAGGGAAAAATGGCCCGTCTGGTCTCACGATGATGGGGTGCTCATGACTATTTGATTATGCGAGAGGGAAATTGTCTTCTGGACCACCCTGCACTGTGATAACAAATGTGAATATAACTGTGCGACCCGTCCGTCTCGCGATAGTCACTCGATCTCTTCTTCTTTTCCCTCCGTCTCCTCCTTCCTGGATTGCCATTGTTACTACCGGCGTATCATAACTACTACCAGCATCGGCACCGCCTACACACCTGCACACACTCACACCCTCATACTGTGAAAGTGCGCTGCTGCTACTGCTATCACTACTACTGTCGCCACCACCACCACACAAATTTCTCTCAGGTCTCGCTTTCCGGTTTTGCATTTAGCCGCGGTTTCTGCACACACACCACGAGACCCGTACAGTCACCATCCACAGCGTACCTGTGCCTGTACCTGCACGTCATCCGTCTTTTCACCCGTTGCGCCGGCAGGAGCGGAAAGACCCCGAATTCACCACCACCCCATAATAATCACTCTCGCCAATCTCTCACCACTTTCACAATGTCCGTAGTTCCTTCAACCGCGGGCGACCGCATTCGCCAAATTACCGCCCACATCAGTGTGAGCGAATCGAAGATCGAGACCATGGCCACAAACTTCGATGCCGCCGCTGTGCCTCAAGCACCCGAGGATCCGCTCTTCGGTCTGATGGCCGCCTACCGCAAAGACACGGATCCCAAGAAGGTTGACCTCGGAATTGGTGCATACCGTGATGACAACGCAAAGCCATGGGTCTTGCCCGTGGTCAAGCAGGTAATTCATTACTTCCAATGTCTATACGGATTGACCCTAGGGCTCAGGCTGACTTGAAATTCACCCATGCAGGCAGAAGAAATCCTTCGTCGGGATCCTGAGCTCAACCACGAGTACCTGCCCATTGCCGGTCTCCCAGCCTTCACCGCTGCCTCGCAAAAGTTGATCCTGGGCAAGACTTCCGCTGCCATCGCAGAGAAGCGCGTCACCTCGTTTCAGACCATTTCCGGAACTGGCGCTGTCCACATGGGCGCGCTGTTCCTCTCAAAATTCTACAACCCCGCAAACCCTGCCGCAAAGGTCTGCTACGTCAGCAACCCAACATGGGCCAACCACAACCAGATCTTCAGCAACGTCCAAATCCCCGTGAAGACCTACCCATACTTCTCAAAAGCGACCAAGGGCCTCGACTTTGATGGCATGATCGGCGCGTTGAACAGCATCCCCGAAGGCAGCATCATCCTCCTTCACGCATGCGCACACAACCCAACAGGTGTCGACCCGACGCAAGACCAATGGAAGGCCATCGCCGAGGTCATGCGCGCGAAGCACCACTTCCCCTTCTTCGACACCGCATACCAAGGCTTTGCATCGGGTTCGCTAGAACGTGACGCCTGGGCCATCAACTACTTTGTCGAGCAGGGCTTTGAGTTGCTCATTGCGCAGTCATACGCCAAGAACTTCGGTCTCTACGGCGAGCGTGCCGGCTGCTTCCACTTCGTCACCTCGCCTGCACCTCAAGGCTCTGAGGTCGCGGCCCGTGTCGCAAGCCAGCTCGCCATTCTCCAGCGTTCAGAGATCTCAAACCCCCCCGCATACGGTGCGCGGATCGCATCACTCATCCTCAACGACCCCAAACTCTTTGCTCAGTGGGAGCAAGATCTCCGAACCATGTCCGGCCGTATCATAGAGATGCGCAAGGTCGTCCGATCAAAGCTCGAGCTTCTCGGCACACCTGGCAAATGGAACCACATCACCGACCAGATTGGCATGTTCAGCTTCACAGGCTTGAACGAGCAGCAAGTCCAGCGATTGAAAGAGAAGTTCCACATCTACATGACCAAGAACGGTCGCATCAGCATGGCTGGTTTGAACACCAAGAACGTTGACTACTTTGCACAATCCGTCGACAGCGTCGTCCGGGAGTCGTTGTCATCGTAGTCGGTGGTGTGATCTGGGTGGATTGCGATTGAAGTTCGAGGTACGGGAGATGATTTGTGGTACACAAATTTTGCCGCAAAGGCTTTCTTTGGCAGGAGGGCACGCGAGCAGCTGCGGCCCAATCCCGAATTTTCCATTTGTAGTATACGTTTAGAGGGCATGGGCTGGCGTCTCCTCGTCCATTGTGGCACGAATATGATATGCTTTCAATTTCAACACGCTTGTCTCAATATCTCGAGTTGGGAACGAAATGGCCATGCGCCGTAAAATTGTGTGGTAGTCGATGGCCTGCTCGACACCTCGTGTGGTGGCCTCGGAAGTCCGCGGTTCTCCGCATGCGTAGTATGCGTCTGACATTGATTACTGCCGCGGCCAACACGGCAAGTGAGGAGATGCATGACGGTCGCAAATTGCTACAGCATTGACCGTGGTAGTCTCTGGGTGAATGACAAACACTTGGCACTGTGAACTCTGCATCAAGTTCTGAGCCATGATTGTCCAACAGTTACATGGGTCCCAAAGCAATTCGTGAGTGACCCAATCCGGGTAGAGGGGCTGATCGAAAGATGCGGCTCTGTGCGCAATGCAATGCGGCTGCTGCCATTAGCTGCCGTGGAACATTGCACCAACCACTGGCGTCTTAAAACTGCATGCGACCAAAATTTTGAATCCATGGCTCCGCAGATATCGACCTGTTGAGCATCAACAAAATACCGAAGACATGTTTGCAGTCAAAGGATGGGCCGTCGATGCGAGCGCATTGAAGCCTCAGTCAGAACCATTCAGGAACAATGTCAACGCCCCGACTGCTGATGCGTCGGCCGACGGCGCAGATGCGCAAGAAAGTCGGAGAAAGCGGAAACGAGGCGGCGAGCCAGCAGCCCAGAATATGGATGTCGGGAAGTTGTGGGAACAACACATTGAGGGCAAAAAGCCAAAGAAGGTGAAGACACAAGAAAAATCGAAACCGGAATTGCCGGTCGTGAAGGTAGAAGCGCCCGTCGAGCCTCCAAAGCCGGCGCAGGCGAAGAAGAAGAATGCTGCGCCCCCGGTTGCGGCAGAGGAGCCTTCGCAGAAACGCGCAAAGTCGGAGAAGAAGTCAAAAGAGAAGGCGCGCAAGGAATCGGATAAGGCTTCCAATGGCGTACAATCTCGCTCAGATCAGCAACAAAAATCAAACGGAAAGAAGTCAGTCGTGAAGGTTGCAGAACCTTCAGCGCTCAAACTCACGCCTATGCAAGCCGCAATGCGCCAAAAGCTGATTTCAGCACGATTCCGACATCTGAATGAAACGCTGTATACCGAGCCGTCAGCGAAGGCGCTGGATCTGTTCAATCAGAATCCCGAGATGTTTGAGGACTACCATTCCGGGTTCCGGCAGCAAGTCACCACCTGGCCCGAGAACCCCGTGGACACCTTCATCAGTGTGATTCGTTTGCGTGGAAACGTGCGACTACCATCGCAGAAAAAGGTCTTCCGCAACAAAGGAAAACCGAAGGAACCCGAGCTTCCGCCAGCCAATACCGATCGGTCTGTCGTACCGTTGCCTCGCACCAAAGGTACCTGCATTATCGCCGATTTGGGCTGCGGCGATGCACGGTTAGCGCAGACTTTGAAGGATTCCGGTGACGGTGCCAACTTGAGTTTACGAGTGCATTCATACGATCTACATTCACCATCGCCGCTGATCACCAAGGCCGACATCTCCAACATTCCTATCGGTGATGGCAGTGTCGATGTCGCAATATTCTGTCTCGCTCTCATGGGCACGAACTGGATCTCATTTATTGAAGAGGCTTACCGCATTCTGCATTGGAAAGGCGAACTGTGGATCGCAGAGATCAAGTCCCGCTTTGGACGAATCGGTCGCGCCGGGAGAGTTGTTGAACACAGCGTCGGCGGTAAGCGGAAGATGGCCGCGTTGAAGAAAGCACAGGACGCGAAGAAGCGAGAAGCGGACGATGTCAACGAGCAGGAAGTGCTGTCTGTGGAGGTGGACGAAGTACCGGTCAAGAATGAGGAGACGGATGTGACTGCCTTTGTCGAGGTTCTGAAGCGTCGTGGATTTTTGCTTAAAAACGAGGAGAGCAGTATTGATTTGAGCAACCGGATGTTCGTACGCATGGAATTCGTCAAAGCGGCGGCGCCGACGAAGGGTAAGGGAAAACCGGATGAGCCTGCCCGACCGTCTCAGCCCAAGTTCAGAACGAAGGCTAAGTTCCTCGACGAGGACAACAACGAACCGGCGACGGATGACGAGGCTAAAGTGTTGAAGCCATGTTTGTATAAAATCAGATAGATCAGAGGAGCAGCATCACTGCTTATGAAAACGCAGAGCATGCCATGATATTCATAAATACCAGTCGCTTCGTGGATGAGCGCAAACATCTCATTCTTTAATCGCCACTGCTCTCAATCGTACGTAGTTTAGCCAGAGCGTTCCATCCTCCTTCGTAATGACAGGTCCGAGAATATCACATACTTCCTTGACCACTTGATCCCGCTTACCTCGTGGAGCCGCCTGCAGGAACTCAGCGCACATCAGCCTGACCCAACCCTCGAGACCTCCCGTACCAGCCTCATTCGCAGGCGTGAGCTCCGTAGGCCTGTATACAAGATGACACTGCTTCACGCGGAACCCGGCGTCCGAGAGGTACTTCTGCATCGCTTCCGCGCTGGGGAAAAACCACGGCGACGACGCCTGCACTTCGGATGACGAGAGACCGGCGTGCACCAACGACGAGATCATCGACGCGTGGACCTCCCTGATGCAGCCGAACCCTCCCATCTCGAAAACCAGCTTCCCGCCTGGTTTCAGCGCGCGGTAGACGTTCGGAAAGAACGCCGATCGGGTCGTTGGGTCCCGGAGGATCCAGTGTAGGGCTGCGTTGCTGAAGACCTTGTCCCACGATCCGGTCATTGCGTCGGAGCAGGCATCTAGTGCCCGAGCATCGTGCAGGACGTAGGTGCAGTTGGGAGCTGAAAAGCTCTTGGCGGCTGTGTCGATGAAGGACGGCGACGAGTCGATTCCGAGCACTCTACCTGACGAAGCGGTCTGGGCGATCTGGGCTGTGAGTTGCCCGTCGCCGCATCCGATGTCGAGGATGTGGTCGTCGTGTTGGACGTCGAGCTCTGCGAGGATGGCTGACGTGAGTTTGGGAACGAAGCTAGCGGCTGCATCGTACGCTTGAGCATTCCATCGATCTTTCGCTACGGGGTCTGATCCGACCATCTTGCCAGTTCAATTCCCGTCTTATATCGCGGTGTAGCTTTTCGCTGTGATGAATCACTGATGTCAAAAGTGAAGAGCGAAAACCTATCCTCTTAGCACGTAGATAGAAGAGAGCTCCAAGCTGCTGGCTCTAGAAGGAAGCTTGCACAGAGAGGACATTTCGGACCTGTTCCCTCAATCCCTATTCTGCCGTTTCTTTTTACACATCCTTTCGCACTTCCGCGACAATGGCAGCCAACGAACCAGGCCACCTGCTCGAAGAGCCGTCGCATAATCCAACTGGGACGACTTCATCTGAGGAATCTACCAGAATAAAAGCCCCGAAGCCAAATCCCAGCGCGTCTGAAGTCACTATCAAAAAGCCGACTTGGGCATATATCCACCTCCAGCATTTAGGTCCGCCCAGCGAAAAAGGGCAACCTCTCGATGCTGTCACCGCTCAACTCCATCTGTCAGCTGGTCTGAGGGCCTTCCTAGGCCTGCACGGTACGGCAATTCCAGTTGATTTCCTGAAGATCGAAAACCAACAAGTCTGGATACGGGTGCCCGCGGAAGATTGCCAAGCAGTCGTTGCGGCTGCTGGGGGTTGGTCCGACTCTCGCGGTCATGGCTGGCGCGCAAGAGGCTGGAGCTTTTGGAGCGCGAGCGTCGCCGGGCGAGACGCTGGTCAAGATCTATTCGACGGCACATGATCGGCAGACATAAAGGTCTCCTCAGGCTCTCGGGACGAAAATGCTCCGTCGTCGAGTGGCTTTTTCGAACACCGATTACGAGACCATGTGATTCAGCGTGTCTACATCAGCAACGAGTCTGCATATCGGATGTACTGTGTTTCTTCATACAAAAAATATCAGCGATACTAGCGAGAGCAGTCAAAAACAAAGCAATATGACGCTCCCGCAAGCAGCTTCTCATACAGGGGCGTAAAAGTGAAGGAATACAAGAGAACCAAGAAAGGCGCGTAAAGCAAGCAATCTCCTAAAGTCAACCATCAACCTCCATTTCTCCACCTTGGGATCCTGTGCCCCCAGCAGTTTCGGGTTGGCCTCCAATCAATGCGTCGAACGCAGCATTGTTACTTGCTAGTTCTGCGTCACCCAGCCCTTCTATGCCACTAGCATTGATGATGTATTTCTCCCTGATGAAATTCTCATGATACGCCAGGGCTTGTTTTGCCGACTCGATGTCGTTGGCGCGTTCTGCTGGCAGTGCATGGAAGCCTTCTTGCGTGCCGATCTGGAAGAAGGCACGATAGTTGTTGACCGCGATGCGAATGTTGAGTTTCTCCTCGTTCTTCACATCGAACATGCGGTTCCGCTCAGCTACAATTTCCTCCTGACTGGGTAATGCGGCGTCGGATCCAGGACTGATCCCATGGGTGCTCGGCAGAAATACTGTCTTGGTGCGAGTCACGTCGACGCCGTCTGTGTCATCGAGTGAAGTGTATGACGCAATGTAATAGCGCCAGCGGTTCTCCGCATCGATCTCGTCGCTGATGAGTATGTCCTTCTTGGCAAGGTATATTTTGACTTTACTTGAAGCCGGCTCCTATATATATCAAGTTAGTTGGCACATTCATGTGACATGTGACCGGCACTCCGTTTCAACTCACAAAGTCAATCCGATAAAGCTCTGCGTCCTTGATCATCTTTTCAACGGCTTTGCGATAATCCGTCTGTTGCTGTGCCGTGACCAAAGGCTTGATACGGTCTTTCTTAAAAGCCTGAAAGATGTCGGCTGACTTGTCTTTGGCCTCGCTGTTCATGACCTGCACCGCGGTGCGGGCCAGTGTGGCCACGAGCTTTTCAAAGCCATAGAGAGTGTAGCCGGATTGCAGGTAGAACCGACGCAGACAATCTTCAATCTCTGCAAACTCGACACCTCCCTGCAAGCACGAGTCGAACTTGTTTAGCATCTGAGCGTAGTAGTCTGCATCAGGGCGTGTATCCTCGAAGAAATCCAGAGGCACTTTGTCCACGATGCCCAACTCTACTGCCGGCTTCGCCATCTGTCCATTGAGCACCGTCTCGCGTACGCTCGCCTCGGCGAGTTTGAGCTTCAGAAGGCGTTCGTAAAAGGTGATGAACAATCGAAGGAAGCAGTAGATTGTGGTGTTGGCCCAAAAGCGGTATGACTCTCGTTTCTGAGGTTCATGAGGGTTGACATCTTGTGCTCCATGCCTGTTTCCGGTAGTGGGGTGGTCTAGCCATCGGGAAGGGTTGGAATTCTGTAGGAGCTCAGAATCGTCTTGACCGTCGACGACCATATCGTCGTCAGCGTTGGAGGAGACCTCAGGGGTCGTCGCGCGACTGCCGGATGCATGACTTTCCTCGCGCTCTCGGCGCCCGGCTTTCCTACCACGGCCTAGAGCTGCACGTAGCAAGTTCCCGGTCTTGAGCGGAGCCTTTTGAGTCTTGGCCGAAGAGGTTTCTTCTCCACCAGACACGACGTCATCTACGGATTCGTTCTGCGGCGAACGGTTCAACTTTTCCTCTATCCTCTCGCGGAAGAGATCCGTATGCAGACCAAAGAACAATGCAATGAAATCGCGGACAAAGCCGGATAATCGCGGGTGATCTGTCGAGAATGCCTCATCAATGTGTCGCAAGATAAGGTATGTAGCGTCCACCACAACGTCGGCATCCTCCACGACAAACTCCATTTGCGGGTTGCGTAGAACTCCCGGGGTCGCGTTGTTGGCGCGCTTCATCTCTTCGTATTTGACCTGGATCTCACTCTGCAGCGTCTTGGTCTGGAACTGCCGGCGCTCACTCAGTCTTAATGAAACAGCTTGATGGTCCAAAGATTTCCAGAACATCTTTTGTGTCTGTTCACGCCAGATCTTTTCCCACTCACGTTGAGCTATCTTCCAGGTTTCGAGCCGTTCCTTCAGTCTATTCAACAGAACGGGAATGACTTGGTACGGCCGATGATGTAATGATTCGATCACTTCTTGGCCCTTCTCTCGTCCGTACAGCTTCATGATCACACGCTTGTATATCATTTCGCTTTGTCCACCAAGATTCGGCGGAAGCTTGTATTTGTGAACAGCAGCATCATCCATGCGTCGGAGTTGAGTAGCGATAGGTTCAAGCAGCTGGATCGTACGGCTGCACGCCTCAATGTTGTAATCATAGTCATGGCGCTCTTCTTCGATACGGTGCAGGCCCTCCTCGTGGACGTTCTTGCGATGAGCGATGAAACCGGAGTCCTCAGACGCCCATGTAGGATGCGAAGCCCATTCGTCGTTGAGGACCTGATTACAAAGCTCGTCGCGACCACTGCAAACTTTTTGGCGCTCTCGCTTGGGCAGGAGACGGTAACTCGGACCAAGACCCCGGCAATTGCTCAGCGTCACCCTTCCAGGAGGGATTCGTGGCTTATTCTCGACTAGTATGTCACGTTCATCATAGCCGACCCATTCAGAAAACCACTTCAGCAGATCAGGGCTGGCGCCGAGGAAAGTTCGTGCACGATGCATCAATGTTGATCGATCGATGAGATCTTGCGCAAACAGGTTGCACAGCTTGAGAAACTCATTCATGACATTCTTGTTACTGATGACCTTTTTAGCCTTGTCAAAGAAGGCCAGCTCTTCGCTCGTAGCAGCCGATGTCGTTGTGGGCTCAATCGGCATTGGCAAAGCCGGCACCAATGTAGGCGATGTTGCGACCTCGCTGGACACTTTCGGAGCACTGTGAATGGTCTTTGTGCGTTTCCCAGATTGTCCAGTGGGCAAAACCTTGCTTGCGCTGGGTCCGGGACCAACATCTGGGGTAGCGCCAGGGTCGGGGCGATCAACACGCTTGCGCTTATTGTCTTTCGAGACAGATGTAGGTGCAAAATTTCCAACCGGTGGAAGGCCGCCTCGATGGACTGGGGTGCCGACATGAGGCTCACGAGACATAACCGGGCTGCCATATGCTGGTGCGGGATCACCGCGCACGTTGGAAATAGGAAGATTCTCCTCAGCCAGGCGTGCGCGTTCAGCAGCTTTGGCTTGAGCCGCAGACTCCGGCAAAAATTGTTTGAAATCATCAAGAAGATCTGGAGCTGTCTTGAACAAATGTGTTACTTGAGTGTAGACGTCTTGGATGGGTTTTGATTCGCGCTGATAAGTTTGCAGGATTTCCAAAAATTGCTTGTAAATGTCCGGGTGTGCAGCGAAGCGTGTTTTGATTTTATTGACATAGCTTATGGCATGGTTAAACTCGACAGGGCCGCGACGTTCCGCGCCAGACTGTCCTTGAGCTTGGGCGTCTAGCGAAGAACCAGCGGCGGACTCTTGCACGTTCAAAGGTGGCGGATGTGGCGACATGCCAGCACGAGGAGGCGCCCCAGTAGAAGCAGCAGACACCGCATTCTGTAGTGAGTTTGCAACGCGTTGTTCGGATTGACCGAGAGTCTCTGCTTGCCGGAGAGCATCTGGTGTGGGCATAAAGCCTTGAGGTTGTCCGGCAGCCACTGGCCGGCCGCTTGGGCTGTACAAAATCCCTGCTGCTTGCGGTGCCGGTTGTGGTGTATATGAACCATTCGAAGGTCGCTCCTGGACATCTAAAGTCATTGATCCACGGACCGGAACGGGTGGCATGGTAAAGTTGGTAGTTCCCATGGGAGTTGTCACGCGAATGGTGTTCGGGTCATCCCCAGCACCGCACTCGATGCGGTAACCTGGAGGGAGGAACGTGTTGAAGCCTTGAATGAGGTCCGGATTGCCAGCAAACAAAGTGCTCACTCGGTTGATGACGCCTGGCGTGTCAATTTGCCCTGACTTGAAGTCCTTCATGATGTCCAAAAAATTGTTGTACACGTTCGGCTCGTTCGCAAACTGTACTTTCACCTGATCCAAATAGCTCAAAGCGTCATTCAAAATGGGCTGCTGTGGTTGTGGCTGGGGTTGCGACGCAGGTTGCGCTTGAGAATTGGAGCTATATGACCCGGATAGAGATGGTTGTCCATGCTGTAAACTGGGCATCGGATGCCCTGGAAGCGGACCATTGCCATATCCAGGCACTGGTGCTGAAGGAGCACCGATTTGCGAATGCGAAAGCGGACCTGTCATACCCGGGTTGCCGAGCAAACCGTTAGGACCATGAACAGTACGTGGCCCGACAGCCACAGGCTGATGGATGTGAGTGGGAGGGCCTTGCTGCGCCTGCATTTGTGCCCCTTGCTCGACCCGCTGTCTCTCTTCTCGATGTCTTCGCTCCTCCTCTTCCTGCATGTGTAGGTGCTCGAGCTCACGCGCTCGATCCCGGTCTCGGTCTTGGCCAATACCTGGAAGAGTATAACCCGTTCCAGGAGGATGTAGAGACTGCATATCAGGGCGAGGGATCTGACCTTGTCGTGGGGACGACTGGCTGATACCTGCCAAGTTGGCAAGGCTATGCTGGGAGGGATGGTATGATGAGTATGACGCGCCCGGGTGGGAAGAACCACTAGCAGTGGTTGGCGGCGAGTGCTGATTCGGGTGAGGCGGTACATTCGATCTGAATTTGCGAAATATTGTCAGCGAATCTCGTTGCAAGAAATGCTACATGCCTGCAAAGGGGTGAATGAAATAAATGCATACCCGAATGCGCCAGCACGCTGCTCCGGCCCACCAGCAGGCTGATGCGACCAACCGCGATGGGGGTCCATCGGTTTAGATAGTATCAGCCTCGACGTAGGTCCTTTATCGCCAGGAGACTTGTGAAATATTTTTGGGCGCGGACGAATCGATCTTCAGACATGCAGGATTTCTGGTCTGATCTGATGTCGGATACTGCTAAATTTCCTTCTGTGGCTGGTATTTGTATCTCGGAGCATGTGGCTTTCGCCGGACTTGCGCAATCAAACGCTGCGCTTTTGCGCGGCGAACCTGGTCGAGCGTCAAACAGGGCGGAGCCGGTTGTGTTATTAGCGGTGATGAAAAGATGGTGTTGTTGGTGCTTCGACGACGGAAGAGGTGGAGAGCCGTTCAGGTGATAACCGTCGCGTGGTAAGTGTGCTGCTTTGCACGATCGATCTGATGGATGCTACGGCATATGTCATGGCGCTAGCCAGAAGCTCAATGGGCTTGGCGGGTCATGAAAGGGACCTGCATGATTACGGCGTACCATGACGACCGTCCCCGAGGCCCGCTGTTTTGATAGTCCACAGTAGCACGTCTCGCTGTGTCCCTCGCGTGAATCGCAGCGATAAGCCCGGGGCCATGCAATGGTCCTGGACACTGGTATAGATGACCATTCCACGTGAACATCAAATAAATTGAGACATGTCGACAAACGATGAAGGGTTCAAGATAGCAGTCGAGGAGGCGAGGAAGAGCCTTCGCGAGGGAGGCATCCCCATTGGGGCTTGTCTGGTCTCAGCTGACGGCAAGATCATTGGACAGGGCCATAATGCTAGGATTCAACGGAATAGTGCAATACTACACGTATGTGGTCCGTTCGAAAGAATGTTGAACTTCGGAGAACTTACTTGTGATGGTGACAGGGCGAGATGTCCGCACTAGAATCTGCCGGACGCCTGCCGGCTTCTGCATATAGAGGCGCTACCATGTACACTACCCTTTCGCCCTGCGATATGTGCTCCGGAGCATGCATTTTGTACAAAGTTGCACGTGTTGTGCTCGGCGAGAACAACACCTTCCTTGGCGGCGAGGACTATCTGAGGCAGCGTGGCATTGAGGTTATCAATCTCAATCATCCTGAGTGCAAGGACATGATGACGGACTTCATAGCGAAGCATCCCGATGATTGGTTTGTTCACCCTACTACAATCTTAGATGAAAATAAGTGACTGACGATGCCGCAAAGGTTCGAAGATATTGGTGAATGTTAAAGCATCCTGAGAGATGCGCATCATGCCAGTCATTCCTACCAGTCGTTATGAAGGAGAAGATTTCGCTCGTGCATTTTTGCTTCGGCTTGTTCCATGTCATCCCTGGCTGTTGTGCTGACGTCCAAGTACTCGCCTGTAGTCTAGTTGGTTCAAGTCTGAGTAAAGGTCAGACATTGATTAGATACCTGAAATGCGGTGAATTTCTTCAAAGTAGAACTTCAGCTCATCCGGGTTGACGAAAGGTGTGATTCCTGCAAGGTCTTAGCGCACGCAGCTGTCACCACACAGACGATGTTACTCACCATGTCCTAAGTTGGCGATCCACCCATGTTTTCCATTGCCAAACCCACGGACCATAGTCTCGACCGCTTCCGTGATCGCGGCATGACCGCCATATAGCACACCTGGGTCGGCATTTCCTTGCAAGACCTTGCCATGCTTCTGCGCGATAGCGTACGCCGTTGCTGGGTCATGCAGCCAGTCCAGCCCGATCACATCGTACTTAGTCTTGCAGAGATCTTGAAGAGCGTACCAGGCACCTTTTGCAAAGACCACCATCGGTACAACCTCTTGACCAAGCTCTTGAAGCCTGCGAGGAAGATTATCCGCAATGTATTCGAGGTAGGGCAACGAAACTTCTTTAAAAGAAGCAGGGCTTAATTCACCTGCCCATGAATCGAAAACTTGGATGATCTGAGCGCCGGCCACGACTTGCTGTGCTAGGTACTCGACGCAGAGTTCTGCAATCTTTTGAAGCAGCGCTTTAGCTTCTTGAGCATATTTGTAGATCCAGGTCTTGGTCTGGCGGAAAATCTTGCTCCCACCACCTTCTACCATGTAGCACATGAGGGTGAATGGTGCTCCGCAGAAACCATAGAGTGGAACTCGGCCTTTCAATTTCGTGCGAGTCAGGGTAATTGCGTCGTAGACGTATTGAAGGCTTTCTTTCACGTCTACCTTCCGCTCCATGACCTCGCGGTACTGGTCGTCCGCAGGCGTGTCAAGCGGATCGGGGAAATGAGGACCTTTGCCATCAAGCATGACTACCTCCATTCCCATGGCTTGCGGTATAACAAGGATATCTGAGAAGATAATGGCTGCGTCGACCAGGCCCGCATACCGGTCAATTGGCTGTAGTGTAAGTTCACAACAAATCTCGGGAGTCCGACAGCATTCGAAGAAGTCACGATTGCCTTTCGCCTTGTGGTACTCGGGCAGATAACGACCAGCTTGACGCATAACCCAGCATGGCGGGCGTTCTACCTTCTCGCCACGAGCAGTTCGTAAGAGAAGGTCGTTCTGGAGCGGCTCGAAAGAGGGCATGTTGCCAATTGAACTGTCACAAGGACAGCGTGGCTGGCTGGTATACTGATATCGAGAGGAGAGCTGTGCCTTTCCTCACAAGAGGATTTCTTTGAACGCGTCTTCAGATTGCTCGAGCAGATTGCGGCAATTGTGATGTGTCCCCACGGAAATATGCTAACTTTGATGGCTATAGCTCGCGATAGAGCGATCCATAATGATGTGCTCTAGCGCAGCCTGCGACAGCTGCTAAGCCGGTCTTGGAAAACCCTAGGTCAATCATCTTCAAATGTGAAGAAACATTCATCGGCGTCGTGACATCTACAAACTGCATTACACATGTGAGTCAGAAGCGCAGGCCACAGCGCAAATCCGAGAAACCTCCGTCGCGTCACTCATCACTCATTTCGCCTTCACTGCACGACTATACTTCTCGAAATCGGAGTCGCCTCTGTAAACATACAATTTCACGAACAGGTGCTCAAAGCGAAATTCATCGGTCGTCTCGTTCAACATGGCGGAATCAAAGAAGGGAACGGGGGATAATCCCCTGGGCCAATACAAATACACCAATATGTCCAACCTGGTTTTGCAGGCAGACCGAAGGTTTGTGTCACGTCGTGGCGACGAAGACACCGGTGACCCAGAATCCCTGGCTGGTCGCATCAACCTTGCGGACATGGGATCCAGGAACGCGCGCGAAGCTGCGCCAGTGCAACAAGCAAGTCAAGAGCAAGCACGAAAGAGGAAGAGGACGGAGACGGCAAAAGGTGGCCGCAAATCGGGGATACTAAGTCAAACAGATCTCAACATCGAAGGATTAAGATACCGTCCACGAACGGCAGCGACCAAAGACGTTTACGATTTAATAGCTACCAATGTTGCTCAGAAAATGGGAGGCGATTACGGCCTCGAGATCACAGCTTCCGCCACGGATTCTATCCTGGAGTTTCTCAAAACTGAGAGTATCAAAGATTACGATAAGAAGAAAGAGATTGATGATATCCTTGGAATACAATTGTCCAGTCAGGAGTTCAATCAGCTTGTCAACTTGGGGAAGAAGATCACGGACTACGAGGCTCAAGATGAAGATGAAGACATGCGTGATGGGGATGATGACAACGGAGATGGGCTCGACGAACGAGAAGGAGTTGCCGTCGATTTTGGCGCTGATGACGAGGATGAAGACGAGGATGGAGCTCGCAACTTTGAGGTTCGGGACGACGGTGGGGAGTCAGACGATGAGCTGAGGGTGGGGGAAGAGGATGCCGCTGAAGTTTCCGGCGACCAACCAGAGAACGTCAATGACGACGGAGATGATGAAATGGTCCTGGAGAACAAGCCGGAACGTAATGATGGCGGAAGCCAAGATGAGGATTCAATTCCTGCACACGAAATTGACGCATATTGGCTGCAAAGACAAATTGGACACATATACGAAGACGCCCATACCCGGACGGAGAAGACTCGCGAAGCAGAAATGATCATGACAAGCGCCATACCCGAAGCCGAAGAGAAATCACTAAGAGAGGTCGAAAATGACCTCATGGAGCTGTTTGACTACGAGCACCATGAGTTGGTCGGCAAGCTGGTGAAGAACCGTGACAAGATTGTGTGGGTAACGCGATGGCGAAGAGTTGCTGAGAGTGAGTCCGAGCGCGTAGCTCTTGAGAAGGATATGATTAATGCTGGTCATGCTCGTATTCTGAAAGAGCTGCGTGGGCGTGCTGAGCCGACTACAAAATCATCAAAGATCGCTGTCAATCTTGACACGAAAACCCTCGATACACGAATGCAGATCAAAGAAGAGGACGACGTCAAGAAGGATAGTCTAGTAGGCGGCATGCAACCCCGCAAGACCCTCAATATCGAAGATCTCAAGTTTGATCAAGGCAATCATTTGATGACCAACCAAAATGTCAGACTCCCGCAAGGATCGAAAAAACTTACCTTCAAAGGTTACGAGGAGATTCACGTTCCAGCGCCAGAGCGCAGACAGAGGGTTAACGAGAGGCCATTGATAGCCACATCTCAGCTGCCAACATGGGCGCAGATAGGTTTTGGCAAATCTGCGCAGCTCAATCGTATTCAGACTGAATGCTATGACTCTGCGTTTGAAGACGATGGCAATATGCTCATTTGCGCGCCGACAGGATCCGGAAAGACCAATGTCGCCATGCTGGCCATGCTCCGAGAGATCGGCAAGCACCGGGATCCGGTCACAGGGGCACTCAACCTGGACGAGTTTAAAATCATTTTCATCGCGCCACTGAAAGCTCTGGTTCAAGAACAAGTCGGTAATTTTGGCGCACGTCTGCGAGAATACGGCATCAATGTTGCCGAGTTGACTGGAGACCGGCAGCTCACTAAACAGCAGATAGCAGAAACGCAGGTCATTGTAACTACGCCTGAGAAATGGGACGTCATCACACGCAAGGCGACCGATACAAGCTACACAAATCTAGTGCGACTCATATGCATAGATGAGATCCATTTACTCCACGATGACCGCGGACCCGTGCTTGAGAGCATCGTCGCACGCACCATTCGCCGGATGGAGCAAACGGGGGACCCCGTTCGAATTGTCGGTCTTTCTGCTACTCTTCCAAATTACAAGGATGTCGCTACTTTCCTTCGGGTTGATCCTGAGAAGGACCTATACCACTTCGATGGAACTTTCCGGCCATGTCCTCTCAAACAGGAATTCGTTGGTGTCACAGACAAAAAGGCAATCAAACAACTCAAGATCATGAACGATGTCTGCTACACCAAAGTCATGGACCATGTTGGCAAAAATGGGACGCAAATGCTCATATTTGTGCATTCGAGAAAGGAGACGGCGAAGACCGCCAAATACATTCGCGATAAAGCTCTCGAACTCGAGACGTTGTCACAAATCTTACGAACCGACGCGTCTGTGCAAGAAATGCTGCGTGAAGAATCTGGCCAGGCAGCCAACGCCGATCTTAAAGATTTGCTCCCGTACGGTTTTGGCATTCATCATGCTGGTATGAGCAGAGACGACAGGACTGTCGTCGAGGATCTGTTTGCAGAAGGTGCCATTCGCGTTCTCGTCGCCACTGCAACCCTTGCATGGGGTGTCAACCTGCCAGCTCACACCGTGATCATCAAGGGCACCCAGATATACTCTCCGGAAAAAGGTGCATGGGTCGAGCTGAGCCCACAGGATGTTCTGCAGATGTTGGGACGTGCTGGTCGGCCTCAATTTGACACCTATGGCGAGGGTATCATCATCACAACGCAGCGAGAAATGCAGTACTACCTGTCCTTGTTGAACCAACAGTTGCCGATCGAGTCTCAATTCATTTCTAAGCTTGCCGACAACCTCAATGCTGAGATCGTCTTGGGGAACATTCGATCACGCGATGATGGAGTGGAGTGGCTCGGATATACATATCTCTTTGTGAGAATGCTGCGATCACCGGCTCTCTACCAAGTGGGCGCTGATTACGACGAAGACGAGACGCTCGAGCAGCGGCGTGTTGACCTCATTCATTCTGCTGCTGCCGTCCTCGAGAAGGCGAGTCTGGTCAAATACGACAAGAAGACCGGCCGCTTGCAGTCTACCGATCTAGGGCGAATCGCGAGTCACTACTACATCACTCACAACAGCATGCTGACATATAATATTCACATTCAACCATCAGTTAGCCCGATTGAGCTCTTCCGAGTTTTTTCTCTCAGCGACGAGTTCAAATACATTCCGGTACGACAGGACGAGAAGCTGGAGCTTGCAAAACTTCTAGGGCGCGTCCCAATCCCCGTCAAGGAATCCGTGGATGAACCGCATTGCAAAATCAACGTCTTATTACAGGCATATGTCAGCAGACTCAAACTCGATGGTCTCGCCCTCATGGCGGATTTGGTATACGTCACACAATCTGCAGGTCGTATCCTCCGAGCCATGTACGAGATCGCACTCAAGAAAGGCTGGGCAGGCGTTGCGAAAGATGCCCTGAATCTTTGCAAGATGGCAGAAAAGCGAATGTGGCCCACCATGACACCTCTGCGCCAGTTTTCCGAATGTTCTCCAGAAATCATCAAGAAAGCCGAAAGAATCGACATTCCGTGGTCAAGCTACTTTGATCTAGACCCGCCTCGTATGGGTGAGTTGCTCGGCCTGGCTAAGCAGGGCCGACAGGTTTGCAGTATGATTGCCAAATTCCCCCGACTAGATCTTCAAGCAACCTGCCAGCCTATCACGAGAAGCATGCTCCGTGTCGCACTCACCATCACGCCTAACTTCGAGTGGGACGACCAGCTGCATGGTCGTGCTGAGAGCTGGTGGATTCTAGTCGAGGACTGTGACGGTGATGAAATTCTCTTCCACGACCAATTTTTACTTCGCAAAGAATTTGCAACAAATGAGGACCCCGAACAGAATGAACACCTCATCGAATTTACAGTCGCCATCACGGAGCCGATGCCTCCTAATTACTTCATCACTCTCGTCAGCGACCGATGGATGCATGCTGAAAGCAAGCTGACTCTATCGTTTCAGAAATTAGTGTTGCCCGAGAAATTTCCTGCACACACGCCTATACTGGATTTGCAGCCGTTACCGGTTCAGGCATTAAAGACCCCCGAATTCGTGGACCTGTTCAGTGACTGGTCACAATTCAACAAGATTCAGACACAGACTTTCCAGGCCTTGTATCAATCTGACGATAGTGTTTTGGTGGGCGCCCCGACGAGCAGCGGGAAGACCGTCTGTGCTGAATTCGCTATTCTCCGCCATTTCTCGAGGTCGGCTGAGAAAAAAGCTGTTTATCTTGCACCGTTCCAAGAGCAAATTGACGCACGTTTCAAGGTCTGGCAATCCAGGCTCGGTCCCGTTGCTGGTGGAAAGCAGATCGTCAAGCTCACTGGAGAAACCGCAGCTGATCTCAAGTTACTCGAAAGAGGCGACCTCATTCTAGCAACGCCGGCTCAGTGGGATGTCATGTCCAGACAGTGGCAGCGAAGGAAGAACGTCCAAAATGTTGGGTTAATCGTTGCTGATGACCTTCACATGCTTGGTAACCACATGGGCTTTGTCTACGAGCTTGTCATATCTCGCTCTCAGGCGATCAAGGCACAACTGGAAAACGAGCTTCGGCTGGTGGGATTGAGCGTGTCGCTTTCAAACGCTCGTGATGTTGGCGAATGGATCGGTTGCACCAAACACACCATCTTCAACTTCAGTCCCAATGTCCGGCCAATACAGTTGAATTTGCACCTGCAGACTTTCAACATCCCCCATTTTCCCTCGCTCATGCTTGCAATGGTAAAGCCGACTTACCAGAACATTCTTTTGTACGCAGCTGAGAAGCCGACAATGGTATTCGTGCCCAGCCGCAAACAGGTCCGAGCGACAGCGCAAGATCTTCTTGCTGCATGCGTTGCCGACAATGATGAAGATCGATTCCTTATGGCCGATGCTTCTCAATTGCAACCAATCCTTGCAAGAGTCAAAGAGCGTGGCCTGGCCAGCTCCCTAGCCCATGGGATTGCCTATTTTCATGAAGCACTTGCAGAATCAGACAAGCGCATCGTGGAATCCTTGTTCTCTCAAGGTGCAGTACAGGTCATGCTCGTCTCTCGAGACTGTTGCTTTGAGGTGCAAAGCGTTGCACATCTGGTCATCGTAATGGGCACACAGTACTTCGATGGCAGACAGCACCGGTACATCGATTACCAAATCAGTGAAGTGCTACAAATGTTTGGCAAAGCCGGACGACCACTGGAGGACAAAGATTCACGTGGTGTCTTGATGTGCCCAGATGTAAAACGCAACTTCTACAAGAAGTTCCTCGGGGAAGCACTGCCAATCGAGAGCCAGCTTCAATCGTATCTCCATGACGCGTTCGTTACAGACATCAGCACGAAGATCATCACCTCGACGCAAGATGCAGTAGACTGGACGACCTACACATTTTGGTACCGACGGCTGCTAGCCAATCCAAGCTTTTATGGACTTATAGATACCTCGCATGAAGGTCTGAGCTCATATCTGTCTGAGCAAGTCGAGAACACCTTAAAGGAATTGGCTGAAGGCAAGCTCATTGAGCTTGATGAGGACGACGATTCGATCGAGCCTCTCAATTCAGCGATGATCGCCTCTTACTACAATATTGCATACTACACGATGCAGACTCTCATGCTTTCTCTCAAAAAGAGCACTAAGCTTAAGGGAATTCTGGAGATTGTGACTGCGGCGTCCGAATTCGAGGATATACAGCTACGTCGTCATGAAGATGCTATCTTGCAACGCATCTATGATCGAGTGCCAGTGAAGCTCGCGCAGCCGAACTTCCAATCGCCATATTTTAAGGCCTTCATTCTGCTTCAGGCTCAGTTCTCACGAATGCAGCTTCCTCCTGACTTGGCTCGCGACCAAGAAGTCATCCTGCGCAAGATACCAAATATTCTTAGCGCTTGCGTGGATGTTCTATCATCTGAAGGGCATCTCAACGCCATGAGCGCGATGGAGATCAGTCAAATGACAGTTCAGGCTCTGTGGGATCGCGACTCACCCTTGAAGCAGATTCCTCATTGTGACGATCGGGTCGTTGGCGTTTGCAACCAATTTGGCATCGAGAATGTAATTGGTTTCCAAAATGCTATGGACCCCGACGAATTCCCTCAACATGCGGATCTCATGAAAGCTCTCTCATTTTCAAATTCACAGCTTGCCGATGTCGCCAACTTCGTCAACGATCGCTACCCCGATCTCGAGCTGGACTTCACCATCGAGGACCCCGAGAACATTGTCACGGGCAGTCCCAGCTATCTCAATGTTACAGTCACGCGACCGACCGACGACGAAGACGAAGATGCGCAGCCAAACCCATCCGTGCATGCCCCTTTCTTCCCTGCGGAGAAGACTGAAAATTGGTGGCTTGTAATTGGCGAAACGAGCACACGTACACTTCTTGCCATCAAGAAGTTCACCATTGCGCGAGTCCAGAACGTGAAGCTGGAATTCGTGTTGGAAAAGCCAGGCAAACATGAACTCACCCTATTCCTGATGAGCGATTCTTACATTGGTGTTGATCAAGCACCACCGTTCGAAGTTGATGCAGCAGAAGGCGAAGACGAGGAGGATGAGGATGAAGATGAGGAATAGACCTTGTGGGAGTCAAGGATTAATTTGAGATCTCAGCGGGAATCATGACCGATCCTGATTGTTCCATAATGACAGCACTGTACCAATTATACTTCAAATCGTCCTTCTTCTCATCGTGCAATCATCGTCTATGTAGATATTTCGCATTAAATCTCATTGATTGACTCTCGCTTGGAAGACTGCTGTAGTCATCACTAGATCTGGCATGTAATTTAGTCTTCGTCCATGCTTTCCCAACCACCCTCGCCACCATGCTCCTCTGCCTCAGCTTCCTCATCCTCAATCTCGTTGTCCTCCTGGATTCCCACTAAACGTTCCTTGATCTCGCCGCTCGCCGGGGTCGGTAATTTCACGCGTGTTGCGAAGGCCTCTCGGACGGCCTTGTTGGTGCTCGTGTCCCAGATCTGTACAGTACCTTTACTTCCACCTACAGCCAGCCGGAAAGCAACCTCGTCATCGGGAGCGAAGTTTGCGGAGAAGACTTTGCCAACGCCGAGATCGCGCGAGACGACCATACTTGGCCCGCCGTTGTTGGCACCATCCGGCGCAATGCTCCACAATTTGACAGTGCGGTCCGTTGAGCCAGTCGCGATGAATCCAGGTACCGTCGCGTTGATGGAGAACGAAGATAAAGACTTGGTGTGGGCTTGCAGATGCCAGAGGGCCTTGCTAGCCTCAGGGCTCGACGGAATTGTCCGCGTATCGAAACAGTGTAGCATGCCAGATTCGGTACTGACATAGAAGCGATTCTCATCATGAGGGTCCCATCGCAATTGTTCCACGTCACTCTCTACACCCCATCGAAGGACTGGCGCGTTAGGAGCACGCATATCCGATGCCACGATAGTACGATCGTAACTGCCCGAAAGTAGTACAGATGAATGAGAGGGATGCCAAGCTAACGCGCACACTTTGTCCGTATGGTGGTCGTAGGAATGCGCTGCTGTGCAAGTGTTGAGGTCCCATAACTTCGTGGTCTTGTCGGCTGATGCGCTCGCGAGGAGATTACGATGCTGGCGGTTCGCCGCGAGAGCTAAAACAGCATCGACGTGGTACGATGCATTAGATTTCTTGTCCTTCTTTTTCTTCTTTTTGGATAGTGATTGAGCGATGTCGGGCGCAGTGTTGTTCTGTCCTAGTACCGCACTCGGATACATCGAGTCCACCACATCCAAGTCCCAGAGCTCGATATCGGGTTCCATTGTTCCAACCGCTGCAAAATTACCTCCTTCAACAGTGCTCGCATCCTGGCCAATCTTGGTTCCCAACCATTCCACACACAATGGGATAGACGGCAATAAACAATCGTGGTGGACATATAGATTGTCCGCATCATCCTCGTAAACGTAAACTTCGAGATGGGCAACTTCATCTTCAATGCGAGCCGCAAGAACCATGTTGTCAGTGGGAAGAACTTGCAATTCGTCTCTTTCATCGTCCTCATCGTTGTCGCCGTTCTGAGGCAGGGTCAAATATGGATCGTCGTTGTTGTCTGTGTGATATGCGAGCGACTTGATGTTGCCAAATACGCTGTTGACGGGTTCGTCTTCGTCTTCTTCGGCAATCTCTGGTTCGTTGTCATAGTTCTCCATGTCATATTCTTTAAGATCGTCGTCGTCGTCGGCAATCCTGTCGTCATCGTCATCATCGTCCTTCGTTTCTTCTAGGTCGTCTCCCTCATCTTCGCTGCTATCTTCCTGAAGATCGCCCGAACTGTTCACTCCTCCATTGGATTTACTTAGTGCTTTCCGAGCTTTTTCTAGATCTTCCTTGGCATCGTCAAGCTCAAGTTTGGCGAGCTTCGAAATGCGAGCATATTCTTCTTCGTCGAAAGCATATTTCGTAGGAAACGCTGCTGCATGGCCTCTGGGAACCCACGCTAGGGCTGTGATCATGGAACTCATGCTGGTGAATGCGTTACGATGTGACCAGTAGCGCAAGTGAAATCATTGGGAGTTTGCGCGGGCGATGTTTCTCGAAAGTGTAAAGCAAAATTTTGAATAAGCTTCTGACTAACGCCGCAAAATCCGGCGCTTGGCGGAGAGAGACCCTGACCAGCGATGATGTCGCTCCCACGCGATGCGCGTGAATGGTATTATGTACTTGTCAATGGCAGATCAGCGAAGTCGAACCTAGATTACGACGATCCAGAAGGTTGAGCGCAAATCTCGGTGTCTCGCGTCTTCGTATCACGGCAGAAGGTTTCTCGCATCTTAAGCCTACGGAATCGTGCGATCATCAGTATGGATCATTCGCATCATCAGTATGTTTCCAACGTCAATCAGGATATGTCCGACGACAATGTCGCTGGTTGTCGCGCGCGTCTCGCTGACGGTCATCAAAACTTCAATGCGACTGACACGGTAGATTTAGTGGACACGGAGACATGGATGCCAGCCCCGCTGCAATGTGCTCGATGAACATGTAGGCCGACTTCACTCAGGCAAACCTTTTCCACAAGGACACTCTTTGACGGCCAAGCTCGCAGGTTGTTCACGTGGGATACCACGAATTTGTGTACACATCTATCTTTCAAGTAACACGGTGGGTATCGATGATTGCTGACCGTGTACTTCTATATGTAGGCATTGTCTTTCGCAGCTGGCGGATCACTGGTTTCAGCTCTCTAGTGATTTCACTTATTGCCATTGTTGCATTATCAGCCGGCTATGAAGCCATCAAGGAGGCGGCGCGGCAGTTCGAAGCACGCAGTGCGACTGGTATAGCCAAAGATGCTAACAACATTGCGCGTAAGTGTGCATCACTCTTCTCCAAGCCCTGGCACGTCGGCAGACCACGATCCCAGTTTCCCTGCTCAACGGCTGAGGTTGGTATAATTCACAATGAGTTTTGCTAATGTACCTGACTACACAGGTGCTGGCAGCAGTGGGGGACTACCAGGTGCCAAGAACCAAGAACAACGGGCACAGTTGATCAAAGCTGTCTTCTATGGCGTCCAAGTCTTTTATTCGTTTTTCATCATGTGAGTATCGTGGCTGCTGCGCTTCGCTCTCGATTCCCTCGTGCTCCATCCGAAGAATGCCTTGCTAATGACGGTTTAGGCTGATCTTCATGACATACAACGGCTGGGTCATGATCGCGGTTGGTGTGGGCGCCACTGTAGGCCATCTTGTGTTCGGCGCATCGTCTTCGCCTACCAAAAGTGCTGCATGCCATTGATGAGATGTGAAAGTCACTGGGGTGCAACAACAAGACAAAATTTGCCATGGACTCCTCACTATCCTGCAAAGGATGTTAGACTGTCAAGACTTTCGACGGTACCCATTGCGTTTTCCCACATATCTACTCAGAGGCCCCTCCACGCCACTTTCGAGAGATGGTCAATTCTTCGCCGCGTGCTTTTGATGACACCCAAACATCTCAATTCTGCTAGGCCGCGTTGGAAGAGCGCAGTGGCCCGCTGATCATCAGCGTCGTCTGCGATTGCGCGGAAAGCCTGCCAAAAGTCACTAGCATTGATCAAGCTACCCGATTCCAAGTAAAGCTGATATAATAGAGCCGTCGCTGGCTGTGACGACGTGAGGCTGATCTCATTGCCGCCATGTTCTCTGGGTGTTGCAGCACCGTCAGGGTCTGGACAACAGCAATCGCAATCGAGATAGTCGTGGGGAGCAGTGAGCGCACGCTCGATTGCGTGTCGTGGGCGTGGGGTCAAAACCTCCCGATGAGGTGAACGTAAATCGTAAAGAAATATTTCGTGCATGAGAAGTTCTTTTGGCGAGACTAAAGCGCTATCGAGGTACTCTTCCAAGAAATCGGTGAATTCCCGTAGCAAGGTGGTGTAGGCAGCGTCCTGTTCTGAAAGAGCGGACTTTTGCTTGCTAAGCTCAACTTTCTGAGCAACGACAGTGGTGCGAAGAGTGGAGTGCTTGACATCGTCGGCGCTGCGGAGGGGTTGAGACGCCTGGCCATCGACTGTGTTGGATTTCACTAGCTCCTCGAGACGAGCATGAATTTCGAGTCCACGGAGTTTCACGTCAGACGGGATCTCAAGCCGGACAAGATTGCGCATGAGCTCGAGCACGGCATCAGATGCCGTCTTCCTCGTCGATAAAAGTAAGCCACGCACCATAGGCGATCGTCTGAGCTTGCCAGATATAGCCTGCATGTAGAGACTGGTTTTGGGAGTTATATGTGCGTCACCAAGACCAGCTTGCACGCAGCGTATGACCTCGGTGGCATGTATGATGCGCGAGATCGCAAGCTTCCCTTCAGCGATAGCACTCATCGTCAAGTCAAACATAGCTTCGTCTGATACCAGTAGGTTGCGTAGTTGCTCGACATCGCCTGCCTCGAGGAGGCTATCTGCAAATGATCGGAAGGAGGCTACGTTCCGTAGCGCTTCAAAGTGATCGCTGGGAACGTCCTCCAAGCTCGGCGAAGACAGAAAAATACTGAGGGCATTGGCATAGTAGTGTGACATATATCCGTAGCGTACGGCTTCCACAATAGTGTCAATGCTTTGGGTGTAATCACGTTGTCGCTCGAGAAGTAGAGAAGAGATACTGGGACCTAGCCAAAGTCGGTTGCTAGAGCTAGTCACCACTTCCATCACTTGCTCTACTTCGTCCACAAGAAGCGCTGAGTCAAATGCACGACCAGCGAGACACCTGACGGCCGCTTGAGGTAACCGCTGCTGAAGAAAGGATATTGAGGTCGCCACATTGAACAGAAGCACAATGGAAAAGCGGTCTTGCCAACAAGTCAGGAGCTCAATCAGGTCAGAGAGCAAATGACTATCAAAGGCCTCGGTGTCTTCGAGCGCGATGATGACCTGCTTGATCTCGTGCTCACGAACATAATTGTGAAGGATCTGGAGGTCGTAATTCAAATATCGCGGCTCCTTTCGCATCGATGCCCTGTTATCAATCTCATCGAAATCGTCATCGTCGTATGTTCGCGATGTTGCCTTGTGAATGATATATTTGAGGATGCCTTTGAGATTGTTCCCAACCGTGGATGCGATGGGCACATAGAGCCGTCGGGCTTCTGCTGATGCGCCAACGAACGGCTGCGACGCGAGAGCGCTGTATAGAGTAGAATTTGGTCCAGTCAATGCAAATCCCGCAGGCGTGCGACCTGCTGGGGGGTCTGTGAGGAGTTCATCTAGGAACTGTGCAATTTCTTCAAGTGTTGTAGCGTTCAAAGAACTCAGTCGTAAATCAATCTCGTTTTGCACAGCCGACCAGGCACTTTCGTAAGCCATACGTCTGCGCGGCCATGATGCTTGTAGGCCCGTCGGCTGAATGCGACGGCGCTTACTTGGGAAGGCATCCTTTGGCTCAAAGACGTAACATTTCTCATACTCCATTATGATGGGCCAACAAGTGGACGACACATTGATACGCTGGCGCGCTGTTCCTTGAATTCATAATCCGGGTGACGCGTTGGACGCGTTAATTCCTACGGAGGACCAGCAGGGCAACATTACTAAATCGACAGGGAAGCGAAACCTCGATACTCCACCAAAGTGGTGACCACGACCATGTGAATGAAGACGATTCTGATTTGCACGATTTTACAGTGGCGTTGCGGCCCCTTGAAAGCAGAAGCTTATCAGTCTATTAAAATCATGGGAACATCCGGACTCGTCTTGTTTTGACATTTTGTATGCCAACAACGCTCTTTCACTAATGATCACTATGAAACACGACGATCAACGAGTGAATGGAGAGATGGTTCTGTGATACGAATTGATCATAGCTTGCCGTTCTTGCTGGCAGCCTCAATTGCCTCGTCGCCGTCTACCAGAACGCACCAGCCCTCGCCGCCCACAGTGCCATCAGCAAACCCGCCAACTGCGGCACCCGGGAATTCCTTCACAGCATAGTCGAGCTCTTTATCAGTGTAAGTGCCTGGTTGCAGCCACACGGCCTTGATTCCGACGGCCTTGGCTTCTTCTAGGAGCTTCGCAGTGACCGCAGGCGGAGTAATGATAGACAGGCTGGTGTTGGTAGGGTCCGTAAGCTTTGAGGGAGAAGCGACAGTATCGAACTCTTCTTGGCCGACCGCGACACTGGATGCTGTGGGATTCAGCGGAATTGCTGTCAGGCCATGGTCCAAGTACCAGACGAAGATCTTGTAGCCAAACTTTGCAGTGTTCGAGGATGCACCGGCAACTGCGAATTGCTTGGCCGAGAAGAATGTCTTTGCTGCAGCGCGTATGTCGGTGGCCATCTTGATGTCGTTTTGCTTGTGTCGATTCTCGCAGTTCAGGTGTTAATTCAAGGGTTCATGGTAGCAAAGCTATATATTTTACGAGGGCGATAGCTCGAGCCGATCGCGGGTGCTATTGTGCGGCCGCCTGTATGTCGTAAGATTGCGTCAGAGCGGAGGATCAGCTCAAGCTACAGTTCGCGAGTGCTTCGCATTAATAGGCAGTTCCTTTAAAACACCACCTAGGCGCTTCGATGCCCTCCAGGGCTTATGAAAGGTTCGTTCCTGTGAACATCGCCAGATGCGTGAAACTTTCCGAGAATTAATTTTTTCCAACGTCAATTCGTACTTCCCGTCGTCGCCGTCTCGTCCAGTGATCATGTTGCCTGCATCCGAACAACTGTGGCCAAGTGACGGTCGGCAAGGTTCTATGGTTCGCCATGATGCTAATCTCAACGAATGCTCAATCTTGTCGGGCGATGGGTCGCTCATATGCAAATCCCGGGGCTCACTTCGAAGCACGTGAATGACAACTCAAAGGGAAAGACAAGGTCTTACTTGTGGCACTTACTCGGAAGACAATCTGCTGGTTGGCAGAATAACAGCGTTCGGGTGAGGATCTGTTCGACATTGAAATCTCAACACCATGCTATCTATAAGGAACTTCGTGAAAAATGATGAATCGGCGAGATGCGTAAACTCCTAATCCGATACTGAGACCGGTTGACTCTGCATCATATACTTCACAGGGGTAATAATAGACGACTCTATCTATTTATCCTACGCTCGAGGACAGTCCTAGAGATTTCTTATCCCTGGCAAGCGAGTGTCGCTCAGCACAAAGGGCGAATTTGGTTAGTCGTCTTCCGCGGTGACGTAAATAGCGACGACACTTCAATGTTTGGTGGGTGAGTGGACTATTGCCTGTGTATTGCAAGGCACAACCCACAACAACCAGATTCGACATTTACAAGGTAACAGCTCTTGAGCATCGACCACTATGTCCTCGTCCATTTCAAGCCGGACGATCATGTTTGGCAAGTTCAATGTCACGTCCCAAGTATGGCCGCCAGAATCAATTCACCCGCAAATGTAGCCGAGCTGAGGCGTGAGGTAGGTGTTCCATGTCACGCAACACTCGTTCGCTCTCGTCAATCTGAAGCCACTCCTGCCGGGTCACATTCTCGTTTCGCCTTTGCGAGTCCTGCCTCGCCTGTCAGATTTGACTAAGGATGAGGTCGCCGACCTTTTCCTGACTGCGACCAGAATTCAGCGAACCTTAAAGAGGCTTTACAAGGCCGACGCATTCAACGTAGCAGTACAGGATGGCGAGGCTGCTGGCCAGAGCGTACCACATGTCCACTGTCACATCATTCCTCGAACCCGAGGTGATCCTGGTGGTGACGACAAGGTCCACGAGTGGCTTGAGGGCGAAGAAGGCAACATCGCCCGGCACCAGAAGCAAGCAGAAGGTGGCGGAGATGTAGAGCGCAAGGCAGCAAAGTGGGTTGAAGATGACGAGCGCAAGCCACGTTCAATGGATGAGATGACGAGTGAAGCTCGGTGGTTACGCGAGGAGTTGGCTAAAGATGAAGAACAGGACAGCACTCGATTGTAATCGAACGCCATTTTTCCGGTCGATAGGTTCACAGGTGACGTCTGATTTCCAGGCATCTTGCGCGGAAGATCTTGCTAGCTTGATGATTCTCGGTACATCACATCAGACGATGTATTTCGTGTCCATAGAAGCAAACTATATATGGGTTCCAAGGAGCGTACAATGAGTATTGCCATGTTCTATTCGAAGATCGAGTATAAGAGGGTAGTGCATTTGTGCCTCCTGCCCACTTCCCTTCTTCGTCTCTTCGCCGCGTTTCCAACCCATTACCCATCTCTTGCAAGACAATCGCCTCGCGATTTTCGACATCATGAAGACCAGCTGTGCCCTTGTGCTTGTCGCAGCCCTGGCAGCTCATGCCAGTCCTCGTCACCACCAGCCTGAACATCCATTCGGTGACAAACCTAACCACAAGGACTATGTGGATCAGAACTTCAACGACAAAGGCTATAGGTGCAAGGAGTGGCGCGTTAGTGCCAGCCTTGACGCTGCCGAGAACCTTGACACTGCCACTCTCCGCTGCAAAAAATGGGAAAAGAACCACCGTGATGAACGCGTAAGTGGATCCGCTCACGTCGTCGTAGAACATGAATCCAGAAACACTTTCCGAACTTTCCCAAGTGCGATGCTGACACCCATGTAGGACTATACGCTCTACAAGTCCTCCCTCATGAACGGTGCCTGCAAGGAATGGGAATACACAGAGCGCATGGCTGATTCCAAGGTTGAAGTGAAGCCGACTTGCAAGGAGCTCAAGAAGTGGGACTGGGCGAATGGTCTTGAGGGAGCCCAGCTCTACCCAGTCGAAAACGACGACGACAAAGACGACCAGGCTGACAAGAACAACATGTTCCTCAAGGAGTTCAAAGAAGAAAAAGTCGAGATCGACGAGGTCGACGAAATCGAGAAAAGGGGCCGCCACCACCGAGTCTGCGAGCCGACTACCACCAGCGTCACTGCCACCGTCACCATCACTCAACATCCTCGCGTATCCATGACCATGGAGGACGGCCGTGCTTTCTGTACGATCGAGACGGCCGCAGAGGCCAGCTCCACTGTCGCGACCGAAGAGGTCGAGTCTACCATCACCGCGGCCCCGGTGAGCTCCACGTCCGTGGCGAGTCACTTGCCAGGACTTTACATGACATCAGATGGTCACCTGTTCGGTCCGTGGGACCACCACCCATTTCACACTACTCTCTCCTAGACTGTGGGTCGGTTATTCTTGCCATTCTTATGAATGACGGGTCATGCTTGGTGGGCTTCACCACAGCCGAGATGCTTTGGAATTTTGCATTCGTCAGCACGTCACCCATGGTCGCACATCAGCCGAGATGCTTCGGAATCTATCCTCATCAGCACGGCGCTCCTGATCGCATATAGCTAGCTCCCTTCGAAAAAAAAATGTGATTTGGACTTTCTGATCGTATTGTGTCCTTCGTATCCCGTTTAGTCTTGATGATACCGCCAGTGCCCGTCTCGCCAAACGCCAAGATTGCGCCCCCTGAAAAGCAGAAAGCAGCCCTCGTCGCATATCAAAACACATCTGTCAGGCCAGCCCGCGAGGATCCAGCTCCCGCTTATGCAACCATGTTCCGCCGAGTTCCAAGCACGGTTTTAGTTCTGCAGAATCATCTTGACCATGTCTGCAAGCGTGTCAGCGCGAGTCGTGCAGTCTCTCTACCTGTTTCCGGCACTCACCGACGTAGTTCAGCTCTCCGCTGCTTGTGTCGACCGATTTGAGTAGTTCGTCGACCTCTTCGTCGCTCATCTTCTCGCCAAGGTTCGTGAGGATGTATCGGAATTGTCCGACGCCGATGAAGCCTGTGAGATCCTTGTCGAATACCTGGAAGCCACGGCAGTATTCCTCCGGCTCTCCAGGGTCGCGGAATCCACCAGGTCGGTTGAGCACGCGGCCAAAGGCATCGAAGTCGACTACGGAGCAAAATCTTCGTCAGCGATTTGATCCCTTGTCCTGTGCGTTATCATTTCATCATCAAAGCCTGCCCTCGTCTGCCCTCGAAATCTTTACCCAGCAAATTCATCTCATCGCCTCCGCGCCTGTCTCCGCGAGTGCGCGCTCCTGCTGTTTTAACAGTGTCTACTCACAATCTGCGCCACCAATCTGATGCTCCAAATCTTTAATTTCGGCCAAAGTTGGGTTCTGGCCACAGGCTCGCAGAAGGTCGCCTAGGCTGTCGATGGTGACACGTCCGTTACCGCGCTTGTCGAAGAGGGAGAAGGCCTCTTTGAAGTTGGTAGATTGAGCCTGTTCCGACATGCCTCAATTAGTGAAAGTCCCGAATATTGTTTCTGTGCGCAATGGCCGAATCGTGATATTTGAGGTCGCAAACTGCAAACATCACCAGGGGCCTGGGAAAGGAGCTGCGTAGGCTGCATGCATGGTTTGGCTACATCTGTGTCGCGCGCGCCTCTGGCCCGTCTCGTACAACCCCTCAAATCGGAAAGCAGCTTTGCAGAGGACTGGCTTTGCATATCGCGGTTGGGATCTGTGCAAAGGCTTACCATTGTGAAAGATTTGTTGACTTTATGACCAGAATTATGTTGTTGAGTCTCAGCTGCTTCGGAAATGTTCTGGCGATCGTGAAGTGAATATCTTATGAGTGAAAGCGTGTGCACGGCCGGACTTGATTATGTTGCGTTGTCTATTTTCCGTGTAGGGTCTACACGTATAAACGCTGACCCCTTGCTTGCGTGAGGGTTGAGTTGCTATGCCAACAAATCCGACAATTCACGTGACCCCGTGCTCTCCTCAGCGAGCGTGACCCTGGATCTCACACGTACTATTCAAGCAATTCAAACACCAGAACTCTGTGTTCGATGTGCACCGCGCATTCGTGATCAAGATACCACGATTGAAGATGCTTTGCTTGAGCTGCTAGAACGTGAACATTTGTGTCGGGTCATTCCCGGCCCGTGGATCATCCCATACTGAAGGCGCATCCATTCACTCCGACATGCCGAGTTCTCCTCTACAGAAGAGTGTGCACCTCTTTCGAGCCTTGCAAGCACTCGGCTGATGAACATGGGCAAATGTGTACCAATCATACATCGTACAGCCCGCTATTGACTTTCGCAGAGAAATGGACAGTACGGCCTGCACCGATCAATCATCCTTCGTGAGACGCATTTTCAAGCAGCGTCGAAAAGATTCATCGCCATCGTCGTGGTCCACAAAATGGGTATGCTTGGACTATTGTCGTACTTGATCCATGGCTCGACTTTGGTAGATCGCGTGCGCTTGTAGCGCCTTCTCGGCGGCGTCCTCCTTGGCGTTGTTAACATACTGTCCGTCGTACCAAAACTGTGCGCGATATGTGATGCCTGCCACCTCGACGACAGCACTCCACGCCGTTCGACCACCTGCATATCCATGTCAGACCGATGGTTGATGAACGCTTGCAAACGGATTCCCGTCCAGGAGCTTACCCCGCCGGTCAGAAACGACTTGGTAGCGCGGCGCTGGTCGGCCTGAACTGAGACAGAGGTCTAGAATTGGTGATGGTCAGCTTCTGAGAAGCCAAGATTCAGTTGGTGGAATCATACTGAGAAGCGAATCTTGATTGGTAGTCTGCTCGGGCTGGCCACCGTGGGAGCTGATGTGCGTTGCAGTTGCCATATTTGGTTCGTCGGATAATTATTATGTGTTGGGTTCGAAGGGAAAGGGGGAAAGACAATAATGATTACAATGTTAAAATGACAGACCAGGACGTCGATTTCAGAGGTAATTGAGGCAGAGAGAGAGAGTGCAATGCAGTCGTAGACGCCGCGTCGTCTCAAGTTGTGGCTCTGTAAACGTTCTTATATCGTGCAGCAAAAGAGCTGTATTCCCGTACCTTTTAACCACAAGCCCCAAGTTCAGTGGCACAGCCGGGAACGGGCAAGTCGATAATGCGTCTCTCCCTCCGTCAGCAGGACACACAAGACCGTGGGAGACGTTCGGTGCGGAGAGAGAGTCGAGGTCGAACATCGTCGGAGCCTGTTCGAGCAGCTACAGTTCGCCACGGCATTGCAGCCATTGTGATACAGGTTGCATCTAGGCGGCCCAGGTGGAGGTGGTGCACGAAAACATCAGAATCCGTGAGGTGGTGCCTGAACACCTCCACGAAATTGACGCCCGCGTTTGCGTCGCAGGCCCGAAGTACCGGCACAGTGATCACCTGGGGCCGGGCCGCGACTTTTCGTCGCACGAGGGAGACATCCTGGTCGACCGTGACGGGAAGAGCTCCTCCACGAACATGCAACCTGTACCGAGAAGGCAGTGGCCCATGGAGATAGTGACGGCGTGAGGGTCTCGTTTGTTTGTCAAGCCCTGTCCGCCGGCAACGAGCAGGGGAGGCGGCGAGGGATGCTGATTTTCCCAAACGTAGTTCATGCAAAATGGCCGTTAGTGCGCGGAGTTGAGGGTTTCTGGCTCCTTTCAGCTGACACCGCGAGCTACTGCGTGTTCTGTGACGTGTCTGCCCGAGTCGAGAATCAGCTGCAGAGGAGCCCAAAGAGGTCCCGAATGGGAAAGCTAAATTGCCCTGGAGCCTATCGCGAAGGGCCACACTCAGGATGCGACTCCACCAGACGCTATAAGTTTGACAGCCATTCCGCCGGCTGGGAGGGACGAAAGGATTTGGACTGTCGTGCTATTTGCATATCGCCCGCGCAATTTTAATGCATGAAATCTGCGCACCGTCCGCGGGGAAGGCTCGGGTTTGCTGGATTTCCACATGATCGGGTGCGGGCTAGCATAAGGACACACACGACAGCAGATCCAGAGGGAACTCTATCGCCGCCAGGATGCCCGGGAATATGTCATCATTCTATGGGTGCTCAAGTCGTGTGGTGGCGATGGATCATGCGCTACGAATGCCCTTGACTGCCACAGGATTTGTCTGACGACGAAGTCCTGCGCAATTGCCCTGCATGAAGTCAGTCGATTGGTCCGACTATGCTCGTGCGTCAACGAAAGGGCCCCCCCCCCCCCCCCTGCTTACTGCCGTTCCGTATCGTTCTTATCGAGCTAGCGAGCGTATTGGCATGCGATACCGTGCGGGAGCAATGTCATGCAACTGCTGTCATCGGCGTCCACGCATCACCCGAAGACGCCTCCTGGCTGCCGAGAGGCGGCGTTGAAAAATCCATATGACGAACACTCGCATTGCCCTCGTACTTCATCCCGCGGGCTGGACATGCGACAATTCCCACGACAGCACCATCACCGATCGGAATCTTCCCATAAGAAGGAGATGCTTGCATTAGTCGGATACACATTAGTATTAAGTGCGATTGTACAATTTTGGCCCGGAGATCGATCGGGTAGCAAAGAAATGAGGAACACGTCAAAGGAATGCCAATGCTTCGTCAGCTCAGCTCCATGCGAAAGATCATGCAGCCGCCGGATGAGATAAGGAAATGGGATTTCAACGAGGGTATTTTTCACGAATCACCAATGCTCAATGGGAGACCGTCCAGGGTCTGCTGTCGAGGGTGGCATTGTGATCGAACGTCGACGGGCCTCGACGAAAAAATTCGCTCAGAAGTCGCTTGGCCTCGGCCGCGCCGGGCAGGCTCATGCGTGTCGCTGCTTTCCGGTGGCAACGATCAAGAAACGAATTGTCGATCAGAGCAAGTAAGCCCGAAGCGACGATCACGCTGTGGTGGTAGCAAGTCAGCGGTCGGACCTCGCAGGGACTTGGTGGAAATACTCACTCGGAAATATCCTTCTGTGCAGCAACAGTCGCATCGTCAGCGATCCACATGGTACACGGTGGGACCCAGAATCCCCGGCTCCGTTCTTGCGCCTCTTGCGCCTTCGAGAGTGCAGATGGGACAATGTAGGCGACCGCATGCTCACTGCCAGACTTGATGAGGTGGAAGGACGGCGACGAGCAGTCCTTGCGCGCGACGCGCTTCCACGAATAATGCGCGCCCCAATAATCGAATTCGCATCGCCTATGGTTGAGTGATCCCAGTCGCTTCACTTCGACCTGTGCGTAGTTGGAGAACTCGAGTTTGACAGGTGCGGTGGTCGAGACGGTTTTCTGGTACGCTTCGTCTCGGGCCGAACGGGATGAATCGCCCCGTTGGAAGTCTACCGAGTGCATTGATCCATAGCCCGAGTCATTCCGCCGCAGCTTCAACCCATTGGCGGATAGCTTCGATTCGCCAGCCGATCGCGGCCGCAGGCTATTCAGCGCGTTACTGAGGGACCGCTGGAGGCTCGGCCGCCGTTGCGGGATGGCTTTTTGCGTCTTGCGAGTCGAATTGCACACCTCTCGCCCCGAATCCCGGCAATATCGCCTGAGGCTGAACTCGCGGGTCTGTACATCGTGGATTCGCAGGTGGAACAGAGTCATGTCGCATGCCCGGCCGTTGCGGTTGATGACCTGCGTGTCGATTCGTAAATTCATATCACCGTCCGGCGTCGTTTCGTCATGTCGCACCTTCAACTTGCGGCGTGACGGGAACAAGTCGGAAAAGTCCGCCGGCGTTGCAGGGATCGCACTGGGTTTGCATGATTGCCGTGTCATATATGCTGGCATCTCGTAGTCGTCGTCGTCGTCATCGTCATGGTCCTGGTAGTCGTCCCTCACATGCTCATCGTCGCCGTTGTTCGATGACATATACGTATATGTCGACGCGTAAGGATCCTGTCGATTGGCTCCGCCCGCGAACATATCTCGAGACATGGTCGATGAATTATCCGAGATCTGCGAGGCAAGACAACTCGGTTTCGAACGAGTCTCGGAGCACTCGGTCGATTGGGTGTGATACGAATTGCGATCCCCCGACGACGACGACAAAGACGACGTCGGAGTTGATCGGTTTCCAAGTTGATCAAACGAGATGGCATTGTCCTCCCCAACGCAACCGCCTAGGCGGCACGAGCGTCTTAAATCCTCATCCCTGCGTCGATGGTGTAGAATCATGCTGGCGATCTCGAATTTGATATGCAATATGCGGGGGACGAGTCCGTTGGAGGTCCGCGCAGCCTGTGACCAGACTATGCCTCCCTCACCATGGAACACACGAGCGATGTCACCACCAATGTGTCAAGTGCGAGCCATGGACCGTTCTCAAATATGACGGTGCTCCCGCGATTCTTTCGGCGTGATCTGTGACGATGCGGTTGTAAACCACAAAGGAGTGGAAAAGGGCGACTATTGTAGAGCCATTCCGTGTACATGTATTCGAGGATGGTCTGCTTTGGGGGTACCGTACACCGCTCGCCCGGCAAGCCATCTATATACATACATACATATATGCACATACATGGATGTCCGAAATGACCAAATGTGCCCCAGCGTCACGATCGCTCCTCGAGGGCCCTTGAACGGAGTGCAGTACAGTACAGTGCAGTACAGTGCGGTGCGGTACCCACACGCTCTCCCTGGGCGGCGCATGATGATGCCCAAAACCTCACACATGGCGAGCCATACTGTGCTGGGAATTGGGTACCCGCCCAGATGAACGTGACTTTTTTCTGCCCGCATGGATCGCACACCCGATCGGACGAGAGCCACGACCACTCATCAAACTCGGTGTAAATGCATCTGCAGTAGTGAAGGGGTGACAGGCAGCCTAATGCGGGCCACCCGACCCGCTCTTATTATGATTGCTACACTCTTCAGCATTGTGGTTATTGGAGAGTCCAGCACCGAGCCGACTCGCGCCCTTCCCATGTCGCCGAAATTTTCCCTCCTCATTAGACCGACATGCATGAACGCATTGATCGATATACCGATCGTCGCTCGTGGGTCCATTGCTGGTGAATTTGGCACAAGCACAAATATCATACAGGACAGTACATACATACAAAGGGAGAATTTTCCATGTGAAAGACAACACCCCGGTCGGGCGAGGCTTGGACACCTGGACACCGACAAAAAGTCATTCGGTGAATGGGATTGGACGTGCGTATGTCTCAGAGACCCAAGGGAACAGCAACCTGGCAGGCACGGGACATGCACGCACACACACACAACACACAGTCTCTTTCCCACGACGCATGACCACGAGCTCCTCCTGGCTGGGGACGATCCCGCGAGTCGTCCCGAAGTCGAAATGCGCCATCTAAAACAATCGGTGCCTGTGCGGGCCATTCTTTTTCCCTCTGGTCGTGCCCTTCACCATTTCCATGGCTTTTCTAACCACTCATTATTCTCAGTCCAGTTCGATGGACACGTCACTCCCGTGACAAGCCCCGCCATGCGGATCCACTGCGAATCGGCGTAACAAAATGAAACGCTGCGCAGGCCGCCGGATACCGTATGGAGAGAAATGTATTATGGCTAGGGATGAGACACTCTCCTCCACCATCACCACCACCATCGTCACCTTTCCCGGCCGAGACATGATGTGGGTCATTATGGTAATGATAACTTTCCGCATCGAAATCGCAATTCGGTGTGGTGCCAGCGCACACGTGCCCCGTGCTTGACCTCGGAACTCAATCGCGGCAAGCTCGAGTCATTCGTCGCTCATCATCGACGCATCGACGGCGGCGGCGGTGCAAGGTGATTGATCAATGGATCACGATACACCTACTGTGACCGACAGTACCATTCTCTCTTCGTGAAGATCGGGCCTGAATTCGGATTGCGATCAACAGCACTGCACCGCCAAAGGACCCGCAAAAGGTCTGTGTGTATGGATGTGTACAGCGTGCTGTAAAAGCCTTCAGACCCGCAGTGGAAGCGGCTCCTCCTCCTCATCATCATCATCATCATCATCCATCATGCATTTCCGTGCTGAACTCGTGAGACAAGTCGCCATGCCCGCCCTGGAGCGCCCCGTCCACAGACGAACAGCAAATCACATGCGCGCAAAATCGTTCTTCCGTGGACCCAAACGTGTGCAGGTGCTCCCTCAGAATGCCCCACTGACCAGTCTCACTGCTACCAAAATTCCATGGCGGCGGCATGTGCCGCTCACTAGTCGAGGGTTCTGTTCGTGGTTTGGAGCCCGCCAAATTCCCATGGTGCGGCCGTCGCCAGCTCCTCGACCACGCGCGCGCTTCCCGCTTGGCCGGCCAGCTCCCAGTCTGATTTGCTGACGAAGCCGTGATGACCCTCTCGACCTTCCAGGGAAGCCCCACGCGATCGTCCTTCTCGTCGTTTCAGACATCGCGTGCTGTTCGACTCGAACGACACCCGGTGGCAGGTGATAAATGCAGCATGGCCCTGGGCGCTAGCATCTCGAACTGTGCACGAACGACCCCGGCACCCTCGAGCTGGAGGCGGGAGAAGCGATGCGACGGCGAGAATTGCTTTTCGTGGTCCAGTCATGGATCCAGATCTATCGATCATCGCGATGTCATGGAGCTTTTTTCGTCACGAGGTTTGGCAATATCGAAAGAAGGTACCCACCTAGGTGGAGGTACTTGCTGGGAGGTGTCTGGATACATCGATACATGTGACATGTGGCTGTGATGGGCTCGATGAGCGGGACGTCCGCGGCAGCGACGACGGCAGTTGTGCTTTCACCGCCGGGAGCGACAAATGCCCACACCCCTCTGCTATCGTTTTAGACATTGACATTCGTCGTATGCACCTAGACGCCCTCAAAACTGCTCCTCGTCGTGTGATGTGTGGCACATCGCCGTCCCTGGAGAATCGCTGCGCTGAACGTCGACGACACTGAGAATTATGACGTAGTGTTATGGCCTGCAAGGCGGCAAGTGAGAGGTGGACGACGCGTGTGTGGAAAGGAACATGAATCCATTGTTTCTCATTCTCATCATTGGTATTATTAATCATTAACTACTTTGGTCATCAACCATCAACTCTCGAATGAGCCTCCTGAGGGCCGGGATTTACACTTTCCATGGCTGCGCCTCCCTGATGAAGCCCGGCACATCGAGCAGATCTGCGTCCTCGACGAGGAATCTCTCGCTCTCGGCCTGCTTCGCCGGGCTGCCGGCGCCGTAGTAGCTGTCCTCGCCGATCCACAGCATCATATCGACCAGGTCCGCCCGGATGGCCTCGGGGAAATTGCGGCCGAACGCCTCCCCGCTGACGGGCTGGTATCGGACCTCCCGGCCCAGGGACTCTCCGAGCTGATCCACGAATTTGCGCGGCGAGGTCCAGGTGCTGATCCCCTGCACGTGCGCGCCGTCGGCCTCCCGCCCGGCTTCGAACAGGCCGACGACGTATTTGCCGCCGTCGCGGCGCGGCGCGACCAACGGCCACGGGATGTTCTCGTCGGGGAAGGGCAGGCTCAAGGTCGGCACGCCGTCGACGGGGTGGACGAGGTTCTTGAGGAAGTCGATGTACATAGCGGGCATGTAGTAGCTCGCCCACATGTCGCCCTTGTTCGCCTCGATGTGCTCGGCGACTTCGGCCTTGCCGTCGAAGTGCTCGACCTGAGTGTGTCGGCCCTGGCTGAGCTTGCTGACGTTGGGCAGGGCGGAGAAGACCAGGTGCTTGATGCCGGCGGATTTGGAGGCCTCGAAGATGTTCTTGCCCTGTCGGATCTCGCGGTCCTTGGACAGGTGCGACCAGAAATCCGTGACGCCGAAGACGCCGTAGCTGTTCTGGACTGCGGCGGTGACCGAGGCGAGGTCGTCGAGGTCGGCACGGACGAGTTCGACTCCCTTGGCAGCGAGGGCTTGGGATTTCTCGCTGGTTGTGTCGCGGGTCACGGCGCGAATGGCATATTTGGAGGAGAGCGCGGGCCGGGCGAGGATGACATCGAGGATGCTACCGCCTTGAAGGCCGGTGGCGCCAAAGACGGTGAGGATCTTCTTGTCAGACATGGTGATGTTATCACGGTGGACTGTGGAGATGATTTGGTTGCTCAAGATGATGATTGAGGGATGATGTCAACGTGGGTTTTGGTGGTGGTGGTGATGGTGATGGTGATGATCCATCGTCCATTCGGCGGGAGCATCATCCATACTTATGCCCATTCACCCGCCGTTCATCACCGCCGCTACGATGTGTATGGTTTTCAACATGTTGCATTTCCAAGCAGTGACCGGGAGAAAGCTCCATTCACTTCTAGCCCCCCGCCGGATAGCACAGGATCGTGTAAGCAGATCGAAAAGAAAAGGACGGACGGACGGCCTTAGCAGCGCGCTTAGTCGGTAGATCGGTGTTGTGCCCGCGACTCGGCTTTGAGGATAATTGCGCTTATATAATAGATGGCAGGCCGAGGATGGGGGCTGCTCCAATACGCACGAGCTGTACATACCTAGGTAGGTCCATTGATATGCGATATAGATCCGCATGTGTCTCGGAAATACTTGCTAATATACCCGTATCCGATCATGTACTAGTAGTAGTGTACATGTACAGACCGAAATTGTTGCGTGTGTACAGTAATCACCCCAGCATTTCCTTTGTTTCTTCACTCACCATCATCAACACTATCCGTCCGGGCAGCCGGGGTTTCGTGAGACGCAAATTTCCGTGTGAAGCTTGGAAGGGTTCCAATGCCGACTTTGGTTGATAAGCAGTTTGTTCGAGCTGTATTTGTCATTGATCGAACAACGCTTGCTCTGTACTGTAGGACATAACATCACGGCTACTGGGAGGATATTCGCCGGGAGAACCTCAGCATTGTACCATGTATTGTCGATGTTGTTAGTTATCGAAGTAGGCTTGCGATACACACCATTGGAACGATATATATAACGTAATCTATCACCGAGCGGGCCAAATCACCGAACGGGCCATTTTGTCTTGGCATTACAACTGAGGTGACTACAACCGTTGTTTATTCAACCACACACTTAGTTATACATCTGCTATGCTAGGATATGGTTCAGAAGGAGCATCTCTATCTGTCTGGCAAGTTCGTGAGTTGTGTCCAGCTATTCCGCAGTTTCTACATCGTCGTTGAGTTGGAGGTCCTCGTTCAGACTCAGCTTCATTACAAGTCCTTTTTGATCGTTGAGCACCTATACCCGCCTGTACAATTGCCTGTGATGCTCCAATACCATACTCTATAGATCCACCTTGCTGGATCTGCTTCCGTTTACGCGATCTTCTCTTAGTCAAGACTGCTAATTGCTCTTCAAGCTCTGTAATCCGTGCAGATTGGAGCACGTTCTAATGAAGCATCAATTCAGCACCTTTAACTAATTGTGAGAACCCTTCTTTAGCTTCGGGCGGAGACCTAAGGAAAGAGCGGCTAATAAGCTTGGATTGAGATCCAAACTCATACGAATTGCTCGGTGTTCGGGACTCCCATGCTGCTTCCGGAAATAGCTGTTGAGGAGAGGTGTGCAAACGTAGATCAAGACGATCAATAACTGTTTACGCGTCCGTACGGACTATCGCTGTTGCCTCAAAGGCCTTTCGACAGTTCTCTTTCGTAAACACGTCGAAAAACGCGTCCTTAAAGGCTGGAAGGAAGTTCCCTTTGTTGATATAAAAGACGCGATTTCGTGCCAAGCCTCTGACACGCTCAGAGTACTTGCTCTTTAGCGGTGAGAAACACACTACGTCGAGAGGCTGAAGGATGTGAGACGAATGTGAAGGCATACACAGAGTGAGGATCTTGTTCTCGAGGCAATAGTCCTTGAATGCTTGATTCAAATGGCTCTCATGGCCGTCGAGAATGAGTAGCCTATACCCTGCTACTTGACGCGTCCGTGTATGCGTATCAAAATGCTTCAACCACTCCAGACCAAGGTCGTTATTAGTCCAGCCGTTCTCAGAGACCAAGATTCTCCAATCTGAAGGGATATCAGCCTCTTCATACCACGTAGAGATGTGGACGCGCCCTTTGTAGATAATGAAGGGAGGGATTGTATAGCCTGCAGCGCAAATGCTCTGTATTACTGTCACCTATTCGCGGTTGCCTGGTTGAATAAGTGTCGGTCTTTTTCGTCTCTCTGAACCTGTAACAACTTTCATTAATCCAATAATACCCATCTGGAAGCCCGTTTCGTCGAAGTTGTGAACATCATCGTCGTGGACACCATGTTTGGCTTTAGTGTCTATTACTAACGTCAACCACGCGTTGATAACGTCCGGGTCTTCTTGGAGGACTCTCTAACGATCCTTTGCTCGACTGAACGCTATCTTCAGCTTCTCCGAACGCGTAACGAATCTGTTAGGCCAGCATTTACCGACTGGCCCTTTCCCTCGTACAGCTAGAAGTTTATTAGCCATATCTGCTACCTCAGAGAGTACAGGTGCAAATCCTCGCGAATCAAGGTCAAGGATATATTGCTCAAGCGTCTGTTCTTCTGTTAACGTCAGATTCTAACAGTTTGGTGCCATAGTCTCGCGAGATCTGGTTCCTCTGAGTCTCTTAGAGAGTATCTAATAATTGATATTGAAAGCAGCAGCTGCGCTCCGTTGGCTCCGAAAATGACCAGATCTATACGCATTGATAGCAAGATCGATTCTACCTTCTTGATTATCTGATAACATGTCTCGTTGTTGATACAATAAACAGGAAAGATGTTGTTTACAATGCCAAGACAAAATGGCCCGTTCGGTGATTTGGCCCGCTCGGTGATAGATTACGTTATATATATATATATCTACATATATGCTAGGTCCATGGATCCATAATATACATGTTAGGGTTTGGGTAAGAACTCACCCTCGAGCTGGAGTGATCGGACTTCTTGGGCATGCAAGTACCTGACTTGGTATGCAATGTAGGGCATCATGGCATGTTGGGCGCCTTATGGACGGTCGTTCAACTACTACCGTGCAGACAAATTCCACGGCTACGTGCTCTCTCGGATATATCTTGTGCATCGCGCGTGCTGTTTCCCTACCCTACCGGAGATGCAGGTGAATGAAGATGTTGTCTGCGGCCTCATCGCTGTGGGTGCCCCGCGTGTCGCGATGGGTCCAGACAAGCCCACGTCATACCCCGTGTGGGGCAGGCCGTTGATCTGGAGGAAAATTATTGACATTGGATTTCCGTGTTGATGACCTGCAGACGAGCCTTTCGACGACCGAAATCCCGAAATCTTCAACAACCACCATGGCCACCCAGACCCGCACCCCCGAGGCGCTGCCCGCCTGGAAGACCGACCTCATCGCCCTCGCCCTCCGCTCCCAGATCCTCACCTTCGGCACCTTCACCCTCAAGTCGCACCGCGTCTCGCCCTACTTCGTCAACTGCGGCCTCTTCTGCACCGGCGAGCTGATCGAGGCCATCAGCAGCGCCTACGCCCGCACCCTGCTCGAACACAGCGCCGCGGACCCGAGCTTCCAATTCGACGTGCTCTTCGGGCCCGCCTACAAGGGCATCCCGCTGGCGGCCACGACCGCGCTGCAGCTCGCCGCGATCGAGAAGCAGTCGGCGACCGGCGGCGGCTCGCCCGGCCGGTTCGCCCAGGTCGGCTACGCGTTCAACCGGAAGGAGGTCAAGGACCACGGCGAAGGGGGCCTGATGGTCGGCCGCGGCCTGGCGGGCCAGCGCGTCGTCATCATCGACGACGTCATCACCGCGGGCACGGCCATCCGCGAGGCCATCGAGATGATCCGCGCGCAGGGCGGCACGCTGGTCGGCGTCATCGTCGCCATCGACCGCCAGGAGAAGATGCCGTCGGCGGCCGAGAAGGCCGGGCGGGGCGACGACGGCCAGCCCCGGGGCAGCGCCATCGGGGAGGTCGTCCGGGAGACGGGCGTGCCCGTCCTGGCGGTGTTGACGCTGGGGAACATCGTCGACGGGCTGAAGAGTCTGGGCCGGGATGAGGAGGTGGGCAGGATGGAGGAGTATCGGAGGCAGTACGGCGCCACGGACGCGGCGTTGTGAAGTCCGATGAGGGGATCCTGGATGGGCGTGGGAGATCATGAATGGGATGAGTTTGCAGGGTTCGTCATCCGCGCCAGGGAGCGGGTCGATGTGAACAGATGATATACGATATGAGGCTAGGCGATGAACGTGGGTGACCCGTACGCGACACACTTTGAGGTGCCGTCTGCAATAGGAGTCAATGATGGTCGAGCTCATGGAGATTTGCCCATGTCTGCTTTCATAACCATGATGGGTAGAGATTCCCACGGGAGAATTCCGAAACCGACATGTAGCATTAAACTTGGGCCATCGTGGCCGCGCGAATGGGATATCTACTCTTTCAAACTCAAAACAAAACTTTCCATGCAGCAAACGACCATTCTTTCTGCCGCTCGGGATCATTCTCCCTTCACTTGAAGGATGACCGCGGCTCTTCTCCTTGTATCGGCGTCTCTTTCCGTCTAGGCTCGAAATCCTGCATCGGCAGCCTAGTTGCCATAGGCCTTCTTGACCGAGTCCTTGTACTGCTCCAAGATGGCCTTTCGGTTGAGTTTCTGCGCCGAGGTGGTCAGACCCTAGATGGACAAATTTGTTAGCATGATGAATAAAATCCCAAAAATGAAACTCGTCCGTCTGATGGTACTCACGTTCTGTGGGGTCCACTCCTCGTCGGCGAGGACGACTCCATCGATGATCTCGATTCCCGAGAGACCGCCCTTCTTGCCGGCGCTCTGCATCGCCTGGAGGACGGCGCTGTTGATCTTCGAGTTGTGGACCAGGTCTTCCAAACCGTTGCCCTCGACGCCGTTCGCGGTTGCAATCTCCTTGAGCGCTGCTTCGACCGGCACGACAATGGCGATGGGTTTGCTGTGGTCGGGGCTTGCGTAGGCGCAGATGTTGCCCACCACAGGGCATGAGCGGTAAATGGATTCGAGCTTCTCCAGTGCGATGTACTCGCCGTTGAGCGTCTTGACGAGGTTCTTCTTCCGGTCAATGATACGCAGCTCTCCCCGCTCGTTCCACTCGCCGATGTCGCCGGTCTTGAACCAACCGTCATCGGTGAAGGCCTCTTTCGTCTCCTTCTCCAGATCGAGATACCCGGCTGATACGGCTTCACTTCGGATCCAGATTTCGCCCTGTGGAGGTGAGTTGGTGGAATAGTAGCCGGCATCGGGGAAGTCCACGAGCTTGACCTCGGCGCAACCTGGGACCTCTCCCAGGGCGGAGTCAGTCCACGAAAGCGGATCCATGAGCGCGCCCATGGCACACGTCTCTGTGAGGCCATAGCCAGAAATCATAGGTGCGATGACGACGGAGATGAAACGCTGAGTAGCCTTGGCGATGGGGCCGCCGCCGTTCATGCAAACGCGCAATTTGCCGCCTGTCGCCTCGGCGACCTTCTTGAACACAATGGAGTCGATGACGCTGGCACCTTTGTTGGAAAGCGGTACGGAGCCGGCGTGGTCCAACAAGAAGTTCTTCGCATTGAGGGCGCCCCAGAAGAGGTTCTTTGCGACGGGGTTCAATTTCGCAACCTTGGCTTGGACTCCCTTCTTCACCGTCTCCCAGACAGCGGGGACACCGACCAGGATGGTGGGCTTGAATTCGGCGATATCGCCGCGGCAGTTGCGCATGGAGTTGTCGGAGATAGTCTTAGGGTTGCCGTAGCCCATGTTACCTCCCCAGAAGAGACAGGCGTTCTCGAACATGAATTCGAGAATGTGAGCCAGAGGAAGGTAGGAAAGCATACCGTCGTAGGGACCCACGAAAGCCCCAACAACGACGTCCAACCCTGCGACAGCGGCGACGATGTTCTTGTGTTTGATCAGGACACCCTTAGGAGCGCCGGTGGAACCGGAAGTGTACATGATACAGCAGAGGTCGTCGCGCTTCGGCGGCACGGGCTCCACAGGGTTCTGCTTGCCTCGCTCGATCAACTCTTTGAAGCCAATGACAGTCAATTCCGGGTGTGCATCCTTCAATTTCTGGATGTCGGCTGCGAGTTTGGCGGGGTTGGGCTTGGTGGTGGGCGCATCGTCATCGTTGTAGATCACCGCCTGGATCTCTTTGGCTTCCTTGAGCGGTCCGATCAATTTAGTGAGGAGGTGAGGATCCAAGAAGATGACCTTGGAATGCGTCTGCAGCAGCGAGTGCTTCAGACCTTCCTCGCCGAGGGTGTCGTAGGCGGTCACGATGGGCATGCTTTGACTACCCGCGCCGTGCGCGAAACCGAACCAGTAGGCATGTGTGGCGGCGAAGAGGTGAACCCGATCAGCCGCTTTCAGGCCGAGTGCGCGCAGGCCCGCGCCAGCGTTCAGAGCCAGCTGCTCGAACTCGATGAAGGAGAGATATTCGTACGGCGAAAGTTCGTAGTAAGTCCACTTCTTGTCGACCTCCTGCTCTTTCCCGTCCACCATCTTTTTGATCTTTTTCGTCTCCTCGTGGAGGTTGATGAGCTTTCTTGAGCCGACAGCGTTGGCGTTGCCATATTTCCTGGCCGAGCGGCGAAGGATATCGTAGACGGTCTCGACACCCTCCTCGGGGTATATGGCAAGCTTGTCGAGAGTGCGGACGTTGCGCCGAGGGATGGTCTCGCCTTCTCGCTTCTTCAGGCCTGGCACCTCGGCCGTGTATGGTGGAGGACGATACGGCCGAGCTTGCGGCACGAATGTGTACATATCGCGATTGAGAACGTCACCCATGATGGAGAGGTTGTTCAATGGGGTATGGTAGAGGGTGTTGTACGGATCAGGATGATGAGAGTGGAAGAGAAGGTCGTCGTGAGAAGCAGGCTGGGACATATAGGGAAGCTTGGGAGTGAGCTCGTGTGCTTTGGGTAGGAATCCACAAGGAGCGTCTGGGTAGACTTGGCGAAGTGGTGACACCGTCGGTGGATGGATTATTGGGTCCCAAGGCTGTGTTGCGGATGGATGTGAGGACGGAGGGTGCGTCACTTTCTGGGCGCACGTGGAATGGCGAGAGTCGGAACGCTTGGCGAAGTCAGTTGACGGACCTTTCGTTGGTCAAAGGTTTGCTTGAGGATGGGCGGCGGATGAGTGCTGGTGAGTGCAAAAGTGAGGGAGGATCACATATGGGATTGGGATATGGGAACAGGCAACAATGCGTAGTATCTCGTCGCTCGCCGCCTCTATCCTCTCTCTCTCTCTAATAACAGGGCCGTTCTGCTGGTCTGTTGCGCTACGGAGTGGGCTTCGTTGTTCTGTACATGCATAATTTATCGCCATCGAACAAACAGGGAACAACGTCACTGCCGCGGTAAGCAGCAATTGCCCCAGGATCCCATCCATTATACCGTTGAGACATATGAATTACGAGGGAGAGGATGGAACCAATGAAACGGAGCTGTACTAATCCGGGGAGGCGACTATAGCTTTCCCCAGTGCACGAGTCTCCCGCCGTCTCCCCTCTCCAGCTCTCATCATTCTCCTCCCTCTCTCTCTCTCTCTCTCGACTTCCTAGGTACCTAGGTACTGTAGAAGGTCAGTGGGTTCCAAGGTTGCTTGGTAGTCTCTCTCTCGGCACGCCTCCCGTGTTCTGTAGTGTCTCATGGCGATTGATTAACATCTAGTAAAATGCAGTTCCTGTCCACATGCGCGTATAACGATTTCCGGAGCAAGGGATAGTCGCATGCCGTGAGTTCTGGTTGTCCTCTCCTCCTGATTTACGCAATGGATCTCAGCTACGCATGTATATATCTAGCCACCCAGGTACATATGCAGTAGTAATAATGACACTTGCGAACCCCACGGCGCAGCGCAATATGCATCAACTACGAACCACGACTTCTTATTATCCTCTGCTGCGATTCTACCGCCCAGATGCTATACGGTCATTTGATCTATCGCCCAAGCCTCTTGGAAGACAGCCACCGAAGCGCGGCATTGGCTCACCACGTGTCTCGTGGGGGTTGTCTCATCAGGACTTTGCCCAGGTGGGTCTCATCATCCGTCGCAGTCTCGCCGCGTGCTTCGTTTCCTCATCATCAGTCTATCCTCTTGTCGGGTTCGTCGCGATGGTCAGGCCGGGTCCAGATGTTACGAACCGCTCCTATGATTGTTGGTGCGTGATTCGAATGCACGTGCGCCAGGGAACGTCCCACAGGTAGAAGGGGATCCCTACAGCCGAACTTCTCATACGCAATCGGAACATGCTACCGTCGAGTCCCAAAGTATAGGCAGACGATGCCTACTACATGTGCAAATGGCCAAACGCTGTGCCTTTCCGTCATTCATACTCGTTCTGAAAGGAAGGCCGGCTGAACATTTCCGTTACCTAGTATGCAACGGATATTTCGAGACATGCCTAGGTGCCATGGTAAAAGTGATGACAAGGAAGGTACGCCGGATTATCGCCAGTTCTGAACCGGTTCGTGATTGCCTCAGGTTTGTTCAACACCCAAAGTCACCTGGACACTAAACGACCTAATATGCCACCAAGAACATCCCAATCTTCCCCTAATGATGAAACATTGCAACGAACGTCAGTGGGTAACCCTAAATCGATAAGCTTGGGTCGCCTCTCGGAATCTCATATCATAGAGATTTCTAGACTCATCAGCATCCGTGACAATCACACGTTCAAAACCTAAAGAGGATTCCACACAGTCACCAAGGGATTCTTCGAGGAGCGGATGATCCACTCTGTCGCAGCGAGATGGAACTGATTCTGAGTCGCCTGGGCGAGGAAATCCTCGATGCGAATGAAGGTGCGCAACGCACGAACTTCCGAATCAAAAAGCAGATGCTGTGATCCACACAAGAAAGGATGACCCAATTATCCTCTTCATAGAGACCTACGATCTCTTCTCTCAGCCACAAAATGCCCAGGACCTTGGTATGCTCGACCCTGCCGCACGAGCCGTTGAAGTAACGATCGCCGGCCATGAATATTCCATCCTCCAGTCTCCCGGCATCCTACAATCGGGCCGTCAAGGAGGTACGACCGGTGCCGCAGTTTGGCAGGCATCGATTCGACTTGCGGACTGGCTCTGCTGGACAGGAAATATGCTCGAAGCGCTGTTGACACGCCATGACTGTAGGGCGATGGAGCTGGGGTCGGGAATATCGGGCATAATTCCCTGCGTACTTGCATCAAGGTTGGAGAGATTCGTGGCAACCGACCAAGCCTACCTGCTCAAGACACTGCGAGAAAACATCGACAACAACAGCGGCAGCGATGGCGCGCCGGGTGAGTCATCCAGCAAGCGCCTTGCAGCCGGTGCGCGGAGTCACAATTCGACAAAACATCGTCCGATGCGTCAGCCTCGCGATACTCGGGCCCCGAAAAACGTCAAAATCGACGTGTTGCCACTGGATTGGGAGACCGATGACGTGAAGGGTTTCATGACCGCACATGATCTCGGCACAGGCATCGATCTCCTCATCGCGAGCGATTGCATCTACAACTACGCGCTCATCGACCCGTTCGTGCAGACGTGCACACAAATCTGCCAGCAACGTCAACGGCAACGATCACAAGACCAGCATGACGCGAAGGTCGATGCGAGCAACGATGACTCTTCGACCAGCCGTTTGCCAACCGTCTTGCTCGTTGCGCAGCAGATGCGTCAACCGGACGTCTTCGAGCAGTGGCTCGAGGCGACCCTGCTGAAGTTTCGAGTCTGGCGCGTCCCCGATGAATTGCTCACAGAAGGCCTGCGGACCGGAACCGGATTCGCCCTACATCTGGGCATTCTGAAAGATTGAAAAGATTGATACCCTTGTAATGAACATTATGAGCGTCCCGCGATGATCGCCTTGCGTGTGTTTGACGATCCTAGTCCCCTTTGCTGTCTCTCTAGATAGGAGGAGAACATCTAGACTATCTTCGCACTGTTCTGGTTCTGATCTCCAAGGGAAGGAAAGGCTGCGCTGGCGAACTAGCTTACGAGCAACCCAATGCAGCGGCAAGAGCACATTCCCCGTCCTTGGATATTCGTCCACCAGTCCTGAAGTTCAGACGCCTGAAATGTGTCCTGTCAATGATTCCACCCTGTATGCTAAGTGCTTCAACCGCCCATCCATGCCTGTCGCAAGGACCCGTGACGACGTGACGTTCAAGCGGTGTGGAGAGGCCGCACAGTGACACGCAGCACGACGTCAGCCTTGCCGACACGCAAGCGCATATCAACAAGTGAAACGTGAAATAGAAAAACGAAGAAGCACATCCGACAAGCCACGCATCATGCCAGTCATCCCATCTCGGCCAGCCGAGTGGGGAAAAACCAAGTTCTGCCCTCGTGAGCTCCCCCTTTCCATGGTCAATCGTCCTGCATCACGGATCGACCACCCAGGTGGACGGCAGTAGACCTAGAGTCTGCAGCGGACGCTATATGTGTCTCGACGACGGTGGATTGGTGGCCTCCTCGCTACTCAAATCACCCCGCTAATGTCGCCGGGAGGATCGGCCGTTCTGCACACTCGCATGAGCATCGGCTGCGAATCCCACCCCCGGGTGTATATATACGGACAGGCACGAGGGGACATCATGATCGGTGTGCACGCAGACATGTGCGTGTATATACTTATCAACCTTGGAAGTACATACATATGTGTGTGTGGGTGGGGGGAGAGGAAGAGACATTGGATGAATAACGATCGATGGCTTGGATGTAGCGAATGTGTGCATGTGAATGCCCGGGCCGTCGTGACCTATCAAGTCTATCAAGTATGTACTCGCGGGAAGTGGGACGGTAGTTGTCGTCCTCTCTCTCCCGCCATGGAGGAGGTTTTCTTTTCCTACTTCCAATTGCTATAGATGTGTACACGAAGGCTCGTGAGATGAAGATGTGGTCGTCAGCAGACCCCACTATATTGTATCCGAAGTCGACTCGTCATGAATTTTCCCCGAGCGAAGGATTCTTCTGACGTGTCGGGTGTCGATATGGTGTTGTCCGATCGATTGGTCTCATTCGCAGGACATTTCTCGATGTTGTTATCCCATGATGTCAGAAGTCTCCGCGCCGCGATCCGGGCACAAACAGCGGTGACTACTACAATTTGTGTGTTTGTCATTGCGCGGCACAGAAAGCACCGTCTTCAACCATTCCAAGGTTGGCTGTTGTTGTTGTTGTTCGCAAACGTGCGCAGTGCATGCGACGAAGGACACCTTGTTGGCGTTTCACATTGTCAACGGGGGGAGGGGCCAGGTTATTCAGGCTGTGCGCATGCATGTGTGTCTTCCATAGCCCGTCTGCACGCCTCCTTTCCTTCATTAATATCTCCGTCGCCTTCCCTGACGACGGATCCGACCGGTGCAGTAGCTGGGGATCATCCCGTCCTGCGCAGCCATGTGTTCGAAGCTCTCTGGTCGCATGGGCAGGGCGTGGTTATGCTCGTGGCTTATCAGAAAGGCGGAGATGCACGAGAGGTTGGCGCTTGCGGCGTGGTTTTGATGGATTGGAGGGCGCTGCGCCGCCGAAGACGTGCCTGCTTACCTGCCTGCCTTAGGCTGACGGAGGGCCCAACGAAGCCCAACAAGGCCCCCGCAAACCTCTCTCCTGCATGCTCATGAAGGATAATCGTGATTGAAAATGATGGACCATCGATGACGGTGATGCACTCCGAGTCATCTCCACAGCGAACGGGCTGTAAGCTGACATCCACGGGTCCCTCGGAGGCATTCTAGGGCCACCCGTGAGGATGAAGGCGGGTCGCTACACTGACGTGAGGGGCACGGGAGGATACAGCGATGCTGCAGCATGATGAGTACACTGGCGAGAGATCACGGTGAGCCATGATCGATCATCGCGTGAGCATCATTCCGTCTAACGGGCAGTCCGTCACACCGTCTATGAGCTGATGTCCAAGCCAGTCTGCCGGTGTGTATGGTTCCTGCCTCACGAGTCATTCGTCGTCGTCATCTCAGCCAGCCTCTCGAGGGGCGAGCCTTTCAGCTTATGAGGACAATCGGTGTTGACGCCGCCGAGCCTTCACTTCGGTACATGACCGAATCCGGTCAAATCTGCGTGCGGAAGATGACACAGGATCGTCGGCCCGCTTTGCTGCAGGTATGAGTTCTATGGTACGGACATGATGATCCGACAGTGAGTGGAGGCCTGAAAGACAAGGGTTTTTTTTTTTTTTGGCTGGCTGAACACTGTACGTGCGGATGTTCCCCCTGCAATTCCAAGCCCGTTTTCCTGTGAGTATCCGCCATGGTTTGATGATACCTAGGCTGACTGTAACAGGCGGCCGGAGGGCGGCGGCCTCTCGGGCCGTTGTTGCTGTCAACCAACTTTAGAAGCATTAGGCGCCGTCGGCCATGTTGATACTGTAGTCCGCGATATGGGGCTATGAACCTCAGATCTTTCGCCGGGAGAACAGGAAGTTTACGGAGCGATCCTTTCATGAATCTCCCTGTTCACCGTCTATGAGGCCGCCGGCGCGCAAAGAGATGTTGGTGGTAGACATATATGGGTGCCCAGGTATGCACGCGGCGCTTCAAGCTGTGATCTGAGGGCAGTGCCCTCAGAGAGTCAGAGAGTATCGCCCCCGCACACCACCACCACCACCACCGCCCGCCTTCTGTGCCTCTCTCCTGGCCTGATCAGCACCCATGCTGCTTACTAGGTATTATTGTGATTCTGCAACTCCCAACCATTTCGTATCGTCGCCCTTTGTGTATAGTACCGTAGAGCACTTAACGATCATCACGCCTACGGTCGGATGCAACCATGAACAGCAAGACCTCGTACCATACGATACTATACCTACCTAGGTAACCGCACCTCCGTCGCTCGCGTACTGTACATAGCCCCAGGCCCCTCTGCAAAAGTTTGCCCAGGCGCATCGAAAACTTCACTTTCAGCTCCTATGTAGTTGGACTCGATCTTCATATCGCACCCGTCTGCGATTTGCGTCGTCAGCTAGCGAGGGAAAGCCAAGGTCGAGAGTCGCACCATTACGCCGTCAGTGGTCAAGGCAACAGGAAAAAAGCGAGCATCACAGCACAGCGGCGGGAGGGAAGTCGTGTGGATTGAGGCGCAGCAGATGCGTGCGAGAGAAAACCCTGGACTGGACTGTACGGACGGGACCGCATGGGCGGTTAGGAATTGCATCTCCGCTTAGCGGGAATTCTGCGGCAGCCACGAACGTCCACTCGTCCGCCCGTGTGTCACCACCACCACCACCATTACCACCACCATTACAAGTCCTGAAGGAGGAGGGGGGTTGCTCCTAAGCTGATCACCCTTGGCGATGTCCTTGCATTCCCGAATATGTAGTAAAACTGAATGCAAATCCTGATCCCATGAAATCAAATTGTTCCAAGGTTGTTGCTGTCCATCAGTGGGTACTCGCCGACGCCAGAGAAGAAGTGGTCCGACGAACACGCTGTCTCATCGCTGCATCTCCCCAAACACTGGCCGCCTGCGCGCATTGTTTCAGCCGCAGTAATCCTGTTGCGCTTGACATCTCAGCTTCGAACGGCATCGACCTCAGAGATATCATAACCACCTGGGCACACATCTAATAACACGAAACGGCCCCCCCCGATACCACATTCCGTGCCGTCCGCCATCTGGTTGGGTGCCGTGCACCGACAGCGATTGCATGAACGCGGCGTCAATTGGTCGAATCCCTTGCCGTGTCGGAGTCATACTTCCCTCCTGTCGGAAAACGCTTGAGCCACACTCAGCAGTCCGCCGACATATACCACCTCTGCCAACGAGGATAATATCACGAGATTTTTCCGCTCGCCACAAGTTGCCACGCACATAACGCCAGCGGTCACCACATACATACAATCGCCAGCGTCAAGATCGACTTTGATCGAGATCACCACAGCTCATGCTGATGAAGTTTATAAATCATCAAGAAGACTCTATGTTGAACAGCCATCACACCGATTGCCATTTCTCAAGTCCGGTTTCTATTTGTCGTGTGTTCGACCCGTCAAGCCCGCCGGTCGGTGTTATATGAACATGTCTTCGTTTTCATTGCCCAATAAGAGCCATTCCGACAACAAGCATAGCTCCAAAAATACACCGCGTCATGCGCGGACGCCAAATTCATCACCCGGTCCATCTTTATATCGAAGTCTCAACGCGAAGAAGGAAACCGATAAAGCGAAGCGACTCTCATCAGGCCAGGCGTCATGTCATTCTTCATCCGACGCTGCCCCTATGCCATCAACGATCGACTCTGAGCAGTTAGATGATGCGGAGAATCCTACCAATCGCAGGCCGATAACCTCTCTGCCTCGCGCACAGACCTTTCAGCGACAAGAGTCAGAGAAGCGCGAGAAACTGGTCCAGGTCGAGGAACCTGCGCACGAGCGCCGTAGACCATCAGTCGAGAAGCGAGATCGTGCCACTAGTTTAAATGCGTTGACTCCTCCTGTGTCGCCAGATCAGCTGAATGTGTCTTTGCCGACGAGCTCGATTCTCAGCGAATCGAGCCCTTCGGCGCTTGCGCAGGTATGTGACCCCGAGGAGAACCGTTCGGTGTCGTCCTCCTCGAGGAGTAGACCTCAAGACCTTCCGACGCTACAAATCCCTCAGATGAATAGCCCTGGTCCTCCACCGCTCGAGGCGAATGCCGAAAAACCTGCTTATAAAGAGCCGGAGATATCCGTGCTGTATGAGGAGTTCCAGAAGAGATGGCTCTTGAACATGAGCATGAATTTCCGCGATCGCTCCTGTCGCGAAAAGTTCTTTGTCACGTTTGCGGAGAAGCCGAATGTATGGCGTCGCGTCACCGTTTCTGTGGATTATCGCCATGCGCCCCTTGACTCGCTCGAAGACCAGGTGAACAAACTGGAAACTCAAAACGACAAGAGTTTCCGCATATTCAGGGCGGTCCACGAGTCTCTACCACAGATACATTATTTCGAGACCGTCACGAATCTGAGGATCGAAACGACCCCTCACGACATGCAGCTACACATTCACGTACGAGAGGACGCGAACGAGGTTGTGGAGTTCCCTTCGACTTCGATGTTCCGACACATCGGCTGTCCTCGCTTATGCGAAGCATCTCTGGAGTTTGACTCGCATCTCGCTGGATTCGTCTACAAGGTGAAGTCGCGTAATCGATTTCTCATCAAGAAGGAGATCCCCGGCCCCGACGCCATCGAGGAGTTTCTTTATGAAGTCAATGCTCTCGATGCACTGCGGGGAAGCGATAACGTAATCCGCATGGAGGGTCTGGTCACTGACGATCGAGGGGAATGCGTCAAAGGCTTGCTGCTATCATATGCTAACCAGGGCGCACTCCTCGATATCCTCTGGGATCATTCGAGGAAGACCCGAATCCCCTGGCACCGTCGTGAGAAGTGGGCGAAGCAGATCGTGCACGGTCTGTCGGAGATCCATGAAGCGGGCTTCGTCCAGGGCGACTTTACTCTTTCCAACATTGTCGTCGATCACACCGACACAGCCCGCATCATCGACATCAACCGAAGAGGCTGTCCCATCGGATGGGAGCCTCCGGAGTTTGAAGAACTCCTGAGGAGCGGCCAGCGGCTCAACATGGCGATCGGCGTCAAGACCGACCTTTTCCAACTCGGAATGGTTCTCTGGGCTCTCGCCGAGCACACAGACGAGCCCGAGAACGTCCCTCGTCCTCTGCGAGAAGCTATGAACGCTCCCCCGTACTTTCGTGAGATCATCAGGACTTGTCTGAGCTTTCGACCCCAAGATCGCGCAGGTGCAAATATTCTCGTTGATCGCTTCCCTGAGAATGCAGGCGTGCCACCAGTTCAGTCCGATGAAGAACCCATCGAGAGCGGCGCCGTGAGCGCATATCTAGAGCTCGGCCAAGACTTGGAGGATGTCGACCTCAAGGCGTGTCCTCGGCCATCCAAGGTGTACATCGACCCGCAGATGGCTGTCACTCTAGACGACTGTAAGCCGAATTGGCGGTCTCAAGCTCCCGTATTGAAGCCGGACTCCTTCAAGCCTAGCGCTGCCCTATCCCCAAGCACTAATCTTAGCCCACGACGCGCGCACAATGAGGATGGACGATACTTGACGTTCGGGTACCGGAACTCGAACCTCACATCGACTTCATACCATCTCGGCGGCAACTCCGAACTGTCGCTGTGCAGTCCCAGCCGCGATCGGTCCAGCCGACCCCGCCGCCCATCCAGCGCGACATCGGCTATTCTGTCAGGCGATGACGAGAATGCCGATGACGATGGCGACTACGATGATTTCGATGACGAATGCGATATCGACGATGACAACTCCGATGCTTCATCGATCCGCTACGCGATGATGAAGAGGAGACTCCTCCGCCAGGACGAGCTCCGTCGCGCCCAGGGACTCTCCACACAGACGGCGACCTCGAACGCAGGCGCCACCCACGCCCCGGTGAGGTTCGCCGATGTGGCAGCGACGACGGGATACGACACCAGTGCCCCACGGCCGACGGAACACCTCGACCACTCCGAGTATGGCCCCGCGCCCGACGTCGACGACCCAGAACAGATGGCCATCTACGAAGCATGGCTGTGGCAAAAGCACCACGAAAGCCAGCAGCGCATGCAGCAGCGCCAGCACCACCACGAGGAGCAGGACGGGCCAAGCCAGGAATCCAAACATCTGCAGCATGTCGATTCCGGCTTCGACGAGACCATGGTGGAGGCACTGGAGCGCGGCGACGACGACGGCTGCGCCCGCGTTCTGTCCGGCTCGTCGCAGTCGACGGAGAAGTGCGGCAGCGACGGCATGGCGGCGAAATCCGTCCTTTCGGCGCGATCGGTGCTGGAGGTGAAGGGAGGGACCGAGGTGAATGTCGGACGCTCGAGGGTCCGATAGAAATGGTGGGAGGGAGGTCGCCCTCTCACACGGATGGATTCGGGATATGAAGGGGGCGGGAGGGGTTTGCACAGATCACGATGGTGGGGAGCGCATGCCGTTCTCCACACCGGCATTGTATTGACACGACGAAACGACCAGCATCGGGCACACGGATGGGAAAATGACGACGGCACGAATCCTTGTAATAAAGACATCTTGGGCATGCATTTTGGAGTGCGGGCATGAGGTTTGCTTTTTTTTTAATTTTAAATATATACTACAGTACTGTAATGATTCTGATTCATCCTTGACTATTCCTTTGTTCAGCCGTGTCGGAAACGATCTTTTTCGGTTTGTGTTTCTCTAGCATCCCGTGAATGTGGATGGTGTTGTTGGCTCCTGGAGTCTGGGAGTGGGCTCTGCTGCATCCTCGGATCTGGCCCGGCCTTCAACAGGTGGTTTCGTTTCGATCTGGTCTGCGCCGTATGAACAGCCATGTGTAGTTGGTCCCGTAAAGGCCATGGCAGGACTTGCGAGATGGGATGAGAATATGGCGTTCCCTTCGACTTGCTATTGCCGTGAACATAGTATTGATTGTAAAGCCTCGAACTCGGAGTCGCGCCCTTGATGCATGTCTCTGTGGAGCGCTGGTCTATTCGTTCGCTCATGGTCAAGACCTCTCGCGGATAGAGCTCTCATCAGTATCAGACGCTCAGCAGTAGCATGTGCGAATGTCTCAGGGTGCCCTTCTTTTGTGTCACTGGAATGAAATTCTCCGATAGCTGATCGAGGCATCGCTTCGTCCTCAGAGGGAGAAAAGGCCAACGCATACATTTCGCCAGGTTTCTGATGGGGTTCCCGGTGCATAATCTTGCTTCAACGTTTAGTCTTGCGACGCTTCCTTCCATTTCGGGTTGACTTTGATGCCGTCTTGTTCTGTTTGGTGGGTGACGACGGTTTTGGGGTTGGTGCTAAGCGCTCGGTGATGATTCCGACGTTCACGACGGTATTTGTTGGATGCTGGAACATGTCGTCAGTATGGGCGTGGCCAAAATTTCATTCACTGATGCTTACTCGGCAAGCATAGAAGCCTGTGATGGTCTCTCCAGCTGGTGCTTTCAAGCACCGTCTAGTGTGCTCAGGACCTTCCTCGCCAATGCATACGGAATTGCCAGAGCTCGTGGTAATCTAGAGGCGGGTCAGACGTGTTGATCATCGAGCTAGGGGTGTTTCATTCACGCGGAGGAAATCCAACTCGCCATATTCGAGAAGACGATAATAGTGATCGACTTTGACACTTGACCGAGCCTTGACGAACGGCGCCATAGAGAGATCCAGCTTTTCTATGACCTCACCAGCGGCTCCATTGACTGTCATCTGCGTTTCAACTTCCCCACAACTGTGGCTAAGCTCCGAGGTTTGCTCGACAGAATCATCATCGAGCCATGTGATTGATATCTGTTGCGGGCAATCCTCTCTGATACCATGTTCTCCGCGAAGTGTCACCTTCCTCGTCCCAGCCACACCATCCCTTTTCGTGCCAAATTTGACCCAATATAAAGGCTCAAACGACATGTACTTCTCCGGGGACGCAGTGAACGTGCTCTGGTTCAGAAGGAGGTCCTTCGGCGAGAGGCCAGGATACCACAGACCATACTGTTTCAAGTCTCTCGCGCCCTGTCCCTTCTTCCGCCTCACACAAACACCAAGCTGAATCATTTTGAAGCCCTGTACATCGTGATTAGCTTTGGGCGGCCCTCAATGTCGTCGGAATACTCTTTACTCACATCGAAATCAGCTTGCAGGGCTAATATCGGAGGTTGGACGTTTAATCGTTCGGTCAACAGACATGAGTCAGGGCGACCAACCCAAGTTGATCGACGACCATCTTGGTACACGACTTTTAGAGCGTGAATACCCCGGGATCCCACGGCAACAATGAATCCCGCAAGACCAGTAGCATCGACGCTCGTGGATTTCCCCGAATTGCAATAACCAATGGTTTGGGAAGAATCACCGTTTTGGAGATGCATGCCGCAAATGTAAGCGACCGGTCCAGTCGTGCAGGTGAAAATCTCTATCCGAGTCAACTCTACTACCGAGACCTGGAAACTGCGCAAAAGCTTGCATCCCGTCCCATTGTCCATTCTATGCTCATTGGGATACATGTCTCCTGAGACGTGCAGCCATTCTCGTTCGTCTGCTTTCGCAGGTATGTTCGGTGATATCGCTTTATCTGAGCAGCGAAGGCCGATCAAGTCAGAGATGTGGGATACGAGTCCCCAAATACGCCGTCTGCTGCGTATATGAGGCGAATCCTGAACCGTGCTAGTCATTTTGTAGGCCGCAACAAGGCTCTGGACAGAATGCAAGCCTTGCGCTTCGAAGCAGTAACTGCGTTCCCCTTGGTCGTCGAAGCGCGTTCTCCAGAAATTGCTGCTGTAAATGATTGAGCCGAATGCGCTTGAGCACAAGCGAAGCGAGAAGACGTCCTTCGTTGAGAGGTGACCAGCGATCATCTCGAGTACCTCTACAGGTAAAGCAGAGAAGGGCTTTCCCTCGTGGATTGACGAAATTCTGGCATGTGTTTCCCGTTTCCCCGGCAGCGTAGCAATGATTGATTCGTCCCATTTACCGGTAGGAAGTCCTGGAACATTGAGAGGGTCATATGATAGCCAAGTGCCTCCCGTTAAATTCCTCATGCGATTGCCTTCCCAGGGGAATGGGGTGCTGCCGTCGTTGTGGTTCTCAGACAGAGGCACACCAAAACCGTGCTCCCATGCCACACAATTCGGCACTATATCCTTTGGTAAGGAAGCACATATATCATGTAGACGCTCGATCGGTAAGAATTGGTCGCCCAAGCGAGCTTGCAGCAAGTCGAGACAAGCTGTATGAAAACGATGAGCATTTCCGAAGTCCAGATCGTCCTCGTCATCCTCGCTGTCCAGCAGAGGTTTCGAGTACGGGACGTCCTGAAGAACGTCTCCATATCGTAAGGCTGTGACCCGCCTCGTATCAGCAAATTATGGCATAAGAAGATTTCTGGCACATACCTTTCCATTTCGATTGCCAATTGTTGGGGTCATTTGCTTCTGGGAGAATTGCCGTTGCGCAAATCGAGCATTGGTATATGAGCGGACTCATACTGATGTGCGTTTGCCATTGGCGAAGTCTTGCTCACACAGTACAAATGATCGAGTGGCCTTAAATTTGGCCGCCAGCGCCATGAACTGTTCATTCGTCTGCTCATCCTCGGCATGTGAGGCATTGGGTCTTAGAGAACGCGTCGAACAACTTGTTAATGATCAAGGTTCGCCCTGCGGCTTATGCTTCTGTTCTAGGATCCTGTCCTGGATGGTGCACGGAATATAGATACGGCTTTGCGAGCGAATGGTTCATTCGCATGCACTAGCCGCCTGATGATGTATGTTGGCAGAGTTGTGGATTGAAAGATAGGTACTGGAACGCGACGCTGGGCCAAGGCACGCCGAAGTGCATTTTCCTGCCTGATGATAATTCTGTGCCGCATGGATGACCGCAGCAGCAGGGGCACCAAACCTGACACACACGTCACGAGAAATGTCTTTGTAAAGAGCGAGCTTGTTTACGCAGTTCTTGAATATGTTTTCATGGTGGGTGCAGCCACTTACGTTAGATCGATGATTGAATAATGGCTCCACCGATGAATCCAGAATAGGTATTCAGCGATTACATTCGTGATTCCCTCTACAAATCTTTAAGATGACCATTTCCACGCGCCCCGATCGACGCCTGACTTCGCGTTTACAATAATTCTACCAGGCGATCCTGGAACAGGAATCTTGGATATATTACTGGCTCATCGGCCGAAGGACGAGTGGTCGCAAGTGCCGTCTATCCTGTCATAGACCGGAGCAGCCGCATCATCCAGGTCTTGCTGCTCAAGCCAGCGTAGAGTTCTACGTAGTCATTCGCACGTTTGCATTTTCACCGCGACCATTCTGAACACCGCAGCTGCTACTGTCTGCACGTATTCGCTGTAGTCATGTCACTGCAACGCATCCCGGCGGATATCAATCGTCGGTTCCCCTTCCTGACGTAGATGGAAGCGGTCATTTGAGTCACCGCTCACCGAGCATCAAACAGTGGGAAAGAGGTCTTGTTATTAATGGATATACATCGAGGCTGCCCAAGACTAGACGCGTGAGCGCAAAGTGGAACACGATCGGATAAATCAGATGATTAGTTGTAGCCTCTCAAACATCATTACTCCGTCCGCGAATCTTCATCCATCCTCCACCGCTCTTGCGTTTCTTCTCCGCCGCAGAGTCGGTATCGGTGTTATCATGAATCGCAGTACTCGGAGCAATCCGCGAGATCTTGAGCCCATCACCGATGATCGGTCCGGACTCACCACGATCTTCCGTCCATTCCGCCTCCTCGAGGAGATCCCACTCTGCGCCCGAGATTTCAGACAACATTATGGACTTGAGCTTGTCGATGAGACGTGCGGGATTGGAGAGCCGCCAATCTCGTAAGATGTCAGAGCCTTCTGCGGACGATAGATTGAAGCGAACGGATGCGTGCGAGTAGAGTCCGAGACGAGGTGTAGGATCAATGGTTCGAGGAGTTTCGTCTTTGCCACTGACGGCGGTAAGTCTTCGATCCGACGGAGGTTTGGGTTGCTTTCGGTGCTGCATCGTCAAGAGGTGCCATAAATTCCTGCCAATCGAGCAGAAGTCTTCGAACGAATCCACACTATCCAATCCTTGAGTCCTACACAACCAAGCTACATCCCATGCCAGTAGTGCAACGCCTTCGACAAAAAGTCCGTACGACTTCAGGTCTTCCTTCATGAGTTGCGCAAGCGGCCGGTCCAAATGCAGTGGACGCGGTCGTGGCTGGTTATCTTTTTCCAGGGTTCGCGAAGCTGATGGGCTGGAGTTTTGGCTCGTTGAAGTTGACAGGCCTGGATATGGCACGTCTCGCATTTTGTAGGACGACCGTTCGGGCATCACCAAAGCACGCGGGAAATTTTCGTGAGGAAGAATAATTTCAGCCGGCGGACGGACTTGTAGGTAGTGCGCACATATACTGACAAGGCGGGCGACGCTGTCAAAAACTTCCGAGACCGATTCATGCGGATCCACGACTGTACGGCCACCATGACGATCTTGCTTGGATACTGGTTGGGTTTTGGAGTGGAGGTCCTTGAGGTTGGGGATACTCAGTCCTCCAAGCACATATTCCGAACTTCCATCTACTTGTTTCTGCCGTCTAAAATTGCACGCCGATGCGGCCTCCCGACACAGCACCAGCCGTGCGTCTATCAGCTTGTCCCGCGTTCTGTCGAGCCTATGGCCAGCTTTCTTTGATGCAGCCTGAATAGGCTCGAGGATTGTGGATTGGTCACGAACAAATTCCTGCTTCTGAAAAGCCAAGGTTTTCCTCCGATCTTGCAACTTTTGCTTGCACGACAAAATATATTGGCGGTGGCCTTTCATCTGTTCCTCCAACTCTCTCGCCTTTTCAACAATCTGGGATGTCCTGACCGAGGTAGTGGTCTGTTCATCGCGTACAAGTTGATTGTTAAATTTGTGAATGCCAGTGGTAATGGCGTCAAAGTCCGCATCCGGCGGTAAGGCCGCAAGTACACCATCGTTTCCGGGTCGAACGATTGCTTCCGCTCGGGTGTGAGCGTCCTGTCGATGAAGCAGTTCAAGCGCCTGCTGAAGTCGAGGCTCATAAAGTGTGGCCCGGATGCATGAGACACATACTGGCCTTCGTCGGCCGCGATCAAGGGTCCGGGCGCATAAGTCGCACTGTACATCCATAATGCTTGAGGCGATTCCTCCGAAGTTTGGCTAGGGGCGGTGGGTCGGAAGATGATGAGCTGAGCATGATCGTAGGTCGAGAGGGCAGCCAGGGATTAGCGATGGCAATCATATCAACACTTGCTGGCGCATGGAAAGCAACAGGCTGCAATTCGCATCTATAAGTGGGTGAATGTCGAGGTGAAGTCGCGGCTGAGGGATGCGTCGTGCTGACATAATCGCGCGAGGTCGGGCGACTTGTGCAGGTGACGCAATATGATTCTGGCGCGAATTGTCGCGTGCACAAAACGCGTGCCTAAATTGATTCAATCGCTTCACCACCTGGGCAGCGAGAATATCAGTGCTCAGCCGACATTCGAAGTGCGTCATCGACGGCGAGTCTACCTCGCAGATATGGCATCTCATACTCCCATGGGTCCTCCTCCGCGCCCTGTCAAGAATGGCATAGTGCGGCAACGATCACGACCCGATGTCGACGTAGAAATTGGCGCTGTAGATGACCAACATACGAACAGTAGAGATGCCACTGCTCAGAACGTGAATCCGATGTCCCAAGACGCCGGTGAGAAAGATATCGCTTGCAGTGATGGCGAGCCAGCCGAACCTCATCGTGACGACACCGCACGTTTCACATCATCGGCACCACTGGCATCTCGTGGTCATGCAACTCCCAACGCAGATCCGAAGACGGAACAGAATGACGAACGCTTACAGGACTCACAACCACATTTGAACGATGATGAAGACACTAACGATGAAGACGAACCGGCTTCCGATCCGGCCGACCCTCAAGAACCCATTGAGCGCTTCCCGTGGGAAAACTTAATGGCGCGTTATCATGAAAAGATGCACGATCTGCAGAGCCAGGAAGATCAAATTTTGCAAGAGTTCAATGGTCTTTGCGATGTACAGATCTGTCATACCCTTGCTCGAAAAAAATGTCTAACCGGCGAATAGTACTTCAGCACTTGGGCTGCTGCCGGCTGTCGCAAGGAGGTCGATCGTAGCTTTAAAAGGTCAGCATAGCTTGCAAATGACCCATGCTCTGACCGTCGCTGACCTAACCATAGACTCAAAACTCAACAATATTTCGTGGAGCACGAAGAGCGTTTGCTTGAGGAACGACGCATTCGCTACGTCAAGGCAATTGTGGCATTCAAGAGTGCGCTTGAACTCCTTGGGGATTGATGCCCTCCAATAACGCCGTGGTTTCAGGGGCTGCGATGATACTGGACGAACACGACATTTCCATGAAGTCAACGCCGCGCCTCGATGCAATCATCCGTCATTCTGTTCGGCGGGCAGATCCACTCCCCGACCACAGCCATAGCCACAGCAGGATCTCGGTCAGAGACAACGACTCCACGATATACCCTGCTCGATGCATAATTCTGTGATCAATATTGAGCTGGTGCTCATATACGTTAGCTCTGTCTATCCTACAGCCACCCTGAGGTGCTAGTATAGAGTCCTGTCAATCTCGAACATTGACGAGATTTGTTGAAAGGGTTTGGAAGTACGTGCAGCACAAAATCAATGGCACATGGTCGAGCTCCCAGATAATTTGCAGAAGGCAGGTGAGCATTAATTTGGCCTCAGGCAGAAATACGTCCGTGCACAGAGCCTGTACAATCATCCGTCGCGTGCAAGATGAAGTTGACTTGTGTCTTGCTAATTAAGGGTTGATCACATCCCACTGTACCATTGTCCGACTGTAGAAGATCGCTCTTCATACTTATCAAATCAAGTTGCACTTGGTCAGTCCTATCGAAGATCACCAAACATGTCTGCGAATACAATTCCAAACTTAGCCAGAATCTCACGGGAGCGTCTGGCGGAGCTTGTTCGGGCCAAGCAACCTGGGCTCGCCATCATCGACGTACGTGATAGCGATTTCATCGGCGGCCATATCGTAGGTTGTCAAAACGTGCCAACCAACACCCATGATCACGCTATGCCTGAACTTGTCCGAAACCTTAGAGATCAGGACACTGTTGTTTTCCATTGCGCCTTGTCCCAGCAGCGAGGTCCATCGAGCGCTCTTCGATATCTCCGTGAACGGGAGCGATTTGCCAGCAGCAAGAACCAAGAGTCAACGTCCGAGTATAAGACAGAAGGCAGCTCGGAAGACAAGGCAGCCGATAAGAAAGCTCAGACGGTCTATGTGCTTGAAGGCGGATTTACGAAGTGGCAGGAGGTGTTCGTAAAGTACCACGTCGGCAACCACACTGTCACCAAGCTGACTCTAATTTATTTAGGTACGGAGATGACAAAGAGCTGACCGAGAGTTACCGGAAGGAGCTATGGCAAGACGACTAGTGTAAACTACTCTGCTAGAGAACGCCAATCGGAATCACAACAGATCAAACACTTTCTCACGTTACTCCCAACACACGAAGTAGAAACTTTATCATGATCCGCCTATCATTCGCCCCGTATCCCATTGCCATCAGGCCGTACGCTAATCACACGAGAAGTTCCTGACAGTTTTATCTCGTGCTCCTTTGTGCCCTGACGACTATTCTCAAATGCAATCAATCCTATCATTGCTTTATATTGCTTCAAACCAGACGGAAAGGACCCCAACTACACGGGACAGCTTGTGGCCAAGTTCTGAGCATTTCCACTGCATCTAAACCCTTCAAGCCGACGTTACGTCAGAAGAAGAAGCCGTAGAGGCTCATCATAGGATGAAATTCTGGTGCTGTGGCAGTTATAGCCGACTTTACCATCGCGTAGCGAGTCCATGGGCAGTCATGACGTGCACTTCATCACGACCCGCCTTTCTTAACCCCGAATCGCCAAAAGGTCGGTCCATGGAAGCCAGAAGACTACAACATTCTGTGAAGCTTGATGTCTAGTATGGTACTTGCATGCTTGTAGTTTGGGCCAGATCGAAACTACTGAGTTTAAGCATAACTATGTCTCAATGAATTGCGCAATGTGCTAACATCAGCTTTCAGGTGCCGTCAAAATATATTCGTAATATTTAATTCCGAATATTTTGTTGATCCCATGCATATATGGGGTGCTCGCGGGCCCCGAATGCCTCAATCGTAGCCCGACAAACAAACGATTCTGCTTTGGTATCCTCCTGGAGATCATACAGTCTCGTTTCTGAACTCAACAGAGCAACGCATTTCCCCTGCCGGTTGACTTCCGATCGATGGCTACTGCACAAGACATCAACAGACCGGTTGACATCCTCTTGAATCTCGTGATGAGTTCTGAAAACAACTCCGCTGTTCCCAAGTATGTTGACATTCGGACACGCTCCATGGATCGATCATTGCTAACTTTCCAAAGGCAAGCAACACCAGGATACGAAACCAAGAACGCCCAAATCATGCGTATCGTCGCCAACATGCGTGTAAAGGTAGCCGAACGCAATCAGGCCAATTCCTCGCAAGCACAAGTTCGTGCTGCGGTGCCTGCTGGCAATGGAGGTGACATCGCTGGCAACGATTTCAACGCTCCTCACACTCCCACAGCTGCTATCGCTCAGAACGGCGATGAGCCTACTGGAGCAAGCACCGAATGCCTACCTCGCGGCAAGGTGACAATGCACCAGAAGAAGACACTCATCAGCGAAGAGCCAATGACTGTCATCGACGAGTTTGGAACCCGTCGTCGCACCATCACCATAAAAGAAGTCACCACCTGGACAATCACACCGCCCAGAAGCCCTCCACGTGAGACCAAGAGAAAGTTCGGTATAATGTCGCCCGCGACTACCGCGGAAAGTATCAAGACAGAGCCCAGCTCCTCCCCTGAGACCGGCCTCGGAAGCGACCATGCTGGGCCGAGCACCCCTTCCAAAAAAGCCAAATCTCAAGCCGACTCCACTTCCGCTCCAGTCGCCAACAATCCCGACCCGAATCAGGCTGCTCCCACCCTGATGGTCACCCTTCGCAATCCGATCGTGGCCGCCGCTCCGGCCGGTCCTTTCCGCACCGAGTACTTCCGCAACGGAAATTGGCTCACTGTCGACGAGGGCTTGGGTCGCCCAATCTGGGCCGAGGGCGAGAGACAGGTGCCTGTCGGCCAGGGCAGGGTTCGTCGCGCCAATGCCCGTTACATGTAAACCAGATTTTGAGATGTCACTGCACCATGATGCAGCAATGTTTGCGAACATGACAGGTCTTCGAACCTCGTCGGTCGAATGTAGCCTCTTCAAGGCACAAATGGGAATGTAAGGAGTTCAACATCAAATACGTCGACATACCAATGATGGCCACTTGAAGGGCGGGAATGAGAGTGTTCGACTCTCCGCGTGATGTGTTTCGTCATAGCCATCAACAGGTCAAAAATCAAAATTTGACACTATCATCAACTCGATGTGTTGTGAGGTTTCTTGAACCTTCCACTATATTTGCCATGTATAGAAGTTCTAAGGTTTGTTCATTAGATTCAACCATGTCACTCGATATAATCGTCGCACGCGTACATAGATGGCCCTCCATTCCCAGAAATTCATGATATCGCGACCAGGCAACGCGCCGCATCATGAAGAACTCGACGATATATCCGCTATATCCGCGATCTCGAGCCACCGTCATCCGAATTCGCAGTGTAGATACGAGGAGGCGGATTGCCCGCCGAATCGACATACAATAGGTATAACCATATTTACTCTGTCATTGCTCTCCCACACATCGAGTAAATCGTTGCAAGTCCCCGTCGCAAACCCCATTACTTCCTTCCTTGGAGTACTTCGACATTCGAAACACATACACCTGCAACCTCAGAATTTCGAGAAGTACCGACGTCATCGCATCGTGAACAAGATCGCTATTCAGACATGGCGACGTTCGCGTAAGTCCATACTGTCAACCTCAGGCTTGGGCCAGACAGACCGAAATTGACAATTATCATTCGATCGTTCCAGAAAACAAAACTTCGCCGCTGCCTCTTATGCCACCTTCCGGCCCAGCTATCCCCCAAGCCTCTACAATGCCATCCTATCCTACCACCAAGGACCGCGAGGCCTCGTCGTGGACCTAGGCTGCGGTCCGGGAACTGCAACGCAAGAAATAAGCGAACACTTCGACCAGGCCATCGGCACCGATCCCTCTGAGGGAATGATCAAGCAAGCGCAAGCGAAACAACAACAAGCCTCCTCGGAAACACCTTCCTCCAACCTATCATTCCGCGTCGCGTCCGCCGAAAGCCTCCCTTTCCTCAGCGATGGTTCCGTAGATTGCATCATCGCCGCCGAAGCCGCGCACTGGTTCGACTACCAGCTCCTCTGGCCCGAACTATCCCGGGTGCTTCGCAAGAACGGGACCGTCGCATTCTGGGGGTACAAGGACCACGTTTTCGTCGACCACCCAGCCGCGAGTCGGACATTGATAGAATATGCATATGATCCGCAGCCCGACAGAATGGGTTCGTATTGGCAGCAGCCGGGACGGGATTACCTACGTGATCAGCTACGCGTGGTTCAGCCGCCTAGTAGCCAATTTGGGGATGTGCAGAGGCTGGAGTACGAGCCGGGCACGAAGGGAAAGCGGAGTGGACAGGGAACATGTTTTATGGAGAAGCGGGTGGGCGTGGGCGCGTGCAAGGAGTATGTGAGGACGTGGAGCGCGTGGCATAGTTGGCAGGAGGCGCGTTCGGATAGACTGCCGCGGTCGCAGGGTGGAAAGGGGGATGTGGTGGATGAGATGTTTGACGAGATGGCGAAGGAGGAAGCGCAATTTGCAGATGAGGAGAATTTGGTTGATATCGAGTGGGGCTCTGCGCTTGTAATGGCGAGGAGGATTTGAAAAGAATCAGGCACCCCATGCTGCGTTTCCTTGCGCGCGCGAACGTTCGAATGCAATATATATTTGAAAGTTTAGAAATGGCTTGTGCGAACCTAGTCAAGCAACGAGTGATTGAGATGAAAGTTTCTCTGCATTAAGCAAGCATATTTACATCGCGTTGTCCATTGTACACATCACGCCTTGCTCTTGTTCCCTTAAAAGTGCCCATTACGTAGACTTCTTCGCGTCCCGCTCAGCCTTCTTCAGAGCCCGCTTACGAATGCTCTCATGCATGGTCTTGTTCTGTCCAATGACCAAGCCACTCGTCGTACCCGTAAAGGTCAAAAGCGCCCAGTGCATGATTCCGTGCGACCAGTATGGAGTGCTCGTGTTCGCAATGCCTTGTGCACCACCCGAGCGACCAATTCGGGAGATGGCGGCGCGGACGAATTGCTTCGGGTTGGGGATCAACGTGGATGTCTTGCGGATCTTGCTCATGGCGGAGGTGACGAGGTAGGATTGCACGAGCTGGACGTGAACGTTGTGGGGCGCGAGCTCGGAGGCGAGAGCGGAGGACCAGTGTTGGAGGAAGGCTTTGCTGCCGCTGTATGTCGCGAGGAGTGGTGTGGGGAGGATACCGCCGAAGGATGCCATGGTGAGGATCAGACCTTGCTTGCGCTTGATCAGGGCGGGTGCGATGATCTTGGTGACGCGGAGGGTGCCGGTGCAGTTGATGGTGATGATGTTGCGCATCTCATCGTCGGGTGTCTCCGCGAACGGGACTGGGATGTTGTGGCTCTGTCCGACATTGTTGATCAAGATGGACACGTCCAGGTCCGCAACTAGCTTTTGTAGCGCCTCGTAGTCGGCGTCTTTGTTGGCGGCAAAGTCCATCGCGAGGACGGCGGTGCGCACATTGTATTTGTTCTCAAGTTCAGAGCTTAGTGTGTCGAGCTTGGACTTGGTGCGGGAGACAAGGACCAGGTTGAAGCCTTTGGCGGCGAGCTGGACAGCGAACTCCTTTCCGATGCCATCGGATGCGCCGGTGACGACAGCCCAGGTGCCTTTCTTTCCAAACTTGGACAGCTTTTTGATGATTAAGGTTAGTCGCGGTCAGTATCGAAGGGACGAGCATGCGTGATCATACCGAAATGCCAGGCAGGATGAAGAGCGATGCGATCAATCGCCAGAAGGAGAAGATCTTGAGGGACAGCCAGAGCAGACCAATGAAGGCAAAGACTTGCGTGGCGGGCACGGCAAGCTGGTCGACATCAATGTCAAGATCGCGGAGCTGGTCCATCTTGAAAGAGCGTTGCTGTGATGTGAAGGAGAAAGGACGACGATAGGAATTATCGAAATTCACATGGACACGAATCCAATGATGCAGCAGCGCGCCCCTCAAATTATTAATGAGTGTCCAAGTGGAATAGAGCCTCAGGGTTCATCGACATCCAAATTGAGTTCCGCGTTCCTGATCGACGCAGCATGCACGGAACGAGTCCGACACAAGTCCGCCGCGCCCGCTTTTCACGTGGGAAACGCTGCCAATTTGCGCCATCCATTCCCACCTGGGCACTCATTCGCTCTCTCTGCCTCTCTCCTACTCGGACTCGTTCCGTGCTGAAGCATTGGAGATTCGCACGTCCCTGAACCAAGTGAACTCTTCCGCATCAACTTGATCCTCACTTGCATCAATTAGGACTCCACCAATCTCAAGAGCACCTAACAGTCAGCGTCTCAAGATCATTCGTAGATATTACGCAGAGGAAAATGTCCCAATTCGACGCCATCTCATCCTACCTCCCACCGGGAGAAGGCTACCTGCCGAAATGGCTCCTATTCGTGCGTCTTTCTCATTGAACACTCCATAAAACACAAGAGCAAATCAAGCCATTTAAATAAATCCATCAAAGAGAACCTCCCTAACTGACCCATCCATTCCATTTCCTTAGATCTCCGTCGTTTCTCTAGCGAACAGCATCCAATCCTACACCTCGCTGGCCGGAACCCGCGCAGTCTACTCAGGCACCGTTCCCTCCAAACCCTCCGGTGTTCCCTCCTCAACCCTGCGCTCCTCCTCCCTCGAGTCCACCAGTCCCGTGACGGCTCTCAGCGCGCGAACCTTCGGAACCTGGACCGCCATCACGAGCATCATCCGCTTGTACGCAGCCTACAACATCGCGAACCAACCTGTCTATGAAATGGCGCTGTGGACGTTTGGGGTCGCGTGGCTGCATTTCGTGAGCGAGTGGTTGGTTTTTGGCACCGCGAGGTTTGGGAAAGGGTTGATTGGGCCGTTGGTTGTGTCAACGGCCACTGGGCTGTGGATGGTCAGCCAGAAGGGGTTTTATGTTCAGTGAATTTCATGTCGGGTGCTGAACAGTTCTATGGGGGAGAATTGGAGGGTCGGAGGAAAGGGGAGGGTAATGTGTAAACGGAGATGAATCTTCATCGATGTGTTTTCGCGGTCCGATGCGTATCATTATTCGGTCTGCTTAACCACTGCTGAAAACATGAACAGAGTAGGCATCGTCGGGAATTAATTGGAGAAAATATCATCATCATTAAAAAGTACTGTCTAGAATTTAACAAGGCTGGAATGAGATTCAACAGCCGCATGCATTAATAGGGACTTCCAAATCCCAGAGATGAAAAATAACCATTTGGGTATCTCGCGCCTGGCTTTGCAAAAATCTCAGTCCAAAAGTTGCTTTTTCCTCCGACCAGCAAAGGAACGGGAGCAGGAAAATATTGCTCACACGTGAAGGCGCTCCCTTCACAAAGGAATATCGCCGCCACGTCACCAATCCTCACCGTCGTCGTCGACGAACCCCTCGTCTTCCAGTGAGTCGTCATTGCCCTCGACCGAGATCTTCGTGCCCAGGGCTTCCTGCGCCTGACGAATCATCTCCTCCATTCTGCGGCTCATACTTGACATAGCCTTGTCGGTAGCACGTTCCTGCTTAGCCTGCCGACGGGCGAAACGCTCAGCCTCGGGGCTGACGCACGACAACGGAGAGCCGTTGCCGCTATTATGACGGCTATGCGCTGACCGCATTGATGCCACGGATGCCCGTCGGTGATGTGCTGACGGAGGAACGATCGAGAGAGGACTACCGTTGAGGGCAACGCCAGATTGTCGCCGTGGGGGGAGAGGCGCCATGCTTCGTCGATTTTGTGCGCGGCTTGCGGCGGGCCTCTCCATTTCGGGTTGATGTGCGACTGCAGTGTTGATCGGTGGCAACATGGAGGGATGACTTGTCGTAGGCGTTTGTTCTTGCTGAGCGACCACAACCCATGTGTCCTTGTCGGTCTGGCGGCGCTTGTTCGCCGGTCGCATGCTAGGCGATGGCGTGAAGGTCGGATTGTCTTGTTCAAAATCGCCAAGGAATTCGCCGTCCTCCCACGCACCTGGCAGTGGGCTCGGGAGAGGCTGACGACGCTGGCGTTGTGCACTTGCTTGTAGAAGATCCGATCCTACGAGTCCATAATCGTTCATATCGTAGCCTTTGCCACCACCTGCATAGAATCCCTTGACTACACTCGTACCGAAATTGAAAACCTTGCCGACGAAGCTGAAGGCCAGCCCGGTCCATGTCGAAGGTGAGCCTTCTTCGGAGTCGGTGTGCATACGGGCAACGCCGTTGCGCTCACGCGCGAGCGGACCTGAGAGGAGCGAGGACTCTGAATGTTGTTGTCCGTCGTCAAAGTCGTCGTCTCTTAGTCGTCTCCGATTCGCGTTCTCCGCCGGGAATGACCTTTCGTGTTGAGAAGTTGCAAGGATCGACGGTGTGTCGTACCCTCCGGCTAATCGATATCGCTCGTTAACTTGTCTCGACGAGGAGAAGGAGAAGCCGTCTTCGGAAGGCGTCGGTAGTTGAGCCCAGCTGGGAGTGTGTGTGTGAGTGTTGCGAGACTGCAGGTAGTCGTAGGAGAGGGAGTCGGATCGCGGGCGCTTGCGAGATCCTCTTGAGAAGTAGTCAGCCGCCATAGCAACTGAGCGGTCGGCGTGGGTTGAAGCTGGAGATTTTGGCGGTTGAAAGAGTGGTACATCTCGAATAGCGTTATGCGGGTATTTGGGCGTTGCATATGATGAAGCGGGCGGTGGATAAGCCATTGTCGGGGATTCGCCGGCTATGAGTGTGAGACAGAGAGGGGATTGATGTCTTGAGACTTTGCAATTGAGACAAAAGGAAAAGATGGCGATGTGTGTTGTGTGTTGTATCCAAGCAAGGACGTGTGTGAAGGGAGAAGAAGGAGGAGTCCAGCACGCGGTGTAGTAGTGTGTGTCGGCGAGATCTGTATTCTGCACGACACGAATCGGCTGGTGGGTGAAGAGGAAGCTACAGACGCATCTACCACAGAGGTGCAGCGGCAGCCAGCAGTAGAAAATAATGTGCAGTAGGGCAGTCGTGCTTTAGCTCCCTCCACGTTTGCATGACGCGGTGACGGCTACTGCAAGTCAATCCCCCCAAAACCTTGGAAGCTCCCGCTGCGTGCAGTGGTGTGTTTTGTTGTTGGGTGTGGGCGGGCTGCGGGCCAACGCTGGTTGCCTGCGGCGGCAGGGTCCGCGGTGAACAGGGACCTCCTCCAAACCGTTTCGAGGTTGTCGGCCCCTCATATACCTCATCTTGGTACTGCACAGGCCAAAGATGTTCTCCCATACGATGCTATATTGTACGATAGACTATCTCAAAACAATGTTTGGTACGCGGACGGTGGATTTGCATGGCAGCGCACACATGGTGGGAGAAAGCATTGACTCGCGCCGTTGTCTCTCAAGCAACCCACGTTGGTAGGCTCGTACAATTTGCCTACACACCGTACATTGTGAATATTCGTAAGATGACTGCCTCCGCCTCCAATCCTCATCCTCAAATGTCTCCGCGCCACACTTCCTGGAAAGCGGGAGTAATCTTGTGTGCGCATGGAAATGTTCGTCATGTTGCCAACCCTAAACGGCCGCGACCTTCTCTGCCTTGGCTAAAATTCCTGAGACTGCAGGACTACCAAAGGCGGAGTGTTACTGCAGTCTGGATTGGGCGGTGCGGTACTTAGCAGCAGGTTCGTGCGCGTATTTTCTTGGTTCCAGTCGAAAATGCATCGAGAAGCAATGTCATCCTTTCATCTTCACAGCAGTGAGCTCCGCAGAGGCGTGGTCAAAGTACTGTGTGTGGCATCACTGATTGCAGCAGATTACGGCCTTCCAAATCAAGCTCTGCCTACTGCGCGGGAGTGGCGCCCTCAGTCGATGTCTTCTGCTCTGGTCGGAAATGAATCGGCGTCCACGTGTCGAGGGCTGTAGTGATTGCCAGGATGATGGCTTCGCCTCCGAGGTCGACGGCTTTCGCATAGTTATCCGTGGCTTTGACCTGATCTGCAAGAACTTTTGCGACATCCTTCTTGATCTTCGGAGTCTCGGTCATACGCAGACCATCGGCCGGGGACCACTTGAAGACGTACTTAGCTTCCGCTTGGTACCCCAATTTGCCGCTGGCCTTGCGCCCGTACTGCCAAGGAACTGTGACTGTCATCTGGGTGAGGTATCTGATCGAGCTTCCCGCGACGAGTGCGGCCCACTGCTTCAGCTGTTGCACATCGGTGATGGACATGCAACGTGACGCAAATGTCGTTTGCCCATAATAGACCGGCAGGGCGGCTCGTCGGATCTGGCTCGAACTTTGTAGCAACGCTGGGAACTTGTAGGCGAACAGCCTCAGAGCTGGTCCGATGTAGGAGTGACTCGGTTGGAAGGCATAGCGAAAGACTCGGACCTGGAGCTCCTCGGGCATATCTGAGAGCCGGAACGGGGTTGCGAGCATTTTCAAAACCGGCAGCAGCTCGGACGGTGTGAAATCTTTGGACGTGCGGCTCATCAGTGACGGCTGTACATGACACCTGATAATCGACAAGATAGGTTCCTGCCATTCCATGTACTCCTCGCGTGTACATCCCTCTTCAAGTGCTTCTTCGAGTCTGTTCTCTTCGACTTGAAATTCGAAGATATCATGTACGCGACAGAGCTGAAAGAGGCTTTCTTTCCACTCATCCCAGTCGCTACCCTCGAACAGCACGTTACTGTCGATCAAATCGTCCTTGAGGCTGTCGTTCCTTACCATCGTGAGCAAAGCTTTTGTTAATGGAACGTGGAGGCTTTGCAGCTTCAGGTTAATGACAACTTGGAGTGAAAACGACAGGTTTGATTGATAAAAGGGAAGAGAGTGCCTTGCTAAGTGTTGCGATCGACGTCACTTCCCATTTCCGCTACATATCCAGGTGCCTTGCAAGTGGCAGGCACACCGTTCTGGCAATTCTGCCTTCACACGCGCCGTCACATGGTTTGCATAACTGCACATGTACAACAAAACAATACGGAAGATGCCCAGGTGTAAACTGGGGTAGGCGCGTTGCTCATGATTGAATGTTCATCTGGTGTGAAAATTCACATGCGTTTTCTTTGTTATCTCACAGCATAATGCATACAAATGAGCGAGAATGACACACTGCCTCTCTTCGTTTTGCTCCAGACGCAAACTCCGAGACCATCGCCTATCTATCTGCGATTGCGAGTTACATCCTGCTTGTCCTACCTAATGCCCGTCCAACCAATTTCGATCCTTCTCTATCTGCTTGACCATCGCCTCTAATACACTCCTTTCTTTTGCCGCGAGTAGGAAATCGGACATGACTTCGACGTCGAGGGCACCGTCGTTTACTTCCCACAGAGGGAAGTAAGACAGCAGCGTCAGTAATGATGTTCTCGACCGACATGACCGCCTCGAACAGCAGACCGTTTTGGGGTTTGGGTAAGGCTCGGTGCTTCAGCACATCAAATTCTGCTTGGATATCAGCTCTGATGCTCGCTGATATAAATATTGGCCCTCTGTACAGGTTAAGATCGCATTTTGAAAGTGACAGACCTTCGCCGTCCGTGATCGAAAACTCAATATTGTGGTCAATCGTGGTCAGATGAAGCCTCGTCAAGCAACCGACAAATCGCATCAGACTTAAAGGACCCCCCTCTTCATTCAAGATTAAGCGAATCCTGCCAGTGATCTATTTGATTTCTTCCGAAAGTATAGCAGCATCTATGTTGAGGGGCATGATTGGCACAACTTCCTTGCATATGACTTTGGAGAGCCTCAAGAGAGGCGGAACGCTTCGCCAATCATCCGCACTGAATACATAACTAATAATCATAGCATCGCACAGAACCCAGTTGTGGCGGAAAGAGGACCATATAAGTTGTCGGAGCTCACACGGAGGATCCATGATCGGCAATGGTTGACTGACAGCCTTCAACGCATCGAAAATACGAGTGGGACTCTCGAAGGCTGCGGCAGGCACGCGCTTCAGAAAGTATGGAGTGATCCATCGGCGCGTCTCTAAGACCCAATCGTTACGGAATCTGCTGCTCAATTTGCATCTTTTGCAATCAACCGAATTCTGGGGACAATGATAATCCTGAGTGATGGCGTGCAGGTTTCGAAGCCTTTGCCAGCCGCAAGATGCTTAGACACGCGTCAACCAATCGTCCAACACTCCCTGGCAGAGCATGTCGAGATAGCGAAGAACTCCTCGCCTGCAGTCGGATGCGGAGCGTGGAAGCGGATTTCCAGTTGAGTAATCACGACGGATAGTATCGCATAGCTTATGTCCTGATTCTCACTGAATAAAGAGCTCGATGTCGTTCATGCTGCCTTGGTCAAAAGATCCTTTTGAACAACGCCCGATAGGCTTGAGAGATACGCGGCGAGCTTGACTAGAATCTGTAAAAAGCTGTCTAAATGCTGCAAATTGGTAGTAACAAACCTGCACCAATTGTACAACAGTTCAATGGCTGCCCAATATTCGAGATCCTTGTGATACACGAGCTACAGGAACCGAAAGGGGCTTATTGATTCCAAATTGTCTGACAATGCCTGAGGTACACATATCGCCCATGCCATCTCTGCGGAACTATCCCAAAGACGTTCAACCTCACATCCGCAGTGCGTCGCTAACTTTACTCATAGCCATCTTGTCGAGGATCGTCACTATTCCAAGTCGCTACCGTCGCGAAACTCATGATGATTCATGACGCAGAGGGAATTGTAACTGTCGTCGTCGTCAATAGCGAAAGTGTAGTTGTTCCTGGACATGTTCTGACTGAGGTGAAGATACCAATTCAATTCATGAGCAATGATCGCCTCGAACAAGCGCAATCCTCGTAGGTTTGACTCTCTTCGGCTTCCATTCAAGACTTCAATTTTGCTCTGTATCTTTGCCTCCAATCCTGTCTCACATTTCTGCCACGGGCGAGCAGAGAATTTGCGACAACGAAAGTCTGTGAGCGTCACACAATGACTCTGGTTGGTGATAAGATTGAATTCGAGCTCTGTGTCATCAGCCGCTATAATGGTGAAGTGAATGCGTGACAGGTTGTTGATTATCTGAAGAGAGGGCGAGTCTTTCCAAAGCTTCAGATGCCGCTGAAGACTTGCAATGTAGTAGCGCTGCTTGAGTCCAACGTATTCGTTGATCTTCAGTTCAAATATGATCAAGGGCGAAGCTTCTTTGCATATGGCGCGTGATACTCGAAGCAACGCTGGTCCGCCTGGTTCGTAAGCTCGATCCGAATTGATGAGGACCAAGCTCCAAAACAGACACGTGTAAGACCGGACGAACATGCGTAGCTCTGCCGGCAGATCCATAACTCGGAATGGGCGACTGACTTGCTCTAACGTGTCGAATAGATTTCCCGGAGACTCAAATGCTGACGATGGAACTCGACGGAGTAAGAACGGGCTGATATAAAGCTACATTTCGGCAACTCACTTGATGTGAATCTCATCGATCTGCTGTCCACAGACCCACTCATTCCCAGTACGACACTTCCATTCTTGACAGAACATGGAGAGATGACTGAGTTGTGTAATTTTGCACGATGATTGAACGCGCGGCGGCCAATCTGCAAAGGTACCCTCGTACAACATGCCGGATCTACTCATGGTCCCAGGCTTACAATGGCGCATCCTTAATTTCAGTATCATCTCGTCAGATGATATGGCTCGAGTAGTAGCCATGTCGTATCCAAGTAAATCGATACTCGGCGGATCGGACAGATCTAATGAGGAGTCGTAGCTGATGGAATTGGCACAACAATGCTTTGCGTATCATCGCCAACTGTGAGAATTAAGATAACGAGGTGTAAATAAATCTTGTGGGTCCGAGTGACCTATTAGAGCAAGTTTTCGGGGGGCAGTGCCACACACGGCGTCTGCACGCCATATTATACCAAGTCTCCGAAACGTCAGATGAACATGTCCACTCCGTGGACATGTCTTGTAAGATAATTTGAGATCAGAATTCTCAATTGGAAGTAGTCAGGATTCTGCGCTCCTGGATTCTCTCGCAATGGAGCTCGCCGCACAGTCGTTTATAGTGTGATCCGAGAGTCTCGCAAATATCAGCTGAGGTGAGTTCTGCGCGAAGTCGTCAAAGTCTTGCTAATTTGAGAGATAATTTGCAAGTCACTACCGTTGGGTAAAAGAGGGGATCCATTGTCGTATTTATCCATTGTCGTGTTTATCCATTGTCGTGTTTATCCATTGTCGTGTTTATCCATTGTCGTATTTATCCATTGTCGTGTTTATCCATTGTCGTGTTTATCCATTGTCGTGTTTATCCATTGTCGTATTTATCCACTGTCTGAAGGTACCTGGTACTTATCATGGGAGCGAAGCGAGAGTTGAGGCGTATCCCTTGCTTGCTTGTACATATCAACCGCCAGCGCTTAGCTTCGACGGAAAATTCATTTGGAGAAGCGCTCTGCAATCATCAGAATCCAATCGCGGTGAGAGACATGGATAAACATCTCCTCCGAATCGATGATTGCATTTCTAAATAACTTTTGACTCCAGCGGATCTCCTGGCTCAAGAAAATCACGCTCCAAGCTTGCTTCAACAGTACGCAGCAGACCCAGCCACCCACGAGATCAAGATAGCATCATCGAAATCTTCCCAATCGCATTGAACGGCATCAGTCAGCCTGTATGCTATCGTTCTTCACGGTCGTTCTCATGTTCACCTTGCCGTATTTCGTCGTTTGTCAACTGTGAAATCACTGTTTTGTAAATCGAGAGCATTATCGATAGACACCACAGACATCCTCTCCACGATCGTCGTAAACAAGACCAGGGTCCTCCAAGCCACTAGCGTTATCTTCGTCACGGTCTTCAATCTTTTGAAATGCGCCTTCGTTGGACAGCAAATTCACACTCCAAGCACCCGGCGAGCACTCAGTCCCAGATCGTTTGTCTGGCTTAGTCGATTGTGCATGGTTTCGGCTACCTTGAACAGAGCCAGACCCTTAAGATGAGGCGCCCTCACGTTGAGATTCAATGCCTCAACCAATTCTTGCATCCAGGCGTGGCTCTGTGGCGACGAGTTCTGCCAAGCGCTCTGAGAATTCGCTCGGCGCCGACACTTGATGGATCTCGAACCTGAGTTTCCGGTAATTGTGAGTTCGACTTCATTCGTTGTCGTATGAGACTGATAGTAGAAGAGGCGGACCCGCGACAGCTGGTTCACGATGCTGAGTGGTGAAACGCTTGCATGACGTGCGAAATATCACTGAAGCACAATGAAGGATGATTGACGCATAGATTCACGATAGCCGTGAAACTTTATGTCAAATGCCATCAGAGCGGAGACTTCTCTGGTGACGGCCCTCGAGACTTGAAGTAATTCTGGACAGTTGGAAGGGCTGACAATAAACTTGACACCCGAGAGCTCGGCGCGCCAGGATGGACGTACTTCGTTCCATACGAGATCTCGAAGTTCTGGTGGAAGGTCCATGATTCGGAACGGAGAACTGACTTTGTTCAAAGCAGTGAAAAGGGCATTTTCGGATTGCCACGCCGAATCAGGGATGCGATCGAGCAAATATGGACTGATTTTATGATGCATCTCCGATATCCACTTCCTTTTCGAGTTCAAATCATATTGCTTGCAAGAACAAGTCTCGTCGTCGTCATCACAATTCAAGTTCTCGCCCGCTTCACAGAGTTTTCGAGGTGTTTGAAGGTGGCAGCGGCTTCCAGTGACTGGTAGCCATTCTGCAAACGTGCCTTCGTACAACATACCGGTTGTTGTCAATAAGCCTGGCGTGCAGCTCTGCTTTCTTTCGTTCAAAGGCAATGTGTAGACGGATGTGCTATCAGATCGTCTCGCAAGTGGTGACTGTGACATCTCTGATGGAGTTGCTCTAGCTTGGACATCCAAGCCCAGATGATGAGTGATATCGATGGTGTAGAACTCGATGTTGTAGACCTCAATGTTGTAGAACTCGATGTTGTATCGACCGATGTTGCGTAAAGGATACCAATGAAGAGTTGGCCTTCGCTGTACAAAAGTATGCGTGGCAAGCAGGTCAGTGCAGAGCAATCAGAAGAACAGGTTGTTACCGTGAGAATGATGGACGCCATTCACTTTCTTCCATTTTCACCTCCAGGCTTCCATACCTAGCTACCTTCAGTCTCCGGCACGTCGCGGCAACCATCGTTTCATAACCTGGTCTGATCAACATCTCATTCAACCACAAAACAAGTGAGTCACAGCCTAGACCTTCTATCCTCAAGCCTACGGCGCGTGCTGCCAATCCCAAAGTACTTGCCTCATCTGCGGATGTTCCGGCTGCAAAAGGTAATCGAAACGCGTGAAATGCTCTACGACGGCCAAAATCAAGATCTCGCCCTGCAAGTTCTCCTTCTCTCGCCTAGCTTCTGCAATTCCAACCAGCTTTGCCAACTCCAGTACGATTCCTCCAGGAAGGTCGCGGATCCTCTTCCGAAACTGATACATACCGCTCGTGTGTTTCAGTCGTCCGTCGTTCAGAGAAAATATGACATCGTGACTTATTCCCGGGCGCCGCGACGAAAAGGACACTTGCACCCTCTTGAGAGGTCTCGCAAAAGCCGCTCCGCCAGACGCACGATAGAACTCCAACAATTTGTCCGCGAAGTCCTCATCCGGCCACAGATCGAGGTTCATTCGAAGCGTCATCATGGGAAGGAGTTCATCGCGGATGGTCCTGCAGCAATGAAGCAGAGCCGGCGCAGCACTTAGCTTGGACCTTTGCCGTGAGGACTCAATTTTCCATTCAAGGTCGACATAATCGTATACACACCTCCGGAGATCAACGGGTAAATCCAAGAATCGGAAAGGTCTCCGACTCAGAACCTTCAATGCCTCCAATAATCTCTCGGCCTGCAGCCTCGAAGCCGCGTCCACTCTTGCCCAAAGCGAGCGCCTGACATGGGGACTGATCGCCCTTGTCATCTCCGCTTGAGATCGCGCCTCACGACAAACCTCCTCGAAAACCATCTTTCCCTCCGGCAAGTCCTCCCCATGAAATGCTCTATATCTCTCCTTCCAGAGCGCCTCCAGACCCCTCCACCACTCCTCAAGCCCGACTCCCTCAAACAAATCGCCCTTCTTCATCGCATCAAAATCTTCCTCAGGACAAGCCCACCATCTCCGAACTGGCGGATGCTCCAATCTCCAAATCGCAGCCGCCAACGCCCATTTCGCACCCCGTCCTCGAAGCTCCATTTCCTTTTCGCGAACAATGTCGGCGCGAAAGTCCCGGACGACATCTTCCACTTTGAGTCGGAATTTCTCAGCTTCGCTCGCCGAGTCCGCTCCTTCGCGGGCGGCGAGGCTGCGGTAGAACCATTCTGTGGGTGGAGGGTCCATCGTCTCATTGAACGAACGATAAGACTTTGGGCCAGATCAAGGAAGATAGATGATGAATTAATTAGTCGCGAATCGGGGGTTGGAAATCCCATGGACAATATAAATCGGTAACGTGTTGCGCACCATATCACAATCCGCGACTTTTGGGTGTTCATGATGTTGAAGCCGGGTGTGGCACAGCCAACATACAGCGTAGTCTACGACAAGCAAAGCCGAAGTCATACGTCGAATACAGCCTCCTCCCTCCCAAACTTGGAATTCGAAAGGAGTTCTGGAGCACATCCCCGCGCTATATAATAGGGACGACCAAACAGATCCAACCACGGAGATTTACTCCAGAGGGTTTGTAAGAAGAGAGTGGAGAGAGAAGAGTTACTATCTACACACCGAGATGGATAGATGACATGCAAGGATATGCGAAACTTGGTGCCTGGCTCTAAAATGTTGGTAGAAACCCAAAATACATGATTAGGTAGTTGAGAAATGCATTCCATCTCTTACCCTCCGAACCACAATTGCATGCACTCCGACAGCGACGGGCGCATCCTTCCCCCTCACTCTATTCGCGAGGAGACACGGACCGGCGAGATTTCATATGCACATACCACCAAGATCTCCCAAATAGTTTTCCACAGTATACATTTATACAGGGATGACTCCCCGGGGGGAGCTGTGCGAGCGGAGAAGTCGCTCTCTCATGTTCATCGAAACCAGAAGATCAAAGATGAAACTTCCTTTCTTGGTTTCCATCAGTCATCCTCCTTGTCGTTCTTCTCCTTGGCCGGTTTCGCGAGCTGAGATTTCCAGAGGTTGTTGACCTGCGCGGCGTCGACGTCCGGGAAGACGAGGTCGAAGACGTCGGAGTACCAGTCGACGGGTTTGCCCTCGATACCTTCTTTGATGTTCTAGGAAACAAGGGTTATTAGTATACAGACTAGTTCAAGAGAGACCCATATTGTGGAGAGGGATGATGCGCAAACTTACCTCGGGGAGTTCGAGCCAGTCGCTGACGTTGTCCTTGGGGAAAATGACCATGGTCGCACCGGCTCTTCGCGCGGCGACGGTCTTCTCGCGGAGACCGCCGATGCGTAGGACCTTGCCCGTGACGGTCAATTCACCGGTCATGGCGATGGTGGGGTCCAGCTTGCGGTCCATGGCGAGGGAGAGGAGACTGCTAGCCATGGTGATACCGGCGCTGGGGCCGTCCTTCTGGACCGCGCCTTCGGGGCAGTGGAGATGGATTTTGGCTTTCTCAAAGAAACGGTTCTCCGGGTATCGCCTGGCCATGAAGCCTTTGGCGAAGCTGTAGGCGATTTGGGTGGATTCTTTCATGACGGCTTTGAGGTTACCGGTGCGTTCCAGGGATGGATTTGTGGAGTGTGAGAGGGCTGCTTCGAGGATCGATTCGACGTACATGGCGGCGCCGCCCATTTGGGACCATGCGAGACCCATGGCGACACCAGGGGGAGTGATTTCGTAGAGGCGGTCGGAGGTGAAGACTGGCGGGCCAACGTAGTCTTTGAGGTTGGATTGGTCGATGGAGACCTTGACTGAATCGGGTACCTTCAGGGCAATGCGAGGCTTCTCGGTTGTCTCGTTCTCGATGTTTGCGGAAGTCTCTGCGGCGTCGGTTTCATCCTTCTTGGACTCCTCAGCTGCCGTCTTGCCCTCTTCAGTAAGCGCCTTTTCTTCGGCGAAAGCGTCTTCTCCCAGATCTTGGATGATCTTGAGTGCGGCTTTGCGATAGACCTTCTCGATTTGCTTCTTCAGGTTTCGCACACCAGACTCGCGACAGTATTTGTTGATGAGCTCAGTAATCGCGTCTTGCTCCAACTGAACGTCCACATTCTTAAGACCACTCATTTCCTTTGCCTGTGGCGCAAGGTATCGATCCGCAATAGCCATTTTCTCATCGGCAACGTATCCTGACAATTGAATCAGCTCCATACGATCCAGGAGCGGTCGTGGAATAGTCTCTGTGGTGTTTGCAGTGCAGACGAAAAGCACTTTTGAAAGGTCGACTGGTACATCCATGTAATGGTCCAAGAAGGAGTTGTTCTGTTCTGGATCTAGCAACTCTAGCAACGCACTGGAAGGATCACCTTGGTGGCCGCGGCCGATCTTGTCGACTTCGTCGATGAGGATGAGGGGGTTTTCGGTCTGGCACTTCTTCAGCGCTTGAATGATGCGACCAGGTAGTGCTCCGACATAAGTCCTTCGATGACCTTTGATCTCAGCAACATCCGTCAAACCTCCGACACTGAAGCGGTAGTATTGGCGGTTCAATGCTCTCGCGATAGACTTGCCGATACTGGTCTTTCCGACACCTGGCGGGCCGACCATGCAGAGAATCTTTCCTTCTACTGTTCCACGGAGCTTGCCGACCGCGATGAATTCCAAGATACGATCCTTGACGTCTTTCAATCCATGATGATCTGTGTCCAGGACGTCTTTTGCGTGTTGAATTCCGAAGTTTTCTGCGCTCCGTTGACCCCAAGGAATCTGAGTCAACCAGTCGAGGTAATTCCGAGTGACATTAAATTCGCTGGCAGCAGGTTCCAAGTGGGCAAGCTTATTGACCTCCTCGTCGAACACCTTTTTGACAACGTCGGGCATGGCCAGCTTGGTGGCCTTCTCCTTGAACTTCTCAACGAGCTTGTCCTTTCCATCGCTCTCAAGACCGAGCTCTCTTCGAATTCCCTTCATCTGCTCCATCAACCAGTATTCCCGCTGACGCTTCTGGATTTTGCTCTCGACATCCTTCGAGATTTTACTGCTAAGCGCCGCGTTCATTTGCTCTTTCTTGATCAACTCCAGTGCTTTGCTGAGACGCTGTTCGATGTTCAGGGCATTAAGCACGCTCTGCGCCTCCTCCATGTCGCCGCCAGATACGGCGGCGGCGAAGTCGGCCAGCTTGGCAGGTTCGTCGGCGATATTGGCTGCCGACTGGGACATGGCAAATGCAGAAATGTGGTCACGGAAGAGATGGTTGACATTGCCAATCTCTTTACAAGTGTTGACAATCTCGGACACCAAGGCTCGAATGGTCGGCGACTTCTTTTCGAATGGCTCATCGGCCAGGTTGTCAACCTTGACCAGACTGACAGGCCACTCCCGCAAAAAGTCATTGGGCTGAACCACAGCTTGCGACTGATCTAGCTCCTTTCCTTTCTCTGCGCTGGCTTCCTCGAAGCTGGCCACAACATCGCCTTTCTTCTCGTCAGCCTGTGTTGGTGTGGGCGTCGGGGTTGTTGGCGGGGTCGGTGGTGTTGTCTCTTCAGGCTTGGTGACCTCTGATGTCGACGCAGCGTCTGCAGGAGCCTCCACGGTTGCAACGCTGATGGGTGAGTTTTTGTTCGGCGGGATGAGTTCACTGAGCTTGATGCGGCGATGGGGGTATAGCACAGCTTGAAGTGCCTTGTCATCGCCGTGTCCTGCTGGGAACGCGCCTGTGACCTGACAGAACGTTCCGACGTCGTAAACCTCGTCCGGGTGGTTGATGACGTCTTGACCGCTGTTCGGGTCCTTGAGAAGAAATGCGCCCACGTAGCTCTGTCCTCGCTTCAGAAGCTCCTGCACAGCGGAGATGACGGCCTGATCGCGGATGGTGATGGCTTTGTAAAATCCTGGAAATAGCGGTCGTTGCGCTATAGGGATCGCCAGGACCTGTGGGTATACATCGGGTACTTGAGGCCGAGCAAGCTCTTTGCCTGCTGGGTTCTTTCGTTTCCGGCCTGGTCCATCTCCCGAGTCGCCGCTGTCTCCACCTCCAGCGCCAGCGGCAGCTGCCTTGCCATCACCGCCGGGGAAAGGTGTAGGCTCGGACGATTTGCCTTTCGCCTCTAGAGCTTCGCTCTCCTGCCGTGCCCGCTTTGCCACATCTTCTGCTTTTTCCTCTAGAATCACCGCAACCTCGTCCGGCGATCCAGCGGGCTTATCCTCTTTTCTCCGCGCAGGCGATACTGAAAAGTCTCGTGAGGCCTGCAGAATTGCGCGAAGATCACTGCGCAGCGGCCGTGCAGTTTGCGCAAGGAGGGCTGGAGATGTGCGAGTGGAGAGGTGGGTCTGACATCTTAGACATGATGGCCTGGCTGTGCTATATTGGCGAGATGTTGAACGTAGAGCCACTCGCCACGCTTGACTCCGACCGTAGACCATGTTCTCGCGTGACCTCTCAAAAGATGGATGGAGAAGGGTGTGCGAGAGGAGGGAGGGAACACACGCAATGTGAAGGCGAACGCCGGATGATAATAGCAATGAACGAGGTGGCGGATGCACAAGAGAGTCAAACCAGACGGAATCAAAAGGCTGACAATGGTGGCAGATGTATGACCATCACGACTTATCACTAGACCGAGATGGATCGATAATGGATTCTCCAGGGCTGCTTTCAAATACAATACCACAATACCCATCGAAAGCCCCAGATTCGGCAGCAACCGCGTCGGTGGCGTCACCACTTGCTCGCCTCCGCACACATCGATTCCGCCCTCTCGACAGAGACAGACACTCATCACCACCGATGCCGCAACCCATACGACGGGTGTCATTATCAGCAGTCCACGGGTATCTCTCTCTTGCTCACGTCGTTTCACCGTACACAGTTCTATCATCCCAGGCTCTCTCGCTCACTCTCTCCCACCCACACAGGAAGGCCGCACGCCACCTGAAGCATCGTCGTGCTGTTTGATAGGGTCATCATCACTACTCTCATCACTCCCAGCACACGGACCAAGTCCCAAGCCCTGACTCTCCCTCGTCGTCATTGATGAGGTGCGGCAACATCTCAATTAACATACGGCCCGAGTGCCACTCACAGCAGACAGTATTGTCCCTGAGCAATGGAGTTGAGCAACCTTGTTGTCGGAGGAAGCGTGCAAGGTGCAGTAGGTAGGTAATGTATGCCATGTACCGTGGCGAGTACTTGTCGCGTGCCTCTCCTTCCATCCTTCGTCCTCTTTCCTGCGTCCAGTGCCTGCAGAAACCCTCCCGGTAAGTCTACCGAGGCAGTGTGTATGTATAGCTTCGAGGGTGCTTGCTACTCAGGCGGTGGTGCGATGCGTGCATGGTACAGCCCTGGAGTGCTATGATAATACCTGGGCACGCAGTAGCATACATTGTTCACAACCTTTGGAATCAACACATCACTTAATAACAATATAGCTTTTCCAAGTGGAGTGAACACGGCACCTATACTCGTAGAACTGTGACCTGAGAGTTTCGTTCCAGCTACATTGCTCTGCAACAGCACCACGGCTAACTCGGCGCGAGAAAAGCTGTTGAGTCGTTTCATCGCCTGTGGATTGCCCTCGTGGCGGAGAAAAGCGCGCGGGATCGAAGGTGTTGGCGAATGTCCTTCTACGCATGTGCGCTGATCGTTGCGCATTAGTTCGCGATTTAACGCAAGCCTCACTCGGTGGGCGGAGGATATTTGTAGGATTGAAGGCGGAGGAGGAGGGAATTAGGCGAGAGAATTAGGCGAGACGAGGGAGAAAGCTGAGATTTGTTTCTATATAGTAATCGTGAGACGTCCGACTTCTCATCTTTCTCGGTTTCTTTTTCTGGCCAAGAAAATCATTGTTGTTGACACGGAAAGTAATATCATTATTGGAAAATGCCTTCATTCATCAACGCCCTCGTCGCTGCTGCCCTGACGGCTTCCACTGCCCTCGCGGCCGCTCCCGATGTGACTTGCAAGCCATTCAAGCCCGAAGGTTGGAAAGCGAGCAACCGCGCCCGCATTTACTGGTATAATAACGTACGTCCAGATTGAGATACATTCTCTTCTGTTATTGTCTCGAGAGAACGAAGGGCCAATTGCAATAGAAAGAAATTCCCCGGATAGTTGAGATAATCACACACAAACAGAATTGACCCATTGCATATAGAACCCAGGCAACGAATTCCCCTACAACGGCCCCGGTTTCGAAGCCGCCACCCTGCCCGCCAACGCAACCATCAGCGGCAGCAAAACCTTCATTCTCGCGAGCAGCGGCAAGAATGGCACCATCGACCATTCCAGGCCCGGCACGGCCTTCAAGCTCTACACCTGTAACTCCACCTCCCTGAGCCTGAGTACGCAAACCAGCCAGTCCTGCAGCCACGGGGGCTGCTACAAGCAATACAACAACTACCTGCAAGTGCGCAACCCGGCAACCGGGAACTGCCTGACGATCACCCAGACGACCGCGAATGTGCAATCGGGGATCAAATTCCAGGCATGTGCCTTCGACGCGGGCGTCCAGGGACAGTTCTTCGAGACGACGCAGCAGGTTCAGTATTCGCCGGGCTATGAGTCGCTCCGGAGTTACGGGCCCAGCACGTTCGATGTCCCGCTGGATCGCGAATTCCGAGGGGGCAATGGTCCGATTCGTGAGCAGTTCTCGGCGTGGGGATTGGATCGCAGGGATAATCTGACGATCGTGGTGGATCGGGCGAATTATACACAGCAGGGGCTTTCGGCGACGTTGTACGCTGCGTAAGATTCAGGTTCATCAAACGAAGGATTTTCCTAGGGGTGAGGTGAGTTTTGATTTTTCGAGTAGACCGTGGCTTAGTCTGCTGTTGTGATGTTGCCCGGTAGGAATATTAGCTATGCAAAAGGTTCCCACAACACTTTGGATATTCCATCCAACGCATTCGACAGGATCAGTATTCCCTTTCAATCTGTCCTTCGGGTATCATCGCTCCGTGTGGCGTCAAGTATTCCGCTTCGCGCCCCTGATTGGCGAGATTTTGACATCGCTAGCCCGTATATCGTTCGATCAAGTAGATGAGATTTCAGAGCCCGCCTGCATATTTGATTGAGAAGAAGTAGTAGGTTCGTCATAGACGATCGCTCCCAATGGAGCATTCTTGTACTTCGCCCACTTCTCGTCCTCCACCAAGCAGGAGATCTCGTTCGCTTCTTGGACCGTAATTGAATGCTGCTCCTTCCAGGTTCCATCTCGCGCGGTCCAGCGGTTAACTAGAACGTGCTCGGTGCAACTCCAACTTTGTAAGTCGTCATATGCTGACTGATTGAGCAAGATTGTGAGCGTAGAGACGTTGCGGATACGTGTGAAGCGGCGTGCTAGCTCGATGATATCGTTGTGCTTATCGGGATGATCCGCGAGATCCCAGAGGTTCAGAGGGACCACGAGCTGGAGCGTTTTGTTTGCACAGAGCTTCGTGATGCCGCGAGAGACGGTTCTATACCAACGAGGTAACAATGATAGCGCATGATCGCCCGAGTGACTTCCGCTGAGAATGACTTTGATTTTGCTGATCGCCGCGACCTTGTGACGCTCGTGTTTGGGAAGGGACCATTTATCTAGATTGCCTGGATGGCCTTGGATCACAAGCAGGATATGTTTGTTTGCATGTTGCTTGTATTCATTATAGACCCGCCGGGATGCGAGGAGGAGATTCGTGTTGAGGCGATTCAAGACTGAAACATGCGGTTCACGCTTGCACTTTTTATGTGTCACATGTCGGATTCCATCGTCGACCACGTACGGTCGGTCGTTACGAACATAATCGTAGATAAGATCTCGGATTTCTGCAGTATGCTGTTAGTGAATGGTGCGAGCCACAAAGCGGCTTACACCGCGATTGTGCAAAGGCAAGCTGACCTTGAGGTAATTCCATGAACCGGAAGACTGAGGATCGATTAATAGGTCCTTGCATCATGATTTGAGAAGACGAAGTTGGCATCGCTGTGGATTTTGATCTTTTTCGTAGAATTCGAAAGTCATCGATAAGTTGCCGGGTCTGCTGGATGAAAAGAAAGAGAACTTTCTTGAGCTTCGATCTTGTCACGAACCGAATGTTGAAATGAAGAGACAGCATTTTCTGGGCTGCGTTCGATCCATGGGTGGTTTACATTACGCCCGAACAGACAGCAAGTGTAACCGGCGTCCGAAAAAAAGCCTCATCCGCACTTGAGCAGGTATCGCCGGAGGCCGTGAGTCACACTGACCGGGCCCATGGGCTTATGTGACGCTCAAACGATGGCCTCCAAGGCTGCAAAGTATCTAGGCAGTAGTTGACGACTCGTAACAAGTTCGCAAGCTAGGAGAAGTTTGGAGGATGAACTCGAAGCAAATAATCAGTACCTAGGTATTGTGGTGGATGGAAGTAAGCTGGAGGTCAGTGATGGGCCGCGTTCAGGAGCAACCATGCATCACTTGACTACCTACCTAGGCATGTTTCAGAGCCCTCTTGGTGATGACCTCTGAAACGCAGGATCAAGCGGTACCTATCTGCCTAGTAGATGGTGATGCTGGACTTCTGCGACACGTGATACCTTGTGACTTCATCTGATTGATACCTGGCTTGGAGATGAACATGTCAAGTTCTCTCGGGCAATGAATGCCACTTGCACAAGATCACTTTCCGGTCAAGAATCAAGTGTGTGTGATGAATCAATTTGCGATTGACTCTATTTCCCGACATGTAAACCTGCTCAATCATGCGAGAATGCCCTTGCTGCAAAAGATTCAGCATCCAAGATCATCTGCGTAGCAACACAAGACAGCTCGAGGCGAATAAACCTTCACGCCGCGCACCTGTACTGTTCTCATAGCCCCAGTGCGCCCGAAGTGAGCCCAAAGTCATCATAAACCTCCAATCGGCTTCGCCTGTTCATGGACAATATGCGCATCGCCGTCATGCACCAAACCTCTTTTCGAACTCTTCGAATATCCTCGGGGTAATCTCATTGCTGCTCTCGCCCTCAACCTTCCACAGCACTCCTTTCCGAGCATAGTATTCCAAGAGATCGCGACTGCTATCCTCGAATGTCTTCAGCCGCGCCTGCCAGACTTCGGGCTTGTCGTCCGCCCGTTGCACCAACGGCTCTCCAGTGACATCGTCTTTACCCGCGATCTTTGGCGCGTTGTATGTGGTGTTATAGATGCGTCCGCTGGCTGGGTGTACCCAGCGATTTGACATGCGCTCCTGTATGATCTCAAACGGTGTATGAACATGAATTGCAAGATTAACGGGAATGAGTTCCTCGAGCTGTGTAGCTTGCGGCGCATTGCGGGGAAATCCGTCAAGGATGAAGCTGGCATCAGGATGTTCGCTGTATTGGTATTCGGATTCCAAAGAAGGTGGGATTGTGATATAACCGCTACCTGAGGATCCCATGTCGGCGTCGGGACGCGCAGATTCAAGATCCACTGATGCTGCCATCGAGTTCACTGTGAAAGGTTGAACTCCCTCGGCGGGAATCAACCAGCCTCGAGTTGTCAGGGCGTTGCGGATCAGGCGTAGAATCATGCTGTCTGGCACGAGAGCGCCGCGCGCCATAAGTGCCTCTGCCTGGATACCTGTGTTGGGCGTTGTCAGCTTCTGCAAGCGGACTTGAATGCGCCTCCAGGAGCAAACCTACCCAGCGGTGTCCGATTTCGTACATTGTCGCGCAAAAGATCGCCGGAACTGATTGAAGATAATTGTGGGAAGCGCTTGAGCATGCGGGTCGTTTGTGTGCCTTTTCCAACTCCCGGTGCTCCGATGAGGATGATTCGGGCTGCTCTTCGCAGCTCGCTGGTGCTCATTTTCGAAATTTGTGGGTAGTTGCTCCAGATCCTGTTGGTATATCCCTAGTGATTACGAGCTGTAAGACGCTTATGGGAAGAAGGCCGTGGTTACGCAGTCAATGTGTGTGACTGTCGAGTCTGTCGAGCCCGGTAACGTTGGTAAAGGAGCTCAGCTGGTGTCGTACATAGCCATGATGTGTGAATTCGGTGAAGTGAGAGGTTCAGAACACACACATGACGACAAAGAGAAAGACTGAAGGAAACAAGACGGTCGGGCGGGAGCACTGTATATGCAGCAGCAGCGAGAGGATATCGCGCCTGCTCGGCAACGGCGTGACTGGATGTCGTGTGCTCCTACGAAAGGGTGGAGTCTAGGACACCGAACCCGGGTCCTTCCACCACCTAGATATGGCCTGCAGAAAGCTTGCCCGTCTTTTTCCGCCGCCCCCAGCACTATTCTACCCCGGCCATGCGAGCATCGACGCCCATCATTGCTGTATTGCTGCACCAAAGGCACCTAAGCATCTGGGCAGTTTATTAGCGAAGCGTCATTGCTCGCGCGTGGCTTCCTAGGCTGCCAACTACTGGCCCCGCTTGGCTTATATGTAAACTCCGGCGAGCTTCTCTCATCGGCCCTATCCTCACCAGGTATCTTCGACAGTACTAGGTACTACAACATGAGTCGCCGTGCAGTCACATTGCTCAACTGCCATGGTTTACAACATCCGTTGAGAAGTCGACTTAGGCAGCAATCTCTCATAGGATCTGCAGTTGTCGGACATGTTGAGCTTGGGGTAGATCTAGAGTACCACATGCGTATCGTCCGGTGTGTGTCGGGACAATTTACTTACCCCGACTTTCTTGAACCTTATCCTCCTCAAGTAGGGCTCGTTTGAAAGATCACAGATCCGACCAAGATTCACGTGAATCACGCGAGAATCACGGATGCGTCGCTTCCAATGATTTCTAGATCCAAGCACCTGTTGAGAATATGCATGAAGACTGCATACTTACTAAATTCAGACTCCAGTGTGCCGGATTTCGACGATTGTGGCTGATCTGTACTTTCGGACAGCAAATACGAGATCCAGCTTCGTCGAAAGTGTCCACGCCGGACGCAATGCGACGTTGGTGACTTGCGCCAAAGCGCACACAGTGGAGCGATGTTCTCGTTCTAAATCAAACGATCCGTAGGGGATTTGACAAAATTTAGGTCCCTGGATATGTTTGCTTGCCAAATGTATAGTACCTGGGTATACATGGAGATGTCCTTTCTGGAGTCGCTGCACGTTTCCTCGTTTGACCTTGGGAGGTGGGCACGATAGGGTTGATATTGGGGTATTGGGTTAGGGTCTGCCAGTTTGACGCGGGTTGGCCCGAGGCGCATTCAATGCTACCGGCATTCACAGCTTCACGCCAACATTGAAAATCCATTACACGTCACTATAAGCGCAAATCCCAGTACTTCTGCCGGTAAAATACTGCAGATCACGAATTACAGAGCCAGTCTGAAGTGGTAAAGCCCTTGCGAGTTAGGGAACCATGGCCACCCCATCAGCCGGAGGCCAGACGGCAAACCCCTACGAGCAATACGATGCGCCAGTCGTCGAGGACGACATCATAGACGCAGACGATGGTGTGTTCCGTTAATCATCTCATTGAGCTTTGTGCACGAAACTCATGGAATCACAGCGACGCTTGACGATCTCGATGACCCGATCCGCTCCACCTCCGACCGCGCGCCCTTGACCGGGAATATTTCCTCATCACAAGCGAACCAGAACGCTCGTACTGCGAACAATACACAAGGCTACCTCAACTCGGTGGTCGCAGGCGAGGACCGCCGTGCTGCGCTCAGCACAATCGATGAATCAGTGTGGGACACGCTCAGGCGGGACTTGCTAGCAGTATGGGAAAAGATGCGACAGGTCCTCTACCCGAAGTATCTCTTGGGCGGCATGATTGCGCCTGGTGGTGGTATCGGTGGTGCTGAAAGAGGAGAAGGAGACAGTCTGGCAGGAGGTGCTGGTGCGCTCGGAAACCTACGCGGCCTGGTGGGAAGATGGCCGGATGCGGATGTTGTTCTGCAAGGCGGAATGAGCGAGGGTCTGAGAAATTGGGATCTATGGTATGGCTCTGGAGTGGAACTGCTTGAGAAATTACCTGCTGACCGACGGACAGGGGTCCATTGCTTTTCTGCCTTCTGCTCTCCTTCCTGCTAAGCTTCAGCGCAAAAGACGACCAGCGCTCAGTAGTATTCAGTGGAGTCTTCGCGACGATCTGGATAGGCGAGGCAGTTGTCACCATGCAAATCAAGTTGCTAGGGGGGAACATGTGAGTAAATTCTACAGGAGGTCATCGGACAGACATCACTGACATAACTCTCAGCTCCTTCTTTCAATCCGTTTGCATCATCGGCTACACGTTGTTCCCGCTGGTCATCGCTGCGCTTCTTAGCGCGCTCGGTACTCCCATGATTGTTCGTATCCCCGTCTATATCATTCTGGGTCTCTGGTCAATGGCTGCTGGTATCAGCATTCTGGGTGGAAGCGGCGTTGTAAAGAATCGGGTGGGCTTGGCCGTGTACCCATTGCTTGTGTTTTACATTGGACTTGACTGTCTATGCTTCATCTCCTAGACGAGACGCAAGTGGATGTATCAATATCTGTACATTGCGCAGTATCAATTTAATGTTAAACGTTTGCGAACATGTGACTTTCATCAAGGCAAGCTATGATCTCTCCCAACTCTACTACATTGATTTCTCCTCCGCTGGTCAATTTTGTATGACATAAACCGTCAGACCGATGAATCCTGAACATTGCAGAAAAATGGTTAGGATGCCCCCCTTTACATATGAGCTCGGTGAGATGGAGGCTCATATGGCCCGTGCGCAGCAGCGTGACGCCACGCGCACACGATCGCGCACCCTATGCATGCAATCCCAAGAACCGCCCGTGCCTGTCCACAACGACAACCTTCTTACGATTCCAAAGTGGTACGCAGCAGTTTTATCCGGCTGAAACACTTCGCTCTGGTTGTGCGATCGCCAGGTCGATCACATGAGTTTCTTCCGTCTTACCTGAGATGGGTCTCATTAGCAAAGCCAAGTCAGCTCCTCGCGATTCCGGTTCAGCAGGTGGAGGTGTCAAGTACATCTGTAATGTTTGCAGCGCCGATATCACTTCGACAGTGCGCATCCGTTGCGCGAGCAAGCAATGTGTAGACTACGACCTCTGCGTCACCTGCTTTGCGAAGGGAGAAAGCAACACTCATCATGACCCACGGTCACATCCATACCATGTAATCGAACCACACAGCATACCGATCTTCGACGAGGATTGGGGCGCAGATGAAGAGCTGTTGTTACTGGAAGGTGCTGAACAATATGGACTGGGGAGCTTTGCGGACATCGCAGATCACATCGGAGGCTATCGAGAGAAGGACGAAGTACGCGAGCATTACATACAAACATACATCAATTCGTCACTATTCCCACTACCTGAGCGAGCGAGTCCTGGAGACAAGCGCTTGAGCGATTCCATACCGCGCGATGAATTTGTTTCAAGGAAGAAGAGGCGCGTGGAGGAGCGCAAACAGAAGATCGCGGACAATGCGGGCAATGCGCCAACGCCTGCGAAACCTACCTCGTCTGTACCAAGCTGTCACGAAGTCGCTGGTTTCATGCCTGGAAGATTGGAATTCGAGAGCGAATATTTCAACGAGGCGGAAGAAGCTGTGCAGCACATGCAATTTTCACCGGAGGAAGGCATCAATCCAGCTACAGATCAGTTCGACGCAGAGACAGAATTGAAGATGGTCGTTATGGGTATCTACAATGACCGCTTGACGGCGCGGACAGACCGGAAGCGCGTCATCTTCAATCACAAGCTGCTCGATTACCGGAAGAACACTGCTATTGACAAAAAGCGCACCAAAGAGCAACGAGATCTCCAGCAGAAATTGAAACCTTTCGCTCGGATGATGTCACATCCTGACTTCGTTTCTTTGTGTGAGGATGTCGAAAAGGAGCAGAATCTTCGACAAGCCATTTCCCAATTGCAAGAATGGCGACGGATGCGCATTTCTACATTGGCATCGGGTGAGAAGTACGAAGGAGAGAAAGCCTCCAGAACGCTTCGCAACCTACCTCAGCCTGGACAGTTCGATCGTCTGAGCAACGTCGTTCGCCTGGGTAAGCCCCAGGCGCACGCCGTGCCGGAAGTCGCGCCTGCTGTGGTGGACTACACAACAAAAGCCGACCTACCCATTCGGCTCACGCCCCAAAATAATCAAGTTAACGACAGTAATGCGACAAGCGATCTTTCCAAACGTGCGTCGCTGCAACCTATACCGACGATTGTGCCGACGAGCTGGGACGAGGAATCAGCGCCGGATTTCCAATTACTCCTGCCAGCGGAACAGGAACTCTGCAACAAATTACGACTACACCCCAAAACGTATATCTGCATCAAGGATGCGGTATTGAAGGAGGCCATGAAGAACGACGGAAAGCTTAAGAAGAAAAACGTGCGAGAGATCAGCCGCATCGATACGACCAAGGGCGGCAGAGTGTTCGAGTTCCTATGCGAGATGGGCTGGTTGGGTAATGCGGCAAAGTCGTAGCCGACAATACCCCCTTTTTTCGACGTAGCATTCGGGACGGGATTTCGGTTCTGGGAAGGCTTACAAATGGGGGGCGTTCGGGAGCAACCTTTGGAGTTCGGGAGAACACCGTGTGTAAATTCAGGCCATTGACGAGATCATTTCAATTAATGGCACATTCTTGAATAATGATCCTTATGTGGCATGTAATTTGGGCAAGTGATCTGAGATTAGTGAACCAACAAAAATAGTATCGCGGGCGCTACAAGAAATAACAACCCCGTATTTGATGGGAAGAAAATCCCCTGAAAGTAGATGCGGTTCATCTCATGGGATAACTTTGTCCGGTCCCGCCGTTGCACAGCCTCGAGCGCTCTCTCCCCACCTCATTACGAAGCATCTGCGGCCGGCCAGAGGCTAATCCCGCATTCCACGTTTACCTATTCCACTGTCTCATCAGGATTATTATTAGTAGTAGGAGAGTACGCGCAATCTTTTGTCGTCGTGACATCCTTGTGTGTCTTTCTCTCTACTCACAGGTGTTTCCATTCTCTGCACATCCCGCAGCCATGTCGTGGAATCCGACCAAGAAGATCACGCAGAAGCTGCACAACACTCATCTGGGCATCAGCAACACTTTCTCCCGAACTACCTCCTCCTCGCAATCGACCATCAACAACTCCGACGCGCCCAAGTCACCTTCATCTTCACCCGCTCTCACGCCGACAACTTCAAAGACAAACAATGCCGCCGACCCACAGGGAATCGTCGCTTCCGAGCAGATGGCCACGGCCACTGCGGCCCCGGCGAAGCCAGGAATCCTGATTCTGACTCTACATGAGGGCAAAGGCTTCAGCTTGCCTCCGGGAGCGGAGCAGGCGTTTGCACGACCCGGTCACAGTGGCAGCGTGAGCACAGGCTCGTTCTCGAGCAGCTACATGGGTGGCAACAGCGCAAGGCCTGGATCGAACATGCAATCGGGCAGCTTCCGCCCCGCTTCATCGGCGGGCGGCGGAATCAACAACATGCCCTCGTCGCACGGTCGATACACCAGCAAATACCTCCCATATGCCCTGGTTGATTTCGACAAGCAACAAATCTTCGTCAACGCCGTCTCAGGCACGCCCGAGAGCCCCATCTGGCCCGGAGAGAGCACCCAGTACAAATTCGACGTCAGCAGATCGACCGAGATTAGCATATCGTTATATCTTCGCAATCCTTCGGCCGATGCAAATGCGGGTCGGACACAGGACATCTTCATTGGCAACTGCAGAATTGCGCCGACGTTCAACGTGGAGGACTCAGTGGCTGCCGCCCAACCTGAAGCGAACACAGACAGCAAGAGCAAGAAGGATAAATCGGCGCCAGCGCCGGCAGTTGCATCTGCTGTGAGCAGTACATCAGCTCCTCAATGGCTTGAGGTTCAATACGGAACAGGTCATATCAAGATCGGCGTGAAATTCGTCGAGAATTTACAAAGATCACTCAAGGTCGAGGATTTCGAACTTCTCAAGGTGGTGGGCAAAGGCAGCTTCGGAAAGGTCATGCAGGTCAAGAAGCATGACACACAACGAATCTACGCGCTCAAGACTCTACGTAAGCAGCACATCATCTCAAGATCGGAAGTTGCACACACACTCGCAGAACGATCTGTGCTGGCGCAGATCAACAACCCGTTCATCGTCCCATTGAAGTTCTCTTTCCAGTCACCCGACAAGCTTTATCTCGTCCTCGCCTTCGTCAACGGTGGCGAGTTGTTCCACCATTTGCAAAAGGAGCAGAGATTCGATATCAACCGATCACGATTCTACGCCGCCGAATTGCTTTGCGCCCTCGAATGTCTTCACGGCTTTGGAGTCATCTACCGTGATTTGAAGCCCGAGAACATCCTCGTCGACTATGTCGGTCACATCGCCCTATGTGACTTTGGTCTGTGCAAATTGGACATGAAGGACGAGGACAAGACCAACACGTTCTGTGGAACTCCCGAGTACCTGGCCCCCGAATTGCTTCACGGCCAGGGTTACACCAAGGCCGTCGATTGGTGGACATTGGGTGTGCTTCTTTACGAGATGTTGACTGGTCTGCCACCGTTCTACGACGAGAACACCAACGAGATGTACCGCAAGATTCTATCCGAGCCGCTACATTTCCCCGGACCGGAGATCGTCCCTCCAGCAGCCCGGGACCTGCTTACCAAGCTTCTCGACCGTGATGCCACCCGGAGATTAGGCACGAACGGCGCCGCCGAGATCAAGGTAAGTCGCGACCCTGATATCCCTCCTGGCCTTTTCCTTGCCCCGAAAGGCGATTTCTTGACCTTGCAAGAGCTAACATGATTCCCCACCCAGGCACATCCCTTCTTCCACAGCATCGACTGGCGCAAGCTGCTAGATCGCAAGTACGAGCCCAGCTTCAAACCGCGCGTCTCGGGCGAGACCGACACGGAGAACTTCGACGAGGAATTCACCCGAGAAATGCCGACGGACAGCTACGTCGAGGGCCCGGCGCTCTCCAGCACCCAGCAGGAGCAATTCACGGGTTGGTCGTACAACCGACCCGTCGCCGGGTTGGGGGATGCGGGCGGCAGTATCGTGCAGGGCAACGGGTTCAATCAGAAATAGACAACCCGAAGATTAGGTTTGCCAACAGCCGAAAAGAAAAGATGATCGGACCGGATTCGTGTTCTCTCTGTGTCTCTCTATCTCTGAACCTCTTTTTCGGACTTGCCTTTCTGCTCTGTTTCGACTTCTTCTACCTCCTGATGACGGCGGGATAGATCCGGGCTGGGAGAGGAAAAGAGGAGGCGGGTATGTCGGTGTGATTTTATATATATCTCTCTCTTTCGTTTTCTGCTTTCAGGATGGGCGGTGGAGCACGTTCTTTTCTTCCTCTTCCTCTTCCTCCTTCTTTTTCTCTTGATTACATTTCATTCGGACTTTTCCCCTGGGGAGAGGGAGGAGAAAGCAGGACCTTTCACCCTTCCCTCTAGAGAAGAAATATACAGATTTCTCCAAAACCAAAAAAAACCCCAAAACCCAAACCTCCCCGATATCTCCTGCCAATCTGTCTCCGAGGCGGGCTGGCTTTGGTGTGATCTCCACAAAGGCTAGGACGAGGAGACTTGTTCTATGTTGTGACCCAGATGCCCGCCAGATCTCTATCGGAGCGTCGTGGAGCGACTGAGATCTCCGCGGGAGGTCCATCTGTGACAAGATGGACAGCAGCCCCACGTGCAGGGTTCTCTTTCCTCCTCCTCCTCCTCCTCCTCCTACTCCTCGGAGAACCGGCCTAGGAATTATTAAGGAATTATTATTGATGGATCTATCTACACCTGCCTGGCACCCGCCTGATACACGGCCTGAGGGCCGGGAGTGTGGGCATGACGTGGGCGACTGGAAGTGAGCGGGCGGATCGCGGCGGTTCTGTCTCTACAGTAATAATAATCCATAGATGGATAGGTACCTAGGTAGGTATCACCATGCGGGCGCCTGTATATACACTTGGTGAACGACGGCGAGCAAGCAAGCAGCACGTGTATGTGTGTGTGTGTGAGTGAGTGTGTGATGAGATGGATGGTGAGGACGGAACCCCGCTCTGTGTGTACGTGTGTGTATTTGTATGTGTACCTCTTATGTGTATGTGTGTTTGTGTTTGTGTGTGTGTTCGTGGCGAGAGCCCAACAACAGCACAGGGACTAATATTCCCAACCTGAGGCACAGTAAGGTGGGGTGTCTCCCCTTCGATACTAATCCGAATTGATGTGATGGGGGATTTCGTCATTCCAACAAATTTATCATCCGCGGAGAACGTCGACATACCTACTGTATCATGCTGTCTCATACTCGTCCGCCGGTGAATATTGATCCAAGGGAAAAAGGGAGAAAAGGCCCGGTTATTGAGCTCCAGGGCTGACACCATGTACGGGGGACTAGGTAGGTAGGTAGGTAGGGAGTCTCTCGCACATGTCAACGACCACCCCGGGATGCTGTCATAGCTGCCAACCCATTAGGAAAACGTGAAGCTTCGACCCTTTTCGATCGTCTAGACGCGACATTTCCTGCGCCTCCAGATACAGTACGATGGAGTAGTAGTAGTAGTAGTAGTAGTAGTAGTATTAGAAGACGGGCGCATTCGTGAGCCTCCTTCTCAGTAATGGCTGTAAGAAAAAACCCCCAGCAGAGAGTACAGGAGTTCCATGAGATGTACCTAGCATAGAGAGTGCGGGCAACAGGGCGGCGATGATGTTATTCCATGCTGATAGTTGCTCCTGCTGCTGCGGCGTGCATTGCCCGCTCCGGCCATGCCGCACGATGTCGCTCATCATCGGCGGTAGCAGCAGAAGTAGGTGTAGGCAGGTGGTTTACGTGATCCTTGTTCAATTAAAATATATAGAGATTCTCTTGATTGATTTACAAGCTGTCCTGCTACTGTGACATTCGTCTTGCAACACTCCTTCGATCTCACACCTCTCCCAACCTCTCACACCGATCCTCCACCCTACATTAACAAATAGCAGCGGCATTGCCAACACAAACTTCAACCTCGAACAAATTCCTGTCACATTCATCTCACACACAAACACCTCGTCACAATGCCAGGCTTCTCACAAGCCACCGAGCTTCCGGCATGGAAGAAGCTCATGGAACACCACGACAAGCTGGGTCGTGGCATGGTCCTCAAGAGCGAATTCGAAAAGGACCCTCAGCGATTTGAGAAATACAGCAGAACCTTCAAAAACGAGGCCGACGGCAGTGAGACCCTCTTCGACTTCAGCAAGAACTTCCTCACAGATGAGACCCTCCCGCTGCTGGTCCAGCTGGCCAAGGAGGCCAAGCTGGAGGAGCTTCGTGACGACATGTTCAAGGGCGAGAAGATCAACTTCACCGAGAAGCGTGCGGTCTACCACGTCGCTCTCCGGAATGTCAAGAACGAGAGCATGCAGGTTGACGGCAAGAGCGTCGTCGAGGAAGTCAACGAGGTCCTCGAGCACATGAAGGAATTCTCCGAGCAGGTCCGCAGCGGCGAGTGGAAGGGATATACCGGCAAGGCCATCGACACCGTCATCAACATTGGTATCGGCGGCTCCGATCTCGGTCCGGTGATGGTCACCGAGGCTCTCAAGCCGTACGGAAAGAAGGGCATGAAATTGCACTTCGTCAGCAACATCGACGGAACTCACATCGCCGAGGCGCTCGAGAACAGCAACCCGGAGACGACCCTCTTCCTCATCGCATCCAAGACCTTCACCACTGCCGAAACCACCACCAACGCCAACACTGCCAAATCTTGGTTCCTCAAGCATGCGTCCGAGGCGGATGTGGCGAAGCACTTTGTCGCTCTCTCCACCAACGCCAAAGAAGTGGGAAGCTTCGGTATCGACACCAAGAACATGTTTGGATTCAACGACTGGGTTGGTGGTCGATACTCTGTCTGGTCTGCCATTGGCTTGTCCGTGGCGTTGTACATTGGATTCGACAACTTCCACCAATTCCTCGCAGGTGCTCAAGCTATGGACCACCACTTCCGCACTGCTCCGCTCGAGGAGAACATTCCTGTCATTGGTGGTCTTTTGAGCGTCTGGTACTCTGACTTCTTCGGTGCTCAGACTCACCTTGTTGCTCCGTAAGCCAATGTCTAATTTCAGTGATGACCATATCTGCGAGATTTCTAACGTAGCCCTACAGTTTCGATCAGTACATGCACCGCTTCCCAGCTTACCTTCAACAGCTCTCCATGGAGTCAAACGGCAAGGCCATCACCCGCAGCGGTGACTACGTCAAATACACCACCGGCGCCATCCTTTTCGGCGAGCCATGCACCAACGCCCAACACTCCTTCTTCCAGCTCCTGCACCAGGGCACCAAGCTGATCCCCACCGACTTCATCCTGGCCGCCGAGTCCCACAACCCCGTCGAGAACAACAAACACCAACACATGCTGGCCTCAAACTACTTCGCCCAGGCGGAAGCCCTCATGATCGGCAAAACCCCCGACACCGTCAAAGCCGAAGGCGCCGCCGACGAGCTGGTCCCGCACAAGGTGTTCCTGGGCAACCGCCCCACCACCAGCATCCTGGCGCAGAAGATCACCCCGGGCACCCTGGGCGCCCTGATCGCGTACTACGAACACCTCACCTTCACCGAAGGCGCCATCTGGAACATCAACTCGTACGACCAGTGGGGCGTCGAGCTCGGCAAGGCCCTGGCCAAGAGCATCTTGGGCGAATTGGAGACTGCGGGCGAGAGCACCAAGCATGACTCTTCGACGTCCGGCCTGATCAACGCTTTCAAGAAGAAGGCCGGTATTGCGTGAGGAGCCGAAGGAGGCAAAGCGAAATTTGCTGCGTTGATGATGCGCGACGGAAGAGGAGCACTTTTTTTATGTGTAATCGATTGACGAATTTCATGAGGTAAAAATTAACAACTTATACATTGCCCACTCCCTCTCCTACTGCATTCTTCGATATGCGGGAAGTACGACGAGGTGAAAAGACGTCATGTGATGAAATTCCCGCCTCGACGCTTGAGTAGAACTCCTCCAGCCCAGGCCGATGAGATGAATTCCCGTACGAACTCTTCCCAAAACATCTCTCAATTCCCGGCCACGAAAAAACCTTCCCCTCGCCCTCCTCCACTGCACATTGCTCGTTCCCGGTGATATGCAAAAACCGAATTTGATCTCCAATTGAACGTGATCGGGGGGTGCGGATCATCGAAAACAGCAGAGATCCTATCAATTGATGGAGGACGAGAAAGGAGGAGGAGAAGAAGAGGAAGAAGAGAAAGGGCGAGGGAAGAGATTCGTCACCGATGTCAAAACCACCCCTCCAATAGAGAGAGGATCCCAAAACTCGTGGACATTTTTTGATTTCCACATCTGAAGGATTTCTTTAAATAAGATTGAAAACTTTCTGTGTTTTCCTCTCCGGGAGCACGATATCACACAACTCCAACAAGTGGGCGACGTGCTCGGAAAGAGCCGAGATGATCACGACTTGTTGGTCGTCGTCGTCGCCGCGGCCGCCGCGGGGACATCTCCCTGCTTCGCGCCCTCCGGCCCAGCCTCGCGCCGTCGCTGTCGGGTTTGCGCATCATCATTACCATCATCGTCGGCGAACACGATGCCCCTGACCAGGATCTCGCTGAGCGCCTCCAGCCCGGCGATGAAGATGCACAGCACGCTCACGATGATGAACATGCTGATGCTCTCGCCGATCTCCAACCACGAGCCCTCGTCGCGAACCTCCCAGAAGAAGCGCAGGGTGAGGTAGTCGCCGATGCCCATGACGACCGCGAAGAGACTCCCGCCGTGGAGGCGCAGGCGCTTGGTCAGGATGCCGAGGTTGACGGAGACCAGCGCGAAGGGCGCGAGGAGCTTGAGGATGAGCAGCGCGCCTTGGCTGAAGGGGTCGAAGATCGGGATCAGCCGGTAGACGGCGTCGAGGGAGAAACTGCTCACGGACGCGATGTTGCCGGTGCTGAAAAAGGCGGATTGGAGCAGGTAGAGGAAGAAGAGACAGATGCGGGCGTCGGAGAGGGTCAGGGCGCGGTAGTCTCCCGATTTGAGCGCGTAGTCGCGTTGGGCGGCGGCGGCGAGGGCAGGGGCCAGAGGGGTCGTGAGCTCGGATTTGAGGGAGGTGCTGCTGCTGCTGCTGGAGCTGGAGGCGGAGAAATGTCGCTGGATGCGATGCTCCAGGCGCACCCACGAGACGAGGGTGACGGCGATGGCGAAGTAGAAGAGCCCCTCGTAAGAGATGGTGAGGATGATGAAAGTTGGTCCAAAGGCGAGGAAGATCACGGCCAGACGGTGTAGGTAGTGGTCTTGCGTGGAGAGGTAGTGGAAGAAGGGGACGACGAGAGATAGGACTAGATCTTTTTTCAGCAGTGCATTGAATACAGACGCGTGAGATCGAACTTACTGAGCGTGAGCCAGCCTACGACTTGCGTGCCTAGAGGCAGACCTTGTTTGGCCTGCAGGGAGATGACACTGGACCGTGTCACGATTATGGCAACGGCAACCAGACCGACCTGATAGATATGAGTCAGATTCGGATCAAGGGTAGTCACATGTGACTTTCTCACCTGAACGCCGATGATGAGACGCGAAGTCCCATCAACCCTCTGCGTCGAAGACCCGCCTTTTGAATTTGCCGTCAAACTGTTCTCAAAGGCGATGTAAGCGAGACCGAGCAGGAGGATCAATCCACCCCCAATTGAGCTAGAGAACGAGTCGTTAGCTGATGGCACACAAGATGGGAGGAGGTTCGCCCACATCATATTCAGGCTCTCTATCTTGTTTGCCGGCAATAAGGTGAAGATGCTCATGGAAGCGGAACCCAGCGCCCAGGTAGCACAAAGCGCAGCATTCTCACGACAGAATCGGGTTCCGTAGAGCAAAGGCCAGGCTGCTATGAGAACATAGCAGATGGTGTAGATTTGGCGGTGGTAATAACTTTGGACCTGACTGAACATCAGTGCCGGCCTCACTGACAGATCTGTTTCGAAGTGAACTCACCATGACCTCCAGAAGGGCAACGTAGACGGCTATGTTCAGTACTAGTTTCACAATCTCTCCTTGAGAGAGCTTTGCAAAGATCTTGTCCGCGCCAGCGCTGAGAGCCTTTCGACGGGCGAAGACCTCTTCCCAGAATGCGACGGGAAATATGGCGTATGTGTAGTAAGTCACAGGCGATGACTGCATGAAGAGATAGCTGTAGAGCGCCACCAGGACAGAGGAGAAGAAAATGATGCCGGGCGTCGATCTTGACGCCTCGATCTCACCATTGAGCATGTACACATCGACTGCGGTTGTGAATGCAAAGGCAATCCATCCCAGGTATCCGGCTGTGACCAGTGTTCGTAGAAATAGCCATGCGTAGGTCTGAAGGTAGCGCAAGCCTCGCAATCCAAGCTTGATCAAGGCATCGGTGCTTTCCATGGCTTCTGTGTAAGCCCCCTGCTCGATCAGTCGCTCGATGGCTGCGATCCGGTTCTCAATGGTGAGCTCGCCGGTCGCAAATCCGCTGAATGGTTGATATCGCAGCACAGTCTGTTGTTTCTGCTCTTCCTTGACACGGTACATTTCCAATATCTCTTTCGCGTTGGTGAGCAAGGCCTTTGACTTTTGTTCGTCGTCAGCGTCCAGGAATGAAAGTGGCAGCTCGCCGACGGAGTTCACAGGGAATTCGAGACCGGCAAGATGGGCCATCAGAGCTGCGACGTCTGCCTGTGCAACATCATGGCGCTGCACATGATCAAGCTGCCAGTCGTGCGAGAAGCCGTCTTCGTGTCCGGGAGCAAAGCCTTCTGCGACCGTAACTGGCTTCGCGACACCGGATCCCCACACGATCAGGGGTGTGCGCGTGTTGTCTGGATGTCCGTCACCATGACTTCCCCAATCACTCATACCATGATCTGCTGTGAAAACGAAAGCGGTTTTGTCGTCGCCGAAAAAGCTCTCTACTAGCTCTGTGACCTCCCGAACACCCTGATCGACAATTTGGATGTTGTGCAGGTATTCGCGCGAATAGGGCCGATATGAGTGACCAGTCGTATCGAGTCCAAGTAGATGCAGGAAGAAGACATTCTTGTCCTCTCGTAGACGATTGTTCAAATCACGATCGGTCTCTGCATCGCTGAACAGGTTCTTCACCCGATCGAATACCCAAGTGTCCAGCTCCGTCGCATCTTTACTGTAGTCCTCAAATTCGTAGCCATATGTGCTATCCTCGACTCGTCCAGGTACAGCACCTGTCGAGAACATAGGCAGAATATCCGGGCTACCCCAACTCCAAGTATGCCTGCTCCTGTTGAAGACGCTGTCGAAGTTGACCGGGTTGAGCTTCCATCCTGTTGTTACGGCAGCGACATCCTCGTACAGTCCAGCAATCAGCGCAACATGGCCAGGTCGCGATTCCGTGGGGACTCGAGTATGTGAAACTCCAAATGTGCCGTGCTCGAGGATGCGTGATCTGAGGAAGGGCGCCAATGGTCGTAGCTCCTGCGATGCGGAATCGTTCAATGCCGACGGTGAAGGGTCTGGGAAGAATTGAAATGCTTTGTCTGCTCGCAATCCGTCTCCTACATGAATAGTCATACATTAGTGAGGTTTTCTGAGCATCGAATTGGGAACAAGACCATACCAACGAAGAGAAACAATCGCTTGGCGGGGCCTCGGTGAGCATCGACGCTATGGGAGCGCATGCCACTAACGATCGGGCTGACGAAGTAAATGTCGAAGATGGAATAAATGTAGACGACATGGAACAGGACTGCAATGCCCAAGAAGCCGAGGCTTCCAAGGCGTGCCATCTTGAGTGTATTGCGAGTTGAATGGCAACTCCGGGCGAGATGTCGTGTCTTCAATCAACGAGGGCTGCGGCGGGCGGCAGCATGTAATCATCAAGCAGCGACGTTGCTAGACATTTTTGGATTGCGGAGACGCGCAACGCGAATCTTTGGCGTACAACTTCAGGAGCTTTCCATCAAGGTTGCCTTTCTAGGACTAGTCCAACGTCAAAGCAGGGAGAAGGCCCTGGAGCTAAACTCCGAGCGATGTTTTGCCGCCTCTCCTCCTCACCAACTTGCCGTCATTCGTCTGCCAGGCTCAGAATGCCTATCTCACCTTTTATTCGGCCTGGACATGTGTGCATGAAAGCGACACGGATTTCGATGCCCAAAGACCAGTTCGATGCTTTTGACCGGTCTGATCATGTTCATCCGTCGCGACGAGTAGAACGACCAAATGGACCTACGGGCATGTCGCTTCTGCGAAAGCAACCGGCGTGCGAAGACAAGATCATCTCTACTTGATGCTGCTGAGTTGAATCAGCAAGACGATATCAATGTACGAGCAAAGCGGCTACTCTAACGGGGCGACCCATCCCGGTTCAATTTCTGTCAAGAACGACGATGTCTGACAGACAACTTGCGTGGCTACAATACACTCCGATGCCTAGACATTCTCTTGAGAGATAAATGCATCCTCGTGCACATCAACGCGCCGGACAGAGAGAACGATCGGACCTCAGCATCTACGCCCAATCCCCAGGGCCAAGATCCACCGGCACTCCCTTTTCCATGCAATCCATGATGTAGTCTATCGTCCAAGGTTCGTACTTGTACCCTGGAGGATAATTCGGCGGTATTCCGGACTCATCAAAGGGTATGCCCTTCCTCATCGTTTCAACATTCTTCTCGTAGTTCTCATACACGTAAGTCTCTGGGTTGTGGCTCCACACCCACTTTGGTAGTTTGGGCTGTGCACGGCGCGGGTCAAGTTTCACCTTATCCCACTGAGTTTCCTGAAGCAGCTCGGCGTTCGAGAAACCAAGTTTCTGAGCGCATGCATTGCGGATGAACCTGACAGCAAATTTCATCAGCATGGTTTATATCTAAGCAATCCGATCATGACGCTTACCGAAACCGTACGTGCGCCTTCACCGCTTCAGGAATGTTGTCCTTCTCCGAGATCTGCAAGCATGTAGCAATGGAGATTGCATCTTCAATCGCCTGAGTGGCTCCGTTGCTAGACGCTGGCAAGTACGAGTGAGCGCTGTCCCCAATTTGAAGTACGCGGCCCCCAGGTGAACTGTACGTGGGCTGTGGATCCCTCCAAAGGAGCTCGAAATTCACAATGGTGTTATTCGGCGTGCACTTGACAAGATCTTTGAAGACCGGTGCCCATGGCTTGGGTCCAACGCCTTTGTCCATCTCAGCAAGCACTTCTTCTGCATCGATCGTGTTGTTCCAGTTCTCGGCTGAGCTTCCAGTGGCCTTTACACCTGATGAGTCTTGTTATGGACCTTCGCAATGGGAGATACTCACGTTGTGATTGATGATCCAGATCATTGTGTCCGGCCGTGTGAGGGTCAATGCGTAAGTTCCAGGACCCAAAAATGTCCTGACGATCGGTTCCGATGCATTGGGGCCTACCATGCTGAAGAACTTCTTCACCTCTTGATTCTGCTCAAGCTCCTGGGCATTGTCAGCATGATTGCGCTAAAACGCGAAATTGGACACTTGCCTCGATAGGAAACGCAGCTCGCCACATCGCCCGACCTGATGATCTAGCTCGAACTTGACCTCCAACAAGCCTTTGTGATTTTGATCCGACACCATCTGCCGCAATCACAATGTCGGCCTCGAAGCGCTCGCCATCTGCTGTGATGCAGCCTCCTTTCGTCTTGTCATCATTCTCAAAGTAGTCGACAACACGCCGACCGAACTGGACTTGAATCCCGAGGCGCTCCACCTGCGAGACAAACATCTTGTAAATCAATGGCCTCATTTGAAAAGTTCCGGGCGGCGTCTTGGGATCAAGACCGGAGTCACGAAGCCGCTCAGCAACCGAGAGCGGCTCGACCATCTGCTCACCGCTATGCTTGAAAGTCTCGATCCACGCATTATGCAACCCGATGGAATCATACTCCGCCTTCATTTCGGGCCAGTGTTTGAAAAACTTTGTGGCACTGAGACCCATGAAGTACATGTCGCCTCCAGCACGATCAGTTCGTAAACCTGAGTACAAAATCAATACACACAACTTACCGGCTGTGTTGATGGTATCGTTGCGCTCCAACACGCGGACATTGTGGCCTTTCCTCGTACACTCAATTGCGGCTGTGAGACCTGCGAGGCCGGTACCAACGACGAGCACATCGATCCCTGTTGGTGGATAGGAGCCCACGGGTTTTGAATCATTCGTCAGTTCTGAGATCGCCATGTTTGCTAAGCACTGTCCCTTTGACAGGATTGGGATCAGGGAAGGTGAATATGAAGGCAGAATCAGAAACACAAAAGTATGGAAAGAATCTTCGTGTGGCCCACGTATCAGAGTGATGCATCTAGTTCAAAGCACTCTATGACGCTGGTTCTCCTTGTACCTGCAGGTGCATTGAAGCCCTTCCATGACGCCTACGACTTGACCTAACCGCTTGTCTTACATTCGATATGCAAGTAGCTCTTTATTTTGGGCTGACTCTGGAGCTGTCCTTGGTGGGCTTGCTTTTCGTGGTTACCGTCACACATAACCGTTGTCCGGAGCTCAAATTCAGTAGTGCTGACTCTGAGATGCATAGCTACAGTACGCACAACCAACAATAATAGCACTTCACAGCCGTCAATTCAAGCGATACGGAAGCAGCCTTGTGTGGTCACTCGGCGATAGAGCAACCTCACATCGTACTAGGAAGACAACCGCTGCATCAACCTGTATTCCGTTGGGACAACCCGAAGGGAACCACTGTATATCACAAAGGCAGCAGGCCACAATAAGGTACACGATCTGGATCGAGTGTGTAGGAGTGGCCTGAGATTGTGCTTCCCCATTCGGTGTGATTGCATAACAGCTTTCTCGTCGATCATGATCTATCCTGCGTGAACATACGTCCCAACATTGGCGACGATACGCTGCGACCACGCCAAAGAGCAAGACACAGACTCAACCGTAGTTGACCTGAGATGCGCACAGATATCGTTGTCTACACCTACTTTCTTTCCTCCCAACCATTCACGATGACAGGAGAGCTCTTGGCGTGAAGCGGGTCCCGATGGTGACAGGGTATCACGGTCACACTACAGGAGACTTGTATCATGTTTCTATCGTGATGACTTCGGTCCTGCTCCAGACTACCACCAGCGCGAAGCATCGTTCGGAATACAAGGTGCATGATCCTTGCAAGGTGACGTACGAGGTCCTTTAATTTGATCGTCACCGCCACACCCGAAACACCACGTGCGAGCGACGTAAAGAAAGGGGCCTTCGTATCGACTGCAGTATCGGGATAACTCTCGAATCGGATATCTGATCTGAATATGGCGACCGGAAGTCGTCTAATGACTGTCTGTTAAAGACTCGTTGCCTTCCGAATGTAACGCCTGTCATGGCTCTTTTCGTCGTTCTCACGAGGCAATCATCGAATGATCCCGGCTCCTGTATCCGACTTCGCTTTGAGTCGGTAATGACCGAAATGTTCGCTGTGGGCGTGATGTTGGTGGTGGTCATAGATTTCAAACGATCTGCTTCCCGAGACTACCTCTCTAGACCTTAAAGTTTCCCTCATGATCAAAAGACTTCCCGTCTTTGTTTATAGATAGTTCCCCCCAAGATCACCCTTCAAAGACCATCGCTTTCTCGCTGGGATCCACGCTTTGAGTTCCACGACCATGCAGACCGTGACGCTCGTAATCGCGGGCATCGCCTTAGTTGCGTTCGCCATTGTGTCTCTAATCAACTCGAAAATCGGTAATCCGTGGAAAGATGAAGCCAGCGAGCCGCCAGGCCCGACACTGGCAAGTCATTGATTCCGTTTCATACTTAAACAATGCTGATCAAATTCAGATACCATGGGTCGGCCGAATCCATGATCTACCAATTCAGTACATGTGGCTCAAATTCAAAGAGTGGGCCGACATCTACGGACCTATCTATCGAACGCAAATGCTTGGAGACACCTTCATCATTATCACTGATGAAAAGATCGCGGAGGATCTGTTGGTCAAGCGAGCGAAGATCTACTCCGATCGACCCCAGATCAGATCCCTGTTCGACGCTAAAAGCACCTACGGCTCCATGGAATATTTGCCGCTCATGGGTCACAACCAATACTGGGCGCGCCAACGGAAATTCACTCATTCCTACCTCACATCAGCTTCTAACGCTCATTACTATGGCACAGTGAATTTCGAGACGAAGCGATGGCTGCACAGACTTGCCAACAACCCTGACAATTTCGCCTATTTCCTGGAGGACATGGCGTCCAAAGTCATGTGCCAGCTTACTTGGGACGACCCAAGTCTCTCAGAGTACATGACTAAAAGCGCGTGGGGTCTTCTGACACAAATGTCGCCTGCGGGCCCCATCACCAACCTCATTACACCTCTGTGGGAACTCCCCTTCTCCATCAACCCATGGCAGCAAGCTGAACGGAAGCGGCACGACGAGCAACAGCGATGGTGGCTAGAACGGCTACATCATGTGCGCTCGCAGATGGCGGCTGGACTTGCTCGTTCATCCTTCACTCGAAATTATCTGGCCAGCGCGGAAAAAGGAGCGTTCAACATTTCCGGCGATCACGAGGCCTCGTCTGTCATCGGCATGATGGCCCTCGTCGGAGTCTTCACCGTAGCAGGCCCGCTGTACTATTTCCTCCTCTCGATGGTTTATCATCCTGAATGGCAACAGAAGTGCCAAGCAGAAATCGACGAACAATGCGACGGTGCAATGCCAACGATTGCAGACTCTGCGAAGCTGCCGACCCTGCGAGCTTGCATCAAGGAGACCATGCGCTGGAAGCCCAATGTCCCCACCGGTGTCGCTCACGAAGTCGAGGAAGACGATTACTACAACGGCATGTTCATACCCAAGGGTTCAAGAATCCTTCCTCTCGACTGGTGGGTCTTTATGTGCTACTCTCCCTTTTCTCCGGCTGACCACATATTCAGGGGCTTCCTTCGAAATAGTACCAAATATCCCGATCCCGACAACTTCCGTCCTGAACGGTGGCTCGAGGCGGGCTGGCCTACCTTCCAAGCTCCGCTCACACAATTTCCAACAATCATGGGCATGACTTCCTTCGGCTGGGGCCAACGCGCGTGTCTCGGTCAGACATTGACCCGTGACGAGCTGCTCGTTGCCTGCGGTGGTCTCCTATGGGGGTTTAACCTCGTGAAGAAGCGTGGAGCAGACGGAAAGCTGATCGATCCTCCGCTGAACAAGTCCAACTCGCTCCTGATCGTGAAGCCCGATCCGTTCGAGATGGCTTTCGAAGCTCGCAGCGAGAGTCGCAGAAACGAGATAGAGAAGAATTGGGCTGCTGCTTCGGCCATCGACACTGCAGAACGTGAAGCATTCGCGGCAGTCGCTGCGGGCAAGACTGCTATCTACATCTAGTATGAGTCATTGGCAGATGCGTTGAGAAAGAAGCATCGAATCTGATACACAGCACTATGCGTACACAGGAGAGAATCCCCCTTGGTCGAATCTTATTGCGTTTAAACAACATGTAATTCAGATAACAAGCTTTCCGCAACCAATTTTCGTTGATGCTCTCTTTTGGCCTTATGAAATTCCTGTTGTACCAGCCCTTTCGTGATTCTTGGCAATGCCTTGTAATCTCGTCCTCCCGAATCCGTCAGAACCTTCGTCAGAAATCCATGATGCGAACATTGTCGGTTCCCCGCAGCCATCGGGGATGGATGCAAATGTTCCACAGGATTGCGAGAAAGTACCTGCAACACTTCACACAGTATATCGCGACTCGGCTTTTGCAGGCACATATGCGGTACTCCATCACACATCCGAGACGATAAAGAGGCACGGGATTCAATGTTCTTTGTTCTTTTGGTTTCCCCACGAAAAAGAATTCCGTCCGAAACAACAGCCTCAATAGTAAACGCATGCAGAAGTGCGATGCGGTGTCTCGCCCGGTTGGATTGTCGTCAGGTAGTCATTCTTGCTGTGCCGCCGCTCGTGACATAACTTGTGTTCTCGTTACGTGGGGATAGGTGGTCATATCGTACGAGGCAGAGATGCGTGACGTTTTTCCGGCTCGCTCAGAGGAGCAGTGTGGAACTCCCGAACAACAACATTGGAATTGTCGTGGAAACAACACGCCTCCGCCGATGCGCAGTAGATCTCCTCCAGCATCCAGATTTGTCATTTCCTGTTGTCCTTGATAATACAGTAAGCAAGATTGTCTCGCACAAAGTGCTCTTCGTGATCTCTCACTTCTTTCTGCATTCCAGTCTGGTCGTCGGTCACTCAATCCATACTTCAGAATGGCTTCCATGAACTCCTTATGGTGGATGACTCCGCTTCAAGCTGTAGCAGCTCTGAGCGCAGCCTGGAACAGTGGTAAGTACCAGCGAAGCATGATTGATGGAAGTTTCACTTTACGAACGTGATCTAGGTGCCAGTGGTCAACCATCATTGCTCACATGGCCGATAATTGAGCTGAACACCGTTCCCGCCATCCACTCCGGCCGACAAGCTCGTCTCCTACTGGAGAAAAGCGAATTCATCTATCCTCGCGTCAATGCCGCCGGAACGATCACTAATCTGACCCTGACCATCATGGCGTATCTCCACCGCGACACCCACATGAATGCATCGGCAAAATGGCCTGTTCTATTGATGGCTTTGGCATGCAATGTCGCCACCACGGCATGGGCGCTCACGGTCATGGTGCCCATCAACGACAACATCAGGAAATCCTCAAACAAGCTTGAGCACATCAAGGATGATTCTGTGGCGGAGCGACACTTTCGCCAGGCCGTCGTCACTTGGAAGAAATACGCCATCGGTGAGTTTTTCCACCCTGTCAACGCGTGAGTCAAGATTGAAAGTTTGCTGATCAAATCACGTAGTTCGCGAAGTTTTGATGATGGCTGCGGCGGCGCTCGGGGTCTATGCGACGTTCCTTGACGGAGTGTACGCTTTGCCGATGCGGGAAATTTAATCATTGCATGTTTCGGACATACTGCATAAGGCAGTGATGTAGAGTGTCGTAAAGCATATTGACAAATATCAAGTCTCCCTCGGCATGACGAGTCACTACTTTGATTCCAAGGCGATGGGGTCCAGACCTTACGTGTCATGTTCCTCGTGGTTCCAGTGAATGACTCGAGGAGAATTGTCCAAATCTTGCTGTGGAGGTGCAGACGCCTAAAACGTGAACTACACTAGGCTCGGTGCAAGTATTTATTTGCGCGAGGTAGATAATGCCGGCATATTTCAGCCTGTGGCTTGGCTGTGCAGCTACACGATAGCGTTCGAGGATGCTTCTATACGCCATTAGCTTGTTCACATAAAGCCAGAGCAACCTGGATACACTGGACGGAGCTTTTTGAACTTGGCTGGTGGCCCCGACGATCGTTCGAATTCGCCCCACGTAGAAAGACTCTGGTTCCCATTAACAAGCATGTTGAAAGAGTTGATGTATCGCAAAGTTACCGCGCTGACTCTACAATATTCCAGCAGTCCTTGCCCTGCGTCGGGCTCATGGTCAGGAACGTGGATCAAGTTCACGCCCGAGAGGTGCAAATGCCGTAAGGAGCAGAGCGCCAGAAACTTCAACAACTCTTCCCAGTGTATTTCAAAGTTTTCTACGCTGCATGTTTGCACCCTCGACAAACTCTCGCCTTTCAGAATGCTGGACATCATGAGACCTGACTGACTTGTTCCTGGTCGAGCGGAAGGTCTACCATCCTCTTTGACGTAATTAATCGTGAGGTAATGAAGATCTGATGGTATTGACAAGAAGTGTGTCAGGCCGGCGTGGCCTTCAATGTCTGTCAATCTCCGGTCTGGCAATGCTAACACTGTCTTCCCCCCTTGCTGGGTTTTGTTTGTCGTCTTAGGACCACCAGAATCTGCTACATTCGTTGTCAAGCACAGATACAATTGCCCAATCTGTTTGATGCCGGCTTGCACTTCCTCTCCCCAGTTAATTCCTGAGAAAGCACTCGGTGGGACTGGATCTGCAATGCATAACGTTGCCACGTCCAGAGAGCTCTTCTGAAGCACCGACATCGTTGTTGTGAATGCAAATGCTCCGGCAATATCGACCGAGGACAATGCACGGTCGTCATAAGCAACTTCCTGGTAGCTCGAAGTCGCATGGTGTACGTCGAAAACTGCGTTCGTTATAGTGATTCTCATTCTCTGACCCCGACCACTTCTCGATATATTTTCGAAGCACTCCTTCAACAGCGATTCAGCGATAGCAGAGCTTTCGAACTGGCGACATTCGAGTGCTTTCTCCTCCAGACGTGCGTTTTCCAATTTCGCGATCCGCCTGGCTTTGATATCAAACACGCTGAGACGATGTTTAGGGGCGACTATGACGCCTACGATTGTGAGGCTGTCGACGAGACAACCCAGCCCATCATCCTTAGTCATTGCGCGGAAAGAGGTCAGTCCTTGCTCATCCAGTAGAACGCGACCAGTGCGGAAGCGCTTTTTGAACGTCGGCGACGTTGCTTTCCTGCTCAAAGCTCGGCTTGTCAGGCGCAGCGCCCGGATGTCGGAATTCTCCAATGATCCACAAACTTCTATGATAAGCTCAGCTGGTAGAGATTCAAGGCCAACTAGCAGATCCAGAACTTCATGCTGGGTATTTTCACGATCAAGGACTGACGGTTGGCCGACCGTCATGACTTGGTCCGGCGCTTCTTGTCCCATAGATTGACTGGGCATCATGGCTAGTGCGGTGTGCCCACGATGACTTGGATAGTCGATGGGCGCGCAAAGCGACAAATTGAAGCAACGCGTCTCATCTAGCGCAGTGCATTGTAGTAGCGACGTTCGGCACTCGAGCACTAATCAGTAAATTATTTATTACTCATGTATGTCATCGAAGTGACACTCATGTTCTTTTACTGTTGATTGAATCGCATGAGACATGTCCGCTCACGTGAGGGGCGAGATCATGTTCTATTTTTGGCACGCACCCTGCATGCAGATCGGCTCACTACACACGGGAGGACCAATAATCACCATGCACTCGGACTGTTTACACAAATGCAGATTGATGTGAGGCCTTAGCCTGTAATAACTGAAGCCAGCATATTGCACTTCTGATGACATCACATGAGCTGTATAGGTTTGGGTCGAAATTGGCATGCTCAGCATTACTCCTATACCTTGCCTATCTCCCTCGTACAAAGAAAGCTGAGAGAGAATGACAAGATTTATTTACGATGTAGTTCTCTTCTGATACATCAGCCAAGATGGTATATTCGAGATCAAAGGCATGGGTGCGATACCGAGGTAGAAGAGTTACTTACGCCCGAGTTGATATCGATCTTTGGAAGTGGCCGCTTGATTGGTCAATTCCTATACGTGGGTATGAAGATATGCTCGAGCAGACTTCATAGATCGCCTGTGGGTGCTTACCGAAGACGAGAATCAGAAGGAGCTAGGAAAGAAGCGCTTCTCGGAGGGTGTTCACTTGTTCGGTGCAATTGATTATGATAGAGTAGACTGAAAGACTACTGGGCAATGAAGATACCAGCGCGGGCTGTCCCAAAGCCACTTCACCATCCCAAAAGATGCAAATCAATCGTACTGCAGCCCACGGGGTTCTTTGAACACAGCTTACCGCATTATTTTCAATTCCCGGCGTGAATTGAATGAGCTACGAAGCAGTGGCGCGGTTTGCCGCCGCTCTTCGCAAGCTAGAGTTTCTCCACATGACTTCGAGCTCGATCCCGCAGCGCATCAACGAACGCGCTTTCTCCCACCAGATCTGCGGCAGGAGCTTGTTCTCATCGTCCTCCAGGTCAAGCCGATGGTCTTCCATGATCAGGTAGTCACTCATTTCATACGTTGAATCCATGTACCAATTGTGTAAGATGGTGTCAAAAGTGAGCAATCTTTCGATGTTCTTGTCGAGATCGATCATGTATAATCTTTTGTAGATCTTGCAGGTCTGCAACATTCCTGGCGACCCTCGATCGAATTTGATATCGAAAAAATATTTGCCATATGCTGCTGCTTGTAATCTTGCAGTTTCTAGTGTGAGCTCGAGCAGTTCCTCCAGCTCTTGTTGTAATCGATGACAGGCCTCGGTGACAGTGCTAGCATTGCGGGACAGTATGGTATGTCCGTCTCTGAAGAGACTTTGCGGTTTATTGGCGTTCTTGAGCTTGAGCTTGAGATCGGGCTTATCGAGAAGACGAATTGCGAATGTTTCGACTGGTCTAGGTGCTGGCTTGGAACAGGTGTAGTTGACGAAATCGAGCTCGAGCACTTGTAGATTATGTCTTCCACCAAGAAAGGAGCACAGAGAGTGCAAAAGGAACTCAATCTCGTACACAGTTCCGGCGTTGTTCGGAGCCACAAATCTCAGGTGACGAGCCTTTCGCAGGAATTTGGGCCACTTGATCTGACCGCGTGGTTGAATGAAGTCCATATCTTCTTGGAACACCAATACATCTGCACCGCTGTGATTGCTTGGTGGAGAGGGCAGGTATCCAACTATGAAGATATTACTATAGAGGATGGAGGTCGCTTCCTGATGGATACATTTGCACGTCGAGAGAAGCTGGGCATCGCATTTGCCTCTGGTACATAACGTGAGGGCATCTTCGTAGATGTGATTGCGAAGCTCCGCCGAGAGACCGAAGAAACGAAATGAACGCAGATTGTCTTTGACGTGGTTTTGGTGTGGAAGACATTCTTCGACACCCATATCGCGTTCGTTTGTGGACAGTATGGTCGACATGACAGATCTCGAGATGATTCAAGAAATTTGATGGCGAAGTAGCTGTGGCTCTCAGTGTTAACCCCGGCAGTCTTGTTGCAAGCTTCTGGAGAATTTGAAGTCCTTTCCAAGTCTGCAGGAATGCCGAACCGACATGGCGTTTCATGCTTGTGGTGACACGTCACTTTTTCCCAGCAGGCGTGTCTCATATTTGGTTTGTGGCAGTCACTTCCCCGTATAGAAAATTACCTCACAAACAGCCAGACAGCGGCATCGATTAGTTCATGACTAGAAATTCCGATTATCGCCGATGCTCGTAAGTACGGAGATGTGAGATGTCACATGCGACCTTGTGAGATTTCATGTTTTTGTTGGTCACAGTCACACAAGCTTTTATCTAGGAGCCGCGCTTCAAAATTTGATAGAGTGGCTCCAGAAGCAGGCATTTATCTGACTTGAGCAGGCGTGCTGTCATTCATAGAAATATTTGCCTATACTATACATGACAATCGTACAAAACTATTCACACGCGGCCTGCTCGGGATCTAGTCCTAATGCCAAAAGCGTCCTCGTATCTGCACTCTAGGTCGCGACAGTGGGCGATGCAGCAGAAGCCGCAGCAGCGGCAGCTTCGTCGTCCTTTCTCACCATCACCTCAAGCTCGATGGCGCAACGCATCACAAGACGAGCTTTCTCCCACCATTTGCCGGGGATGTCGGCTTCGTCGTCTTCGACCGATTCAAGATCCTCCAGAAAGCCATAATAATCGTCACCTTCACATTCAACCCATTGGAACTGCATGTACCAGGCCCTGAGGATGCTTCCAAAGCGCAGCAGCTCATAGGTATTGTATTGAAGGTAAGTCTTGCTCATTTTCTTGAAGATTTTACAGGTCGGGACGATACCTGGTGATCCATACTTGAACTCGGTGAGAAATTGGTTGTGGTCACATATCTCTGAGTGTTTTCTTGCATGTTTGAGAGTGTATGGAATAAATTTCTGCAGTTGCGAGTAAATGTATCTGCAAGCGTGACGACGGCTTCTTGCGTTGCGATCCACGCCGGTAATTTTGTCAGTCCAGAGGCTTTGAGGCCTACTGCCTCCATAAACCACGACGTCAAGATTAGGATTGTCAAGAAGGCGTATAGAGAAGATGTCCGGCTCTCTGCTCGGCATGTCGAACCCCATGGGATCTGCGAGGAAAACAAGCTTGAGCCTACGAAGGCTGTTTTTGCCTCCAAGGAACGAGAACATCGAGTGAAGAACCATTTCAATCTCGTTGATGCTATTCACGTTGTTGTCCGCCATGAAGCTCAAGCTTCTGAATTTGCGCAAAAGTGGTGGCCACTTGATTTTGCATTGTGGTTGCAAAATATACTTCACTTCGTCGAAAATATGCAGCATTGCCTCGTCATCCCGAAGCTGGCTAGCAGAGTCTAATGTGATTATGACTGTGTTGTCGTAAAGATATGAGGTAGCTTCGGTGCTGATCTGCTTGCAAGTCGCGATGAGCTGTGATGTACACCTGCAGCCGCCATAAAGATCGAAAGTGAGGGCGGATTCATAAATCTGATTGCGAAGTTCTGCTGAAAGGTCCAAGAACCCAATTCTTGAGGCGCTATAGGTTTGGTGTATGGTCGGACTTCTCTTCTTCGACGGTCCACGTGGCTTCTTCCTGGGTATCATCATCGAGATCGTCGCTGTCGTGGGAGGTGACTCGTGAGACGGAGAGCTAAGGTGGTGCAAGAAGCGAAGGTAATCAGTGGAAGACCATGTCGTACCGGCGACAGATCGGCGAACAGAGCTGGGGAATATCGAAAACGAAGAAGAGTGCTGCCCAGGTGTGTTTGAAAAGTGACATGCATATGTCTTCTGCGTTCATGGTCGTGCAAGTAATCGGCAGAGCAAGAGGCAAAACACTCCAGGGCTCTATTACCTAAGGAGATGGATGCCTATCCCGAGCGTGCGCTGCGGAGGCATGGGTAGGGGCAGGCGCGACTTGCAATGAGGGCCCAATCGCTTGGTGCTCCCGCTCTTATACACCTCCAGGGCTATCAAACAACATCAAGCTTGTCGTGAGTAGTGGGGCCGGAAAATGTGTTGCAGCTTGGGACGTGTTGATCAAGAGTACGGCATGTTATTAATATACTAATTATATTGTGAAACACAACCTGACAGTACTATTCATCGCCTTCTTCATGCCACAGTCAGGCATCTTCACGAGCAGCAATCCACTGTAAAAAAACCAGGTCAGCACCACTTCAATGGCAATCATAGAACAGAGAAAGGAAGTCAGCTTCAACTTACCAATCGATACGGTGCTCCCCACCCAAACACAATCGGAAATGCCTTCTGCGCATGCTCCGACTGCACCGATTTGTCAAACTCCTCCTGCGAATTCCACCCCCTCACGACAAACATGCATGTCGCCGGCGCCCCACCCAGCTCCGAAATGGCCTCGGAGTCCTCTGTCCAGCCGACGATCAGCCCCGTCGTGCCGCTGACGCCGGGCATATAGGCGTCGTCAAAGGTCCGGAATTCCTTCTCGATGCGCTCGCGGAAAGAGGGAGTTGCTTGGGCAGAGGGGAAGATGTTTTGGACGGTTTCGATGAGGTTGGAGGTGAAGGGGTTGTTGGAGGGATTGAAGGCTGAGATGGGAATGGCGATGCGGTTGCGGGTGTAGGTCGCGCGGGAGGCGAAGATGTCTTTGAGGGTTTCGAGGAGGGAAAGGTCGTGTTTGGCGATTGTATCGTCGGCGGAGGTCGATTCGGTCCAGAGTTGAAAGGAGTTTTCTTCGGGCTTCTGGACGATGGCGATGGTGGAGTGTTGGGTCTTTGGGCCTTCGTGTTGAGTTGAGGTACGGACTGCCTTTCGCGCGGATTCGAGCAGGGCATGGAAGTCGGAGGTGCCTTCTGCATTGGTGGCAGTGAAATTGTGAAGAGTGAGGACGGGCATGTTTGATGATTGTTTTGAATGACCTTTGGAAAGTTCAATGGGCAAAAGGTGATGAATGAGCTTGAAGCTGTTGGTGATGAGGAGGTTGAGGTGATGATTTGGAGTTCATTCTGGATATTCGTACAGTCTTTATATGATCTATATACCTAATAAATGCGAGGATTTCGTTCATGTGGATGTGTGATGTGGGAAGGAACATGATTTATCATCCACACCGGGACTTTCTGTGCAAATGGCCGGGCGGACTTTTCAAGCTCACCTGGCCCGCGGCAGAATCGCAGGAGAACAGGAACAAGCGAACAAGACTAGACTGTCTAAGTCAACGCCAATTTTGGGGTCCAGATATCTGCAGCGGTTTCATGGCCGTCAAGCAGGTAAGCGCCATCATCAATCGGCGTGAGCGAAATGTTGGTACCCAGCTTTCTGGTGAGGAAAATGTTGGTGATGGATGAAGTAGAGTAGAAACCAGAGTTGGTCGCGAAATACCGGGACGGTACAGAATACGCGGGTTCGGGATTCTCGGGGTTTCCTGCCTCAGGTGTTAACAAACATCGGCTCGATCGCCCGGGCGGCCTCAGCACGTGGCTGGCAGGCTGCATGACTACCTAGGTATATGTCGTACGGTACAGATGCGCTATGATTTTGCCCATACGACGATGTAACGACCTGGTCAGAATGTCATGCCCTGATCGGTGCTTGATTGAATGTAATGGATGCAGCATGGGAAGACATGCCAGTGTATGGGCCTACGAACGAGAAACGAGCGGCCTGAAATACTGCAGTCCGTGATTGCATCGCACCTTATTATCCTTCTCCGGAGCGAAGGGCAGAGATGGGCGGGCAGCATCACGCGACATAAAAGGGAGGACGCTCCGCTCGCAACGATTCACCTGGCCTGCCTACAGCACATCATCAAGACTGATGGCGCCAAAAGGGAGTCGCTGTGGGTTGTTTGGAGAGCATTCATTGGGGTCTGCTTGATCATCTAGATCAGAGTTGCATTGATCTTACATGTCGATGGATGGACAAGGCAAAGTGAGACTCTTGTACACGGGCGGCGTGTATTATCGTGGACGGAGCACGCGGAGCTAGAGTGCCTGTGAGCTGTATTTAGGTGTTGCCCTGCATCCTCGCCGCCTGCCCGCACGCCCCGTCCGCCCGCAATCAGCTGCAGCCCCGGATATTCAAAGGAATTCGGGCGGCGCGAGTGCTTCGGCATCGCCTGTCTTGCCCGTGTCTGTCTTGTCTCGTCAGATCTCCAGACTCTCGCACGTCCTGATCACCGACCGCCACTTCCCCATTCCCCACTACTGTGCTCTATTGCACTGCTCATCATCCCTGCGCAGACTCGCCTCTCACCACCGACGACAGTCACCGTCTTTTCATCTTTCGGGCCTAGTCATTAGCCCCTCCCATCGTCATCCTGGCGCCCTCAGGCAAATACAGTCCCTGGGTGATTCGTCGGCCACTGGTCTTTTTCCTCGCCCTTCTTGTCGCAGCTCTGGCGTTCTCCACTGTCATTCCAAGGGTAAGCCATTGGTCACACTATCCTCCCTCTTCTCACATTCGAGACCACAAAGTGCTATACTCATCTCCTCATAGCTACGGGCGGTCTTCAGTCACCTGTCAGCCAGCAAGTACCCACTCAACATCACACCTCAACGACCAATCTCCATCAGCACCAACATGGGTTCGGCCTTCAAGAAACCACCGCAGGCGCCGCCGCTCTTCACTCACACTCCTGAGAGCCTGATCGCCGACACCGAACGATTTCTAGCTTCGTCCAAATCGTTACAGGACCGTATTGCCAAGGAGGTGACTACAGAGACAGCCACCTTCAAGAATGCAATCTTGCCCTTTGCACAGGATGACAATGAGGTCGCCTTACAATCCCATATCATTGGCTTCTACCAATCGGTCTCGACTGATGCAAAGCTCCGTGACGCATCGACCGAGGCGGAGAAACAGATGGACAAATTTGGCATTGAGACGTCGATGCGTGAGGACTTGTTCCAGCTCTGTAATGCTGTGCACAATAAGCAAAAGGACGATGCTGCATTAGACCCAGAGAGTCAAAAATTACTACAAAAGGACTACAAGGATTACGTCAAGATGGGATTGGGCATTCCAGCCGGACCAAAACGTGATCGGTTCAAGGCGATCAAGGAGCGTCTGTCCGAATTGGGAATTACTTTCCAGAAGAACCTGAACGAGGAGAATAGTGGACTGTGGCTGACTCCCGAAGAGCTGAAAGGCGTGCCTGCCGATGTGGTAGATGGTCTGCAGAAGGGCAAGGAGGGCAGTGAGAATGCTGGAAAGCTTTTCCTGACTTTCAAATATCCGGATCTGTTCCCGACATTGAAGTACTGCAAAAGCGAGGATGTCCGGCGAAGAGTGTTTGTCGCAAATGAGAACAAGTGTGCCGACAACGTGCCGCTCTTCAAGGAGGCTATCGTTCTCCGTGACGAGAGCGCGCGTTTGCTCGGCTATCCTGATCACGCGACTTTCCGCATCGAAGATAAGATGGCCAAGACGCCCAAGACGGTGAACGACTTTCTCGGAGATCTGCGTGAGCGTCTCGCTCCGGGTGGTGTCAAGGAGATTGAAAAGCTGAAGGAGTTGAAGAAGCAGGAGGGCGGAAGCACCGACACTGAGCACTACTACCTGTGGGATCACCGATACTTTGACACCCTCATGCTTGAGAAGGACTACCAGCTTGATCAGAACAAAATATCGGAATACTTTCCGTTACAGACTAGCATCTCCGGCATGCTTAACATCTTCGAAGAGCTTTTCGGCTTGCAGTTCGTCGAAGTCGTAGGTGCGCACCGTGACGAGATTTCGCCCTCCGGCAAGGGTACGGACATCATCTGGCACCCTGACGTGCAGGTCTTTGCCGTCTGGGACGATGCAAGCGAGGGCAACGGCTTCGTCGGCTACCTCTACCTCGATTTGTTCCCTCGCGACGGCAAATATGGTCATGCAGCCAACTTTAACCTTCAGCCGGGTTTCCTCCACCCCGATGGCACTCGCCGATACCCTGCGACAGCGCTGGTGTGCAACTTCTCCAAGCCCACAGCGAAGAAGCCTTCGCTTCTCAAGCACGACGAGGTCGTGACACTATTCCACGAGTTGGGTCATGGTATCCACGATTTGGTGGGCCGTACAATCTACTCCCGCTTCCACGGAACGTCGACGGTGCGTGACTTCGTCGAGGCGCCGTCGCAGATGCTCGAAAACTGGTGCTGGACACCATCACAGCTGCGATCTTTGTCGAAGCATTGGTCGTACCTTTCTCCCGAATACTTGGAGGCATGGCGGGAACAGCAAGGTTCCACTTCTGTTTCGCAACCACAAGAGCATCTCCCTGAGTCGCTGATCAACTCCATCATCACTACCCGCCACGTCAACGCAGCCCTCTTCAACCTCCGTCAATTACACTTTGGCATTTTCGACATGACCGTCCACACTCCCAAATCGCACGATGAAGTCGTCGCCATCAAGACTGGAGACCTGTACAACAGCCTCCGCCACTCCATCGTCAAGCTCGCCGGGCCCGAAACCCTCCCAGGCGGCAACGACAGCTGGGGTCATGGCGAGGCCACCTTCGGCCATCTCATCGGCGGCTACGATGCTGGCTATTACGGCTACCTCAGCAGCCAAGTCTACTCAGCAGACATGTTCGCAAGCGTGTTCGCCAAGGACCCCATGAACGGCAAAGATGGTCGTCGTTACCGCCATACGGTGCTCGAGCGAGGTGGAAGCCGCGACGAGGGTGAGATTCTGAAGGAGTTCCTTGGTCGGGAGCCCAGTAGCGAGGCCTTCTACCGAGAATTGGGAATTGCGTCGTAGGAGGTAGTTTCTTGTATGAAATGAAAATTCATGAGATTATGAAATTTTGCAATGGGTATGCGTGTGGTAAATATATTGCTTCACAATGAAGATGTTACATCGGCTTTTAATCGTAAGGGGAGTAGGGGTGGTTTCTTTAGTCTTCCATTTGGTATCAAGATCGCAACTTTCGTTGAATTTCCGCCCGCGCCTCCAGCTGGCACGCGGGTAGGTAGATTATTAATCCTCTCTTCACAATCTAACGCGGGCCACGTGAGCGCGGAACACACGGGGGCGCGGAACACGCTTTTTCAATGCGCTGCATTCAACAATTAATATCTTAATGAACAATGACCTTTAGGCCTTCAAATTGAGAATTATGATACGTTAATACTATCTCTTATGCTATACAAGTTCTGGCTGTATGAGCTGTTGATCTGCATTTGCTACACCTCGCTGTCCGCTTGGCAGGCCTTGGCATCTCCTCTATTATTTGCGCTTCTACCTCATCTTTGTCTACTAATTGTTGGATTGCTTGGACTGACAAAGCATCCTCTGTTAGAAGCGACTTCCTCTTTCTTGATTTGCGTACATGCATTGCTGTGTTAGCTGCTTCAAGATCTGTAACTCGTAATTGAA